TCCTTGCTGAGCAAAGACTCGGCATTCTGTAACAAAGTGACGATGCCTTCAACCGATTCCTTGGTGAGCAGCGGCTCAAGAGCCTTGAGCAGGCCTTCTAGATCAAGATCGCCGAGGCTGTCGAGGAGGGGCTTGGCACTCTTGAGGATAGTCTTGAGTTGGTCCACTGTCTCCTTGCTGAGCAGTGACTCGGCATTCTTGAGCAGACTGACGATGCCTTCAATCGACTCTTTGGTGAGCAGCGGCTCGAGAGCCTTGAGCAAGCCTTCTAGATCAAGATCGCCGAGGCTGTCGATGAGTGGCTTGGCGCTCTTGAGGATAGACTTGAGCTGATCCACGGTCTCCTTGCTGAGCAGTGACTCGGCATTCTTGAGCAGACTGACGATGCCTTCGATGGAGTCTTTGGTGAGCAACGGCTCCAGCGACTGAATGATGCCTTCCAGGTCCAGATCGGTGATCTTCTCCAGCAGAGGCTTGAGATCGCCCAAGATGGGAGAGACCTCGCCGATAAGGGACTTGGTCTGGTTGACAAACTGAGGAGTGAGCAGGTCTCCCGCATTACTAACAAGGCCAACAATTCCCTCAACAGATTCTTTCGTAAGAAGTGGCTCCAGTGACTCAATGATGCCTTCCAGGTCGAGATCGGTGACCTTCTCCAGCAGAGGCTTAAGATCGCCCAGGATGGGAGAGACCTCGCCGATGAGAGACTTTGTCTGGTTGACAAACTGAGGAGTGAGCAGGTCTCCCGCGTTGCCAACAAGGCCAACAATCCCCTCGACAGACTCTTTCGTAAGAAGTGGCTCCAGTGACTCAATGATGCCTTCCAGGTCCAGATCGGTGACCTTCTCCAGCAGAGGCTTGAGATCGCCCAGGATGGGGGAGACCTCGCCGATGAGAGACTTGGTCTGGTTGACAAACTGAGGAGTGAGCAGGTCTCCCGCGTTGCCAACGAGGCCAACAATATCGTCAACAGACTCTTTCGTGAGCAGTGGCTCCAGTGATTGAATGATACCCTCGAGATCGAGACCGGTGATAGTCTCGAGGAGTGGCTTGAGGTCATTGAGGAGCGGCGACACCTCGCCGATGAGCGAGCGGGTCTGGTTGACGAATGGCGCGGACAGCAAGTCACCGGCATTGCCAACGAGGCCAACAATCTCCTTGACAGCCTGCTCTGTGAGAAGGGGCTCCAGGGCACCAATGATGCCCTCCAAGTCGAGACCCGTGATAGTTTTGAGGAGAGGTCGAAGATCCTCGAGGAGAGGCGACACGTCGCCAATAAGACCCTGGGTCTGGTTGACGAAGGATGGTGTCAGCAGGTTGTCCGCATTGGTGAGCAGGCCTCCAATCTTGTCGACATTGTCCTCGGTCAGGAGCTTGAGAGCGGCACTGATCAAGCCACCAAGGTCGGCATCGCCGATCTGATCCACCAGATCCTCGAGGTTGAGCTTTTCGAGGAGATCGAGGAGGGGACCAACACGACCGAGCAAGGTGCGGATTTGGTTGGGTGTCGGAGGTCGGAGGGTCTGGGCAAGGTAGACGATGGCGTCGTGCACTGCTTCGAGGAACTCCTCGGTGAGCAGACTCTGGAGGACTTTGATGATGCCACCAAGGTTCTTTAACTCATCGAGGAAGTCTGGGATAATGCCGACGAGATCGCCCAGGTCACCAAGGCCGGGTATGGCCAACTGCTGCACATTTTCGTCGTCCTCACCGTCGTCGTCGTCGTCGTCGTCGTTGCTTGAGCCGCCTCTGCTGCTGCTGCTGCCCCCACTGTCGTCTGGAGTGGACTTTGGCGCATCGACCGAGGTTGTCTCTGCTTTACCACCGTTTTCAGATGAGCCGGAATCTGCCTGGCCATCTTGTGTAGGAGCGGGCGCTTCGACCACCACTGTTGACGCTGCCAGCTCTGGGTCCTCAACCACCGTCGAGTTGGCATCTTGTCGCGCGAACAAGCTCTTCTTGGACGCGTGACGCTTGCTCTGCCTCTTCTTGTTGGTGGTGGTCAACTTGAAGGTGTTCTTCGGTGCGGCCCGTGTCTCCTTGAGCAAGAGCTTGATCTCGGATAGAGTATCTGACAGCTCATCTCGAGGCACAACGGCAAGATTGTTCTTTGCCAAGTACGCCTCTAGATTAAAATTGGGCGGTAGCGCAACGTTGTCGGCATCGGCTACCACGAGGCTGCCAATGGGCGCCAAAGCTCCCAATAGGAGTGTCGACAGACGCATTGTAGAAACAAAGTTGACGTGCCCGCGGTATGCCTGCCCCGGATCTGGCAGTTGGGGAAGTGGTGACGTTGAAACAACTTAACGTCGGCGCGTAAGGAGAGGGCAGAAAAGGGGGCAGGTCCAGGTCTAATCAGCTGGGAGGTGCGAGGCGGCTGGAGGATATCATGCAGTCCGTCGCGCGCTGCTTCACATGGCACTTTGCACCTCGGGTTAGCAACCTGTCGATCGACACGCGAGGCTCGAGGGACTTGTTGGCGTTCCAACTTCCCCGCGACAGAATGGTGCCGGGTGCCGCAAGCTGGGTCAAAGATGGGCGATGAGGAGGAAGCTCTGATTAGAATTACCGTGCGCGCACGCGGGTCATGGTGCTGCCCACACGCAAGCCGCCTCGCGCTTGGCCTTGAAGAAGCAATGATGAGCTGCTGCTAATCAGCCCTGGATTTCTCTGTCGAGATTTGGCCAAGGCCACTTGCCATTGTCGGCAATGGACATATGCATGCAACCCCGGATGAGGAGCTGAGTGCACCATCTCGTACCCGATTCATGCTGCGGAGAACAGTCTGAACAGCAGCCATTGGGGATGGGCGTGAGCCGGTTGCTCATTTCAGATCCCTGCCAGGAACACGGCGAGTCGTGAAGTACCTCGACAGTACCGCCTGGGGTCCCCCTCTTCCCGTCTTTCGGCTCCGCCCGCCTCTGCAACGTCCCAATGAAGCACGCTGCAATTGAGACATTGGCTTGTCATTGGGCAAACATCCCTGATGCACACCTCGCAAGCCATCGCTTGGCTTGGCTAGCAGTGCCGCGAGTGTGCGTGCATATGGCAGACAGCCGACTTGTATTCTCCGGTAGGCTCATCCACATGATCACACTTGGCTTCGCTTTGGTCTCATTCTCCAGAGAATCGGTAATGTTTCTTGCCCCTTCATTGCGGAGAAAATCTGGGGAGGCGATTGTGGACTCTCCTCGTAACTTGATGTTCCCCAGATCTTCATGCAGCCCGCTGCCGTGCGCTAAGACTCTGCGGTCACTGGCTTGCGAGTAAGTATGGTATGAGTGAACCGGGCTCGCTGTACGTACATACGTAGGAGCCAACATGGCGGCGCGATCCTGGGGCTGAATCTCGATTTCGACGAATCCATGAGCTGCAGCCTCGGGGCGAAACATTGCTAGCCACTGATAGTCAAACCGTGAGTCAGTCTTCGTCACAGCCGGCAGCTTGATCCTAGTGGTCTAGACTCCAAGTAGTAGGCCGAGTCGCAAAGCGAGTACACATTGAATGCTTCAGGGCACATCTCAGGAGCAGGATGAGGGGAAGATAGAGACTTGGGAGCATGCGCCGATGCTGCTGCCCGCCTTTCACATTCTGATTCCTCTGTAGTTGATGCGGGGAGTGTGCGGAGATGTCTTCACTAAACCGAGGTCGGACAAGTTATGCTTGATTTCGAGCGGAAATCAGATAATGATTCTAAGGACTCTTGTTTTCCGCCGAAGGTAAGTGATAAGTGCTGGGTAAGGTCTTGATGGTTTTGAAGACCGCTCTTCTCGGCAGCTGATCTCCGAAGCTGAAGACTGCTAATAGTCAGGAAGCAAACACCTCGCTTCTCTGCATACTCGTCTTGAAGTTAGTTTTGATCTTTCGGTAGGGCTCAAAGAGCCTCTATAACTTGGTGGAAGCACATAGTGTGGCTCTGCAAATCATTCTGTGATTAAATATTACTTCTAAATCTACTCTTCTAAAGGCGAAATGTAGTAAAAACCTTCGCGTGCTCTTTCGTCACCGTGCGGTAATCGAACTCAAACAATTGTTCCAAGATAGGAACTCGATATCCGAGGATTGAATGAGTAATCACTTTACACTTATGACATTAGACACAGACAAAAATTATTAGATAAGTACTTCGGAAGCCTATATGTGTAGGATATCTGCCCATATTCCATACATGCACTTGTCGCTGATGATATCGTACGCCTCACTCTTGCTACGACGGTCTCCTTGTCTATCAGCCCACTTGCTTCTCAATTTCCTGGTTGCAGTTGTGCTTGAGCACCTGATTCTTGATGGTCAATATTACATGCCCATATGCTGAGTGATTTCGGCTTTTCAGAACCAAAGTCGAGACCAAGACGGGGCAAATGACATACAGCCAGCTCTAGGGCCTCCTATCACTGTGTATGATGTACTAAACGACCAACAGTGTTCAATCTCAGTTCTTTAGTAGATTGAATTTTATTAGAAAAGCTCATGCTCACCAATAGACAAAGCCATGTAATAGTGAACATGTCACTACGAATGCCAGTGCAGAGTTTGACTGGTGCCAGTCGCAGTTCGGCAACAGACTCGACCAAGAACTCGCTGCGCTTACCCCATGACCCTTCCATTCTCTCTTCGATTGAGCCTATCGTGGAGTGCTTTGTTTAATCCAAGTGTAAATAGCTTCAAGTATGACGCTTGCTGAGACCCCGGTCGTGCCAGCGCAGTCCCTGAGTCAGAGTCTTGAAAGATAGTGCCAGAGTACTCGAGCTCTCTGTCTCTTAGTGAAAAGACTTCATCAAGAACTCATTGCTATTATTTCATAAACCGCAGGCTAATTCTACGGCGGCGTACTGACAAGACTTTCTGGGTGAATGCAGTTGTTCGCCACGGGTGTCTGCTCAGAAGACGGTTCAAAAGAAGATGGAAGAATACTGACCTCAGAAACAGGAATTACTTGCCTTTATAGAATTCAATCGTCCGTGGGAAAGCTTTTTCTTCGGGAACTACGTAAGAGGATCTCTATAGCAGGATCTAATCAGGACCGCTACCTTTCTCAGCAGCCTCATGTCAGGTGTTTCGACTTATCACAGTTTGTACATATTCAGATGAATAATACATAGAGACAACCACATCTGAAACCGGATCATCACTTATTAAATCAAGTTTATTCGTAACGTTCAACCATGCCAGTCGTGTGCCACTAAGGATTTGTCGTTGTATTTATAACCGGTGCTTTAAAGATGGTTGCCCTATACCACGAACACTATCGCTATTCTTTTCACTAATCGTCCACCAATCTTGACAATAGACATTGATGATAAGAATTCTGTCGTTACTGAATACACAATATTTGCAGGAATGAGTTTCTTATGTTAAGCCGTGCACATCGCAGAAAATAATGACGTGCAAAGTAGGGCTGTGATGAGTGTGATCCTTTGGCGTGCAGTTACCAAAACAAAGGTGCAAAACTACGTTTGCCATAGAACTAGAAGCTCTTGTCGTAGACAAAAACAGATTGTAGCCTGCATGACTTGAGATCGGCGATGTTTCCAGAGGTCGCGCCGTCCCTACAGTTACATGTATTCTTGATCGCGCAGGCTGGTCGCGACACTCCTGTTTAATCATCACGAGCAGCCTCACTTCTAACCGCGACGGAATTGGAGCTATGACGTGCGATTCTATGCCGAAAACGTACTAGAGCATCCCCGCGTAAAACGTGGAATGCAAGGAAATAGGAAAAAGGAAAAGCACAAAGCCTAAGAAATCGACCAAGGCACGGTATCGACATCGTAAATATACGCGCCGCTCGTGACAATTTGAACCCTCAAAGTGCGGAAGGTCTTCTTGTTAATGCGGTTGAGACTGCGGATAGCTCTGCTTGCAAGCATTAAAACTCGTACCCGCTCTATTTGCGTTAGCGTGTCCGACTGGAGCTAGAAAATTCAGTCGTCCGTGTGATGGCAGTCTACTGTGGCCGGAGCTTCCCATGTTCCTGAACTCAATCGCTGGATGCATGAACTAGAAGAGTCTCGAGTCCGTGAAGAATCCACTCGGCTTCTTTTTTTCCCCTCCCCCGCTATTCAAAGCCCTGAATCGTGATGTTTAACAAGAAGCTATTTTTGGGTAATTATGGTATCCTGCTCTTCCCTGGGCACGAGCCTCCTTGCACGTAAATTGATATTGATGAATTGCCCCTTATGGAAATTCTATTGCAAGTGCTGCATTAGCGATCCGCGGGTTCCTGAGCGCAGTTCAAAGTCTAGATCTTCGATTTCTGGACCATTTGAAAGTTGAAACCTTGAGTAACGGGCACAAGCCACGTCTCTTACCTAACACTTACTGTGCTCTGCTGCCTGCGGACATAGTGTGAAGACTGTGTGCCCGTGTTGTCCACGTCATACTGCCGACGGCTTCTGACATGTTCCGCATTCCAGGTTGCACGCGCGGTGACAAGTGCTGGCTCGGAGGCCGTCAAACGCATTTGAGCATCACGATGAGGATGCATGTCAAACTGCGTACGTTTGTGCTTGTGTCGCAAATTGCTGGACAACTTGTGTCGCTACGTAAGGTAGATGTGAGCAAGAGCCGCCTGTCGATGGGCAAATTGAGAGCGGGTACAGCAAAGGCTGGACCCCGTGGCGACACTAGCGGTGACTAAAAGTGGCAGTCTGTCTGGATACCGAATGTGGCCTGAAGCAAAGCACAATGAACTCGAAGTGATTTCTTCCTGACCTGGGAGGTCAACGCACTGCAAGGCGCCGAGTGGATTGAGGCCTCGTGGCAGTGTATGGCAACTGCCATTTGTGTATCGTTACTGCAGCCACTGCTTTCCATCGGGCTTGGTGCCTGGTTTGGGCGTTGAGGGGAATGCCGATCCGGGTCGCGTCCCGAGTCAAGCCTGGAGGTCTTCGGGATTCTTCCATTGTCAACGCTTATAATAGGCACGCGCCGCCCATCACGCCAGCTCTGATGTATCATTGCGATCACTCGGTATCCATTCCTCATCCATTGCGTCTGCAATTAGGCATTCGGCATCCATGAAGTGTGAGCAGTGGGACGCAAACACACCGTTACATTCGAGATCGACCACTCAGTAACCACTTCGCCTCCCCCACCATCGCTTCAAATGTCGAACCCTCGATCCGATTCCGAACAGCCTGCCCTCCAACCCGACTCAGAGCCAACTAGCCCTGCTCACCAACCAGAAGACAAGGGCAAAGAACCGCAGTACTCGCCTGCGCTCCTGGAATCACCGCCGGGGCAAGACAGCAGCAATCCCTTTGACAATGCCGAGCCATCTGCCTATGGCGAGTCGAGTGCTGCGGCGGCAGCTAGCGCGCTGAAGAAATACAGGGTGCGCTTCAACAGCAACGCGGATGCAAACCGACCTCCATGGCTGGCGTCGCAACCGAGCGAGCGCCCGCAAAATTCACCTGAACGGGCGATACAGACGAGCCCACGACACGCACCTAGACCGTCAGTTCTACGGACACCGTCCAGCGACACAGTCCCTCAAGTCGACACGCAAACCGAACCAGATCCCAATTCGGAAAAGGGCATCTCAGCCTCAGCAGCGCAAGAGCGCGCCAGGAAAATCGAGAAGAAAGTCAAGGAGGACAGGGACGAGCTCAACTCTGACGATGATGACCACCGCGCGTCCTTCGAATCTGCCCGCACGGCGACCACGAGTGAGGGAGGAGGTTACGAGGCCGGCGACATCCCCATGCAAGATTTGGGCGGACATGCATTCACTAGACTGCCGTCGAGTGAGGCACCTCAGGATACCGAGAAGCAGCGCTTCGGTGCTCATGGTAGCCAGGCTGCCAACTTGGTGCGAACCTTCACAACGCGGATGGGCTCACGAGCAATGGGGTCTGAGGAATCCGAGGAACCAAAGAAGCCAGACAACGGGGAAGGGAGCAGTAAGACCCCCGCGACTCACGAGAACCATGGGGGCTACGATGGCGTGTACGAGGTGCCGCCGCCACAACAGTATCGTGGTGGCGTACTGAGTCAGCTGCTGAAGCTGAACAAGCAACCCCTCGACTATCTCCCCGGCGGCCACGGACGCAACTGGAGCACCTCGACGCTCAACAATGGCGAGGAGCACACGGCACGCGGTAGAGAGAAGGGTCGCGCGGGAGATTCGCGCAAAAGCAGCCGCAGCCGCAGCGCTGGGGAATCGGGCGCGGCGACGCCGACCTTCCAGAAGAAGTCCAAGTGGTACAACCACCAGAGCAAGTCTTCTGACACACTGGGAAACCTCATCATGGCCTCCAACATACTGGCCAACCCGAACACAACGCTCAATGGAGATGAGATGGGCTCTCCCGGTCACAAGCCCCATAAAGGGAAGCATAAGCGCAAGGGCAGCGGTAGTGCTAATCGTCTGTCGGCTTTCATGCAGAAGGAGGAAGCCCGAATCACCGTGCACATTGCCGAGACCCTGTTTCGGCAAGACTATATTGTCAAAATGTGTCGCGCGCTCATGCTATACGGCGCACCCACGCATCGCCTCGAGGAGATGCTCTCCATGACAGCCCGTGTTCTGGAGATCGACAGCCAGTTCCTATACCTACCTGGATGTATGATCATCTCCTTTGACGATCGGTCGACGCATACGACAGAGGTGCGCATCGTGCGGAGCGCCCAGGGTATCGACCTCGGGAAGCTCAAGGACATCCACCTCGTCTACAAGGAGGTCATGCATGACTTGATCGGCGTAGAGGAGGGTGCTGAACGCCTGGACGCTATCATCAAGCAGGCGGACAAGTTTCACGTCTGGTTCAGGGTTCTTGTGCATGGCCTGACAGCTGTGTCAGCGGCCCCTTTCTCTTTCAAGGCCAGACTGATCGACCTGCCCCTCATCTTCTGCTTCGGCTGTCTCGTTGGCTTCCTGCAGCTCATCGTGTCCGCCAAGAACAATCTGTACAGCAACGTGTTTGAAGTCAGCGCCGTCGTCGTCGTGAGCTTCATGGCGCGCGCGTTTGGATCCATCCAAGGGGGCAACTTGTTTTGCTTCTCAGCACTAGCGCAGGGAGGCATCGTCATGTTGCTACCCGGTTACATGGTCCTGTGCTCGTCGCTCGAGATACAGTCCAGAGCGATTGTACCAGGGTCGATTCGGATTGTCTACGCCATTATATATTCCTTGCTTCTGGGGTTTGGAATCACAGTGGGCGCCTCAATCTGGGGTCTTTTCGACCCGAATGCCACCTCGGACACTGTCTGCCACGACCCCATGGACCCTTACCTGGCCTTCATCTTTGTCCCGGCCTTTATCCTCTGCGTCAGTATCCTCTATCAGGCGAAATGGAAGCAGATGCCTGTCATGCTGGTGATTGCTTTTGCGGGATACATCGTCAACTTTTTCAGCAGTCGCAAATTCGCAGCGGCGCCGGCGATTGCGAACACACTCGGGGCCTTGGCCGTGGGTCTGCTGGCAAATCTCTGGTCGCGCGTTAGACATGGCGTAGCCGCTGCCACGCTCATCCCAGCCATCTTCACTCAGGTGCCCGGTGGTCTGGCTGCCTCGGGTGGTCTCGTCAGCGGCATCAGCACGGCCAACATGTTGACAGGAAGCAACAGCACAAGCCCGCAAGCAGGTCAGGACTACAACAACACGGCCGTCTTCAACGTAGCGGCGTCAATGATTCAAATCGCAATTGGCATAGCGGTCGGGCTGTTCTTGAGTGCATTGATTGTATATCCATTTGGAAAGCGGCGCAGCGGTCTTTTCAGTTTTTAATTGCATTGGGGGAGCGCGGAAAACAGCAAACATGGAAGCATTGGCGTATTTGAGCATTCAACAAGTCGTCCGTCGCACAACAGACGGAGACGAATCCAGACTTTGGATTAGAGCATGAATTCAGGAGTCTCTTCATCAAGGGTATGTGTAATGTATCCGAGAAAGCAGTGAGAATGTGGGTGCAATCAGCCAGACGCAGAGCACCTAACCATATATATTCACGCCAAACAACCACATGGGAAAAATCGGGACCCGGAACGGACAGGAAGATTTACGACTCTTCCATATAAGGAACCATCATTGGCGCATCATTCTCGAAGTTGCCCTCCATGTACGCTGTGATCAACTGGTCCAAACCCTCTTCACTCGCACGCTCCAGCCAAGCCCCAAGATCCATCTCGTCAACAGCAATGCCATTCAGGTCCTCCAGATTGCCCCTCAACTCCTGGCCGACAATCTGGGTCTCGCCGTTGTGGTGCTGGAGGCGCACACCAATCGATCCCGTACCGGCCAGGGCGATGGCCGACGCAGAAAGCTCCGACACAACCTTCTCCGGGGGAGGCAGACCCATGTAGCCCTTGGCACGATCCAGCTCTAACTTATCAACAAGGTCGCGAGTACGGAACGCGAGCCTTGGTGCTCGGAGGCCAGGTGAATAGATGGCTCGCATGCCTGGACTATGGTTGTATGGCCTGGAGTAGGCAGCGAGACGTCGAGTGGGATGTACACGCCGCCGATCTACAAGATGGCTAGCATGGCCATGGCCGAGTCAATCGATGGTTTACAAACCACCGCAACTCGAGGTGCTGGCGAGCATCCCTGGCGTAGGAGAGCACTGACGACGTTGAGCACGAGATTGTACAGATCGCCACATGTGATGGAGGCGATTGCTTCCGCGTGCTGGTGTCCCATGTCGTTGAATCTCCGCGAGAGCGTCGCCCAAGGGTGTTGTTTGACTGGACCTTGACCGAGTGCTAGAGCGTCTTGGACCAAAGTCTTGCCGTTCAACTTCAGCATCTGGAATGCACAGGGTCGGACTCCTCAAAAGGCATCCAGAAGTCGCACGTACGAGTCGAGAATTGCGCCGGATTCCTTCTGGCCACGCAGGGAGCGAGACCGTACATCTCCACCACATAGCCGGCGGACATCTCTGCGATACCGAGAGAAATGCTAATGGAGTTGTTGGCGTCTTTGGCATCCTTCAGATCCATGGTAGTCTCATTAAGGGACATCTCCCAGACTGAGCCCTCGCGATAGATCAGGGCGGCCTGGGACAGGGACGTGCTCTCTGATGTGCGAGGCGGCTTAACCTCGTTTAGAAGCACATCAAAGGGCACAGCGACCTCGCCAAAGAGCTTCAGAGCTTTTCGCGAGGTGGAATTGGCAATCGACGAAAACATCGCGGTAGACGAGACTTGTGTCTGGTAGGGAAGCCGTTGGTCTGGAGTACCTCTCGTCTAGTCAATCGGCGCGAGCGATTTGCCCACACTTGTCACCCCCAGCATGTGTCGCGAGTTCATCAGCAGGTTCTAGACGTTCTCCATGCGAAGTTGAGTCCGCTCATCGCCGTGGCAAAGACCGACTTGTCAGCATCTTGCAGGACGATGGTGTCTATGCGAGAGGCCAGCTTGATTGCATCGGCCTTGTCAATGCTCTCAATGAGCTGGATATGGCATTTCCAAGAGCGAGGCAGCATCTTCTGCACTTCTGTAATGGCCTTCTTCGTTTACCGTCTCCTACTCCCACGGATGACCAGGGGATCGATCAAAGGGGGCACATCAGCTCGGGAGAACACAGGATCGCGTAGACGCAGGTACTCGTCGTTGACTGCCTGGCTGAGAACCAGAAACTTACAGTATTTGTCTTCATTGGGAGCTCGCAAACGACCAGGTCGGCGCCAGAGAAGCCAGTCTTCTGGCAGACGTCGTCGCATGGGCCATTCCGCGCATCGACCAGAGGCGTCAAGTGGCGACGGCCATCGTCGCCACCGAGCCACCAACCTCCAGACTACCCATTAGACGTGTCTTGAACGCTCGTCGTTCCCGCCAGCTTCATAATGACCAGGTAGCCGCCGGCAGCCGCCAGACAGAGCGCTGCTAGATGAACACCGCCGTACACCACAAGCCACCGACATGCTTGTGGAGATCTCGGTTGACTAAAACCACTGGGGACCAAAGGCAGGGGCCATTGAAGTGGCTGGGTGCAGCTAGGTGGTGCGCTGGGTGCATACGCAAGTACTTGTGTTACTACGTGCGCTGTGGTAGACCTTTCGGGCGGACGCACGAACGATACGCACATCCTCGTTGGCGGATACTTGTTCACCCCTCGATTGTTGCTGCCGCAGACACCGCACGGAACAAGCCGGATTGTCACTTTTTCAGAGCTTATTTTTTTTAGTGTTGCTGAGCTGCCGAGTGCCAGCCTCCCAGGTGCGGAACGGGCTGCAGCTACGCGAGCTGAAGGATTCCCCGGCATGCCGCATGATGCATATTTCAACCTTCCCATCTTCAGGCTTCCACGGTCCACCCTCCCTCCTTGTACCGCCTACAGCCGAGGCATTTGGATTTTGTCCCACCCCCGGGCACCATGTCAATCGATGGTCTGGGGGATGTGCGTACTTTTACGCAAGTACGTCATGTCCATGACAGATAGCCCGCGTCGTCGTTCCACTTTGGGTTCCAACTCCGCCTACGACTACTGCGCGAGGGCTATACGAGGATGGGCGAGGTCTGAATAGACGCTCCAGACCGGTCGTCGCTCCGTCTCTTGCGAAGGCAGGGTCCTAGTCAGACTCTGGTTTCTTCACCGGTAGCCTTGTTCGGAGACTGGGAAAAGACCCATGGACTACACTGCTAGCGCAACCTGTCACGGTGTGGGCGATTGTGCCTCCAGCATACTGTGTTGAATCGTCTGCCAAAGTGTTCGGCACGCGAATGCAAATAATGCAGAGAAATCCTCTATGCACGGCTATTGTGCGCCCATGTGCTGTCTTAGATCTGATCACGATCTCATCCCCTGTTCTAGCTCGAGATGCCGGTTCGGGCCAGCCCTGCCTAGCTGCATATTCGCCGAAAGCCAACAGAAGGCCCCGAAGATGCAATCTGGAGCATGGACAAGGCCTGAAGAGACAGTATGAACATACTGGGCCACGTGCTGCAGATTATGTACAATCCGATTCGACACGTCGTCCAAGGCGAATATGATGTCGCGGACGCCAGTGCAAAGGATGAGTTAACAGCACATACCAATGAAATTTCACACTCCAACGCATCTATCACGATGGCTCACTATTTCTCGAGCTCAGAATGCCCTCAAAATTTAAGGCCCCAATGCCGCTGCGGCCAACGGGTCAGCTCCCCTGCCCAACATTGAGCATGGCCATGTTTTTGTGCTCGTCATCGCCGTGTTCTTTGACCATGTCGATGGCAAGACTGCAGACACGTCGCCTCAGATCGGCACCGCGAGTGGCACTGACTGCTCCGGCATAATTGCTGCCCTCGGCTCCCATGTTCAGAGCGACGTGTGGCGCAAGGACAAGGGCATGCGGCCAGTCAAGGTTGGCGCCCCCGTCTTTGGCAACATCTTTGGCAACAAGCCCTTGCGACCTCGCAATGGCGTCTTTGCGGGCTACGTCGCTATGCCCAACCGCTTGATCTGGCACATGCCCGAGGTTATGACCTTCTCCACCGCTGCCATGCTCCGAGCTGCGCTCGCGTCCGTGAGATTCCCCCTCTTCAACTACAGTGCATGTATCTTGTGCCCCCTCTGTCGTACTGCAACTCGCCAGCCAAGCCCACCATCCTTGTCTGCTTCCGAGCCGCATGGACGGCAGCCGCGGCCCTGTCGGTCTTTAAAGCTGGTCGGCCCATCATCACAGCCGAGCAGGCGACTCATCTGGACTAGAAGGTCGCGATATTTACTTGTATCTTAGGAGAATACACATGAGCTAGACATTTGCCTCCACGTATCTGAAGAAGAACTTAGAAACGCAAAAATCTTCTCTTATTAACGAATGATGACTTACTTTGTTACAAGAACACCAACTATCAGCGCAAGGGATAAATAGGCTTACACTATGTCGTTGCCCGCCAAGCATTGAAGATCCTCGTCCTACCAACTTGACAGCTGCCCCTCCCACGTATTTCAGATTTTCGCCGTGCCCTCACGTGCTTCATATGTATTTTCTTGGCTGACCTGGCGTCCGGAGATCGGGACCGTACGCTAGGATTTGCACGACCTATGGAGACGAGATGGGGTCGTCAAGACGCTGAGTCCGCCATCAAGTGTGTCTGCACTCTGCACTTTGGATCTTCCTCTTGGTGTGAGAGGGCGTCCCGGACTGCCAACAAAGCCTTCGCATGGATGTATAGGTATGGGCATGACGCTATGAGGGCCAGTTAGCGAAAGGGTATCCAGTAACTGTTGGTTTAGGCTTGCTGCTCAACACCGCCTGATAGGCCCGCCAAGCGAGTTTTCCGCGGTCAAAAGGCACCAGACACATCTCAGCCCTGTGATGGCCCCCATTAAGTGTAGTCTGCTTCATCATATTTCGCCGACTCTTGGTGGAAGACGTGCCGCTCGGAGTTGACCAAACTATACGTGACGTTCCAGCAGCGCCTCTCCAGCGTCTATAGTGCAAAGGCGTAGGAAAAGGTTGCTTGCTGGTATCACGACGTCTTATAGAAGCGTTTTCACAAAAGATTCCCCTCACCTCCTCCTAACTTGTGGAGGAGGAGGCACGCGGACCCAGATCGGTACGTCGGAGCCCGCACCACCGACAAACCGCCCCCAACCTCACGAGTTGTAAGACGTGCACCGTACTCCTGTTGTCGAATCACGAGTGACGAGGCGCCTCAAAGTTGTTGGGCCGTGTTTGCCGAGCAGTACTTGAACAAGAACCTCTGCACAACAACGTCCCCTCACGCTCACGCTCACGCTCACCCATGCGCCCTCACAGGTCCATCTGCCTATTTGTATCAGCCATCGGATCACCTGCTGTCTCGGAGCCGTATCAATCAAAGAAAATGGCATTGCTCATTATCGTCTAGTCTATCAAAGAACACATGCACCCCCCTTCCCCCCCCCTCCCTAGTCCGCCCAGCGCTCTCACGAGCGGATGTTCCTCCCCAGCACATCGCAACAAACGCCCAGTGCGCGCTCCGCTGCGCGATGAATACTCTCATCAATCTCCCTCGACGGCGCGCCCCTGAGAAGCCCCGACATATTGGCCTCTGCACATGCAAAGAACAGCAGCTCTCGCTTGCTGTGCATGCCCCTTGACACACGCACCCGTCGCTCAAACACGGAGACGGTGTCCCGCACAATGTGGTGACACCGTTGCCAGCAGGCACCGTCTGTGGCGGGAAAGTTGTATTCTTCTAGCTCCTGCAGGAGGTCGAGACACATGCTGATGGCCGAGTCTCGCTGGACACGCCCGAGGTAGCCCTCGCCAAAGACGCGGAGGGCGACGCAGGCATCGGCCTTGCCCTCTGTGAGCGTGGAGAGGGGACGTGTCTCGGCCATCGTCTCGGCCGTCACCAGCGCGAGCGAAGGTGGATAGCCAAGCATGCGCGCGGCGACCTCTGTACGCACCTTGCGGCAGTAGTGCGCGGTGGCGTGGTCCGTGGCGGGTTGGCCGCCTTCGACAAGAGCCTGGACAAACTGCCGCGTGTAGGTTTGTAGAAGCTGGATCTGGAAATCGCTCGGTTTCGTGGGAAGACCGCGGAAAACGTCAATATTGGAACCGCAGGCGATGCTGAGACGCTTGGCAAGCTCGTGGATCTCTGCGTCCGACTTTGGCGCCCCGGGTGAGTTGACAAGATGTACGCAGTGCAGACGAAGACGCTGCGTCTTACACAAGAGAACGAGGATGGTCGAGGGCGTCAGGTCAGAGCCAGTCGTGACACCTGAGGCGAACTCGTCTTCGAGGTCTTCGTCGGGTATGTCCGATGGCGGCTGGCAATCGTAGCTCTCCGGCCCCAGAGGAGCCGGCAAACCCTCGTCGAGACTCCTCTGCAGCGACAGCTCGACCATGGTCGCCCACAGGCGTCGACGAACTTCAACCTCGCATCTCGACATGCCTGAGCCACGGACAAGCGGATCACGATGCAGACCCATCTGCATACCGACGCGGGCCAGACAGTAGTCACCGGGCTGGATAAGGATCCCAGACGATGACGCGTCCTCGGAATGGACGTGGCGCACCAGGCCCAACAGGCAGAGTATCTGGGCAATATGAAGATCCGTGCGCTGGGCGGTTGGCATCCGACGCGTGAGCCACTGCTTCCCGTACGAAATCCAGACGCCCGCTTGCTTCTCCAGGTACGCACGCTCCTCAGCTGGACCTGGTATGGTTGGCCCCAAGGCGCCGTTGAGTGTGAGGACGACAGTGGACCCCAGGGCCAGGATGACTGCGATCTTGCACGCTAGCGGATCGTCCGTCTCCAAGGATCTTGACGGGGATGGCTGGCGCCAGAATCGCTCGTACTCCTGCAAGAAGGTCGGCAGGTGCATGATGCGGAGGACTTGCTCATAATTCATAAAATAGGCCTTGATGAGAATGTCGCATGCCGCGCGAGGAGGGAGGATGTCCTTGGCGCACCCAACGGCGCTGCAGCTGCTGAAGCACGCACGGCTGCTCTTCTGGCTCCTCTCCAGCATCGTGAACTGGTTCACGAGGGGCCGCAAACGCTCCTGGTCGAGCCTCGGAGTCTTTGTGTTGTCACCAAATGCCACTGACAGGAATTTCAGTCGGTCGCATCGCTCAAAGATCTCCTCCCAGTCGCTCTGATCGTCGATGGAGTCATGGTCCAGCAGATGATACAGCTCGGGGGGCTCCAGCCCGCACGCCAGAGGGGAGCACGTCGAGGCGGATGACGCGCCGAACGAGGGGGACTGACGCGGCGGACTCGGGCTGGGAGGGGTGTGTGATGAGCTCCCTACGGAAGAGTTGGTGGTGGCATGCGTGAGAGCAGGTGACTGGATGGGCAGTTCTCCTGGGGACAGGCCGCCCATCATACTCATATCCGTCATGCGGAAGTAATTGGCCATGCCAGCCTCCAGATTATACGCGTCGCTTGGGGTGATACCGTCAAACATGCCCGCCTCAGACATGACCGGCGTTGTCGACGTCAGCTGCGCGTATGCCTCATGGGGCATCCCGTGCGGTGGCAAGCCCTCTGTTAGCGTGTGCGCGGCGGAGCGGCTCTCATAGAAGGGATTCGCAGCATACTCGCACGGTCGACCTGGTGGTTTGCTACACGCAACGCAAGGCGCGCGACCGTCACAGCGGATCTTGCGACGACGGCACTGGTTGCACGCGGTGGCGGGACGACGACGCTTCCACGCGGGGCCCAGGTCGTTGTTGTGTACCGAGGACATGGTCTTGAGACACGATTGGGTTGCTGGCGACGATGTCTGTGGGGGCCTCGATAGTCCTCTGGTGTCTAAGAGAGCGAAAGGACAATGTGCCTCATGGGTGAAGCCGATCGTTGAGGGGAGTTACGCTCTGTTGCCAGATCACGTTTGCTGCCAGACGGCGGGGGGGAAATCCAGAAAACGCACAGCAGCAAGCGCGCAGAGGAGTGACTGTCTTGGCTGGGCTGGGGTTTGCAGACTGTCCCGTGCGTTGGCAGCAGCGCCAGTCGGATGCTGCAATCTCACGATGGTTCTTGACGTCTGGTACTTATGCAGCATGGACAAGAGGGCGTGCGAAGAGAGAAGCGAGGGATGCGCAGGCCACAATTCTCTCTGCCTGACTTTAATGATTTGCAACGGCGTGTCCTACCCTGTTCCGCCCGGGGCGGCAAGGCGTCGTTCGTCAAGTCCTGAAGGATCAGCTCAACTGCCGCGGCTGGTGTTGTGTCAGGCGTCGGCACATTCCTCTCTTGTCGAGAACCTGCTGTGCCGTAGGAGCTGGCCGCTGGCCGCTGCAGCCAGACGCGTGCGAGCTAATTGGGCTGCGTAAACGGCAAAGGCACAAGGACGGGTCGTCTCTCGCAGTGGGCATGAACATGAGCATGAGCATTGAAGCAAAGGCGACGCAAAGACCAGGGCCCATGGATGAGTTTTATTAGGCCGGCTTTGGGAAGGATGAATGTTGTGTGGTGCACGCTGCCACGCATGCTGCGGCTGAGTGAATGAAAGGGTCGACCGTCGACCCTGGGCGGGCTTGGCTTCATCGACTGGCCGGTAGGACGCGCCTACGACGATGTGCTCCGTGAGTCGACGTTGCTGGAACCGCATCCACTGGCACATGTACAGACAGACGTGAGGACAGCATACGCGGTGGACAGTGCACACGGTACACGCGTAAGACGCAGGGAGGTCGGACCCTTCTCGAAACCCCGCTGATCGGATAAGCGAGCGAGCGAGCGACTGCGACCAGCGTTCGAACTTTGAGAGGTCTACGTAATATGCGCGCTACTCCAAGCTTCAGGTCCCAATCGGACGGGAGCTGGACACGGGAATGGTGGAAAAGACGATGGGGGGGGAAGGCGTGGAGAGGCACTGGCGTTGCTGCGTGCGCTACTGGAATATGAGTAAGGTGCGGACCTGCACGGCGCAGCAATTGAGGGCATCCAGACTCCAGAGTCTCGGCTAGCGCTCCTTTGACATGGGAAGGTGTCACCCTGGAGTCTGGCCCACAGCGCGGATGTGCGCCAGCGGTGGGAACTTGGCAGAGGCACGTAATAATGTGGACTGGAGGTTCAAAGGCGGCCGCGTCGCGCGACGACGAACATGGCATCTGGAGACCTCGATGATGGTTGGGCAGTAATTTCAAATGTGTTTGTAGATACAGTACGTACGCACATGTAATTACATGTAGATTGGTGGGTGCTCATCTTGCTACCATTCGCCAGAGACTGGAGGCCTGGCATGGCCTCTGCTATCGGTTCCTCCAGCTCCTGCTAACTATGACGGCTCGCTCCGCTTTAGCACCTTTGAATGCGCGCTTTTTGCGGCTTGGGGGCATGCCTCTAGCGGCTAGACGCTGCTTCCATGGCAGTATCTCATGCGCATCATTGTAAAGTGTACGGATAGGATAGGATAGACAGCACGGATCTCGACAGGGCCATTCGACGACCCATTTGACGGGGCGTTGCGGGCAGAGTGGAGCGGAGGTAAAATTACGGAGCGTGATCCACGATTCCTCCCACACAAAGCCCCGATTTATGGATGAGGAACACACGAGGCACCTGATTTGGCACATTCGGCGGGTTTATTCAACGTGGATGAAGGGCGGCATCCGAACCGGCATCCGGCCCGGTCTAGCGCAGCGAAAAGATCACACTAGTCAGGTTTGCCTTTTGTCCGGAATGAGTCCATCGTTCTTCTCATTGCCTGTTATTATTAGTCAATTACCAACCTGCCTACGGTACTTGTATCAGCACACGAGCAGGCCAGAACCATGCAAGTGCAGCGCTTGAGATAAAATAGGCTGATCCATCAACGCGCTGCGCCGATCCGTTGACACGCTACTCGCGTCGTGTCTTCCTCCTTCTTCCAGAAATACAACACTGGGCCACATAGGTTCGACGTTTATTGTTTGGGGATGTACGACGAAGCACGGGGCTGGCGGTAGTTCCCATTGTTGGCTGCCTGATAGTCGGATGTTAAGGTATGGTTGCAGTAGTGCCGTTGGATTGCGCTAGACAGACGTGGTCTATCTGGCCATCGCGGGCCGAGGAAGAACGCAGGTCCATAGAACTCCATGTCTTCTTGATCGACGTGACGTCTCCATCCATCAGCCATCGTCATCTACATAACCAACTACCGATTTCCATGAGCAGAGCTACGGCTAGCCGGCATCGCGCGAGCGTGTGCGGATGCATAGACGCGACGCAATCTACACACGTGGACGCAGCAAACTTGACCACATATAATTACGTATATCCACGCAGCTATTGACCATCTTCCGAACTTGGGTCAGGCGGTCCGACATGTCGTCGTGCTCGTAGCCAACCAGCGTTCCACCTCCACCATGGCGATGCGGCCGCCCGGGCACGACACCATCCATGGCCTCGTCTTCGATGGTCAGACAGTGGTAGTCCATCTTCTCTACGCGCATCTGCGAGTCGTCCAAGGCCAGTTCCTCGTGCTGGTACGTCTCTGTGGTTGACGACATGATATATGTTTGCATGGCTGTTTACTGGGCTGCGCTGCTCATCCATAAACTCTTCCTGCTTGGTTGAGGCGACGATAAGGGATGCCCAGCCATGGGCCTAGCTGCTAGGTTGTACACGTGAGCACCTTGGAATTTGTACAGACCGTCTTTGAGGTCCACGTCGTCCTCGCAATCCAAAATCAGCCGACAGTCACTTGTCGACTCGGTAACTTCCGACAGGCCGGTGGGATTGGGGGGCCAACCCATGCTGCGACTTGCGCATCCCACTAGTCACCATGCATGCCAATTGCCAGACGCTAGCTGATTGATGGGCGACTACCATCACTCATGCCGGTGGCGTCTCGCGGCCGGTATAGGGCCAAGTGTGAATATGACTTTTGGGTGCGACTGTTCCAGTGCGTGGTGCCTCTACCATCTGGTCGATATTTCACCCCAATCACGTCTTGACCATTAGGCCTTGCTGAAGAGATACTCACCAACTGTAGCTGAGATAGGAATCATTGAGGGTATGCTGCTGCTGATACCCGGCAATGCTTCCCATTGTTGAACTCAGACGATGGGTGAGGATCACTGATCTACGTTGAGCGCAACATACCAGTGCTCAAATGAAATTGGCATGAACTGGACTGGCGTCCGAGTCCAGTCCGACCTAGGTGATCCCGGAACCTCTTGGGACAGGATAGGACAGCACTGGACGGGACCTTTGACCCCCTGATGAATCCGTATTGCTACCCCTCAATCGGCCATATGCCCAAACTGCACACCCCGGCCCCTGGTTCCCCCCAACCGCTACAGCCCCATAGTGGCCTGGACTCCCTGAAGGGCACGTTTCAGTGATGAGGCTGATGCTTCCCAGCCCACTTTGGCTGCTGTATCCACCGTCCAGCCCGCCGCCGGGTAACAGGGGTTAGTGCCCATGAGACTTGGCTTTCTAGGCAGTCACATGTACTATGATGTGGCCCACCGGAGAATCCTCCTGCAGCCGCCTGCAAGTCAAAATCGTAGCAATGATTCCCATCCTTAAAAACACCCCATTCTTCATGCGATTCGGGAAATCCATCTTGGCTGCACGTGTGCCTGACACCACAATGGATAAGGCCTCCTGCACATGCAAGCCCAGCGCGAATTATGTGAGAAACGCCACTCTTGCGACGAGCTATACGTACGTCCAGCTACTTTGGTGTATTAGAACCCCATTCGGTCGTTTCGAGCATGCGCGCGCATGGCGCCTAGACTGAACGACCTTCAGGTAAATGGCGTCCCAACGCCAACATACTTGTGACTGGGGCGTCTACCTTGTGGTATGGCCGTGGGTACATCTCAAGTTCTAATTGCTTCGAGTAGAATCGACCATCACACACATGGCCTCCACTGTAGTGCTCGCCTCCGAGCACATGGTCTCGTGATTGCCCCAGCCACCATCACTGCCATCATCCTCATCGACCGCGGATTTTTCATAAACCCCTCCCCCGACGAGATTGTCGAAAAGGGCGTTTCCACCTCGCACGTCTTCCAATGAAACCCTTTCTTCGGGTTTGGAATGGTGTACAGCTAGCTCCGCGCGCTTAAAAATGACTAGTACCTGAGCTGACTGCCGCGTCAGCACAGGAGCAGGCCAAATACGTCTAGTATTAACTTCTTTGGCATCAGGCAGATCTACACAATTGAGAGCCGAGAGCTTCAAGTTTGTCCAGGCAACCAACTTCAATAAATATAGCTTGGAGACGATGAGTCACAAGACCAAAGGTGCCATGCCCTTTGCGGACAACCGCATCAGCACCACCCACGGATGGCACGAACTAGAAGTACGCACACTACGTGGTCAAGCTCTTCTTCTACCGCGAGGCCTACCCCAGCATCGATCGTGTCAAGTCCTAGGTCGAGCCATTCATGAAAGTGCTGCTTCAGGAAGACGGCGTGACGTTTCAGGCGCAGTCCTTAACCCAGCGGTGGTTCCTCATCCTACCTAGCGAGCTCATATTTGACCCGGAACATGGACTTCATGGGCGAGCCTTCCAAGACTGAAACCATCTGTACTGTACTGACCGTCCTCGAGGGCGGCTGTCTCCGCATCCAATCCTACTGCCTCCTGTAGGCCTTCAACTGGGGCTGGTGGTTGGACGCGGTATTCAAGGTCCACGACTTTGTTTACCCTCAATTTCAAGTTCATCTTTGTTGAGATAAAGATCCGCGAGCAGACCCTCGCCGAGGGCGAGAAGATTGAACCAGAGAGAACAGATCTGCTGTGGTACATGGTCTCCAATTGCCCGGACGAAGGGGAGTTGCACGCAGAGCTGTGTCTGGTGTACACCCCAAGAAACGACATCACGTCCATCTCCATCAGTAATTACTCCCCCGGGTACATGATGTACCGTCTCGCGTAGGAGTTGTTCCGTCTGGAGCCCAATGACGACCCTCCGTACACAGGGGTTCATGAGGATCGGTCCCTCGAACAAGACTGGCACCATTGAAGACAGCCCTGTACAGGTAGTGAAATGGCAGGTTCACATTTGCTTAACCGAATGCTTCTAATTTAACTTTCTTATGTCCTCTTACATTCGCCGGCTACTAACGGGCGTCTAATGAGAGCTGGTTACAAGTAGCCATCACTCATAATTTGATTTCGAGGTCGCGCCGGGTCTCGCGCAGCTTCTGACTTCCAAATGGGGTAACTCGGAGGTGGGCCTCACTTGTACCGGGGCCGCTCCGGGTAGGTCATTCGGCAAATGATCTGCCAATCCGCGACTTTTCGGTTCCAGTCGCCTAAAGAACGATCCGCATTCCTAGCGCAAGTAGCCGGTACGAACTACTGTGAGATTATGAGGTTATGAGAACTTCGGTTGAGTAAATGCATGTCGCCTAAAAATTTGGAGCCAGCGGATTTTGTCAGTTTCTCAAGCGAGGCAGCTGTTGATGCCAGAGCTCAATTTGTTGCTCGTAGCTGGTTGTGCAGGCCGCTGAGATTGATGCGAAATTGAAGGCATTGGTCTTTTGAATACGGCCCTGGATTGGTTTTGACTCCACGACGATCCTCGAAACTTCCCTGATCACACAGAAAGCTTGAATCATGATTTAAAGAATACCTGGTGACGCAACTACCTGTTTGGGTGGCTGTATACCAATACGACCACCCCTGGTCGAATATAACTGCTCCTCCGGGTAGGCAATTCGCAGTATGTTGCCGACGAAGGCAACGACCTCTGAGTCAGAAACTGCCCACTATGATGCACAGCCATTCTAAGGCGATACATGGCTACGAAGGATGATTTTGAACTCGCGTAAGTTAGCTCTGATGATGCGGCAGGGCGATTCTCGCCGTCACAAAGTCTACTAGGCTTGGAGAAACGAGGCGGAGATTGCTTGGGAGTGTTTGGCTACCACTCAGGGCTGACAGCAATCGGCACAGAAATGCATAGCCAGGATGACGTGACAGCCTAGCAGTCCCTGCATTAGCCTTGGAGGATTCGTGAACCAACAGGGTTGCAATCTCAAGGTGATGCTGCCGCATGTGTCAAAGCTGGATCCAATTATCAGCTGGCGATCTCCCGCACGGACACGGTCCAGCGTCGCATCTCGAACGTAATAGTTCAGCTTGGCTGCAACCTTGTGAGCAGCAGCAGAAGACCCCCACGAGGACCACGATGCAGCCCCGACATTGGCAGTGCAGATACTGAACATACATTTTTGTGCTTCTTGGTGAGCACACGCCTTGGTGCTGCACCGCGTGACGTCCCGAGTGGTTGAGCATCTAGTTGAGGCGGATGCTGTAATCTAATGAACCGACAAGAAATCATGCCGAAGGTGAAAAACTCCCAAGGCAGTTTGGTAATGGGCTAGAATTGATGAAACATATTACTTGAACAGTCGTGGGAATCATGCGAAAGAACACTCAGGGACCCTCGTCAGGACATGAGCCATGGACCTTGAATACTACGGAGTTCATTCTAATCCTTTGTCATGTTTGATACATGATCTAGGTACCAAGCCTGCACTGTCAGCACATAAGTCTCCACTGTTCAAAGACAAGACTGTCGTTATCCATGTTGACGTTTGATGCGGCGACTCCCACCTATTTGATAACCAAAGACGAGTTAAACGTTTCGAAATACCAAGTAGCTTCTTTATCGTCGACCTGTGGTTGGGGTTCATGTCAGCGGCGTCTGTGGCGACCATCCCCTCAACCTCCTCATGTCGTCTGCAGTCAATTATGACAGCCACAGGGACCCCTTCAGACGTTACATCGCTCGCAAGGCGAAGTCACCAAATTAGGTTCTCGTCGTATCCTACACTGCTGCCTTGTACCCCTTGCATACCGAAGGTCCGAGGAAACATGCAGGGCACCTCAAAGGGGCCTCCACTCCGGCGCACATAATCCAGACCAGCCGCAGATATGGTTTCAAGTTGCTCGAATCGCGCAAAACATTCGGATTCTTCCCCCGGAGGCGCTGAGCTGAGCACTATCCCAACGCAGAAGGACGGTGACACCACTTCTCGAATATTTCTGACCGCAAGATTGGCGCGTTGCATTGCGTTTCCCCCACATCTGTCGTTGCGCTGATTGGTACTTTCACAGAGAAGATCATATATCAAGTAGCCGCGAGAAGCATGTATCTTGACGCCCTTGAAGGTGCTTTGCTCAGCCTAACCTTTGGCGCGCGTGGAATTCCTCACAATGCTCTCAATATCCTCCCGGGACAGCTGCCGAGGCACCCCGAATACCAGCTTGGAGGCGACAGCCGGGATCATTCCTGAAGCCATATCCGGTCTTACGGCACTGGAAGCCATCTTCTTCACGAATAGGTCATGCTTGTCTGCGCCAATTGGGCCCTGCCGCCGTGGGTGGTTAGGCTGCGCGATGGCTGGTGTGCCGTGGCTTTGGCACGCCAGCCCGCTTTGACCAGGCGCTGACGATCCCCTCATCCGTGAGGGGAGATTCCATGCCCGATTCAAACGAGTCGCCCAGGTAGGGGGAGTCTACTTGCACATTGACCGTGAGCCGTAATGGTCATACCCGAGACCAGTGGTGGTAGACGTTGATAAGATGCGCGTGTGGCAGCATGCGCTTGCACGGAATATTCGCGGACATGGAGCGCTTCACAAGTCGATTAGGACTCTCGAGAAAATTTCAGAGCCTCAGAGGTCCGTTGCCGGACAGCTCGGGGTGGTTGGTGGATGTATCGGAGGACATTGTAGCCGAAGACCGATGTATCGTCGTCCTGTACCAGGCACACCATGGGCGGCGGCGATTGGCTGTCCTTTCTCGACAGACAACCATTATGAACTTTCTCGCAGACGACGGCACCACCGTAAAGATGATTGAGGGATCGACTAATCCGTGGCTGCAGCTCGGAAAGGGGCGTTCGTGGAGTTTCGCTAAGCAGCTGCTTCGTGACGCGGGCCTTGGTGTCGTGTTAGAAGACCGGAAAATGGGAACAAAGAAACAGTCGGAATCAGCAGTACGAGATCGAGATTGCTCATGTAATTTTCGATGGTGACGGCCTTGAAGGAAGCATCGATCGGAGATCCAGTGTAATATAATCGCTGCTGTCAAAGAACCTGGAGCGTTGGAGCCTCTTATTGTCGACCAGAGCCTATATGGAGCGACATGTCATTTTCTGGGCGCGGGAAAAGGCTGCGCGCAATCCAGGCTAGCCTGCTGCGTAACGATGCAGGTGGTTTGGGCTGGGATGAGACGTGCATGGCTAGGATAACCGGAAGACCATGGTTGTTCGGGCTTGCACTGGCGGGATTCCGACGAGCACGGTACCTATTCAGTCCTGGCTGTGGCTTTTGGCCGCCGCCTGACTTGCAGCGGTCAACCTGATGTAGGCTAGTGACAGGGAAGAGCCAGGACTTAGGACAGAACCCTGGCTGGTGGTGGAGTCGCACCGAACGGACGCCGGGGATTTCCGTGACGTGCCGAGTTCTCCGTGGATGGGGATGGATCTAGTGGACACCTTACATGCATGCTCATCAGAAATAAGCTCGAATTCTCCGCCTCCAAGATCACAGCCACCAATGGATCGCGCGGCCGAACCGAACACCCCTGCTACCGGTGAATCCATCGACCGTCGTTGCCTGACCTGGCACATGGCGGACCGGGATTCCTGGACATGTCTAACCCCAGAGCCTGTTCGGATCTCGTCGACGTGAACCTGGCAGTGCCAATACATTGCTGACCACGACTGGCTGCCGTTGTCAACAACAGCCTACGTCAGTGTGCATCTCGTTGGATTCTCTGGCGTTTCGGAAGCCATAGGATGTGTCACTGCGACAGTGTGCATGATGATTGGCGGCGACCATTCCCATGCTAGCGACGGCTTGCTGGACAAGCGCTTCCCTGCAACGAGTTCCCGTGATTATTCCCACTGCGTCCTCCCGACTGCACCACCTAGCTTTCCCGTACAGAAGCGAAACTAGAGATGGGAGATCTCTGATCAGCGGCACGCCAGAACCGAGACGAGATCAGTCTGCAAGCCAAAGATTGTGTCTTGCACGCCAAGGTGTGGCCTTGCCCGGAATCTAGAGTCGTAATTCTATCATCTGGGGCCGTCCGATGCTAGCACGGTGCTGCCGTATCTAATGGAGAATCCTTCCGCCGAATATTCGCTGTGCAGTCCGCTGCATGCATGTGGAGTGGTCTGCATGGAAGTATCTTGAATAACATGGAGCCCTGCAAGTCCACCGAGACACGCTGCACTGAGACGTGTAGGCCATTAGCGTCAAAATAATCTTAGCCGTGGGGTACAATGGCTTACACTCTGTATCCTGAAGCTTTTATACAAACATAAACGCTTTCTTCTCTACAGACGTTCCTGAGTAGTCCAACATCACTCATCCTCTTCACACATACCCTTGGCAACATGACGAGCTTATCCGACGACAAGCCTTTGCGGTACGCCTGTGACCGTTGTCACTCCCAGAAGCTGAGGTGCCCACGCTCTATAGAGCCTGAGAAGGGAAGCCCCGAAGAGCCTTGCTCAAGGTGTCGTAAAGCTGGCGTACCTTGTGTTGTCAGCCTCCGGGGCAAGGTCGGCAGACCGTCCAAGGCCACGAAGCGAAAGCAGCACTCTAACTCAGTGAGCCGGACCCCAGAGCCGGACCTTGCCCGAATTCCAAGCACATCTGGGATTGTGGGTATGAGTGACTCGGGGTCGGCTGCTACACCAACAAGAATGGACGACGATATCATGAGCAACGCAAGCAGTCGACCGTGTAATGACCCAAGAGTCTTTCCAGATCTCATGGGCTCTTCGCTGGCCAATGTGAGCCCATCTGGTGCTCGTACGCTGTGTTCCCTTGCTGACCACAACAGCTACCTTACGAGCCATTCATCATGGACTTCGACACGGAGATGGATCTGTCTCCCTTTGGCATGCCACACATGAGTGGTATACCGCCCCCAGCTAGCGGAAGCCTGCCCGGATTCGAGGCAGAGACGAAGACGATTGATACAGCCATTCTACAAGATCTTATTGAGGGGAACTCGCCAATGGATATGCCAACACCGTCGGGTCTGTTTTCACACAGTGATCTCAGCTCTATGCAAGCTCCATCCCTGGCGCCGGACAGCCTCATGTCGTCAACCATTCCCACGACCGCCAAAAACTCCCCCTCAGAAGAGATACCCCTCATAGACTTCTCCAGCACGGCTTGCTATCAATCACTTTCCAACCTCAACCTTCGCATCCTCGCCTCCACTGCCAAGACTGGTCCCACCGCCAACAACAGTGCAGTCATACTGAAAGATGTTGTCGGCTTCTCTGGCGAGCTGATTGAAACGGCGAGACAAAGCATGCCCTACTTTATTGGCTCATTGCATCAGAATCGTGGGTCAATTGGCCAGAGGACCAACTCAAGCAGCTCTGGCAGCGAAGATGGGTTCTCATCAACGGACTCATACATCAGCGGCGCACAGGCAGGCTCTGTTCCTGAGTCGGCCGTCATCTTTCTGCTCTTGGGATGTTACACGCAGATCCTCCACTTGTTCGAGGTGACCACCAACTGCCTCTGGGAGCAGCACTGCGAGAATGCACATCCAGATCATCCCAAAGAGGACAACTCGGGTACAGTTGGCTCCCTGCTAGAAGCGTCGCTGGCAATACACACTGTGACGTACCTCCTCAGCCGGCTACATCGAGCCTTGGCCGTGGGCGAGGGGCCACTGGAGGACGAGGCTTCCTCCATCGATCCTCATTCGTGGAAGAAGTCATTCGTGGGAGGGAAGGAGTTGGAGGACGGCTTACTAGGACGGGCGTTTGGCGAGATTCGGCACAGGGAACTCTGGCTGATGCAAAGGACTCAACATCTGCAGCGGCGTATCAATACGTGTCGCATATAGATTGATGGCACAATAGACGATGTATAGGTCACGCAATCTCCACACGAAGGAAATTCCCAGACTTAACCGATACTGACGCGTGAAACCAACTCATCATCAGGTGAATAAGTGATTCAAAGTGAGCTTCAATACCCGTGGAGTATTTGCGTTGGTACCTTGAATCGGACATCATGTCAATCTATCCAATCTACACAAAGAAGCTACATTTAATTCTAATAACAGCTGGTGTCAAGCATGTTGAAAAAATATCGGAAGTCGTTTCGCGTCAAAATCATGTTGCGCACCCTTTCCATGCCATCCTCCCTTGGCTTTTTCACTTGACTCGCCTGCTCCCTATCACCCCCTCCATCATTGCCCCAAGTCATGCCTCTGAGATGCCTTCGATAACTTTGGCCAGCAAGATCATCTCATTTACTGAACATTGTCCTTGACAGAGTACTCGGCGATGAACCCAGTCAGAAGACTCAGAATCGCAAAAGCGTACGCATACCCGGACTTGCCAGCCCAACTTGGCAGCAGCTGCCAGTGCGTGAGAGCAATCATGCTCACCAGGCCGAAAGTCAGACCGCCCACAGAGAAAATATAGTACCAATGCCCCATCCCGACCATCCCACCCAAAGTGGTCAGCAGGCCGGCAATCGAGATGGTGATCACAGCAAAAAGACCCTCGAGATGGTTCCTGAAGCGGACGGCCATACCCTTCACCCCAGATTTGAGGTCGTCCGCGGTATCCTGTCGCGCATACACCACATCGTAGAAGACGACGAGGAGCATGATAGTAGCCGATAGGCACAATGTAGGAATCATGTAGTGGCTGTTCAGGGCAGGAAGGCCAATGGAATAGGCAGACAGCGCAATGGTCGACGCTAGCGTGGAGCCCAGGATGACCTGGGCAAAGTTGGTGAAGCGCTTGCCGAAGGGGTAAATGGTGGACAGGACTGTGGTGCCAATGCCCACGTAGGTGCACTCGATTGGGAGCGTGGCAATGGAAGCAAAGCCAGCCAGAACAAGCACGAGCGTGAAAATGTGACCCTGGGTGGTTGACACAGCGCCACGCGCTATGGGACGGACCCTGCAGCGCGCCGTCTTGCGGTCAAACTCCTGGTCAACATTGTCGTTCCACGCACAGCCTGCACCACGCATGAAGAATGTCCAGATGGCAAAGATGCCAGCACGGTGTGCCAGGACCGATACAGGTGTTGGGCGGATCGCTGTGGCGTACATCAACCCGATGATGTGCGGAAAGTAGATCATATAGTTGCCATGCGGCTGCTCCAGACGGATCAACTCAGCGTAGGGCACCCATGATGCCGGAAGTTTGGACAAGATGCCCTTGGTAGGCACCTGGTATCCAGAGGTGCCATTTATGTTCTCCACCAGGGCTGTCTTCTCCGACACTGGTTTCTTGCCGGATTTGGATTTTGGTGACATCCTGAGAGTAGGCTCCTCGGTCTGGAAGAGAAGATGGGTATTGGACATTAGGATTGTTGGTGCTGGTCTAGCAGAAGAACACAGAATGAAGCTTTGAGTGTCGGAATAAATTGCGAGAGGCTTGAGAATCATGTAGTTCCCAGGGTATTGTGGTTTTCTACGTTATGCGCGGTGCCGGTAAACGCACCGAGGCTTCGTGCCCAATCCGCCGATGGCCTAAAATAATTGACCATGCTGACAGAGATGATTGGGTAAGAGGGCGAAATGTTTGTGGTATTTTCCTTGAGATCGAGACTGTTGTCTTTCCTCCGCAAAGTTACTAATAAAAGCGCGGATGTTCCGACTGTGGCATAAATTCGCCGATGCGGCATGAAGCAGCGAGCTATATACACCATGATTGAGACGCTTTCGGGGTTTCTGGGCTGCCTCTGGAATGAATTGACCCATTTCGACAACAAATACAATTTTAATTATGGTCATTAACTCGCATGGCCCTGAAGGCCCTCTCGTCGACAACACCAACGATGTCGGCGAGGCCTTCAAAACGTCCCCATCGACAACCTTGAAGCCATTCATCAAACCCGCAGTGAACTTTGCGTCAGCAGAAAGGCTTCAAGGTAGCATTCACTCACTCCCTGAGCTAGTTGACTTCAATGCCATCAACAATGCCACCCACACGTTCTGCGTTCAAGCACAGTCGCAAGAGCCCTTTGACACAATCACCCACGGCGAATTCAAGGTGGCTGTCGCCAAGTGCGCAGCTTGGTTGAAGGAGAACCTGCCCATCAAAAAGGCTGAGGGCAGTGGTGTTCTGACAGATATGGCCCCCGTGGCTCTCTTTATGGAGAGTGATATAGGTCTTGTGATCCATGAGTTTGCACTCATGAGCATCGGCGTGCCTCCCCTTGTTTTGTCTCCCCGCTTGCCACCAGTCGCCATCAACGCTCTCCTCGAGGGAACAGCAGCGTCGTCCTTCATCGTGTCGCAGCGATTGAGTGAGCCCGCCAAGCCTGCATTGGCCGCATTGGCTGCCAAAGGCGTTTCTACACACATTGGCAACCCGTACAAGGCCTACTATCAGCAAGGCGCTGACCCAAGCACCAACGCACCTTTTGACCTTCCGGAGAACCCCGACAGCATCATTCTCCTGCTACACTCGTCTGGTACCACTGGGTTGCCCAAGCCGATTCCCATCACGCACCGTCAGCTTCTGTTTGCGGTCAACTGCCACAAGTTCGACACCGAAGAAGAGGCCCAGAGTCTCAACTTGTCTACTCTGCCCCTTTTTCACGGTTTTGGCTTGGTTGCCCCTGGACTGTCCATGTCCGCTGGCAAGCCAACGCTTTATCCCGCCAACGACGGCATTCCTAACGCTCGCTCCATTGTCGACCTGATCAAGAAGAGCAACGCCAAGTCGATGATGACTGTGCCATTCCTTCTCGATGATATCACAAACCTGCCCGAGGATGAGGGCGTCAAGGCACTTCAGCACATGGACTTTGTCGGCACAGGCGGTGCTGCACTTGGTGCTGGAATAGGCGACCGTCTCGCCGCAGGAGGTGTCAAGTTGCTTAACTTCTACGGCACGACAGAGACGGGCCCTTTATCACTCACCTTTGCTCCCAAAGACGACTATGACTGGAAGTACTTCCGCCTCCGCACAGACTGCGAGTACAAGGTCGACGAGCTCGCACCCAAAGAAGACGAGCGCCGCTTCCGCTTGACTGTCTATCCCTATGGCGGAACGGAGGGATTTGAGATCTCCGATCAATTGATCCGCAACGAGAGATACCCAGAGACCGATTTTGCCGCCGTTGGCCGTGACGATGATGTCATTGTCCTGGCCACTGGGGAGAAGGCCAACCCTCTGATCTTGGAGACTTCCCTCACCGAGACACCGGGCATCAAGGCTGCTATTGCCTTTGGCGAGAACCAGTTCAACCTAGGTGTCATCGTCGAGCCTGTGGAGCCTGTGATTCCCGAGAGCGAGGCTGCATTCAAGGATAAGATCTGGCCTATTATCACTGCAGCTGGCGAGAAAATGGACGCCTACTCTCGGATTCCTTCGCCAGAGGCCATTGTTATTGTTCCCGCCGGTGTGACCGTGCCTCGTACAGACAAGGGCTCGATCGCCCGCAAGGAGACCTATGCCCTCTTTGACCGTGAGATCAAAGCAGTGTACGAAAGGCTTCTCCAAGCTGCGTCGGAAGCTACAGAGCCTCTCGACCTCGACAACCTTGAGCCCCATCTCAAGAATTTGGTCCACACCAACTTGCGTCTGCAGGCTCCTCCATCAGAATGGAGCGTCGAGGATAGCATCTTCGACGTGGGTGCCGACTCTTTGCAGGCACTTCAACTGAGGCGAGTTTTGGTTGCGGCAGCTTCCAAGACTGACGCATTCAAGGATGTTGATGTTGCCAAGCTGATTCCTGCTGAGTTCATCTATCTGAATCCCTCAGTTCGTGAGATGGCCACAGCTCTTACCAAGGGGTCTTCGTCTGGCGAGTCTTCGTTGGAAGAGGCTGCCAAGGGCATTGAGGAGTTCGTCGAAAAATACACACTCACCATCCCGGCTTCTGAGATCAAGGCACCAAGTTCATCTGAAAATGCCTTTGTCCTCGTCAGTGGCAGCTCTGGAAGTCTCGGGTCGCACATCGTCGCGGACCTTGCCCGACGCCCCAATGTCCAGAAGATCGTCTGCCTCATCCGCAAGGACAAGGGCACCAATGCTCCTCCCATGCCTGGAGGCAATCCCATTGACAAGAAGGTTCTCAAATCTCGCAACATCACCCTGAGCGACGCCGAGTGGGCCAAGATTGCCACGCTCGAGGTTGACCCTACGGCGGAGAAGCTGGGGCTTATCCCAATGGCGTATGGTATGATGCAGATGAAGGTTACTCATGTGATCCACGCTGCCTGGCCCATGAACTACTTGCTCAAGACCAGTTCGTTCCAGTACCAGTTCAAGTTCTTGAAGAATCTCCTCGAGTTCGCCGTTCAAGGGGCTGGAACTACCAAGAAGCGCTTCACATTCTTGTCTTCCATTGCCGCTGTTGCCCGCATTGGTCTTGGAACCCCTGGTAACCCGCTTCCAGAGCAGCCCGTTGCGCCTTCAGACGGTGCGTGCGGCATTGGGTACGCTGACGGCAAGCTTGTTTGCGAGAAGATCCTGGAGCGCGCAGCAGAGACATACGCCGGGCAACTCGACATTACGTCTGTTCGCTGTGGCCAGATGACTGGTGCCAAGAACACGGGTGTATGGAATGCCAATGAACAGATCCCGATGCTTCTGCGTTCGGCGCAGACCATGGGGTCACTGCCTCAACTTCAAGGAGTAAGTCTATAGAGTCCCTAACATGGAAGCCGAGACTAACAACCCAGACCCTCTCATGGATCCCCGTAGATGATGCTGCCGCCACCGTCAGCGAGATGACACTCGCCAACGGCTCTTTGCCTATTGTGCAGCATCTTGAGAATCCTGTCCGCCAATCGTGGGAAGATATGGTGCAGGCTTTCGCCAAAGAGCTCAACCTTTCCGCTCCTGTAGTCCCATTCGATCAGTGGTTGGACCAGGTGGCCTCTGCCGAGTATAGCGATGAGGATCTGCCAGTGAAGAAGCTCAAGGCCTTCTTCGGCAATTTCTTCAAGACAGTGGCGTGCGGCCACGTAGTGTTGGACACGACAGTGGCCAAGACGCAGTCGCCAACACTAAGCAACATGGGGGCCGTGAGTGATCTACTGGTCAAGGCATATATAGATTACTGGAAGAGCACGGGGTACCTAAGGAAGTGAGTGTGGAGTATGGGGAGTATGTATTAAAGTTGAATGCTTGGTTCACTGTTTATCTGCATACCATTAAGAACCGGCTGTCACTTTCTTACACACTATGCGGGCCACGGAAAGCAAGTCTAGTGCCGAAATGTCTTGGTTTTTGATGGACTCGTACTCACAGAATACGAAATTTTGTGTCTCGGCTCGTGGCGAGAACGACCACGCATGAACCAGTAGCCATGCTCGGGGTCCCCGCTGGCAAGAGTAACTTTCTTCTTGTGTGAAGCCATTCGATGACATTGATGCAAGGGAAAGCAAAGTTGGAAGCCTTTTTCTATCTTTAAAGATATGAATGGGATCTTGTGGGCATCAAAGAGCGTGACCTGACGTATATTGCCTCGACCATTGACAAAATACGGGCATGAGCAGTTCATGGTAGTCTCACTTAGTTCAATGTTGAGATGAGAGGCAAAAGGAGGTTCTTTCAAGACGTCCAAACAGCGGGACTCGGCTAATTCTCTTGGCCCAAGTACAAGGGTCTCGCCAACAGGCGTACTTCGACCACAACAGCGACCATTACCACGATGAACAGGACAAGACAAAATCATTGGCTAACAGAAGATGGCGGAGACCCTTTTATGTCATTCTGAAACTCTCTTCCGGCTACTAAGCTGTGCCAGAACTACGTCTTCATGCGTCTATAAGGACCGACCCCTTTTGAATTGTCGGTCAAATCCTCCGACTCGAGTGCTTCGGTGCAATATCAGGGGACCCCTCCCACCGAACGCAGAGTCGTCACGAACAATAGATCCCTAGAACTATCTCTTCGGAAGCCATTCACACTACCTTTCTCCGTTGACATTCTTCCCATCTTCTCTTTCACCTGCCTCATGCCCCAGTTCTAGTGTAACTACTGCTTACCCTGCACTGGGCACTCCAACATGCGTTTGAAAGACGCAAAGATGGCGGTCTCGGCTGCTGTCTTTTCTCCACAGAGTAGTCCGCCAAAGACTACTCATCTCTCTCATGTGCGGAGCAGACTGCTCAATAGTCCGCGGCTGGCTCCCCTGAAAGAGGCCATCATCAGCCTCCCACAGGCACTTCAAGCACTCACGAATAAATACGCCGACCTGTCTTCACTAAAGGATGCCACAACAAGCGTCAACAGCTTTGCGCAATGGATCACAAACGGCGACTCCTCAATGCTGGAGCGAAATATGTCCGGCCTCGTCACACTCCCCTTGCTCACGACTATCCATATTGTGCAGTATCTGGACTACTTGGAAAGAATGAACCAACGGCACGAAGATTTTCTGTCAGACGTTGAAGACGGGGGCATTCAAGGGTACTGCATTGGTCTCTTGTCAGCCATCGTGGTCGCATGCTCACGAAACGAGGATGAGCTGATCGAACATGCCGTCAGCGGCATCCAGCTGGCACTCGGCATCGGAGCGTTTGGGGACCTCGGGGCGCCCGCAGAAGGTGATTCAAACACCATGCAAATTCGACTGAAGAACCAGAGCGATACAGAGTCAATTTTGAAGGAATTTCCAGGGGTAAGTTTAGAAGCTAACTCAACTACCGACGTTTTGTGCATCCACTAACAGTATAGGCCTACGTTTCTACCATCACAGACGCCAAAACACTCAGTCTCATCGTCCCGCCTGAGCAAATCATACAGTTCAAGTCATATGCCGCTTCCGAAGGGCTTCGGGCGCGCCAGATGCACATTCGGTCCAACCTCCACAACAAGGGCAACCGCGCGCTGGCCGAGACTTGCACAGAGATCCTGAGCGACATTCCTTTCCCGACATCGGAGCGCCTCCAGGTGCTTGTCCGCTCGAATAAAACAGGAGAGACGCTGCCTGATGATGCCGATTCGATGATTGAAGAAGCAGTGACCACAATCCTTGCATCTCAGTGCAACTGGTCCCTCGTCGTTAGCAATCTGGCCGAAGATCTCAAAGAGACGGGCAAGAAAACGCACGGAATTGCCTTGTTCGGCATCGGTGACTCAGTGCCCATTTCAACGTTCAAAAAGCTTGGACTGGAGCTGTACAAGACGGATGTGCTTGCTTTCACAGACACACCGCCCACACCATTCGTGCCTCCTAGCTCAGCAGACGCCTTTCCACCAGATGCCATTGCCATTGTCGGTGCAGCCTGTCGGCTGCCCGGCGCCAGCTCTCTGGACGAGCTTTGGAACATCATCTCCCAAGGGCAGTCGAGGCTCGAGAAGCTCCGCACTGACCGTGTGAATCTCAAGGAATCTTATCGTGCCTCGCAAGACAAAGACTGGGTGGCGAAGCGAGAGTTCTTTGGCAACTTCATTGACGACGTCGATGCGTTCGACCACTCTTTCTTTGGCATCAGCCCTCGAGAGGCCAAGTACATGGATCCCCAGCAAAGACTTTTGCTAGAGACGGCTTTTGAGGCTATGGACTCGAGTGGCTACCTGCGGCATCACAAGCGTGAACGTGGCGATGCAGTAGGTTGCTTCTTGGGCGCCAGTTACACCGAATACCTCGAGAACACCAGTGCCTACTCTCCGTCCGCATTCACGGCGACCAGCACGATCCGAGCTTTCCTGTCTGGTAAGATCAGCTATCATTTTGGCTGGACGGGCCCCTCTGAGGTGATCGACACAGCCTGCTCAGCGTCCATTGTTGCCGTGCACCGTGCCGTCCGTGCCATCAACGCTGGCGAGTGTCCTGTCGCGCTCGCCGGTGGTGTCAACATCATCACCGGGGTCAACAACTACTTTGACCTCGGAAAGGCCAGCTTCTTGAGTCAGACTGGACAATGCAAGCCATTTGACGACTCGGCTGACGGCTACTGCCGTGCTGATGGCGTTGGTCTAGTCGTTTTGAAGCCACTCAGCAAGGCCATCTCCGACAACGACCACATCATGGGTGTCATTCCCGCCGTGGCCACAAACCAAGGTGGCATCGGCGCGCCAGGCATCACGGTGCCGGACGGCATACTGCAAAAGTCTCTGTACCGTGGCATTTTGGAAAGCTCCGGCATCTCCCCAGAGCAAGTGACCTACGTCGAAGCCCACGGCACCGGCACGCAGGTCGGAGATCCCATCGAGATTGGCAGCATCCGCGAGGTCTACGGTGGTGCTCACCGTGACGCCCCTTTGTTTTTGGGCTCATTGAAGTCCAACATTGGTCATAGCGAGACAGCTGCCGGTGTTGCCTCGCTTATCAAAGTCCTCGCCATGTTGCGGAACCGGGGCATTCCACCTCTGCAGGGCTTCAAGCGCCTCAACCACAAGATTCCGCCGCTGGAGGTTGACAAGATGCACATTCCCACCAAACTCCTGCCGTGGGACGCAGACAACCGCATCGCGTGTATCAACAGTTATGGCGCGTCAGGAAGCAACTCGGCACTTTTGTGCTCGGAGTGGCATGAAGAGACGCCCACGATGGTGACAGAGCCCGTCACCGCTCCCCCTCAGGAGTATCCCATTCTCCTCAGTGCGGCATCCGCTTCGAGTCTGCAGCGCTTCGCAAACGAGCTGGCCACCTACATCTCCAAATCGAATGCTGATGTGACGCTCGGCAACCTGGCGTATACACTTAGCCAGCGTCGCAAGCATCATCGCATCCGATGGTCTGCCACTGTCGCGGATCTGGGCAGCCTGATCGAGAAGCTCCAGTCTTGCGCCCCTGAGGACTTTTCCACTGCTCCCCAAACTACCAAGAGCATTGTGCTTACATTTTCAGGCCAGAGCAGGACCACGATTGGTGTCAGTCCCGCGGCCAGACAGAGCAACCCTCGTTTTGACTATTACATTCAGAAGTGCAACACCATCCTCCAGAGCTATGGATGCCCAGACATCCTACCGTATCTCAGCCAGACAGAAACCATTGAGGACGTCACTATTCTGCAGTGCGGAACTGTAGCGGTTCAGTATGCTTGCGCCCAGTGCTGGATTGATGGTGGGCTTTTCGTTGCTGGCATTGTCGGTCACAGTCTTGGCGAGTTGACCGCCTTGGCCGTGTCCGGTGTTCTATCACTCAAAGACATGCTCAAGGCTGTGCACACCCGCGCTGAGCTTCTCAAGGCACGGTGGGGGCCGGATCGCGGCACCATGTTAGCGATTCATGCCAACATCGACACTGTCCGCACCATAATGGATGTGGTTGAGTCGATCATCGATCACCAGGATGAGGCCTTGGAAGTTGCCTGCTACAACAGTGTCACAAGCCACATTGTTGTCGGCAAGGAAAGGTCCGTCGCGATGGCCGAGCGTATCATCCAGGAGGATGCTCGCTTCCATGGTCTGCGCTATCAGCGTTTACAGACCAGCCATGGCTTCCACTCTCGCTTTACTGAGCCTCTTCTCTCTGGCCTGATTGCTGTTGAGCGGACCATTGAATTCAACAAGCCAGTGATTCCTCTGGAGACGAGCACTCAGCAACAGGTATCCTTTGCCAACAAGTCCAAGGATCGCTACTTGGCCAACCACGCGCGCGATCCCGTATACTTTGTTGACGCAGCTCGTCGCATCGAGTCCCGACTCGGCGAGTGCGTTTGGCTTGAGGCTGGATGGAGCACCCCCATCATCTCCATGGTGAAGCGTGCTGTCGCGAAACCAGCGGTGCACACGTTTCAGGCTGTCACGTCGCCTGCCGCCGTGGCTGTCGAGCTGTGGCGTGAGGGCATCGCGACGACGTACTGGAGCTTTTTCACGCCCAAGGAGAGCGGCTTGAAGCACATTTACCTTCCACCCTACAGCTTTGACCGCCCCAAGTACTGGCTCGAACACGTCGACCGCGCGATGGAAGAACGCCGTGCTGCTGAGGCTGCCAAGGGGGAGACCTCGCAAGCGCCTGCCAAGGTGCAGCCTATGATTGTCTTCAAGCGCAGTGAGGGTACCAAGCACCATTTCAAGCTGCACACAGAGACCGAGCGATACACACGTATCGTTCAGGGCCATGCGGTCAGGGCCAAGCCTCTCTGCCCTGCCTCGGTGTACATGGAGTCCGCCATCATGGGCGTGAACCTTCTCGGTTCAGCGCCCATGGGCAAGACCATCACATTTGAGAATGTTGGTTTCCATCGTCCTCTGGGCTGTGACGACAACCTAGACGTCGAGCTCATCCTTCAAAAGGGTGCTGAAGATGACTGGCACTACGCCGTTTCATCCGGGCCACGGGCCTTGCATTCGGACGGCAACTTCAGTGCCACAACGTCCGAAGTCTCCGATCTGCAGCTCTACGAGATGCTCTTGGCTGACAAGATCGAGACTCTCCGCAACGACGCTGAAGCTGAGAAGCTGCGCACCAGTACTGCCTACAAGCTCTTTTCCAGGGTCGTCGAGTACTCTGCCCTCCTCAGGGGTATCACCAGCATCACTCTCGGCTCGCGTCAGGCCATCGCCCAAGTCAAGGTACCCAAATCTACCTGGGCAGCCCAGGGCGAGTCATGTGTCACCGAATTTTACGATGCCGTGGCGTTGGACACGTTCATCCAGGTGCTTGGGCTGCTGATCAATTCGGATACCGGCTCGTCCGCTGATGATGAGATCTATGTTGCCAGCAGTATCGGCAAGATGGTCGTCTCGCCTACCGACTTCACCAAGCCTCAGACTTGGACCGTGTACGCCACATACTCCACGGCAGACAGCAAGACATCCAGTGGTGCTGTCTTCGTCTTCAATGAGGAAGGAAAGTTGTCCAGCTTTGCGACAAAAGTGCAATTCATGCGCATCAAGGCTGCTAAACTCGAACGGGTGCTAGAAAGCGCCAACCCCAGCATCTCTTCTGCTCTGCCCTTGCCGGAGACCTCAGTTCCGTTTATGCCCGTACCAGTCCAGCAGCCTACTTCGGCACCAAATTTGGCACCCAAGTCCGTCACTCTTGCAATTCCGGGGCCCGACTCTGGCAAGGTCAAGGCAAAGATCTCAGACCTCAGGGCTCTCATTTCTGTCTACACTGGTGTTCCCGTTGAGGAGATGCGTGACGACCAGAGCTTTGGAAACATGGGTCTCGACTCGCTGGCCTCGATGGAGCTGGCGGACGAGATGGAGTCCAAGCTCGATCTCAAGGTGCAGGCCGAGGATCTCTTGCTCGGCACAGTGGGCAGTCTTGTTAACAAGCTGCCTGGTGCATCAGGAGAGCTGGTTTCTAGTGCCGGCATGGGCATGGTCCCGGATGACACCAGCTCGGAGTCATCAGGGTCCTTCCGTGGCACTACTGGACTGCCTACTAGTATACCCCCCACCCCAACGGGGATCTCTGATAACGAGGATGAGGAGTTGGGCATGCCATGGAAGCGTCCCGATGGTCCTCTGAACAGCAGATTCAAGATGGAGACAGTCGTTTACAAGGTCGAGGGTGGCGTTCAAGTCCCCGCAGACATCTACGTGCCGGCAGAAGCACCACCCAGTCCGATGCCTGTAGGTCTGTCTGCCTGAAGTTGTCGCTGGAAGGTTTTCTGACATACTGCAGCTCTCATGATCCATGGCGGCGGCCACCTCACGCTCTCGCGTCGTGCTGTCCGTCCATTGCAGACCAAGTTCCTCTTGTCGGAGGGAATTCTGCCGGTCAGCATTGACTATCGCCTTTGCCCACAGGTCAATGTGATTGATGGATCCATGGCTGACACTCGCGACGCCTGTGCATGGGTCCAGCGCGACCTGCCTTCCATCATGGCGCGAAAGGGGATTGATATTGATCCAACGAAGCTCGTCGTCATTGGGTGGTCGACGGGCGGTACACTGGCCATGACCACGTCTTGGACGCTCAAGAATGCTGGTCTCACGCCTCCTAGGGCCATCCTGAGTTTCTACTGTCCTGTCACTTACGATCCAGCCGCCCCCGTCCTCATGGGGCAGGAGCATAGTCCTCGAACCATGGCCCTTAGCGAGATTCGAAACCTTTTACCTTCCACACCCACTACTTCACATGCCTTCAATAGCACCGACAGCAGCAAGCTTGGTTGGGTCCACAAAGGCGATCCACGGTCTGAGCTCACGCTGGCGCTTGTCAAGGAGCACCGCGGCATGTCACTGCTGTTCAATGGTCTCCCAACGACGGGAGAAGAGCTCTTCGAGCCGGACGCGGCGCGGGCTCGAGAGTTCAGTCCTCTGCAGCATGTGCTGGACGGCGACTATAGTGTGCCGACATATCTGATCTTTGGCGACCAGGATGAGATCGCACCATTCCCAAAGGCGGCCGAGTTTGCAAAGGCGCTGGCCAGTACGCGTGTGCGGAGTGGCTTTCTACCAGTGCCGGGGGCCAAGCACATCTTCGATTTGGGTCTGGCTCCAGGAAGCGAAGGTTGGGCTAGGACCATTGGGCCTGGGTATGATTTCCTGTTGCAAGAGTTGGAGAGGTGATTTCTTTCCGTTTCTTCTATGCGCGAGTTTTCCTTCGGAGTCAGCTTCCGTTAAACGGCGGGCATTTGCGTTTCTTACTGTTGGTTTTCATTGGGTCGCTTATGATGTACATACATGTCAGCATAACTATGAGAATGATAAAGAGCACTTTCCTATCACTTAGTGTTGCTTACCCTACAATGCCGTGCAGACATGGCTTATTGAATCCACTGATCATTGCTACATCAGCACGCGTCTGTTGAACACGGGAACATGTAAGCTCGGTGCCTTTCAATGTCTTGTCGGCTGGTTCAAAATTGTTGCTTCATATTACTACATCTGCACGTACAGTGAGTGCAGTGCAAGGATCACCCTCGCCTTTCCCCATCGGTCCATTGAACAAACACCCACATCACAGGTGTCAGTTTTAAGCTTATAAAGGACAATGCCTCATGCATAATCGCCGACTCCATGTCGCTGCATGTGTATGTGACAGACTTCTAGGAGTATAAACCATCCGATTGGTCTTTTTCGCCACGCAGCAGCAGGTGTCGTGTCGTTTTCGGGGAATCCTACAAACGTGCATCGTCAATGTGGCATTGCAGATAAAGTCACGCCACACGCAGCGGCAAAACGTGCGCGTGGTTTTATGTACGAGAGATAAGAGATTCACATCCTATCAAGAGCTTGCTTCGTTTCGGTGATTCATGAAAAATGTTCGTCCCAATCACAGCCGACACAGTCTACAAGCTATACCCATATGGCAACGGCTGCTCGCTCTGCGAATAAACGTAGGCACAGGGTAATTTAGTAGGCAGGATATCTCGGGTTGCCCTCTTGGCACCACGCACGCATGAGACTTCATGATGTATTGATTGCTATGCGGCTTTAAAGTATTCCCATGACAGTGAAAATTAGATGAAACATATCAGGGATGTTTAGTCGTATTTTCCAGGCAAATGCCAACATAAGAAAGTCTATGTACACATAACTCATAAGTCCTGATAGACAAATGTGCATCACTCATAAGTCCCCCAAGCCAACAATGCCAATTCTAGACCTTGATCCCCTCAGCGACATCATTCATTCCAGTCATGCCATTGGTTCCCTCGCCATGACCAGTGACACCGGTGGCCATAGTCTCTCCGCCCATCTTCTCCTCCTGCTTCTTGAGGCCGAGCTGCCCCCTGACCAAGTTGGGCACGAAGCCGTTGACGGCGTCCGTGCCGAAGCTGTTCATGTTGATGGTGTCCTCGGTGCGCATCATTCTCCGGGCACGGATGTGCTTGACGGCCTTGAGCTGCTCGGGCGACAAGTCAGGGTGGTAGCCAGTGCCGTTGTCAATGGCCTCCTTCATGGCATCCATGGCCTTCTCGCGGTCGTCCTCGCTGGTCACGGGCTCAAAAGCAAACGCACAGAAGTCGAGGGTCTTGTTGAGTTCTTCCTGTGACAGCTTATTGTTGGCAGCATCAGCAGTGCCCTGGATAATGGGGCGGAAGAAGGAGAATGCACGGTCGAAGTTGTCCTCGTCGAAATCGGACAGCACAGGCTCATTCTGGTGACGGATCTGCTTGTACGCGGAGAGAACCACCAGGAGGAAGCGAGTATAGGCATCCGAGATCTTCTTGGTGTGCCATTCGGCGGCGTCAGACTCGGCAATCTGACCACGGATGGAGGCGCAGATTGTAGTGGCAGCAGCAAGACCGGACGTCAGAGCGAGGTGGACGCCTGACGAGAAGTAGGGGTCAATGAAGCAGCCAGCGTCGCCGACAATGCGGGCGTTAGGAAAGGCGTAGGACGAGGCCGAGTATGAGTAGTCAGACGCCGTCTTGACGTTGCTCTTGAACTTGCCGTTGCCAATGAGATCCAACAGGTTAGGCGCCAGCTTGAGAGATTCGTGGTAGAACTGTGTCGAGTCAATTCCAGCGGCGCTCTTCTTCTCACCAGCAAGCTTCTGGTTCATGACAACACCGACAGACGCGGTGCCATCGTGCAGAGGGATGAACCAGGCCCAGCCGGACTCGTCCTGCAGCGCCTCAAAAAAGGGAGAGTTTTGGCGAGGAGTGCCAGGCATGTACTGGTTGCAGCCTTCCCAGTAGCCCCAGTTGGCAATGTTCTTGAGACCCTGGTTGTAACGGCGGTTTTTCATGTACTTGGTGCTGAGAATACCAATGCGGCCAGAAGCGTCGACGACATAGTCGAAGTTGATGGTGCCCTGCTCCTTGGTTTCCTTGAACTGGTAGATGGCAGAGATGGGCTTGCCAGGGTTCAGGTTGGGCTCGCCCTCAGCAACAGTGGTAGGGTTCTCGAACTGGATGCTCTTGACCTGGACGCCATCAAAGATCTTGGCGCCGCTCTCGCCAGCGTGCTGGAACATGAGGTTGTCCGCCTCGGAACGGACAACGTTCCAGGCGTAGTTGTTGGGACCACCCGCCGCCAGGAAGTCGGTGTATCCCTCACGCTTGTTCTTGTTGAGCTTGAAGGCAGCACCAGGCTTCTTGACGAAGCCGTGCTGGTCGAACTTAGTGTCGAGCTCCACGAACTTGAGCAGGTGTCGCATGGATGCAAGCATGGACTCGCCAATGTGGTAGCGAGGGAACTTGTCGCCCTCCAGAAGGACAACATCAATGCCCTCGCGGGCCAGACAAGACGCAGCGTACGAGCCACCAGGGCCGGCGCCAATGACTAGGACTGTGGTCTTCTCGGGGATAGACATGATTGCGATGATTTGAATGTTTGATGATTATGAAAGACACTAGATTTTGTATCTTATTCCTATCATTTTATCACCAGTTGATGCCTTGCTGTCTCGGTGGGTTTGTGCGGAGTGTTTCGGATTGCAACTTGCACTATGAAATTCACCGACGGCACCCAATACACCGCAAAGACGATTTACTTAGTTTTGGTGGCGTGATAATATCGGAAGTTCGGCACGATCGCTACTAAAGCTCATTGTGTCTGAACTAATCGATATTCCTGTCATCAAGTTGAGCGTGGGTCGGTTCACTCGCACCAACACACTCACAATGACAGAGTCTATACCAGGCCCCAAGGGCTTGCCCATCATCGGCAACATCTTGGACATTGATCCCGTTGATGCTGTTCAATGTCTAGGACGTATTGCCAAAGAGTATGGCGAAATCTACAAGCTCAGTGTTGGTGGCACGGCCAAGCTGTTCGTGTCTAGTCGCAGCCTAGTGAATGAGCTGTCAGATGAATCGCGGTTCACCAAACAGGTCTCCGGACCGTTGGCACAGCTTCGAAATGTCTGCTCCGACTCTTTGTTCACTGCTCACTCGGACGAGCATAATTGGCATATCGCCCACAAGATCCTGATGCCTGGTACGTCTGCCGCACACCATCGGGAACCAGACTGAGGCTGACAGCACAGCCTTTGGGCCCTTGGCCATTCGAGACATGTTTGACGAGATGCACGATATTGCTTCTCAACAAGTCATCAAATGGGCGCGTTTTGGTCCAAAGGAAGCCATTGATGTGTCGTCCGACTTTACACGACTGACACTGGACGCGATTGCCCTCTGCAGCATGAGCACCCGGTTCAACAGCTTTTATCGCGACGAGATGAACCCCTTCGTTGGTTCCATGCTTGAGGTGCTCGCCGAATCTGGTAAACGAGCCGTAAGGCCTCCTTTTGTCAACGACTACATTATGCGCGGCTCCTTGAAGAATTACAACCATCAAATCGCCGTAATGAAAGAGATTGCGAATGAGATTTTGGAGGAGCGTCGAGCAAACCCCGGATCCCAGAAGAAAGATCTCCTCACCGCCATGATCAATGGGCGTGATCCAAAGACTGGTGAGGGTCTCTCCGACGAGAGCATCCTGAACAACATGATCGTCTTTCTCATTGCCGGCCACGAGACAACGTCTGCCCTGTTGTCATTCTACTTTTACTACCTCCTTACGCGTCCCGACGTCTTCGAAAAGGCCCAGGCCGAGGTCGACGACGTGATCGGGCGCGGCCCAGTGACTCTTGAACACATGTCCAAGCTTCCCTACATCGAAGCTGGCCTGCGCGAGACGCTGCGTCTGCATCCAACAGCACCGGTCATAACATTTCACACGCGACCTGATCTCGACATTGAAAAAACGACCATTGGCGGCGGCCGCTTTGAAGTCACACGCGGTCAGGGCATCGTGGCTCTCCTCGTCGAGATGCAGCGTGACCCAGCCGTTTGGGGCGATGATGCCGATGAATTCAAGCCGGAGAGGATGACCGAGGAGAAATTCAACGCCTTGCCAGCGAATTCATGGAAACCGTTTGGCAATGGAATTCGCGGTTGCATTGGCCGTTCATTTGCATGGCAGGAAAGCCTCCTTATCCTCGCCATGCTGCTTCAGAACTTCAACTTCAGACTTCGTGATCCCGACTATCAGTTGGCGATCAAGCAAACACTCACCATCAAACCGGGGAATATGTTCATGTACGCCACCTTAAGGGACCATGTGACTGCTTTGGATTTGGAGAAGACTCTCCACGGAAGCGTCCAGAGTAATGGCCTTGGTGAGAAGACACGGTCTTCGTCATTGGCAACGACGCATCGGGAGCTTAGGCCCCTGAGCATCCTATACGGTTCTGACTCAGGCACTTGTGAGACCATGGCTCATTCACTCGCCCGTGCAGCAAACGCCAAGGGTTACGAAGCATCTGTCCAGACCCTTGACTCTGCGGTAGAGAAGCTACCAACGGACCAGCCAGTCGTTATCGTGTCACCCAGCTACAACGGACAACCACCAAGCAACGCCACCGACTTTGTAAGGTGGATCGAGGGTGCTGCAGCTGATTTCTTACAGGGAGTAAAGTATGCCGTATACGGTTGCGGCAACAAAGACTACGTTTCCACATTCCACCGGGTACCCAAGCTGATCGACGCTGAGCTCTCGAGGGGGGGTGCAAAGAGGATTGCTGAGACTGGTCTGGGCGATGTCACCGTAGGTGACATTTTCAGCGACTTTGAGTCTTGGCAGGACGAGAAGCTGTGGCCGGCACTAGGCGTCCACCAGCCGGGCATGGCGTGCGAGGTTGGATTCGATGTCCACGTAGATCGCTCCAGTCGCACAGAAGACTTGCAGGTGAAGGCGGACGAGGCACTAGTCCTTGAAAACCAGGTTTTGACGGCCGAAGGTGAGCCCCAGAAGAGGATGCTCACCCTGAAGCTGCCGGATGGCGTGGAGTACAACGCTGGCGACCACCTCGCTGTTCTACCCCTGAATGACTGGAGCACAGTGAGGCGAGCTCTCTCGTGGGCCCAGCTACCATGGGATGCTCTTCTCACGATCCCACTAGGTGCCAAAACGTCGCTCCCCACAGGCAAGCAGATCTCAGCAAAGGATCTATTCGGCGGTTACGTCGAACTGAGTCAGCCAGCAACTCGGAAGGTGTGTATTAAATTTCTTCAAAATATGCTTATTCACTAACGTGACCAGAACATCCAGAAGATCGCAGCAGCAATAGCTTGCCCTCCAGCAAAGCAAAAGCTGCTCGACCTCGAGGCTGAGTTCGACACTTCCATCTCACCGAAGCGTCTCTCAGTCTTAGACGTCTTGGAACAATTCCCAGAGGCAGATATATCCCTATCAACCTTCATTGGAATGCTGCCGCCTATGCGACCCCGTCAATACTCCATCGCATCGTCGCCCCACGCAGAGCCGTCGAACGCTGTCTTGATGTGGACAGTTCTCAATGGCGAGGCATACTCGGGCACTGGGCGCCGGTTTCTGGGCGTTGCTTCGACATATCTTGCCAACCTCGGCGCAGGCGATCGAGTGCACGTCATCGTCAAGCCTGCTCTTCGACTGTTCCATCCTCCCCCGGACCCGGAAAGCATGCCCGTTATCATGGCATGTGCGGGAACCGGTCTTGCTCCTTTCCGAGGGTTTGTGGAAGAGCGAGCCTTTGAGGCAAAACAGGGCAGAAAGCTGGCTCAAGCACTTCTCTTCATTGGATGTCGTCACCCAGAGCGCGACGCCCTCTTGTATGAGGAGTTTCAACGGTGGGAACATGAAGGCATCGTCAAGCTATTCTATGCTTTTTCAAGAGACGCAGACGCAGCTGATGGATGCAAACACGTTCAAGACCGAATATGGAACGAGCGTGCCCTGATCAAGAGGGGCATGTTCGAAGGAAATGCGAGGATGTATGTATGTGGCGGGGCGGGAGTCGGGAGAAGTGTTGAGGATGTCATGAAGCGGATTTATATGGAGGTCAATGGCAGCAACAGCGCACGGGCGAGCGAAGATTGGTTTCAGGGGTTGAAGGCGAATCGTTATGTAACCGAGATTTTCTCCTAGACAGCGTTCACTTATTTTCAATCGCAATATACACCTGATCTTTAAGGCAGAGTTGATTCCCTGAAAGACGTGTATCATGCTTCTCATGCTGTCGTCCCGTTGATCCAAATCAAAGACCATCACTGTCTGACTGGCCGTTCTCCTCAGACATCTTATCAACGGGGTATATTTCACGATAATCAGCATCTCATTTGCCTGCGCAGTTTGGGTATGGAAGCCGTGCAATGATTGATGTATTGGCGCCGTCCTGCATGACCGTCCAACACATACATTGAGATAATGTACATCGTTCTGCACGCTGCGCCTACAAGAATGCCTCTCCCTCCAGCCGCTTGTTTACCCCAAGTTCTTTGGCTTGACGATTTGGTGGTGAAACCCAGCCACCTTTCGGCCATCTGGCAGGTCTCTCTCAGTAGACCTGACATTCCAGAAAACGAATCCGTACACAACGTCACACACAGTGGTAAGGCCCCAGATGAAGATGGCAGGGGGGCTCATGAAGTAACCGTGAGCCTCGGGCCAGGTGTACCAAGCCCACCAGTAGTTGAAGTTGAGGCCGATACCAGTGCCGAGAAAGCGGAGTAACCTAATCAAAGTTAGTATCGTTATTTGGATTCTTGCCTGGCTTGAAATGTACCAGATAGTCCAAGAGACACCGCCCGTGTGCTGTCTCACCAACAGCATGGCCAGCGACATTGTGGACACCAGCAACTGACACATGCTCACAGCCCAGTAGGCCATTTGGGTAAGGTCTGGCTTCTGGCCTGCGGCGACGGCTGTGCTGATCCACCAGTCCTGCCATGCCCAATGGGCCGCTGCACACGTGGCGAGCAATGCGATGAAGATGTGTGTCAATCCCTTCCTTACAGCCGGCGCGTGGTTCCACTCAAATGCACCGTGCAGAATCGTCGAGTAGATGATGGGTGTGTCGATGACCATCCAGATGGCCATGGCTGTCTTCTCGAAGGGCTCCTCGACCACGTAGAGAGCGTAGATCATTTCCCAGGCAAAGTTGTTCGCGAGAGCGAGGAGAGGCATGCCGTAGGACTTCGTCTTGAGGCCCTCGCGTGCGATGAGGATGTAGCATAGCGTCCAGCAGACGCCACCGAACTGAAAAGTAGCATCGTACACTGGCTGGAACCAGTCGGTCACATGTGATGGTGGAATTACACCAAATGCCATTTTGGATGGAATTAAAGTGAGGAAGACGCTGTATGTACAAAGGGAGACAGGGGAAGATGTAAGGGAGAGAGTGTAAGCGAGAGTGTAAGCGAGATCAGATGCGAGCATGGGCCTCTTTCTACCAGACCACGGGCTTTTTCGGACTTTGCATTTTACAAGATCCCCTGTCAGTCTGTTTCCGTCTATTTGTTCATTACGTCGTCTAGCGTCGTGGCAGATCCGAATTCGTGTGGCGAGGGGAGTCGGTGCATTTGGTTCGGCGTATTTCGTCGACCTGCGCTCGATCGAGTGTCGGACGGTTGGTTCATGGCCACTAACAATCAATCCAATATTGATTATGCACGTTTCGCGAAGTATCGTGCCTTATAAGTACTTGTGAAATGCTCAGCGGTTCGTCAATCACCTTTGTCATTCTACAGAAATCACATCACCCAGTGATTGGACCCTGGGCGAAATCAGCAAGCATGGCCAACACCACTTTCGACAGCGTCGCTGGCGATGTCACGCTGCGCGACACCCTCCTTTCCATCCCTGCGCTCTCAAGCGCTGTGGCCATCTTGGTCGTTGCGTTCATCGTTCACTATTCATGGAACAAGCCGGCCAAGCTCGACCTGCCGGTCTGCGGCACGCCTGGCGCCAAGATCACCAAGGAAGACATTGTTGGTGGCGCGCGCAAGTACCCCGACCAGCCCTTCATCCTGCCCATGGAGCCTCCCATCGTTGTCCTCCCCATCAAGATCCAAGACGAGGTCCGCAACCTGCCTGAGAGCGTGGTATCCTTCACAAAGGAGCACCAGCGCAACTTCTTCGCCCACTACACTGGCATTGGCGACCACCGCCCTGAAATGATCCAGGCTGTCCGCGTGGATCTTACCCGTCACATTGTCAGCACTTTGCCTGATCTCCAAGATGAAGTCCGCTACGCCTTCGATAAGGAATTCGGTCCCTGCAAAGACTGGACACCCTTCCCTCTGTATATGAAGGTCCTTCGCATCGTCGCCCTTTTGAGTGGTCGTGTTTTCGTTGGTCGTCCTCTCAGTCGTGAGGAAGAGTGGATGCAGTCAACCATCAGCTACACCATCGACTGCGTCAAAGCTCGCAACGCTGTGCGCGACTACCCTCAGTGGAAGCGTCCCTGGGTGACCTCTTCATTGCCCGAGATTAAGAAGCTGACTCATCACCGAACTCGTGGTGGTGAGATGCTAGCACCTATTATGCAAGCCCAATTGGCCAAGGAGTCGGTCAAAGAGAAGCTTCGCAACGAGGAGACTGGCGACGAAGAAGGCAACTTCATTGAGTGGCTCCTCAAGTACACCCCCGAGCACCTGCGTAATGATCCAGAGAATCTGGCTCTCAACCAAATGGTCCTGTCCTTCGCCGCCGTTCACACCTCGTCCATGGCCACTACCCACGCCATTCTTGACCTGATCACCAAGCCTGAGTACTTTGAGCCCCTCCGTGCCGAGATTGAAGAGATCCGCAAGGCCGATGGTGAGATCATCGATGACGAAGGGTACATTCGTCTCAAGAAGGACAGCATCAACAAGCTGCGCAAGCTGGATAGCTTCATGAAGGAGTCTCAACGTTTCAGCCCTCCCATCTACAGTAAGTCCCTCCCCCTTGGGATCAATGAACGCCACTCACTAAAATAACAGCCTCCGGTACACGCATCTGCACCGCTGACTTGCAGCTCTCCACTGGCCACAAACTCCCCAAGGGCACCCGCATCTGCTTCCCTTCGTACGACGTCCACACCAACCCCAAGACTACTACGTACTCACCTGATTACAACCCCCCCGACTATGTCGACCCCGAGGAGTTTGACGGCATGCGTTTCTACAAGCTCCGCAATATGCCTGGCAAGGAGGCTCGTCACCAGTTTGCTACAGCAGGTCCCGAGTCACTCGTTTTCGGCTACGGAAACCATACCTGCCCTGGACGCTTCTTCGCTGCCAATGAAATTAAGATCATCTTGGTCGAGCTACTCATGAACTGGGATATTCGCCTCAAGGGTGATGTCGAGCAGAAGGGCGGACCTAGACCACCAAACATGGAGGTCGATCTTGTCATCACCCCCAACCCCATGGCGATGGTCGAGATGAAGAGGAGAAGAGGTGCTTGATTTGATATGAAAAGATAAATACAAGGAGTATGATTATCACATTTTTCAATACTTTGTGCCTTGGGGAGCATGTGGAGCCAGGGGCTGGCAGCCAGTTGTCATTCCATCTCACACTTTCGCCTGTATCCAGCGCCGCTCGATCGAGTTTCTGGCGTGGCGCAGGGATTCGGCACAATGCATTAGGTCCCCGGTAAATTGGCATTCAGTAACTGAGACAGGTCCGCGGGATAATCAGAGGAGTAAATGGGCTGTGGCCATCCATTCCGCAGGTGTATCTGAAAGGTTGGTATCCAAGAAAAGCCCCAGGCTGCGCCTAATGGCGAAGCTAGAAGCTGGTTTAGTTTCATATTCGTATGATGCTATTGAGCACAGACGTTCAACTACTCAAACAGTCAAGTCGTGCAGATGATGGAAGCCTTCTCCTTTGTCCCTTGGCACAGACCACCGCCCCAAACTCAGTAACCCCCCGTCACACCAGGACAAAGGGAAGCGCATCTGAGATAAATATAGCATTAATTTCTCCCTACAATGAATGCCGACTGAGACGCATCCAGAACCAAAAGGCCTAGAGCTCGCAGCCTTACACTCAGCTCTGTCTACGCCAAGGTAACTTCCTCAGCACTTCCTACACTTCTCACTCCTTCTATGCCTTAGCTTCTTCACTCTATCTACAGCCTCACATTCACCACCAAGACAGACTTCATGTCCTTTCCTGCCGACGACTTTCGTGGCGATGTTGTCATAGATGAAAACCACAACAGCCAACCCATGGGCTTTCTAGACGACTATTCGGATTCCGATGGCCTTGCACCACCTCCACCAAACATACCGTCAAGATTCCCCCGTCAGAAAGTGACCCGAGAAACCGATGTGCAAGTGCTGGGCAGAGCCAGAGGCTCAGAGAAAATAACACCTACTGCAGAGAGTCAGAACCCACGCAGCAAGCAATATGGGCCCGTCAAGAACCCGAAGGCTGCTGCACCAGCTGGACAATTCAGCGCCGGCTCGCATGATCCCAATGTATACTGGCTCTACGGTTTCCAGGGCAAGGTCAAGTTCAACATCAAGAAGGACAATGACTTCAACAACGCCGTTCGACGCCTTCTTTCCGCGGATCCGAACGAGAGTGAGCCAGAGTACTTCCTCATGCGTATCGACACGCGTTTTGGCCGAGGCAACGCCGCAAAAGGCATTGTCAAGCGTCAGCTGCCGCCCCTAGAATGGCCAGGAAACCCTTTTGCCGGTTTCCACGAGGAGGATTTCCGTACGTTCCTGGAAGGCAATGACCTCCCGCCCGAATATGCGGGGAGAAACAAGGTCTGGCCGTTCGTCTGCCGCCGTCGAACCGAGCAATACACTGCATTCACAGCTGACGCGGCGTGTCCCAGTGGCAAGGGCGTTTGGAACTTCCTCAATAGCCGGCGACAAGCGCCAGAGCCAGCTGAGCATGAGCTACTGCACAACATCACCTCCTTGGGCAGCAAGAGCGGTGTTGCCTATCTGGCAGCTCCCAAAGCAGCGTTTGCCCCCTTTCACGACATTGACATGAATCTCTACCGCCCATACTGGCACGAGGCACTCAAAGTCATCGAAGACTTTAACTCCGAAGCCACCGCCACCGACGTCAACTTGCTCTGCATGTACTTTATGGATGAATACGGGAAACTCAGTACCTTTGGTCGCCACGGCTTGATCAGCAGTCTCAACGTTCCGTCGCCATCGGATCTCTCTCTGTTCCGACGCTACTTGCGAGACAAAGCGCCACCAAACGATTCTACAGATCCTTCTCTGCGAATGGTGTGCACTGGGAGTCAAGGCTTGGTCGTCCTGCCAGGGCTTTATCCGGCACCTCAAGAGGGAGAAGCGAGATTGCCCTTGAGATCGACCTTTGGCACCAGAAGCAAGACTGAGCAGCTTCTCGAGGTCGCCAAGCGCATTGCATCAACGACAGACGTTTTGGAATCAACGTTTGGACACGTGGGAGAAGAAGACGGTGCTTACATCGACTTCCTACTTCTGCCGCCTCAGGCCTGTACTGACCCTGAGTGGCTGAAGACAGAGAGTATGGGATACTCCAGGGAGATTTTCTCCACGCAAGTCATTATCTCAGCTGCAGGTTTATTGCAGGATCAGACAGAGTGGTGGCTCCGTGTCGAAGACATCGTCAAAAAGGCAGAGGATGCTCGGGGCCCTCTCATCCTATATCCTTTTTGGCCGACGAACCAGCAGGGCCGTATCCTGGCGCGTTATGATTTTGGCAACATGCCAGATCCTTCCGTGACAATGTCCTGGCCCGTCGGCGAATGCTACCATGTCGAGCTGCCCTGGCTGGGACACTCGATCAGCAACCTTTGGAAGTTGGCCGGCGGAGTTTACAGTGGCCTCGAAGGTTATAGTCTGAAGATCAGCTGCCGAATTCTGAATCCAGCAGAGGAAGGATGGCTCGAGGCTGGCGTAGCCCCTCTGGCGTACTATATCCATCCGGCGACAACCGAAGAGGAGTGGTTCAACGTTCGGCTGAGGCTTCCGAAGCGTACTGCTGTCATGACGCGCGTACCGACCGACGAGGCGATGGCATACTCCCTGCCAGAGAAGAGCACTGTTTGGGGTCCACGCTACGGGAGGCAGCTGACTTGTCTTGTCCGCGCTCGCCACACTGCCGCTTCGACCGATGTCGCATCATGGCAGGAGAGGGCCTTTAGTACTTTGGAAACGGCCGAAGACAGCAAGTACATCAGAGAAGCTCTGGAGGTCCTTTGGTCTGTGCCTGACATGGTTGCAACCGCCAAAGCCCGTGAGGCGGGTATGCCACGACGGCCGCATCGGCCGCTTTACACATTCAGAAGGGTCAAGCCCGAGGAGGCTCCCATCACGCCCAGAAAGAGCGAGCGCTTCGTAGCACCGAAAGACACGTGGTTGCACCTTGCTGATATTGGCGACGGTTGCACCGAGTATATTGGTCGCGGCTACTGGTGCGTTCTCGACGATGCCAAAGAGGAATGGCTTTTCCTCCCCTGGGCGCATTTCCCTCAAGAGTGGCCCAATCGCTTCGAGCTTTCCTTGAGCGAATGCCAGTATCACGGCACCGGAAGAGACCCAATCTTCAAGCCTGGTCAATTTCGTGCTGATAACCGACTCTTGGAACAAAGTGTTTCAACGAGATTGGCTGAGGATGTCGTGGTCCAGCAGACATGCTTGAATGAGAACCAAAAGGAAATATCCCGATTCCCTGTGCACCATTCCGTCACGCCATCGCCAGACAATCTTCGGACTTCCAATGTCGCAGACGAGTCGTCTCTGCCACAAGGCAAGAGAGTGTTGAGGAAGAGGGGGAGAGCAGGTGACCGCAACTACCACCCCTCGCACAGCGACAGCTCGTTGAATGGGGACGAAGCCGATGAAGACGAAGACGGAGATTCCGTGATCGTTAGTCCTCCATACCCTGAAGACGGCTCAACTCCGCCACAACGGAAAAGGAAGCGCAAGATCGACGATCCCAACTACCGGCCTGCCGCAGCCCACGACGATGAAGAGGTCGCCGCTGTGGGTGAGCCGACCGTCACCGTCGTGGAGAGTTACAATGCTGCACCTACTGGAAAGCAGAGAGCAAGATCAAGCAAAGGTGCCGAGGAGCCTCTCCCCTTGCCTGACTACGAGTCAGAGGCTGAAGAAGAAGAGCCGGTCACCAAGAAACAGAGACGAAAGTCCACAACTAAAAAGGCGGATCAACAGCAGGACAACCGTGTCGTTGGGGCGCGCAAGCCAAAGATGGCGTCCAAAGCCAAGGCGACTCCCAAAGCTTCGCCCAGGAAGGCCACCGCCCAAGCTGTGCGCACTCCCAAGGATGAACCTGACGATGACTCCATGCCGGCAAATGGGCCCCCTCAGGTCACTGAGAAGCCCTCGACGCGCACTACAAAGGCAGCTCCAAAGAAGGCGGCTGCGAAGAAGACGACGCCGAGGAAGACGACGGGTCTCAAGGCAGCAACATAGTCCTTCATTGAGGACTTACGATGCTCCTCTTTCTGAGTGACCGACTTGCGGAAGTGACTAGAGTGCTGAGAAGTTGGGGAAAACTTGGTTTGGTTTGCGAGTATTTTGTTTGGTCATATTTTGGTGACTAATTTTCGTTTTTTATCGTGCCGTCGGGGATTTTTTGCATTTCACTTTGCGCAATAGTTTTATACAAATCCTTTTTCCTTATGAACGAGTAGATGCTTGCGCAGCCTGGCCTGCGGTTTGTCGAGTTGTCGTGACCTCCTGATCAGCCCCTGATGACGCCAGGTCTTTGCCAAGGTGCTTACCACATGGTCTCATATTGCAGAGAGCCAGGCCTTTGTCATATCGTATTATTCGGAGCAAACGATCTGCCCTCATCTACTCCTATAGCATAGCTAGTCCGGACCTGGTATGTAGCAAACGCGGTTCCCACGAAAACGGTTCAAGTCCCGAAATATGTAGCGCCCTGTCAAAGTTCCTTACAATGCATCAATAGCTCTGAGCAAGACATCCATACCTCCCGGGCCAAATCCCCCCTTGTCGCCGAGCAAGCCGCCTACATCGCTCAGCACGCCGAGTGGTATGTAGCAACCTGTCTTGGCTTTCTCGAGACTGTCCTTCAGGCGACTGGTGTGCTCCCATTCTCGAGCCGCCAGCTCGGCTCGCTCGATCACCTTTCCTGAGATGCCGCACATCGCCGCGCAGTGCATGCCAAAGGAACCCTCAGCAACACCGTCCTCGAGCTTGTAGAGAAAGGTCACCCGGCGGTTCTCATCATCAACATGGATTTGCATGCGACGAGCATGAATTTCAGGATGGTTCTCAAACTCGGTAGCGAGCGAGTGGTAGTGCGTTGCGAAGAATCCGACGCACCCAATGTGCGACGCCACATGATGCAGAACAGCCTGTGCCACGGCGACACCGTCATACGAGCTGGTACCACGGCCCAGCTCGTCGAGGATGACGAGGGATCGAGGCGTGGCCTCGGACAAAATCTTCTTGGTTTCTGAAAGTTCCACAAAGAAGGTGGACTGGGCCGCGAAAATGTTATCATTGGCCCCGAGGCGCGACATGATACGGTCAACGGGTGTCAGGCGGGCAGACACTGCCGGAACAAAACAGCCGACCTGTGCCATGATGACAGCAACGCAAGACATGCGAAGCACTGTTGATTTACCTGCTGCGTTGGCGCCTGTGAGGAGGTTGATCTTGGCCCGGTCACCTCCAAGCTTGATATCGTTCGGGATGAAGTCGTCCACATTGTTGATCATACATGGATGTCGGAGCTCGACGAACTCGACAAGACTGCGTTCTTCGTCCACGAACTCTGGGCGGCAGCATGGTTGGCCGAGTGAGGTGGATGCCTTGGCCAGGCTGACGAGGCAATCTAGCTGCGCGACGATGCGAATCGCTTTAAGCCAGGTATCGTAGTCGACGTCAAACTTCTGGAAGAACCTCAAAGCGACGTCTTTGACCAGCTGAGAATGTGTCTCTTCTGCTTCTTGTAGATCGCGCACCAGTGCGGTGAGCTCGGGGAAGTACCAGCGCTTGACGTCCTTCGTAGCTGACATTTGACGCCAGTCCGATGGGACCTTGGTTGATTTGGGTGTTTCCATCTGGTAAATCTCCTTGCCAACGTCCGTGAACTTCATTGTCTTGCACTTGAGTGCAGCCTTTTGCTCCGCCAGCAACTGGTGCAGGTTCGCCTTGATCTCGTCCATGTGGTCTAGACTGGTATCAAAGTCGTCGTCGATGCCACGCTCCGGAATCAACAGCTTGTCTTTGCATGCCCTCTCGCGATCAAATGCAGACTTCCAGTAGTTCAGAGGTTCCTCGAGGCTTGGCATGGACGAGATCAATTGATCAACGACACCATGCCCACCTTGGAACGTGCTCAACAACCCCATGGTGTACTCGATTTGCTCAAAGCCTTGCAGCACACGCACGAATTCTTCGGCTTTGCACGCGCCAGCGTGGATTCTGGAAATAAGGCGCTCCAAGTCAGGCATTTTGGTCAGTTGGGTCGCAAATTTCTCGCGCAAACATGAGTCCTTGTTGAGCATCTCCACGGCATCCAGGCGCTCGTTGATTTTGCGAATGTCACACAAGGGGTGTGCCACCCACTGCCTAAACATGCGCTTTCCAAAGGGCGTAACACACTTATTAAGCAAGCTGAACAGCGTCCCTTCGGTGGTGCCGTTGGCAGTGTTGGAAAATAGTTCAAGGTTAACGAGCGTCTGTCCGTCCAGAATGAGCGTGCCATTCTTTTGTATGGGATTGTACCGCTCGAAACTGCCTTGTGTGAGAAGCGGCCGCTCCACCTTGAGGAATTTGAGATACGAAATGAGGGCGCCAACGGCAGACATGACAAGCTCTTCATCCTTGTGCTCTTGTAGAGCCTCGGGCCAGACGTCAAAGTAGTCGCCTGCGGTGAGCTCACGTCGCGCTCTCTCGGCATCCCAAAATTCTGCGCCGGACTTCATGTGAGTCCATATGGTCGTGGGACTGACGTTGTTCTTCAAGGTCCGCATGGTTTTGGTGGAAACCTTGGACTTCTCAAGTAGGAGCTCCTTTGGGCCGGTCTGTGCAACCAGTGTCTCGAATTTGGTGCGGTCAACATCGTCGACAAAGCCAGACAGGTGGAAGCGACCCGTCGCAGTGTCGGTGAACGCGATACCAAACGCAGGCAAGTCATCGACCAATGATTCTTTGATCGCCACGCAGTATGCTGCCATGTCGTCCTGGAGCATGCTGCCGTCGACTAAAGTGCCACCAGTCAGCACGCATGCCAATTCGCGTGTGATGACTTTGTCTGCCTTCTTCCCACTCTTATCCTGGCGCTCCCTCATCTCCTTTCCCAGGTTGGTTTCCATTTGGTCGACTCGAGCCACCTTGTACTGCTTGGCGATGAACTGGTTGATCCAATGGTCCAGTGAGCTTTCGGGAACGCCTGCCATACGCATGTTGACGCGGTCGGTCATCTTGAAGTCGAATTCCTGATGGCCAATGGTGGCGTCGTTCTCGTAGAGCTCGTAAAACTTGCCCTTCTTGAAGAAGACTATGGTGTCCCAGAGGTTCTGCTTGATCTCCCAGTACTGCTTTTCAAAAGGCGAGAATTTGCCCCAGGCCAGTGGAGGGATGTAAACTGTCCTTGGATCGTAATCGGGATCACCAGGGGACCTCCTCTCCTTATCCTGGATCTTAGCCAGCCAAGGATAGCGGTCAGATGGCTCACTGGTATGGGCCTTTTGCTTGGTACCGGGCGCCTTTGTCCTACTCTCGGGGATCTTGACAGGCTGCTCGGCACCTTCAGGGTCGTAGTGCCATTGCGAGGCTGTGGAGGCTGGGACATCTTCGAGCAGGCCCTCCATGTCGGCGTCTTCGATGTCCTCAAGGGAAACCTCTTCATTCTGCGGAGGAGGTGTCCGCTTTTTCCTTGAAGAGACGGTCTTGGTCGATCTTTTGCGCTTCTTGGATTTTGGTTCCGAGTCGTCGGAGGCAACGAAGTCATCAATATCGTCTGCGAGGTCAGCGTGCGTCTACAACTGAGGAAGTGTGTGCAATACCATCCTCTTCCGCGGCGTCGTCTTCTTCTACTTCAAAATCGTCCTCATCCTTCACAACAGTCGTGGCCCTAGCACGTCTGCGCTGTGAGTTCGATGCACCATATGCAAATGGCTCCTCATCATCGGACGACTCCGCGTACGTAACAACCTTTTTCGCCTTCCGGGAGGGGCTGCTTCCAACTATCTCAAGCTTGACGGCACTCGACTTGGAACGAGTGGGCGCTGTGCTGGGCGATGGCAGGTCGCTTGGTATCTGGTTCTCTTGAGAGCTCGGAAATTCGAGGGCGTCGCTATTCATGGTCGTTTCGAGTTTCGTCTTCTTCATCTTTGGGAGAGCGTTGGCATTGGTGGACTCTTGAAGGTAGGGTACGGGGCTGTTGACCTTTTCTGAGAGTGGCGAAGAGGCGGGAGCGGCGGCAGGGGACGACTTTTGGAAAAAGGACGCGATTGAGCGCTGCTTCTTGATTGTGGAAGACTTATTCGTGGTTGAAGCTGGAGGCTTCGCCGGAGTACGGCTTGCATCAGGCGTTGGCCCTGCCATGACGGGCAAGGGAATGAAGGCTAGGTTTGCAGACAATCAAAAACAAATACGATCAAGTAGACAGATCGCAAAGAATTCGGATTAAGTCAAGCAAAGTTGCAGGTCATGAGAAGTGACGAGATGCTTGGGGTGAAATTGAGATGGGAGCCAGCCGCGTGCACGCGTAGCGCGTCGCCTGTCGCGTTAAGTGGTGACACACAGTGCACAGATGCCAGGAGAGCCGCTAAGATTTCCTACCCCGTGAAACTGGCACTGTGTTTCTTATCATCCAGTGATCCACCGCTTTCCTTGTTCAGACTCCCGAGTCCTGACCACATCTTGGGTGTCGAGTGCACCCGACATGACAATCTATCGCCCAGAGGCGCGCCCGGTCCCTATCTGATGTCCCAACTTCAATTGCCTTCTTGACCTTGACAGTATCTCAGATGCTCTCGGATAAGCGCGGCTGTCGTATGCTTGCACTGCGCTTCCAAGCGCTGCATGGCCAACCACGAGTTCACCGAGATCCCATCCATCATTCAATGCCAGATTTCCACCAAATCCTGCAAACGGGCTCAGTGCGTGGTTCGCATCGCCGATGAAGATGAGTGGGAAGCCATCCACTTCCTCGTGCCGAAATGGCTGTTTGTCCCTTGCGTTGATGCAAACGGTTGCTGACCCATTCGTACGATCCACGAGAGTGTTGAACGGCTCCTCAAGAGCCTGCCCCAGGACTCTAGCTCTTTGGATGACCTTCTCGGCTGCTCTCTCTTCTGGGGTTTTTATTTCGTCTTCAAGATGGCCCACTGCCCAGAACACAGAACAAGGATCCACCGCTGAGTAGAAACACGACACTCCGTCGCCAGCGATCTGAAAGCCCCAGTCAGAGTCCAGTGGTGGAGGCAGTGTCCCTTCAAATCGAGCGAGTCCGCCTCTCAAGACAGCACCTGTATATTCCAAAAAGTCGCCCGGTCGGTGGGACTGCCGCATCTTACTGCTGGCCCCGTCCGCGGCGATGAAGAGGCTGCAGTCAACGTGGCTCTGCTCCCCATTGTGCTCGAACAGCACCCTGGCTTTGCCGTCTGTCAGCTTTGACACCTTCCGACAGTCTGTGTCCCATTGTACGGATACATTGCGCGCGTCTCTGATGGCCTCGTGAAGGATCTTTCGAAGGGACTTTCGTGTGATCCTCAGGCTGCCCACTGACATGCCCTCCTTGGGCTGGCGGTGGAAGGATTGTTTGACGTTCCAGTCTTTATCCCAAATTTTGAAAGATCCGCGGTGCACTCCCGTCACAGCCCGATCAAGGACCTTTTCAAGGAGATGCATCTTTCTTAGTGCTGGCAGACCGCCGCACTCGTCGTAGCCAGACAAGGAGAGGCCATAGTCCTCCCGCTGCGCAGTGGTGTTCTGCGAGTCACGTTCGAGTATGACAACGGTGGGAGGGACATGATCGGAAGGCCAATTTTGGATCAGAGACACAACGAAGGCTGAACCAGCTATGCCAGCCCCAGCAACAACGATAGTCTGACCACTGAGGTAATGCTCCATGACTGGGAATTGGGTGAAGCTTGGAAGTATAAGGACAGTAGTTGGACTTGAGCTCGAACTACCTGGGAGAACAGGGCGGCGGTTCAGCTGGGGCTGGAATCATTTAGTCTTTCACCGCAAACGCGTCTTGCTCAATACTGGACCAGGTACCCGAGTGGCACCAGTGTTGTTCTGGCCTCACATGCCGCGACGGTTCCTGAACAATGAATCGGGATCCACCCTGCATACACTGACTTCCGATTTAGGCAGTGAAGCGACTCAAGCAATCATCACTCACCTCAGCTGCTGAACTTCAATCTGGCCGAAATATGGGTAAAGTAGTGACTGAGGCTGCACCTCTGTTCCCCTTGAATCTTTGAAATACGCTGCTGCTGTTGAGTAGTGGCTAGGCTGGAAGTGCCTTTCCTACGTTCGCGATAGGTAGTGCTGGATGATGTTGAGCCCATGGTTTCCTCAATACGTGTATATCTTCTCACGGTCTTCTCCGAGAAGAAAGCCTCGGTTGATTCCAGGGTCTATCTTCTATGTTGCCATCTCAAAGTCGGTGATCTATGAAGTGAAGCTGCCGATTTTCTCGAATAAATACGCACCATGTCAGCTCCAAAAAGCCAGCCATTTGCACGCACACCCCGCATCCGCACCTGCCTGTCCCTCCATCGAAAAAATCCAAGAGACACATTCCAGCAGCTCAACGATGATCACAACCCCATTCCTACTTCTTGACGCTCTTCTTTGAAACGATCTGGCTCAAGGATACCTCCCAGTTCATATCGCGAGAAGATGGCGGATCTCGCTGCGCCACCGGTGCTATCGACTCCGGACGATCACATCCTCACAGCCGAGCCACCGCTGCCCCCAGCTCAGAAGTCAACCCAGTCAGCCGACGTCCTGTCTCGAACTTACGAGATTCCTCGAACAATCGACTCCCTCATCGCAGGCGGTTACAAGCGCATAGCACTCCAGTTCCCAGATACACAGCTACCGGACGCCCCCGCTGTATCAACTGCTCTCTCGGACCAATTGCCACGAGACGCAAAGGTGCACATCCTCGCAGACACAAGCTACAGCGCGTGCTGTGTCGACGAGGTGGCAGCCGAACACGTTGATGCTGAGGTTGTCGTGCACTATGGAAGGGCGTGCCTTAGCCCAACGAGCCGCTTGCCGGTCATCTACATCTACACTTCGCAGGAACTAGACCTCCTAGATGCTGTCACCAAGTTCGAGTCGGAATTTCCCGACAAGAATGCGAAGGTGATTGTCATGGCGGATTTGACGTACCATCACCATGTCACTCCGCTCGTCGAGTCGTTAAAAGAAAAGGGCTACACAGGCATTCAACGGACAGAGGTGGTCCGAGACCCGAACGGCTTGATACCAAACAGAAGCATACCCTTCGACCTCACGGCAGACGATCTTAGGGCATGTTCCCTCTTCCACGTGTCCGACCCACCCACGTCCGTTCTTCTCGCTCTGTCTTCACGCTTCATATCTCTTCACGTGCTGTCCGCGCAGTCATCGACCGTCGAGAACCCCACGATGCGCACAGCGGGCTTGCTCCGCCGACGTTTCGCACGCGTCCTTTCCCTGGCGTCTGCAGGGGTCATTGGAATACTGGTCAATACTCTCTCCATTGCCAATTCCTCGTCCTCAATAGACAATCTCAGACGCAGAATCGCCGATGCAGGCAAAAAGAGCTATACAGTCGTCGTGGGAAGACTCAACCCCGCGAAACTGGCCAACTTTTCTGAAGTGGAAGGATGGGTGGTAGTTGGGTGCTGGGAAGGTGGGCTCGTCGAGGAGGACAGCGGGTACTGGAGACCAGTGATAACACCATTCGAAATGGAGGTCGCTTTGACGAAAGAGGAGGACCGTATATGGGGCGGTGAATGGTGGGGTGGCATAGAGAAGCTTTCTCTCGCCCAGGAGCCAAAGGAGGAGAAAACGGAAGTGCAGCAGGATGATGCAGGCGACGTCCACGAAGCAGACGAGGGCGTAGAAGGCGAAGAGTCAATGCCACCAGAGTACGACCTGCGCACGGGAAAGCTGGTCAGTCACAGTCGGCCCATGCGGCTGGCCGTGAGGGATGCTCCTGACGCGAGAACAAAGTCGAGCGACTCAGAGACACTGATAAAACGGGCAGCTCCCGGCGAAGTCGTGAGTATCAATGGCGTTGCCAGCCCGGGCGCTGAGTTCCTCCGCTCAGGGCGGACATGGCAAGGCCTGGGCAGCGATTTTCAGGATAACAATGAAGCAAGCACAGTCGTGGAAGAGGGTAGGAGAGGCGTGGCGCGCGGCTACGTCGTTGGTGAAGGAGAGAAGCATTGATACCTAAAGAACTATATACCTCATGAAATCGTTGGTCATATACCCATTTCCACGTTCATGCCCAACTCCACATCCGTCTACACGTAAACCCTCCTGTGAGAGTGGTGCGAGTGCCTTGAGCCCGAGTGGCTCCTCCTGTGCGAATGCCTGCTCGAATGGTGACGGTCCCGCCTGGCATATTCGACATGGTCATCGCCGTGGAAGAAAGCCGCGATCGCGGTGCAGAAGAACTGAATGGCGGCAATGATTCCGAAGGCGAAGCTAGCTTTTAGCATGGCGCAGCGTTTCTCTGTCCGCCAGCTGATGTCAGCGCCAGGGCCCGAGACCTGGATATCCCCCAAGTTGGCCGTCCAGTCATCTCCCCGCCCAAAGCTGACGGTGGTGCAATCCTCGCTTGCGATCCCTCTCAGATAGTAGACACCAGCGATGAAAGCGCCAACAAAGGCAAGGTCGACCAAGGCAATGAAGCGACCATTGCTACTGGAGCGATGATACGAGAACACGGTGAACAATGCCCATGCCAAAGCGAGAGTCGATACAATGAAGAGGACAAGTATGGAGGCGGGTGTTAGAGCATTGGCCTTGGTGAAGTTGTCGACGAACCAAGCGAGCATGCCAACTGTGGGGATCTGTACTTGTCAGTTGCGATGCGCCCAGCGGGGGCTTGCATAAGTCCTACAAGAATCAGGAGTTGCAAGATGCGAGTGGTCACGAAGAAGACGGCGAAGAACATCCTGGCTTTCGATGCGCGCGGACGCGACTGTGCTCAAACGTGTGAAGCTTGGTCAACAACCGGGGAAAAGAAGAGGGATGGCGAAGAGAGAGTACACGAGCTGGCGCCAGACGGGGAGATGGGGGTTTTATGCAGGTGTAGTGCTTGCATGGTGATGCCCTCAGGGACCAATCAGAGCAAGAGCGCATGAATGTGAGGTGGTTGGGACACGCAAAGTAGAATCTAGAACAGAAAATCTAAGCGCATCATACTGAATGGGCGGGTCCGTGACGTGCGTCTTCAATCTCATGCCGCTTTTTTCTTGTCTGTCAAGCCGCTCCATGCGTGTGCGACACAGTCAATATTGACGTTGTTGTTGATGTTGAGGCCCGTTGCTACAGTGCTTCCGCATGACGTATTTCCCGTCGAGCGTATATCCCTGTTACATTTCATGCGATGGTGTTCTTGAGTGATTGTGATTCATGCGCTTTGCTTTGTGAAAGATCTGTCGAAGCTGGGATCCGGAAGTCGGTCGGGACTCGTGGTGAGACAGGTGCCGTGGCTGCTGAATTTGATGAAAACGTGCGTGTTCCTGTTGCCGTTGCCGTTGGGCAGCGATGATGTGTGGTGTGGCTGGAAGGTCGAGTGACAATTGAGTGGCTGGTGTGTTGTCTCATTTAGGTTACCCTACATGCAGCAACGCACCTGAAATAACAGCGCCAGTATTGCGTATGTATAGCCAAGGTGAGAGCAAGTATTCATGTTCGATTAATTCCATTTCTAAGGAGTACCTCCGCATCTTCAGGCTTACCGGACTTCAACTGAGTGTTGCTGTTGCCAGCGTGCACCACCACGAGGTCTGTATCCTTTTCGCGGAAACGCGAACCCACAGCCACTCGCATTGTGGCCGATACAACCAATAGCACTACTTCGGCGTCGAGCGTCTGGGTTTCCAAGGCACTTCCGTTGCACCTCAAATTTGTCTTGCTGCTTGCGCAGTATGGATTTAGACATAGTGCTTATAATCACAGTGAGGCAGTTCTTATCAGGATCTAGCCCGGTGCATTACATCGGAGTTTCGATGCAAAATCGTACCCGGCCCAGTGGCGGGGGTGAAGCGGGGTTTCTGAATCCTGATTCCCTGTCATTCTCGTTCTCGTCTCCCACGTTTCTTAGCTTTTAACTTCAGATACGGATACAGATTCGCAAGTTCAAGCCACCAACTTTAGGAATATTGCAAGTACCGAAAGTGCCTATTTTCCTACATAGATTTCAACCTATGAACATGTTCCTTATGGTCCCTCTGAAAAAGATGCCGGCTGCTAGGCTAGATTGATGACGGGACAATGAACCCATGTAGATACAGAATGCCATGCCCAGAACGCCATGTTGCTGACAATTGCCATTGTGCCATACATATCCCATACTGAGGAAAGTATTCGGCATGTTTCATTGGCGAGTCAAATGACCCTTCTGCAGGAACTGTGCCAAGACGCCGTTGTACTTGTGTTCGAGGCTGTAAACCTGAAGAAAGCTGGGATAATATGCACGTCGGAGAATCCTCCTACGCTCTATTCTCACCCTCCCCCTAGTCTCACAGTCCTCACTACTTGTCTTGCCCCGCCTCGGTTCCTAGTACTTAAAGCCGTCAATTTGCCTCTGACATTGTTATCGCCGTCATCAACTGCCTTATACGTCTGTTACTCTTCGAACATAACTCATAACTTCGCAATGCCAGGGGAATCAGCCAGCACCCGTTACAACACCTTGATGAAGGACATGCCGCGAACCGAAGCCGGCTCGCAACCCCTGGAGGTGTTTCGACAGCTCGGCACACGCGAGGAAAGTCTCTCAGCGTGGGAGGAGAGGGACGAGGTGAAGTATGTGCAGGAAATGCACCCCAAGGTGGACTTCAAGAAGACGGTAATGGAACCCATCGGCAGGTTCACATTCGATCTCCAGGTACGTTTGCTGCAGTGAAGCCAACATTTGGAGTGGACGCTCGACCTCACCACAAGCACAGGAGCAAGTCGACGACGAGAATCAGCGGAGGATCCATGATCTCCTGTCTCAAGTCATGTCAACTTCGAATGATGTCCCGGAAGGTGTGCGTCAACTCAAAGAAGCACGCAGATGTCTAGCTGGATACCCAGGTGTTCAAGGCCAATTTGACAACATCTTCCTCCAGAATGACCCAGAGGTTTTGGTGGCCAAGCTGCAGGGCATGAGTAAGTTACGAGGCGAGATCAATAGCGAGATGCAAAAGGAGCGGCGAGATTCGCGACAGGTCGAGAAGGAGTGGCACTAGTCAAGAGACCGAGTCGTTATCAGAAGACATCCTGTTTCTTTTGTAAGTACATAGGTTTTCAAATTACAGCCATTTTCATCGGTCAGGTCGCGTGGCCCAATGGCAAGGCGTTTGACTACGATTCCTGTACATCAAAAGATTGTGGGTTCGATCCCCACCGTGACCTTTCGTTTTTGCTTTTTGCCGTCCTCTCACTCTAATGCGATCACGGAGTCTCCGTTAATCACTTTACTCTGCCACGTCTGCGGCTATCATCCACAAATCTTGACGCGATGTTCTATTCATTTGAATGAGGTTACAAACCGTGAGCCGTCGAACTTTTCGATTAGGAATATTTACGCGCTACGAATTACTACAGGCATCATGGCTCCTCATCGAAGTCCCTTATCACTAAAGACTGGCCCGCCCCAGTGCCAATTGACTTTTTCTCATCCATCTTCAGAAAACCCCCCAGACCCCCCAAACTCGACGTCATGTCCATTCGTTGGCGAATCGGCAAATCGTGATTTGTCGAAGACTTTGTCGAAGAAGGAGACGTCGACATGCCTGGAAGTCCCACATCCTCGGGTGCGAGAAAGCAGTACGACATGGAATGCGAAGGATCGCTGAAAGGCCAAGTCTGCGCCCACGAAGGCGCTTTCACGCGCGCAATGAGATGGTAGTCGACACCGGCACCGTACTTGAGCCCTGGCGTATCGACGCTAATCGCCGCGAGCGTCTGCAGAGCCCCATATAGCACAATCCAACGTGTGCGACGAGCGAGCTGCGGGTCAACAGACAGGTCTTCCTTCTCAAACCGCGAGAATGCCGTGAGCAGGTCGGTTGGTGAGGCGCATCTTTCGAGCGCGTCCATGTTCACGCTCTCTGTATATGCTAAGGCGACCCGCTTGTCCCTTTGCCTCGATGCTGGTACATGTTCTGGTACGAGGGGATGAGGCCCTGGGATGTGAGGGATTCTGGCGCGGTTGTCGAACTCGATGACAATGTCTGTCATGGGAATGACGGAATCGGCGTCGAACGAGTGATCCCTGCAAGACGACATCATCCACTTCCGGCCTGCGCGTGCTTCTGATACATCCCACGACACATCACGATCGACCAGCAACTCGTACAACGCACCGAGATCTTGTTGGAGTGTGGTGACAAGCGATCGCGTGAGCCAACCCTCCTCGCGAACCGGAGGCCAGGCTCCGTATACCGACCCGTAATGCCTCCGGAGAAACAGCTGAAATGCTCGTGCCGAGGAATGAACAGACTTGGTACAGTCCAGAGGGAACATGTCGCTAAAGCCGAAATCAGCGAGACGGTCCTCCTGTGTTTGGATCAACAGGGACATCTCCAGATTTGACTTTCCCAGCAGTGCTTTCGTCACAGCGGGAACATGGGGCCAGTCTGTGCAGCTTTCTAGCGAGTCGTGCATTCCAACACAGTGCACGAACGCCTCGCGCCACCCCTGCGCCCAAAGTCGATCCGACCACGCGAGGATGGATACGGCTGTCTCGGGGTTGCTGCGCACATCGTCCAGTCCGCGGGCTACGATGTAGTGAAGCAGCTGCGACAGTATCTCGGGCTCTCTCTGCAGTCGGGTTTCTAGGTCTTGCAGTGCCTGGTAAAGCGAAATGCCGACCAAAGCTGCCCTGTGAATCAACGCAAAGGTGTTTCGCGTTGTGACCTGATGCCTCAAGCTCTCTGTCCTAGTCAGCCCCGGGGGAGGCGGGAATGAGAGCTCGTAGGAAATTCCGTCCTCATATTCGTCCTCTACTATACTTTGCTGAAGTTCCATCATCAGGTATTTGTTTCGACTGGTCTCGATGACTTGAGATGATACACGTAAGCTTGGTTCGTCACTCTGCCCGAGGAAGACGAGGACATCGCCGTTCTGATCCCACAGCTCGGGATCTTTCCGGAGCTTGCTCCATCGTTTGGCAGGCCTTCCACCACCGGCGAAGCGCTTCAGCACTGGCGGTGGAGTCGAAGGCAACTTGGTCGATGGCGGCGGCGTTGGCCAATGGATCTCAGGAGGCTCTTCTGTCCGCGGCGAAGTCGGGTATGGAGTTGGCGTTGGGCCGGTTGGATGCGAGCTCGCGGAAGGCCACTCCTGCAAAGATCTTGATTCAACAGGCGACAGTGTGGCCTCGTCCTTTTTGCCAAAGCTGAAGGCCTTGCTCAGCCCTTTCCGCACATTGTCGCTACGCTTGTCGATGAGGCTACGGAGCCCACTCCTCTCGATACCACTCGGATCGCATTCGCTGGGGTCGCTGCCAGAGCTGATACTCGACGCAGCCTTTCCTTCGTATATGGAGTCCGTACGGTGGCGTGGCAGCTGCGCCAGACGCGAATGCGTCTGAGTTGACTTTTTTCTCGCTGAGGCACTGCGAGCTGACATTTTGCATTTGAACTTGCACTTGAATTATGGAAGAAGTATGCAGTTCGAAAGCTGAGTCTCCCAAATCAAGTCATGGCGTTCATGCCGCTTTTGCAACCATTTCACGCGAACAAGAGTGACTGGCTCGATAAGACGCATTCGTGGGGGTGCAGCGACGGCACGGCATGGCGTGCATGTTGCTATCATTCAGTGACCGGACCAACGACGGTCTTACAGAAACCCCCCTACCTAGTGGCTAGTGCAAGTCGATTAGGCCAATCCTTGTGGTCGGAGGACATCCTGACAGCTGAATCCATAAAGCCATGTGGCTATCAGCCGGAACGGGGCGACGCGCGGGTCCTGGCTTCAAGTTTACAACGAACCGCCCAACTATTGATGTCGATGTGCACATGCAGTACGGATACGCCAGCAATATTCCTTCTTCTTTGTCCATCAGGGTGACCGGGGAACATGCCGCGGAGACCCTCGTTTTCACCTTCATGGACAAGACTGACCTGTTGAAACTGGCAGATGCTCCGATGCCTGTCATCCCGTTGCTTTTGTCCTTATCGCTGCGACAAGAGCCAATCACAATCACAGACTCTGGCACATGTGAAAGCACACCTTGGGGATATGTGAGCAGTCACCTCATGGGGCAGGGTCTTTCAAGTGCCAGACTCTTCGAATCAGGCTCCAGGGCCGGCAAGACACCAATTATGGTACGTACATACCTATAAGACGTCGCTTGTGATAAGGCCCATTGGGTACACGGGCCGGATGATACGGTGACACCTGTCATAATCACAGGTGGAGTGCCCGGGTAACTTTCACATCGTTTTCTCGTCTCGTTTAGGGCAGACCCGGCAGAGCGTCGCAAGTCCAATTGAGATAACAGAAAGATTGACTTCAACTACTTTGTCATGTCCACTTGGACCCCTGTCTCCACAGTTGGACGTTATCGGTCAAATCAGAACCCTGCACCACGCTCACGGTATCTGGAGGATCGTCCTGGGGAAACAGGGGAGCGCAAATCTTCAACTTGAATTCAAACCGGACTGAAATCGAGCTTGGACGTGGTTTCTTTCACTTCAATGGCTGCCGCTGGCACCTCGAGCTCTTTGTCCCGGGTGAAAGCTGGGGATGTGTACCTTCACGCGGAGTGTCCCTCGGGTGCAATTGTGAGATGACAAGGGTCCTGATAAGCTTAATGCTACTGAATTTCCTGCGCGGGCTCCTCGGTCTCGCGACTCGGCAGACCACCCAGAACCGAGACATTTCATTTCCAAATTGCATTTGCTGGACACACACTGTGGTCCAATTCAGACGGGTCAATACTGGTCCTGCCTCCAGAGATGAGCGTGACCCTTCGCTGGTTCATGATGGCTTGGTCGAGACAAGTCATCCCCCATGCGCCATTGAGGAAAGCTGCGCATCAGCCAGTGCTAGTCAGGTGTCTCCCTTCACTCGCGACCGGTGGCTCCATGTGGCGCTTCAAGTAGAGCGAAGCGAAATAGAGGTATCCTGCGTCGCTTAGGTCCTCACGCAGAGCTTCGATCAAGCGGCCATCGCTTTGGTCCCTCGGGAATAATTACGCGACGGTCGTCGTTCGCTGCTCCGGAAGTACGTAGGCGAAAGCTCGGTACATATCCAAATACCCACCAGGCTTGGTGGTCGACCCCATGCTTGCCAAGGTGCTCTCTGTACGTACCCATCACGTATCATGCGAATAGTGCCACAGCCGCGACGCCTAACCTTGGCTATTGCGCGTACATTACAACGACGTGACTCTAGCAAATACTTGGGAAATCAAAGGGTTCGCCGTGTGAGAATCCCCTCTGCAGGTGATTTGGATAGTCACAAATGTCGTGGATCAATTACAAAAGTATTATTTACGCACAAAAGTAAACATATTCCGTCCATATAATGCGCCGCCATCGGGTATCAGTATCGCCTCTCCTACCCCAGAGACATATTCCGTGCGCTCATGTGCTATCGTGTTCGTGTTCGTATGCCGTCTTCGTTCGTAGATGTTTGTCTGGTGTATCAATTAAGCACCAGCGTACGGCGTGGGCTTGGCGGTCGAGGTGCTACGACCGCGCGCGAAGCCCATGCCCTCCCAGATGGCCAGACCCGTGAACACAATCCAGTTGAAGAAGCCGAAGACGACACCGGCCTGCGCGCTCTGGCAGAAGTTGTTGCCGTTGCAGTCGGGGATGCCCACGAGGACAGCCATGGCAATGCTACCGGCGAACCAGAAGAGGGCCGTGAGAGCGAGCAGGGCCAGGGCTGCGACGGGGATGTACAGCGAGGGAGCCACAGCAGGCGTGATGGCAATGTAGATAAGGATGAGGATGGACCAAACGGTGGTGAAGAGCATGAAAGCGAACTGCGAGGGCGATTCACCCCACCAGTTGCGATGAGTCTGGCCCACGACTGGCGCATTGTTAGCATACTTGGGGAGAGAATGGTTGTAGCCTATATACCATAGCCGGTGAGACCAAGCTCAATGATCAAGAGCAACGCCGCAAAGGCGTAGACAATTGTGAGTTTTCCGAAGCTGCCCAGATTCATGATGGCGGTTCTTCGTCTGCCGCGCTGAGAAGTGTGTTTTGTGGTCTGCTGTAGTCGTTGGTTGAGGGACAAGTAGCTGAATGCGCGTCGCACAAATTCTTCTGGGCTTAGATCCGGTGTCGTTCGCAGAGAGATATGTTCTTGAACGGTTCGAGGTGGAGTGGGAGAAGTGGACGTCGATCGGATTTGAAGCTCGCGAACCCTCAGCTGACAATTATGCTTTAAGTTTTCGTTCGGCTCGCTCCTTCGACTCACTGATTTGCAGCCCAGCATGACGTGAGCTCGACCCATGACCTCATGCTCCTTGGCACTCTCGCGATATTTCATTCGCTGCCAAGATGCAACGCGTACGCATCGTCGCTGAATCCGGCCATTGACCCCCTGTCGCTCTAATTGTGGCTTGGGTATCCGTACCCTGCGCCGCATAGCCGTTACTCGCCCCCAGATTCAAGACGGCGCCAATGAATGTCAAGACGATCAACAAGAAGGCTAAGCGCAGGCCGCTGTCATTAAGCCTTGCTTAGATTCCAGCGTGATAATTACCTTACATATTATCGTGAGATCCAGGTACATTTTTCTTGGTTTGGGTTTACACGCTTAGCACTTTGAACCGCATTGAGTGCCGGATCCCTCGCCTTAGCTCTTCCTCGGCCCGCACCCACCAAAGTCAATGGCATCATGACGTTTTCTGACCGAGCTAGGAGCTGAAGACGTCAACGCGCCAGTTTGGCGGTGGGCCATGAATGCGACGTTCGCGAACGCATCAGCCTAGCTCAGTGTGGTCACAACTACGGCAATGTGAAATTCGGTTACACAGACCGTGATGATCGTCTCATGCTCCGATACTTCAAATGTCAGCATTAGGCTTTGACGGGAAAGCGGCGGACTATCGGCTCGTCTCCCATGTATCATGACTGCTTGCACTTCACAATCGCTACGCGGAACCACCACTCGCTGATGATCAGTACTACCTCGCCATTTCCCCTTCTAGTGAGCCCTTAGGCAGCCCTCGCCAGCTTATCGAGAGAGGCTACGAGATGCCAGGCTCGATTCCTCTCGCATTAGCCAGGGAAAGACAAAACTGCGCTGGTTCAAGTTCACAGGCTGCATGTCGCTCTCGGGTGCTTGCCCATCAAATAACCACTGTGCCCAAGGTTGGTTTTCGCCTTGGGCTTCGGAAGAATCATCGGTCATTGGGGCATCGACAATTGCCGTTTGGCTCGTCGACTGCGAACAGGGACTAGTCTCGACCGTCGTTGTATTTGGCTGGCTTTGTTGTGCTGAGCGGCTGTCTGTTTGCTCATCCTCATCATCAACAAAGTTTGCCTGACGAAGCAGGCTGTGTATGGCCAGGCGCTGGCGTATACGCGCTGCCGAGGAAAGCTGCGTAGTGAGGTCTCTCTCTTGCGCAGTCCCAGAAAGCTTCGGTGAAGAAAAACGACTAGGGGCTGGCTCATGCGACGAGAATACACCTATTAGCCTGCGCAATTCGGTGATGATGGGCCTGACAAGCATGGAGCGTGGGAAGAACCGCTGCACCACTGACAAACACATATTGGCTCTACCGAGCGCAAACTCCTCACTCGTTCGCTCGCTGGTTTGTCCAAAGCGCGCCGTGAAAAGGAGCATCCGTGATGCGGTGTAAGCGCAAATAGCCGTGTCAAACTCGAGCAATCGCGTCGGCTCCTCCACCAATGTGGAGTTCATGGTAGCAATCGTGTGAACCGACATTTTGGCATGGTGTATGCACATCGCTTCGGCGTGATCGAGAAAATCGACTCCGAGAGCGTCCAGGACCACGCGTGGCGCAGCGTCTCGAAACCTGCGCAGAACCAGTCGGTAGAGATCAATGTGAATCTGGTGAAACGACAGCCTCATGATGAGGTACCTTGGCAGCCATTGGCTGGTAATCCAACGTTCCAGCTGCTCTTGCGTCGGTTCAACGCCGTCCGGCAGCAGCGTCCCAATCCGGTCTAGATGTTGCTGAAAATCATTCATCATCTTGGGTAAGCTGGAGAATGGCTGATCACAGAGCGCCAATGACCGATTCAGCTTCATCACATCGCGACGAAACATCTCCAGCTTGACGCTGATGTGGTATGATCCCTGGTCATCTAGAGTGCTCCAGTCCCAGCCGTCGGAACTGAACTGATACTCGACGCAAGGCAGTTGAATGTAAATGTTCTCCACGGGGCAGAGCTCGAATTCAGGCAATCCGACCGAGAAATAACGCTCGACGAGCTTCAGTGACCACATCAGCCGTCTTCTGACCTCGAGTGAGGTTGCCGAGGAGTCGGGCCGCTCGTGGTTCAAGCGCAAAGCAGTGGCCGCACGCCCAGCCAGCGAAGCAAGCATGAATGCCCTCCGCAGCTGTCCAGTTTCGGCTCGATATAGGATGACTAGCAACATGGCTTGAAGGCGAGAGATCGAGGGAGATTCGAGATGCTGCCATATCATTGTTTCGGCCTCTTGTACCCACGCAGATTCGAGACTGGGAGATCGTTGTATGCCTGGAGCACGCACGCTCGATACCGCGGCAATGGCTATGACAAGGCTTCTGTCAATAGAGTCGTTTGCAAACTTTCGCAAGATTGTTGGCGGATGCAAGAACGCGTATGATGGGAGAGGGTAGACGTGTTGAAAAAATGCGTCGATCAGTGACGAAATGGAGCTCAGCGGCGATGTGGATTCGGCATTGTCGGTCGCCACGGCGGCCTCAGCTGGTTGCGATGCTTCTCTTCTCAACGGCACGCTTGCGTATTCGCACAGAGTAGACTTCCTCAGACATGTTGCACATGGTCTCTGCCCGGTACACCGGATCTTGTGCTCTCGGCATCGCGTGCACGCCTTGCTCACCCGGCGCGGCTCCAATCGTGGGAGATTGTTAGCGCCATCGTGGCGCGCGGACTGATGTTGGTATTGGCAGTCGAACTTGAGGCGAACGCAGTTGTCGCATGGTGGTACGCCTGGCGTGTTGGAGATACACCGAACCTGCAAGTTCGCGGATTAGCCAAGCTCAGGCGTGGGAGGGCGTCGTCGCCAACCTTGCGCTGTCGACACGGCAGGCATGTCTTCCTGGGCGTCTTTGTGGTCGAAGAAAAGGTATGTGTCATGCCCTCCATACCCTCAGCGATCAAGGCTCAATGCTCGGGGGCCGAGCGACATTGTGCTGCGTGCCGGGAAGCGAGGGTTGAATGATGTAAGGTGAGGAACGGAATCAATGCCAAGGGCCCTCGTTGTGGGGAGGAATAAACTACCCGGAAGCATCGGGCTTCACAACTTGGAATTGCCTTTTGCGGTAAGTGGACCGTGGACCGTGGACCTCCATTCACCAAGGTTTAAGTACTTCCAGACAAATCAAGACTCCTACACACCACACCTTTGCTTGACTGTATCACATTCAGTCATCTTCACCTAAGCCCGGCACAATTCTGAGGGTGGCAAAACTTGTCAAGGTGAACGTTGCCTTTTGGGCCTGTCACGTGCCGTGGTTTCACCCGTGGTTTCACAACGTCACAAGAGAGGAAGGAGCGACGCGCCGACGATCAACGATTACCTACCTATGCTGAGCTTGCCATCAAAACGACCGCGACCCCGCATTGCTTGGCCGAGCTGAGAGCTTGCCTCCTACAAGTGCACCGGCAACATGAAGCTCACAATACTGTTAGGGCCGTTGTCCATAGCGGCATGCCTGGTGGGCGCCGCGGCCAATGACACCAAATGTGTCATGTACCTTACGGGGTCAGTAAACCTTGCGCAGGTCCTAGACCATAGCTGACAAAAAGTCAGGCAACATGTTGTGTTTCCTCCCAAGAACCTCGCATCACCTATCACCCACGTCATCATGGCCTTTCTACGCTCTGATGTGTTTCTACCCGAGGAACCGCCCGAGGAGTACCCTTTGTTCATGCCTGTAGAGGAGGTGCGAAACCACTTTGAGTCGGACACCAAGGTCACCGTTGCCATCGGTGGTTGGGGCGATACCGAAGGGTGGCAGATTGCTGCACGCACACGCGAGTCGAGGAAGAAGTGGGCTGAGCAGGTCAAGATTATGGTCGACAGGACGGGTGCTGACGGTATCGACATTGATTGGGAGTATCCAGGTGGCAATCGCGACGACTACAAAGAAGTCCCCAACTCGGAGCGCGTTTGGGAAATCGAAGCCTTTGTGAAGCTCCTGCAGCAGCTGCGCAGGACACTGGGCAGGAATAAGCTCCTCACCGTTGCGACGCCGGGTCAAGAAGTTGATCTCATTGCCTACACGCACAAAACCGTCCCCCGCATCATCGAGGAAGTCGACTTCATCAACGTGATGACATATGATCTCATGACACGCCGTCACAAAACCACCAACCACCACTCGGGCATCCAGCAGTCGCGCGACTCCATCCAACGATACATGGACCGCGGCGCACCCGCCGAGATGCTCAACTTGGGTCTAGGCTATTATGTCAAGTGGTTCTACACCACAGACGACTGCTCGCCCGAGGACCCCATCGGCTGCCCGACACTCCTGCTCGAAGACCCAGAGACGGGCGCCGATCTCGGCAGGACAGGGGGCTTCAGTTGGCACGATGAAGTTCCCGAAGACGTGATTGAATCCTTCGCACGTGCGCAAGCAGACGGCATGTACACCGAGGATGGCAGCTATGGGTACTGGGACGAAAAGGAGTTGCGCTGGTGGACGTTTGACACTCCCAAGTCGATTGCTCAAAAAATGTACGAGCTCGTTCATGGGATGAAGCTTGGAGGGGTTTTCGCTTGGGGGCTGGGCGAGGACGCTCCGGCGTGGAACCACCTCACAGCGACAGTTAAGATGTTGGAGTGTGAGGAAAAGGAGGAATTGTGAAGGACGGTGGTAAGCTGGTCAGTAAGGAGCGCAGCTTGCCGAGAAGCCGCTGTTGCAGCTACTGAATACTAGCCCTTGAAGCAGGATCCTGGAGGCTGAAGCAAGGATGAAAGATTCCACAGGGGGTTCTACTGGCTCCGTTAAAGCATAATGCACGCTTGGAGTAAACCAGTGCACATGTCCGACCTGTGCGATGTGATTGTTCAAGGAACAGACTTCGCTTAGTGGCGGGCGCCAGGCAGAGGGGCCAGGATCGTGGCCGGTTCCAGGAACAAATGCGAAGGTCGCAAACTGGAGGGTTGGGAATCGGGATCTCCACCACTACCGAGCGAATCACTTATGCTTATTGGCGCACATGCGGAGGATTGGGATCGGCATGATCCCACGTGCAGACGAGTCGCGAACATGAGGCAGCATGCCAGCAACCGATCAACTACTAATTATTGTCGACGGAAAAAACTCATGTTAATCAAAGACAAGAATGTACAGTATCAATGATACGACAATGGTGAGAAAAGTCAATTGGACCGAACGGGTGCCGTCGACAGTGGCACGGCAAAACTCCCCCCATAAAAAGAGTTAGGTACCGGCAGTAGGACACACGATCAACCGTCAATTGCCGGACAGCCAGGCCCATCTCGTGCGTCATCCTCACTCCCTTTTGGCAGGTACTTCTGCAATCGACGACCCTAGTCGACGGCTTGCCGCCAGGGCGGCATTGAGTCTTTGTCATAAAAGGCGCGATATCCCCTCGGCTCTCCTTGTCATGTGTCTTAGGCCCAAAGGGCTTTCGCATCTGCCAGTCGTTCAGCCAGCATCATGAAGTTCTCGTCCGCGTCTGCACTGGCCCTTGCGGCCGTGGCCTCAGCCAAGCCCTGTCCTGAGACCCCAGAGCTGCCCAAGCCCGTCGAGCGTATCGACCTCGGTCCCCGTCCCGGATACCTTGTTGACGACATGGACGAGGGGCCGCTCAAGGAGAAGCTCAAGCAGTGTCTGGACGACACCACGCCCTGGAGAGCCTCGACTTGGTCTGTCGCCCACCGCGGCGGTGCCACCCTCCAGATGCCAGAGCACTCGCTGCAGAACGCCATGGCTGGCGCGCGAATGGGGGCCGGCGTCCTCGAGTGCGACACGGCCTTCACCTCTGACCTAGAGCTCGTGTGCCGCCACTCGCAGTGCGACCTGCACTACACCACCGACATCCTGATGCGCCCCGAGCTGGCCAAGAAGTGCTCCGAGCCCTTCACGCCCGTCAAAGACGGCAAGCCTGCCTCGGCCAAGTGCTGCACATCCGACATCACGCTGGCCGAGTTCAAGACGCTTTGCGCCGAGATGGAAGGCCAGAACCCCGATGCCACCACCGTGGAGGAGTTCCACCCCTCCACTCCGAAGTGGAGGACCGACCTGTATGGCAGCTGCGCTACGATTCTGTCCCTCCAGGATCACATTGACCTCGCCCTCTCGCTGGGCCTCCTGCACACCCCCGAGTTGAAGACGCCCCAGGTGCCCATGCCCTTCAAGGGCAACTACACCCAGGAGAAGTATGCACAGCAGCTCGTCGACCAATACCGCGACAGCGGCGTCCCACCCAGCAACGTGTTCCTGCAGTCGTTCCTCTACGACGACATGCTCTACTGGCTCAAGCACGAGCCCGAGTACGCGCAAAACGCCCTCTTCCTCGACTCGTACGGTGAGACGGCAGCGACCTTCCCTAACGCCGTCGCCAACCTCACAAACTACAAGGCCGACGGTGTCCAGTGGATTGCACCTCCCATCCCCTACCTCGTCGCCGCCAAGGACGGCAAGATGGTCCCCTCGGAGTACGCCGAGAAGGCCATGGAGCTTGGCCTCCGCATTCTACCCTGGAGCCTCGAGCGCAGCGGTCCCCTTTACGACGTGAAGGAGAACGGCGACTACTACTACATGTACTTTAACGACGCGGTCAACAATGATGGCGACATGTACACCCTTCTTGACCTGCTCCATGAGGAAATCGGTATCGAGGGTATCTTCACCGACTGGGCGGCCACCGTCACCTTTTACGCCAACTGCATGAACATTCAGCTGTTGTGAGATGCACACAGGGTAGATATCTAAATGCGTACATGATGAGAGAGTTCTTTGAGCGTAGTGATGTATCTGTGCAAGTCCGGCGCCTCGGCCTGCCAAAACTTGAATTGCTGCACGACGTGGTGGATGCGTGGCTGCACGGCCTCCAGACCCCCCTGGATCCAGGATGTGTTGCCCGTCTTGATGATGACCACCAGGGTGAGCGAGGCAGACATGATGCTGCGCAGATCGTACCAGAGCCCGTGGTGTCGATGGCCACGCGCACGGACGTCAATGGTCTTGAGGGAGCAATCAATGCCCGACTGGATCAGAGAGTCGAGGTCCTTGTCCACGCCCCGCTCTACGCCCACGTGGATCAGATACCATAGGAAGGGCTGGTACAGCCAGGTCTGCATCTCCAGGAGGCGGTTGTCAATGGCCCAGCTGAGCTCGCGCGACACGTGGCCCCCTGCTTCGTACGGTGCGCGGATCATGCTGTTGGTCTCGTACTGCTGCATGGCTGGTGGCAGGTTGGCCTCCCAGGAGCTGACCTGCCTCTCAAACTCGCGCGCGATACCAAGCAGCGGTCGAATATCGTGCCAGCTTCGCCTGTCGAAGAATGTGTTGATGATGCGGTTGCCGATGCGTCGTAGGGCAATCTCTGTAAGGTAGTAGTACCAGCTCTCCTCCTCGTTGATCGACCCGGCCGGCGGGCTGGGGAAGAGCTGCGGATACTCGCCAAGGGAGATGTCGCTCTGCGGCAGGGGGAGCTCGACGCGAAACTCGCACTCGGACTTGAAGCAGGACCAGTACAGCGACTGCTCGATCCGCCGGCCGTCCGTGCTCGTAATGACCTCGGCAAACGTGTCGGACAACCCATGCGACGTGCGGAGGCAGAACTGCGTGTACGTCGACGCCTGGAGGAAGTAGTGGTAGCTGTGCAGCACGCGCAGGGTATACATGAGGTACACGCCGGCGAAGAAGTAACACTGTGCGCCAAGGATGGAGTACCGCAGAGACCCGAGCCTGCGGCACGCCAGCGTAAAGTAGGAGTCACCCTGCTGCAGCTCCTTTGCGTACAGCTTGGCCGACGACTCGGCCTGGACAGTGGTTCCAAATGGCCTGGTGACGGCGCCGAGGGCACACGCCATGAGAACGAGACAGCTCGCCCCGTCCCAGCCCACGCCGTTCTCCGCGCAGCGTCTGGCGCTCTTGAGAAGGTCTTCCACGTCGAGGATGGGGTTCTTGGTGTAGACATTGACTAGGAAGCGGTCGATCAGCAGCGGAATCTGCTCCTCATCAAACGGCACAAGGGCTGTGGGCGGCGTGATGAGGTCGCCATTCTGGTTCTGCGTAAAGAGCTCACTGATGAGGGCGTTGGGCGGATAGGCTCCGTTGAAGACAGGCCACTGCAAGATGCTATCCGCGCTAGCACAGTGAGGCGGGATGCGCAGAAAGTCTCGCGATGGCTCAAACTGGGTCGGCGAGGGCTGGGGTGGTGCCGGGACGTGTAAGGGTTGGGACTGTTGGCTCTTGGCAGCGCTGAGCTCCTGATGGAGAGCGTCCAGTCTCTTGAGGATTGTGCTCGTCGCCGTCTCCAGTCTGGCATGGCAGCGTCAGTGAAGGAAGGCGAAGAAACGGGCTTGAGGTGACCAACGTGATCTTTTCGCTGCCATCGTCGAGATACTCGCAGGATGTGTTGCTGGCCTCACACAGCGCGCACTGCGGCCTCTTCTTGTCACATTTCACCTTGCGCAGGCGACACGTTTGGCACGCCGCTTGTCGCCTCTGGCCAACGAGTCAGTCACTACCTGGAATCGCCCTGTCCCTGACTTACACCAGATGTCTGTCCCAGCGTGTCTCGCTGCCTCTTTGCGGGCCGTTCGGGCTTGTCGCCACCCCCAGCTTCTTCTGGAGAATATGCAGACATCTCCACGTGGAGCAGGCCTCTTCTTGTGACCCCAGAAGGCAGAGATGCGGGTGGGAGCCTTGAAGGTTCGGGGATCTCGGTGTCGGAAGGTTTTAAGATTAAATCGGGGAGCTCGGGGGCTTTGGACGGTCGGGGCGGGGAACCAGGAACATAATTCCGTAGCACGTCGTATCAAGTGTTTAGTTCATATTATTGAATAAGAAGCCGCAACATCACATCAGTTAGCCTGCCCGGCTAGCTCAATCGGTAGAGCGTGAGACTCTTACACCAACAAGGTCCACATATCTCAAGGTTGTGGGTTCGACCCCCACGTCGGGCTATTCCTATATCTTTTTTTTTTTAATTTAGTTGGCCAAAATAAATTTTTACCATTGTATTTTTCTCTCTATCTCTTAGTAATTAATCTAACTAAAATATTTTTTTATTTTTTTCCATTAGTCTTTAAATTATAGAAATTTAAAAAAAAATTACTATTATACATAGCCAAAAAGATATAGGAATAGCCCGACGTGGGGGTCGAACCCACAACCTTGAGATATGTGGACCTTCGCTTGTTGGCGTAAGAGTCTCACGCTCTACCGATTGAGCTAGCCGGGCAGGCTAACTGATTGTTGAACAGGGGTGTGCAATTAAGATAAATATAGCAAATGTTTACAGGCCAATGGTTTTGTGACTTGGAAAAACAGATGCTCGTGCAAGGACAAGGGCAGGTTGCTTTGGAGGCAGGTTTAAAGAACAAGGCAGATTTCGCTCTGAGTTCCAATATTCATGACCGTCGTCGGTTACACTGGTTCGGCCCTAAGCCCAGGTGTCAAGGCTCAAGAAAGGGGTAAAGTAGTCCGCTTCCTCAGACAATCCCAGCTTCGTCCAGGAGTACATCAAGTTCTACCACCAATACGCTAAATTCAAAGTCAGCTCGAGCCATATATCAGCAGCTACTCTCGCCCATGAGCTTACGCCGAGCCGCCTCTTCTTCCTCCTGCTCGACCTGCTTCAGACAAGGCGCAACGAGTAGATCCCCCGTGAAAAGATGGATCACTGTCCTCGTAACGACCAGCAGCCACAGTGCAACGACCGAGACGGAGAAGACCATGCCTAGAATCTTAAAGGCTTCAGAAGGGGTCTCGGCTCCCAACGTGGTCGTGCTCGCCGCGAACACACCCAGTGGAAAGGTGAACCCCCACCACCCCATGTTGAACGGGATGCGCCTACGGGTCAACAGTGTGGCCACGGCGAGGCCGAGCCAGACGAGCCCGAATCCCCACATGATCAACCCCATCATATAGCCAAGGACGTAGATGACCTCTTCGGCCTTGGCCGTCGAGGGTAGAATGTTGACCTTGGGTGCGACCTTGACCAGCACCTTGCCGAGCTGCATGATCCCAAAACCACCCTGCCCAAGGGGACCCAGGGGAAGGAATGTAGAGGGGATCACAGCGTTTGGGGGCAAGCTGACGGTCGTCAGACGAAGAAAGTAGACTGTGAGCACCATCATGGCCAGGGGCACACCGGTAGCCCAGAGGACGTAGGAGACAATGACGGTGGTCAGGGCGAGGTTGGCGTGCGCCGCCGGCATCACATCTGCCACAATGGCGCCCGTCGACGACGCAACAACGGTCGACACGATAGGCAGCAACCATGCAGCGGTCATGTTGTCCACGCTCTGGCCCTGGTACGCCATGAGGATGAAGGGGAGGGCAAAGCAGCACGCGACAGAGATGGCCGCGTCGATCCACCAGAGTCCCCAGGCAACGCGCCACCACTGCCCGCCCCAGGCCGGCACGCACACACAGGCAATCATGTTCACAATCGTGGCGAGGCCCATGGGAAACGTGCCGAGGAACAAGCTCTGCGCCGGGTGTTTGATCATGGCGGTCCATATCTTTGGGTAGACGATGTAGCGTGTAAGTGAGATGCCGAGAAAGGTGAGGAAGAGGACGACGTTGAGGCCAAAGATGCCGTATGAGACGTACTGCACAGGTCTAGCGTTGTACGGGAGGTTGTGGAGGAGAATCGAGGTGATGCCCGTGCCCATGTTGACGGCGAACCATGACGGCGTGAAGTTGCGGACGATGCGTCGCCAGCCGCGCTGCTTGGCGTTGGGACATGATGATGCCCCTGAGCAAGGCGCGGACGCCTCACTGGGCAGATTTGTCGTAGACATGAGGTGTTCAGTCAAGATGATGTTTCTAATGTTTGAAGTGAGGGCAGAGGTTTGTAAATGGCATGGGAAAAAGATCTTCATGAGCATCGCCCGGACTCTATTTCGGAAATGCCAATGGAGAGGCTATTCGGCTGTCGGGTGCCTCGTCTAGCGACCCTAGCAACAGGAAGCAGCCGAGCCGCCACCAGCTTGTGACTCAGGCGAACATTCCATGTGTAATAGACGCCGAACCTCCAGCCTGACAAAGAGTCGGCGAGGCTGTGCGGTTGCTCCAGTATTTCTGCCGGGGTCCGAAAAAAATCACGAACGCGGCATCGGCAGTCCGTCCTCGGAATACGCGTACTCTGCGAACCTGGAACTAGCTTGCTTGACCAAGGCAAGATGAAATATTCACGGCCGCAGTCCTGACCTTGGGAGCGAGCGTCTGGGTAAGGTAGTCGTAGTGCTCGGCTCGGTATGAGGCTCGATGGACGGTCAAGTCACGTTGTACATCGTGAGCTACTCGCCGCCCACAAGATGATACTTGATCCCTTGATCGATTTATTTTCCAAGGACCCGCCGGCTCTGCAACGCGTCAGTGGACCTTGTGAAATTGTGATTCTTCGAATAAGATGTGACCGCGTCGCGCTGACAAAGCTACCTACCCTGCGGTTTGTGACTAGTGTTAAGTCACCGCTTCGCATTCGGCACGACGATAAGTTATTATTGAGTAAAGCCCAGGAAAGAAACAATTAGATTCCCGCATTTTCCTGACTTAGAAAGAAGACATGTTGAAACGTGAAGTACTGTAAAGTCGTGCGGTGAGTGGAAGCCCTCCGTCTATTTGGAAACAGATGCACAATTGTCAATCATCTAACCCCCGAAGGACAGACGTATCGATCGCGCAGCAACAACACTTTCGCAGGTAGTCAAAAGCACTGCCATACACCGACACGGTGCCGTAGATATATTAATATCGCTACTAGACCAAGGAATAAGCTATAACGGACAGTCCGGGACGGAAGCTGTTGATATCATTCAATTCCATGGTCTCGTTCAACAATCAGCCTAGCCTGCCCGGCTAGCTCAATCGGTAGAGCGTGAGACTCTTACGCCAACAAGCGAAGGTCCACATATCTCAAGGTTGTGGGTTCGACCCCCACGTCGGGCTATTCCTATATTTTTTGCCTTTTTAGTTTTTTTAAATTTTGGAGGTATGTGTTTGGATCGAGAGGCAGAAGCACAAACGTCCCTTTAATCGTTCCAATCAGAGCGTCTGGCGCTGCGCAATGACGGGATCGTCCCCTAAATGGCGGCGGCATTCGGTAGATGGCCGAACGGCACTGGATTGATTGTCTCCGATCATGTGTCATTGGCGCTCGGGGACTTTGCCATGTATCGCCGGACCCCAGGGTCCGTCCCAGCCGTCGATTCCCCATGGCGAAGCGATCCCCAAGCGAAGATCAAAAGCTCACTGCTCCTTTGGTCTTCCCCGTGGGTGGGGAAGGCTCTTGTTTGGATGCCTAATTATTGCGGAGTCTGTGTCCGTTGATCGGGACACTTGATACATGTATATAACGACCGCATTCCAACCTCCAGAGCACCATTGTCTCTACAAAGGCACCGCTCAGGCCCAACAACAACAGCTTCCCTGCATTTCGTCCTCGCCGCACACCACCATGGTCGCGTTAAAGGGCCGTCTGGCCAAGTTCAACGTCGCCAACCGGCTGGAGAAGAAGGCTCTTCTCAACACCGTCTGCCTCGTGGCCGGCATCTCCATCTTCTTCTTTGGCTACGACCAAGGCCTCATGGGTGGCGTGAACACGGCGCGTAACTATGTCGAGCTCATGGGATTCGGACACTGGGACGAGGAGGCTGGCCTCGTCGTCATTGACAACCCCGTCGAGCAGGGCTGGATCAACGCCTGCTACTATCTGCCCGGGACACTGGTCGGCTGCCTGGTGGGTGGATGGCTGGGAGACCGGTACGGACGCACGACGACGATCGGCTGGGCGTGTATTTGGGGTATCGCCACGGCTGCTCTGCAGTCAGCAGCTCAGAGCTCGGAGATGATGATTGTTGGTACGTACCATCCACATGAGGTATCTCGAGTGCCTAACTGACTGGATAGCCCGTGTTCTCAACGGTCTGGGTACAGGAGTCCTCAACGCGGTGACACCCGTCTGGGCTACCGAGACGGCATCACACACCTCCCGCGGCCAGTTTGTCGCGTCCGAGTTCACGCTCAACATCTTTGGCGTCGTGGTCGCCTACTGGCTGCAGTTTGGCCTGTCCAAGATGCCCAACCAGCACTCATCCTTCATCTGGCGCTTCCCCATTGCCTTCCAGATCCTGCCCCTGATCGTGCTCTTGATCGTCATCTGGTTCATGCCCGAGTCCCCCCGCTGGCTCGTGCGCGTAGGCCGCGCCGACGAGGCCCGCTTCATCCTCCAGCGCCTCCGTGGCGGCGAGGGCGAGGAGGGCGAGGCCGCCGAGAGCGAGCTGCAGGACATTATCAACATTCGCGACTTGGAGGAGGAGACGTCCCAGCAGCAGAGCTACCTGGCCATGTTCTTCGGCATCGGCTCCGGCAAGCTGCACACAGGACGCCGCGTCCAGCTCGTCATCTGGCTCCAGATCTTCCAGGAATGGGTCGGCATCGCTGGCATCACCATATACGGGCCCACCATCTTCACCATTGCCGGCATCAGCCCCGAGGATCGCCTCTGGGTCAGCGGGCTCAACAACATCACGTACATGTTCGCCACCCTCATCTGCGTCTTCACCCTCGACAGGATCGGTCGTCGCTGGACACTGTACTGGGGCGCCGCCGGCCAGGCGGTCAGCATGTTTGCGGCGGGTGGCCTCGCGCGTACCACCATCAACGCGGCCGAGGGCAACAAGGCTGGCGTCGGCGGCGCAGCGACCTTTTTCGTCTTTCTCTACACCGCCATCTTCGGCGCCACCTGGCTCACGGTGCCGTGGCTCTACCCGGCCGAGATCTTCCCTCTGCAGGTCCGCGCCAAGGGCAACGCCTGGGGCGTCGTGGGCTGGTCGATCGGCAATGGCTGGTGTGTGCTTCTCCTGCCGACCATTTTCGACGCCCTGAACGAGAAGACACTCTACATCTTTGGTGCGGTCAACATCGCCTGCATCGTCATTGTGTGGGCACTCTACCCAGAGTCTAACCAGCGTACTCTGGAGGAGATGGACTTGGTCTTTGCCTGTGACAGCATTTGGACTTGGGATGCCGAGAGAAATTTCCGCAAGATCAAGGAGGAGAACCCGGATCTTGTCATGGCCGCCAAGGCAGGACAGCCAGTTGTTGACTTGGAGGGTCGCAGGGTTAGTCATGTGAGCAAGAGGGGCGTTGGGTCCGAGTGAAGGCATGTGGTTGACGTGATGGATGAATGTTTCGCTCGTCTGTAAAGGCTGTAAATTTACAAAAAAATAAAAAAAAATCGGAATCGCTTGCTGGTGTCTTGACTAGTTCACATGTTTGCGTCCGCCAAGCTTGTAACTGACCCCTGTTGTTTACCGTTGTCCAACGTGCAGGCCACCTGATGCGCCACCTGTTGCCGTGGGCCATCATAAACGCAAGATTCACACCGGTATAACAATGGCCTAGGCCTGGAGTATCACTATTAGAGCCTTCACCGACCAGGGTCACACCTCTCAAGTCGCCGCTAGTCGGTGAATCACTGCTTGGAAAGCCCTCATCGGTGTTGTCATCGCTGAGTATAGGGTGCGCTGTTGAAGCTGAAGCAGATGAAGGCTGTCCTTCGGTTGATGTTTCGCTTGACACATGGCCCTCAACAGTGGTTCCGTTTCTAGAGTTGACGCTGTCTGGGGGCCTAGGAATCGCATAGACTTGAAACAACCAGTCGGCAGCGGAACCAAGAGTGTTAACTCATGTCGCAGATAACGGAGCAAGTATCTTCCACCAGTGGGCGTTGCCAGCGACGAGGCTCGGAATTCACTATCCCATGTGGAGGATCTCATCCAAACCGACATACTAAGGGTCAAAAGTTGAGCTGGTAATTTGAAGGTGACGGACGTCGAACATGTAAACGATATGGATGGGACAAGCGGCGATGGGCAGCGAGAGATTGCTTATAAAGCCAGTGAAGGAAACATACTTCCACGACAGTTGTCACTAGAGATCCCTCGCGCGTCCGCCATCCAGGTGCAAGGCTTGCATTCATCCGTTCAACTTTAAAAGGCACGCGTGAAAGAAAAGACCGCTATAAGCAATATGCCATCTCAAAGCCTGGAGGTAACCTTTGCGTCGTCAATAGCATCTTTGCCGAGCAGATCCCCCACAAGCGCTCTGCCAGCTGCTCGCCCAGAGAAGATACAGCCTCCCAAGAAGGTCCCTTCGAGAGAATTGTACCCGTGAACACCGCCGCCGCCAAAGCCCGCGGCCTCGCCAGCAGCATACAGTCCCCTGAAGACGCTGCCGTCGCCTCTCATCACCTGGCTCTGGAGGTTTGTCTCGATGCCGCCCAGCGTCTTCCTCGTCAGCAAGTTCATGCGCACCGCGATGAGCGGTCCGTACGCCTTGTCGAGTAGTCTGTGGGGCGGGGCGACGCGAGCGCGCTTGTCGGGCCAGTAGGTCCTTGCGTTCTGGATAAGCATCGCCTGCGCATCCTTCGAGTACGGGTTGTCCATCTGGCTGTCTCGCACTTTGACCACGTTCTCAATGTCCTCGAGGGCTAGCGTGGGCCCGTTCCGTTCGGCAGCGAGTCGGTTCATACCACTGACTAGGTCCTCAAGGTTGTTCTCGATGATAAAGTCCGCGCCGTGCTCCATAAATGCCTGCACAGGCGGCGTGCCTTTCTTGCCTAGCACACGCGTGGAGATGAACTGCCATATGGACTTGTTGGTCATGTCTGGATTCTGCTCAGACCCCGACAGGGCAAACTCGCGAGCGATGATGCTCTGGTTCAGAATGAACCACGTGTAATCGTAGCCCGTGCTGCAGATGTGCTTGAGAGTGGCGAGGGTGTCGGATCCCGGGAACAAGAACGGCGGTAGTCGCTTGCCCGTGGCATCCAGCCAGAGCGAGGATGGTGCTGGCAGGACGCGGATGCCGTGAAGGGGCCAGATACCTGCAGAGCATGTGAGCTTCGTGAGATTGGGTGAAGGACAACGCCAGACGTACTGTTCCAGTTCTGAATCCCCTCTGTGTAGTGCCACATCCTATCCCTGTTAATGACATTGGCGCCGGCCTGCTCTGCAATGTCGATCATGCGGCCGTCGACGTGATCTGGCACGCCCACTACGAAGTTGTCCGGCACCTTTGGGCCCAGTCGATCAACCGGCCAATTCTTCTTCACCGCGTCGACGTTGCCACCAATACCGCCTGACGTGACGACCACGGCTTCGCCCAGGATTTCAAAGTCATCAATCTCGACTCGTGATGTCTTGGTGCCACGCTCGGCTACAACCTCCTCCAGGACTTTGCCTCTCACGCCAATCGCCCGCCCGCTGTCATCTACAATCACCTCATCGACACGGTGTCGCCATTGAAACACCACACTACCCTTCTTCTCGGCCTCGAGGACTGGCTGGGCAAAGACGCGCACAACTTCTGGACCCGTACCCCAGGAAATATGAAACCTCGGCACCGAGTTGCCGTGTCCGTCAGCGCGTCCGTCACCACGCTCCGCCCAACCGACATTGAACATGAACCCGAGCCCTCGCTCGGCAAGATACGACTCCATCCCATCCGTAGCGAAATTGACAAAGGCTTCCGCCCATTGACGCGGGTGCTTGTCCTCTGGCCGGTCGAATTGGGCACTGCCCATCCAGTCCTGCAACGCGAGCTCGCGCGAGTCGTGGATGCCCATCCGCCGCTGTCGCGCCGAGTCGACCATGAATAAACCCCCAAGTGACCAGAATGCCTGTCCACCCAATGAAGACCGAGGCTCCTGGTCCAGGATGACGGTCGGGATTGCCTTGCGCGAGAGCTCAAAGGCCGTCACGAGGCCAGCCAGGCCGGCACCAACGATAATGACTGGCTTTTCAGGTGCCATCGTGTGGGAGAGACTTCAAGTGATCGATGAAGAAGAGCGCAAGAGACGATGGACAGTTGATATTGACGCGCAATGCAAGAAGCGGGGGCATCAGACCACACTTGTACCCAGGGCCCTCGGGAATCAATGGGTGAATCTGGGGTAGCAACTAGCAAGAGGGAATCCGGGGCCCGTGGGGCCCGATCGGGATTCGCTCGAATCCGACCCTCGGCGCTGAGACGAACGAGGGTCCAAACTCGAAAGGCGGCTGGTTCCATGTGACTGGCCTAATCCGACCATGCTTGATAAGACTTGGTATATTTGAAGGAGCGTGGTTTTGAAGCGCTCGTGGTGATTGTTACGAAGGGATCCATCAGCTTGGGATCCCGAGGCTGGCTGTAGGTAATGTTATTGTCGTGGCCAAGCGGTCAATGCGTCAGTGTTGAATCTATCATTGAGAGGACTAGCTGTCCAGATTGTGAGTCGAGAGTGTGTTAGACCTGGCTTTGCTTCGCTTAGATAAGATGATGCATGCGTGCGTATCTCGCAACCCGCGAGTTTACGCGCCCTCTCATGACAAGACGGTTATCGTGCTTGGAGGAGCCAACGTGACGAATAAGAAATGATACAATCGACCACATTTCTCATCGTAATGAAAGTTTTGAGCTGTACTTACCTGATAGTTGTTGCCACCCTTCCCTTTGGGCAGCGGCTTGGATGTGAGGCCTGGACGAGACCTCGAGGAGAGAAAACAGCAACGGAACGCCTGTCCACCTTGAGACTCCAAAGTAAACAAACACGGTGACTTCTTGTCTGATTGCACCAGTCCTAGAATATTCCACCGTGTGACCAATGCTTCGTCTGATCTCTTCTCGTTCTCAGATAAACATGCAACGAAAACATGCCTATCACCCGCTGCAACACGTCGACTCGTCACCTGCGCACGTCAAACTTGCCCTCACCATGAGATCGACGCAATGGATGAATTCATAGAGCTTCACCATGGCATGTTCGACAACACGCAGCTAGAGTACGCTCCGCGAGGCCCTGTCATCGAAACGCACTCTGCCCAGGGACGTCTACGTACGAGCATCCTGCGTCGTATCCTCAGCAGCCCCGACTTTCCTTACATCGGCCCCTCCGCCAACATCCTCGACAACATCTGCGGCGCAGGCGATGTGGGCGCCGAGATCATGACGCGCACCCTCAGCAACGCAGCCCAACGACCCAACGTCCTCTCCGTCGACCCCTACCCTCCCGCTGTCGAGCACGTCAACCTCCGATCGAAGGAGCTGGATACCTTTGACAGCTGGCAGGCCCGGGACGAGCCAGAGCGGTATGATGAGGGGCTCTTTGACATTATTGTGACGATTCGACAGGATACGTACTACGACGAGAACCGCCACAACATGGAGCAGGTGTACGCGTCGCTCAAGCCAGGGGGCCATGCCGTCTTCTCCGTGTGCCCTACGCTCTGCTACACGCTCGGCGACGCGCCGCCACCCTTCAACATCAACGGCACGGACTGGAGCGCCAATGTCAACGAGTGGTTCAACTTTGTTCAGCACAAGCCATGCTGGTTGGAGAGGGTGGTGCTGTCAGCCGTGCCCGAGTTTCGACACTGGGAACTGTACACGGTCGACAAGATCATGCTCGAGTCGATAAGCGTGAGCGACTGGGTCGATGAATGCACGGCGAACCAGGCCAAGCTTTTCCAGGCGTGGGCGCCGGTCCAGCAGACCATGTTCAAGGCGGCACTGAGGGAATCCATGGAGGGAATGGTGGGAGGACGGCGACGGGGGCGATTTTTTCTCGAGACGCCGTTCATGGTGTGTGCTAAATGATGGGTTTTGGCGAGCTGGCTGATCATGTCAAGCTTGCGTGGCCGACATTTTCTCCCACCTTCACCGTGTACTGACCTTACTGAAACAAGAGGCTGCAATTTTGCGTAATCCCAAGGTGCTCGTCCTCATGACTATCACTGTGGTTTTGATGCAAATACATGGTCCAGGTCGATCGGTCGATCTGTGACTGCATAACCACAAGCGCATGCCTCATGTTGGGTGCTCCAGCAGCGATTACTCGTCGGGGAAGTCTCCTGTCAACGTAGAGTCCCAAATTCATCTCCTGGACGTTGAGAAGGGGCGCCCTAAAGACACGCTTATTGAATGAACGCCGGGGGTTTCAAGCTTGCGGCCTTGGTGCACACAGTCTGACACAGGAAACTGGATCTAGCAGAAGCACGTATTATCGCGGAATCGTACAGTAGCAAAACAGTGTCAGCAGGAGAAGCTTTCACGTATATTGCCAGAGTCACAGACTGGACGGAAATGGGTCCGAGCCTATCATGAGGGGATGGTAATGTACCAGGTATGGTTACCAGGTATGATAGGATCCGCCCGCGACGTCATAATTGCGACTATATTGAGTGCAATTCACAAATCTGGGTTTTTTGTACTGTACATATTAGGCTGTACAAATCAAAATCCCCCCTCCCCCGGCAGTCGGGGCAGGTCACGTCCGTCGTAATATGAAAAGTGTGAGAGATACATGCGTGCCACGCTGTGCAGATGTGATCAAGCATTCAAGCCTCAAGGGAAGGCTGCGTGTCTCGGAACCCAGTGGGTTCTAAACTAGGGTGCCTAGAAGTAATCACGCCCCTGCGAAGGCGAGGAGAAGCACGAGACACTTGAACAACTCCAAAGCGCTCCCAAAATGCGACATTAATATTGTTTAACCGTACCTAACTATGTTGTAGGAGGGTCCAGTATTCCCGCGCAATCTCCTCCCGCACAACCAGCAGCGAGAGAAATAAAAGACATGGAATTGTTGCAAAATCCCATCATTATGACAAAAGGCCCACGAGTAGCACCTGCCATTGGCTATCTCTGCACCCACCTCTACTACTGTCACGCCGTCCCGATAATAATCGGGCGTTGTGGTTCGCTCGTCAGTGGAAGCGCGTTCAAGCTTTCAAGGTACGCTCCAATCAATGAAAGCGGCGCTGTCCTCTGCTCGCACCCCTCGAGGATCGTCGCTGGACCCCCCAAAAGTCGCCACCCGTGCTCTCTCACTGGCCGCGACCTGGTGGGTGCTGCCGCTCGGCCCCTCGCCCTCCCCCAGTCGAGGTGCCTCGATCGCCGGCTCTGTTTCTGTCCCGAGGATCGAGAGGTCCCTTGTCTGCACTCCGACCATACAACAAACCAACATTAACTGCATTTCGATCCCCGATGATGACCTCTACCTTATCATCACCATCGACAACGGCGACACCGCGGTTGGCGCTTTCCACAGAGGACACGGGCGTCACAGTGCCGAGCGTGTCGACGTCCTCTTCGAGAAAATGCTCCGACGGTCGAAGCAGGAGCGGCTGCTCCCCACGATCGCCATCATGCTCAGCTGCCACCGCATCGCCTAAGGTCGTCTTTGGCGCGGGCGCTATCTCGAGACTGCCGACCGAGCTGGGCTCTCTCCGACTCAACGCACCACTGGTTGTCTCCAGTCCCTCACGCATCAGTCTCGCGCGAAAGGTGCAGTCTCTGATACCGAATCTCGATTCAAGGATCCTCGACGCGGCACTCGTCAACGTCCCGCAGAAAGTCGTCGACGACGCCGTGGCTAGGATATCGGGCCGCGACTCTGTCATCAGTGTTGGTGGCGGGTCGGCAGTCGCTCTGGCCATATCTATCAGTCAGAAGAAAGGAATCCCGCATATTTGCATACCGACAACATACAGCGGCTCGGAGATGCCGCTGGCGGGAGACAGCCGGCGCAGGAGCTTCGAAGGTCGACGGACTCGGGGCAGCTCGAGCGTCGGCAGGGTGCACAGTGGAAGGCCGACCATTATCATCTACGACGAGGACCTCACCAACACCGGCACCACTATGACCTTCACCGCACCGAGTGAGGCGCACGTCGACCTGCGCCAACAATCAGAAGACGACTCGAATTGGAGCTACTTGCACCTAGCTGGCGTGTGAGACGCCAACCGCTGCGTCGAACGACAGATTTTACTCTTCACCAACGCCCGCACACAATTTGGTTGTTGCTCGAATTTAGCAATAATCAGCTATTCACTGATTAGAAATTGCCTGAAATTACCAACCCCTCCCGTCAAATACATGGACGACACCGACGCCACGAGTCGTCAAGCACCCATTTCCTTTGATCGCCAGGTCTGCCTGGCCTGTGGCCTAATAACACTTGGCCAATTACACCAGCGCCCTTCCGGTTTTGTTAGCGCACATGGTGGCGCTGCGAGCAATACTTTGTCAGAAGTAGCTCCCGGTGACGCTGAAGCGGACTATCAGGTCCCGAACAGGCGAGGCCAGCAAAGAAAGGCCTCGCGCGCAGGCGTAAATGCCTCGACGTGCATAATACACGAACGATGTTAATGATTTTTGCTTGCAATGAAAATTTTTGACTACAAAGGCAAATTTGGCGTTTTGGGCGCAGGCGTTTTAGAGAAAGGACCCTGGGTCACGATGGCTTATACGTATATCTTTGAACGACACTGTTTGTTTCTACTGGGTATCTTATCTATGTACTTAGTCTAATCCATCAAATCCCATGATGCCGTGTGCCCCCATGGGGCCGAGCTTGCTTTTCTGTGCCTCCCTTCTCCGTTTGGTTCGCTGTTTCATCTCTGTGATGCCATCATCACTATCAGAGTCGTCACTTTCCGCCGATCGTTTTCGGCCATCTTCCTGTGCGTCATCTTCACTGCCATCCTCCTCTTCGTCTTCCTCGTCGTCGTGGTTCTCTGCTTCCTGCTCTTCGCCCTGCAGCTCGGACAGTTCCTCCCAGACCTTGATCGTGTCGCCGCCCGCGCTAATCAAGCGGTTTCCGCAGTCGAACCCTAGCGACACGACACCCTCCGTAACGTCATGCCGCAGATTGGGGGCCGTGAGGACGGCTCTATCCGCGAGATCGACAACGCGCAGGCTGCCGTCGCCGAGCCCGCAGACCACCTTCTTTCCGTAGCCCAGAACCTCCGGAATCATCGTCAGCGCGTCAATGCTCTCGCCTCCCTGCGAGCCCCTCTGACCGTCCACAATAATGCGCTCCTGCTGGTCGTCCCAGGCGCCCTTGTCCCATACCGTCAGAACGCCAGAGCCTGACCCGATGGCCATGACGCCGTTGGCACGGTTCTTCTTGGGTCCGAGACCAGGTACAAAGGTGGAAGAGAGCAGCTCGTCCTCTTGGTCCTCGCTCCTCACCAACACGCCTCGTCGCACGTCTGTGACGGCCAGTGTCGTTCCACCCGTGCTGACCCACTGCTTGGAAAACCCACTGGTGCTCTCCTCGGTCGGCGGCAGCGGTGTGATGCTGCTCACATAGTCCGAGTGCGGGAAGTGTGTCTGGGCGGGCTTCTTGGTGCCGTCCTCCCTCGTGTCCCAGATGTGCAGGGCCCCCGAGTCGGTGGCGAGCAGCAGGCTTTGCGGGTTCAGGACGTGCAGCAGGGTCGGTGCGTCCGGGATTGTCGTGCTCGTGGGGATGGCCATTTTCGACTGGACCTTGCCCGTCTCCGCGTCAAAGTACTTCACCAGCGCGTCCGTGCCGGCCGAGTACACGTTGGCACCGTCATGAGTGTAGCCCAGGCAGCGGCATGACCCCTTGTGTCGGCGCGTGCTCCAAGTCGTGTCAATGACATCCTTTCCGTGCTCGTCGGCCGAGTCGATCGGGGGCAAACGGTAGGTCTGGACGTGGCCTGAGGAGAGCCCGACAGTGAGGAGTGGTTGTGCCGGGTGAAGGGCGGTCGTGAAGACGTCGGCTTGGAGAGGTATGGTACAGAGATTCTCAAACATGGTGGCGATGGAGCGCGGAAACGGTCGTCTTGGAGGGACAAGAAAAAGAAGTTGGGAAAATTGAAGATGGGTGGAGACATCGCGAAACAGTGCAAATGTGCCAGTCAATTCGCACGCGCACGGTGACTCAAGCTTCATTGGCTTATATTACCTTATCCAAAGCTCAACATCGCTCCAAAGAGGAGTCCGACCCGCGCATTCGTGCCGCGAGGTGCAATTCCTGGTTTCTCTGCAGCCGCGCCTCCCTCGCCGTCGTCCGGCGCAACGCTCGCCGAGGGCATACTGCTCGTGGTCGCTGATGGGCATGGTGCGAGAGATTCAGTGCTGGCAGCATCATCATCCTCCCCATCGGTGAGCTGGTGCCATATTTGCACTCAATGGTCGTCGTTGTTAGGTCAGGTGTCCCAGTATCGACAACTGCATCGCCTTCTCCCGAGTCAGGCTCGGGGAGGTCTAGCTTAGGCGGCCTTGGCTGTGCACCGATATCATCAAATCCATCGTTTCCTCATCTCGGGATGCGTATCCGTAAAGCGCGAGAGTGAAATGGTGATGGCCCGGGCGCGTTGGTGGCCGCCACGGAAGCTGCCAACATGGCGAAGCACAGGAACGTGATGGTGAAATGCATTGTAAGGCTTGCTGCTCGTGTGTTTGTGAGGCAATGGCTTATTAACACGGAAGACTGAGCGCGCTCTGTTTGACCAACAGCAGATGAGGCTGTGTCAACTACCAAGGCCAATGTACGACATAACAATTGTGTGTCGAAAGACGCTGCGGAAAACTTGAACTTTTGATGTTGTAATGGTCTTTACGGGCCGCCTACTCACCAGTATATTGAAATAAGACATCACTTGGGTACTCTGTATATCGAGCGCAAAAGTACAACCGCATTAGTGTTTATGTAGGTACCTACTAGTTGGATGTGCTCGAGAGTGACAAGGCACTCGCCTAGGGACCCGATCGATGCGCCAAACAACATGAGGACTCGGGACTCACTTATCTCGACAAATGCAAAGGGAATCAATCAGTTCAGTATCTGTCAAAGATAATCAATATCCTGCCGCAGAGACGTGACGTGACTCCATGCCTAGCACCTATCTATTGATGACAACCAGCTAATTGTCATCTGCCAATGATCAGGGCAAGATTGAGTTCAGGGTAGCCGTTTCAACCGGAATACCCATATTTTCTCCTCCGATATTCGCACCCGCGTGTTATTAGTCTCCAGTCATCAGCAACACCAAGTATGTTCGTGCTGAAACCACGACAACTGGATCACGATAACCTCACCTCAGCAGCCGGGCTCTTCCACGAGCGCACCGGCGGCCGGCCTCTCCCACCTCAGCTAGACGGCGCCTTCCGAGCCTCATCCCCCACGTTATCTTTGTCGAGCGCCCGCAGAGGCGATACGCACAACCACGATTCCACCCATCTTCCCCGCAAAACCTGTTAAGACAGCACTTGATGGCTGCCACGCTATTTAGCAGACCCACTGATAAGGCAGCATCCATGGGCCGGGTCCGACGGGTCGACCGTCGCGAAGACCGGGGCTGTGACCACTGCTGTCTTTTGCCGTGTATCAATCAATCATCCTCGATCAGTATATCAGGGAGCCCTGTCCGCCGGTCGGAGATGGCTGTCCATTGATTGTCCTGCGACAACAGATCCTCACTCGACAGCGGCTTTAGCAGGTTCGCCGCTTCAATAACCGCCATCGCATACACTTGACGATGTCTTCCCTACCAGGCGCCACGCCCTCGCGCCCTCTCGTCCAGAGGGTCGTCAAGTCCGTCACGACAAAGGAGGGTCTCATTGGCACATATGACTACAAGGCTCTCTTCACACCTAACATTCCCTTCATCCGCCGCCGCGTGGTGAGCAGCCCCTTCTTCGGCCTGCACGACCGGATGCCCCTTCTCTTGTCGACTCTGCTTGGATTCCAACATGCCCTGGCCATGCTGGCGGGTGTCATCACCCCTCCGCTAATCCTGTCGGGCGAGGGCGGTGCCAACCTCGAACTTGGGCAGCAGCAGTACCTTGTCTCCACGGCCCTGATCGTGTCTGGCATCCTCTCTGCCGTGCAGATCACGCGGTTCCACATCTGGGGCACCCCTTACTACATCGGCACGGGTCTCCTGTCTGTCGTGGGCGTCTCCTTTACCGTCATCCCCATCGCCCAGGGCGCCTTCTCGCAAATGTACAGCAATGGCTTCTGTCCTACCATGGATGACGGAACTCCTCTGCCTTGCCCCAAGGGCTATGGCGCCATCCTCGGCACCTGTGCCGTCTGTGCGCTTCTCGAGATAGGACTCTCGTTCATCCCACCGAAGTTCCTCCTCAAGATGTTTCCGCCCATCGTCACCGGACCGACTGTCATGCTCATTGGCGTCAAGCTCATCCAGTCAGGCTTCAAGAACTGGATGGGCGGCAGTGGCCTCTGCGCTTCCGAGTCCACCGCCACCGGCTTCTTCGCCAAGTGTCCCAACATTGAGGCGCCCCATGCCCTGCCCTGGGGAGCGCCCGAGTACCTGGGACTCGGCTTCTCCGTCTTCCTGACTATCATTCTCTGCGAGCGCTTCGGCAGCCCCATCATGAAGAGCACGAGCGTCGTCGTCGGCTTGCTGGTGGGTTGCATCATCGCTGCCGCGACAGGGTACTTTGACAAGTCGGGCATCGACGCTGCACCGGCCGGGTCGTTCATCTGGGTCGAGACATTCCCACTAACAATCTATGCGCCGCTGGTCCTGCCTATCATGGCGCTGTACATTATCGTGGCGACCGAAGCTATTGGCGACATCACGGCGACCTGCGACGTCTCCCGACAGGAGGTCGACGGCGGCCTCTACGAGTCTAGGATTCAGGGTGGTATCCTGGCAGACGGTTTGGCCGGCTGCTTCGCCGCCTTGATGACCATCACGCCCATGTCCTGCTTCGCCCAGAACAACGGCGTCATTGCCCTGACGAGGTGTGCAAACCGGCGCGCCGGCTACATGTGCTGCTTCTTCCTGATCCTGATGGGCGTCCTGGCCAAGTTCGCCGCGGCCCTGGTGGCCATCCCCCCGGCCGTCCTCGGCGGCATGACAACCTTTCTCTTCTGCGCCGTCACCGTGTCGGGCATGTCCATCGTCGCGCGACCCCACGACGCCTTCAACCGCCGGTCCCGCTTCATCCTGACGGCCGGCCTGGCGCTCGGCTACGGCGCGACGCTGGTGCCCAACTACTTTAACAACGTCTTCTCCTACTCGGGCGACAACCGCGCGCTGCAGGGGTTCCTGGATGCCATCACCCTCGTCATGAGCACCGGATTTGCCGTCACCGCATTTGTCTGCATGATCCTGAACATGCTGTTGCCGGCCGAGATCGAGGAGGATCTCGAGGGCACCATCAGCGAGAACAGTACGCAGGACGAGGTCGAGCCGCAGGGGGACAAGCAGGTTTGAGAAGAAAAACAAAAAGTCGTTATTTAGCCAGGATATATCCAATCCAAAAGCATACTTATTTTTAATGTTGCCTTGGCCACCTCCTCTTGCCTTCTGTACCGGTTCTGCTGAAAACCACTGATCGTCCTCATGTAGTGCTCCTGGACTTGACCAAGGGCGCATCCGTGGCCCCTTGCGCGACATTCAGATGGCGCGGGTGCATTCTTGTTGCTGCCAGAGGAACCTGCCAGACCCAGATGTCGGAGAGCGCTGTACGCCGCTCAACCTTGAATGTCTTGATTTTCTCATCGGGGGGAACGAGGAAGTATGCACTTCACGAATCCACGCAACTTAGGCACTGCCATGTTATAGTACCTTTGATTCATCGTGTTGCCTGGAAGATCACCAAGCGAGCTGTCAGGAGCAGAATCTGGCCTGTCACCAAGAACTTGAACATATAAAGGGCAGTCTTCCTCGCACGCCCCGAGGCAATCCTCAAGGGGCTACACTAGCACTAGTTCTCGGTAGTGAGTTTATAAATGTCATGCTCTTTTGAGCTTGTAATAGGCTTCTTTGCAGATTTGCCTGCAGCTCCAATGCCTTGGCAGGTCCTACTGTCAAGTCTCGCGAGTCGCTGCCAGTCGTCCCAAGTACTTGATACGAAATGCCGGACAGAGCCAGCAAAGTGAAGACGTAGTGTTACAGTTGTAGCCCCGCGAATGAACACCATCTGCCCAAACGCCACCGGTTGCACCCCCATCTTGAACGCCAAGCGCCTTGCCAAGCCATTTGTGCTTATCGAGATCCTTTCCCAGACACATCCCCTATTTCATCTGCCTTCCTCGCAAGTAGGCGGATGTTGTCCACGAATCCAGTTACAAGCTCGAGGTACCGATGGTCTCGGCCTTCATCAGCCATGCGACCCTGCTCTATCAGCGTGGCCGGATCCAATTCAATCTCCAGCTCATGCTCCTTGGTGAACCGACTTTGACCCTGGGATCGTTAGAATGAAGCCGCTACAGACCGGTTGCAAGGCACTTACCCTGTCCTTTTGCTCCTGCGTGACCTGTGTCAGGTCAATCTGATAGGGGCCCTGTGTGTAGCTGAGGCGGTCCTTCCTGCGATCTGGTTGTCGGTCATTCTGCCGCGCGAGCGCATCCTCTAGTTGCTCCAACGGACCATCCCAGTCCATCTCGAGGTTAATGGAGATGCGGCAGTCCATAGGCCCCCATGGGATATGGAAGTCGAGATCCGCCACGCGCGCCTTGACGATCTGGGCAATGACCTGACCAGTTTGCTGATTCCGACTGACCCTGACGCGAGGACGTCGCCTGCCCTGCCCAGGTTGAGGAGCGGTGTTCATGCATTCGGGCAACCGATCAAACATGTCGGGCGTCATGTCGATGAATTGATCGATTTCGTACCGATGCCGATATCGCAACGGTACCCGCCTGGTGCCGGCTGCTTGCTGCTCGTGTGTCTCCTTGACCGTGGCGTTCAGGAATTCATTGAAAGACTTGTGCGCCGATTCTGTCATCCTACTCTTAAAGGCGACGCGAGACGGGTCTGCGAGAATGGCTTCGGATAGCAGGCCCCGCTCCACGCGCTGGTCGTTGGTGTCCCGGTCTATAAGCGTCCCGAGCTTGGCTTCGACTTCGAACTTGATACCCCTGGACTCTATTTCGTGAGCCGAAGGGTTTTTGATGATGTTGAAGAACAGAAAATCAGCCATCACTCGAGGAATGTCTTCGGGCGGACCCAGATTCGTGATGGTTGGTTCCCAGTCGCCCAGCAAGTCCTGTGCTGGATGGGCTAGTGGCGGAGCGGATTCGCGTGGTAGGTCGCGTGGTACGTCTCGCTGTGGAGGAGGTTGAGCGACCACAGGTTTGGCCCCGTTGACATGCGCGTGCGCGCGCTTTTGCAACACAAAGTTGGGCTTGTTGGGCAACCGCTCGCCCAGTGACCGCGCACTTTGAGCCCAAATTGGGGGCGCAGGATAGCGTCGCCGGATAGGACCCTTGGCTGGTGCAACTTGTTTCTTGGAGGTCTTCGCGGGCCGCTCTCCATTGACCTGGGGCTCGTCATCCATGTCATCCATTTTGCGTTTCGCCGGGGTTGTCGCTCGGCCCATGGGTTCGGAAGGCGCAGGGACGTGGTCGTTGCCGCTGGGTATCGAAGGTGGCCTCGTCTTTGGGCTGACAGACATACTATGTTCCCTATCTAGCACCGTTGGATTCGTGATTTGCGCTACAGATGTACGTCTCTGTGACATGGTCGGTGTTTGCGCGCGTGATTCGAGTCGAGCGTGTGGTTGCGGTTGCGGTTGGGGTGGCGGAGGCAAAGGTTCCTGATATTGCGTGGGTGATTGTTGGGGATAAGAGGGTTGCTTTTGTGTTGCAGACAATGGAGGTCCTTGCGGCGTTGGAGGTTGTGAATGATGCGTCGCAACGGGGCTACCGTACAAAGAGGGCCCGTATTGTGCTGATGTTGGCGTGGGCGTCGATTGTTGCGAAGCAGAGCGCTGCTGATATTGGTACGTAGGCTGCTGCTGTTGATATGGATAATTCTCAGGCCGAGACTGATGCCGCATCACCGGACTGTCGTGGGGAGGGAAGTAACCTGACGCATTTGGTGCTGTGGTAGGTGTTGGTGCAGGGCGATATGCTGTAGGCGACGGACCTGGGGGTCCGGACGGGGATCGAACATCGTGAAAGGAGTTCGTGGGCTTCAAGGGAGGCGGCGGGCCTGGGCGACCTTGTGGATACGGCGGCTGTTGATAGGGCGACTGCGGATGCCCTTGGTGATATGGCGCAGCGTGGTACTCATATTCGCGTGATGGGGGATTACCAGGTGACGGGTGTGGGTAGGAGTATTCGCGATGCGCAGGATAGCTGACCGGACTCTGTTGGTGATGCTGGGATAGCTGACGCGGTTGCTGTTGCGGCGTGGGCGGCTGAGGTTGAGGCTGAGGCGCGCTTCGTTCGCGATCGCGGCTGGCATTGCGACCACGGTCGCCCGAGTCGTTCAATACAGAACGCAGATCCATTGTGGCATCTGGCGTTGTCGTTGTTCAGACGAAAGGATGCGCACCAGTTGCCAATGCGATCGGTGCGCCAGGGGGCATTGTTCGACGAAGGCGGGCGCAACTGCAGTACACGGCAAATACCCAAAACAGCACAAGGTCCAATAGATTGAGCAGTGTCGAAAAATTGATGAAGCGTAACAGTGACCGTAGCGGTGACGTGGTGTAGTTGGCGTGGTGTTGGGAGCGAGGAGACGCAATCGCGACCAACATGTAACCGTTCCCGGATGGAAATTTTCGGGCTGGCGCAAATACTACCTTAAGGTAATTACTTCGCAGGTGTCATATTGGGCTGCTGGAGCATGATGAGCTCAAAAAGGCCACTCGAAACAAAACGGCGGCCGTCACCAATTTGATCAAGTTCAGAAGCAGTGTTGCTCATCCTCCTTCATCAGGTTTTGACCATTTCTCCTGCTCATCCCCATCAGCTGGGGTTGCGCAAGTTTGAGTCAGCATTCTCTTATATCTGGGGCGTCTTGCAGCCAGACGACCTTGTCGTAGACTATTTTATGTACTACGCAAAGACACACGAGGTAACCTAACATCGCATTGCCGAAAACAAGAAAAGTTCTGACGATGAGAATTGTCTGGAAGCAAATTTTGTACTTTGTCCTGCTGACTCGATCCCACACGTGCATGTACCTACTTAGTATCGTTCGACGTGCAAAATGTGTACCGAACGCGCAATCACGTGTGAAACTGTCGTTGCTGACTCATCCGTTAGCCAGCTGAACACGTCAGGTCGCCCGTGCCTGGCTGGCTGCAGGGCAGGCGACAGGAGCTGCAGCAACTCCAAAGCAAGTGGCCCACAGCCTCCAGCAGCTTCCATCGTCATCACACATCACCAAATATCTGCCTCGACAAAAGAGCTGTCCGCTCGCACACTCTCTCACCTCACATCACGAATACTGCACCCGGCATGATCTCCTCCGCCACAGGTGTTCTCGCCTTCCTCTCTGAGGAGGAGGCGGAGCTCAAAGTCTTCGCCCTCCAGACACTCAACGATGACATTGACACAGTGTGGACAGAGGTAGCCAACTCACTCGGCCTCATCGAGGAGCTCTACGAAGATGAGAGCTTTCCCGAACGCCAGCTGGCTGCGCTCGTCCTCGCCAAGGTCTATTACCACCTCCAGGCCTACAATGACAGCATGGTCTTCGCGCTGGCCGCCGGTGACCTCTTCAGCTTGGAGGACCCGGGCGAGTTTGAGGAGACCATCATCTCGCGTTGTGTCGACCAATACATCGCCACAATATCTGCGAAGAGTACGGCATCCGACTCCGACAAGCTTGCCGAATTGACCACCACCTTTTCCGGAATCACAGCCGCGGCCGTTTCGTCACCCACCTCACCTTTCTCACAGAAGGCTTTGCCACCCAAAAGTCTTTTGTCGCGCGACTCGATCGACAACACCATCCTCGAGGCGACCGGAAAAGAACGTTCTGGCTCGGTCGCCCCCAGCCAAGCCACCGACAAGGCATTGCAGAGGGTCATTGATCGCCTTTTCGAGAGCTGCCTACAGCAGGGACGTTATCGGCAGGTTGTGGGTATTGCCGTCGAGGCCAAAAACCTGGACGTGCTGCGAAAGGTTATCAAGCGTGCCAGCGACGATGCAAAACAAGCCAAGGCAAATCCTCTCGAGGCTAACCCCGCCGAGGAGCTGATGGAGTATACTCTGAGCGTCTGCATGGACATTGTGCAAGAACGCGGCTTCCGCCACGCAATCCTTCGGCTCATACTGGATCTTTTAAACGAAATTCCTGAACCCGATTACTTCTCCATCGCCAAGTGTGCCGTTTACTTGAACTCGGACGAAGAAGCTTCTCGCATGCTTCGCCAGCTGGTGGAAAAGGGCGACAGAATATCAATCGCCAATGCTTACCAGATCGCCTTCGATCTATACGACAACGGCACTCAGGAGTTTCTGGGCAAGGTTTTGGCATCGCTGCCCGCGCAGCCCGCTGCTAAAAGGGAAAGCAATTCCGAGGCTACCGAAAATGAAGGTCTACTGGCCGACCAGGGTTCGTCAGAGGAGGAGTTGCCCGAAGGCACTGCCAAGGTGTACGGCAACATCCGTGAGATCTTGGACGGCTCTAAAACCATCCGCCTCAACCTCGAATTCCTCTACAGGAACAACCGCAATGACAGTAGCATCCTTAACAAGGTCCGCGACTCTTTGGAAGGCCGGAACTCTATTTTCCACAGCGCCGTTACGTTTTGCAATGCATTCATGAACCAGGGCACCACCAATGACAAATTCTTCCGTGATAACCTGGAATGGCTAGGCAAGGCTGTCAACTGGTCCAAGTTCACCGCGACAGCCGCACTAGGTGTCTTGCACCGCGGAAACTTGTCTCAATCCAGGAAGCTGCTTGAGCCTTACCTGCCCCGCGCTGGAGGCTTGGGCAACGGTTCAGTGTACAGCCAAGGCGGTGCACTGTACGCTTATGGATTGATCCACGCCAACCACGGGGCCGACGCTGTCGACTACCTCAAGGAGCAGCTTTCATCTGCTGAAGACGAAGTCCTGCAGCACGGTGGTGCGCTCGGTTTGGGTATTGCCGGCATGGCTACTGGCGACAACGAGGTGCTCGAGAAGCTCAAGGACATCTTGTTCCAGGACTCCGCTCTCAACGGCGAGGCCGTTGGCCTTTCCATGGGTCTCGTGATGCTGGGCACTGGCAACACCCAGGCCATTGAAGATATGATCACCTACGCACACGACACGACCCACGAGAAGATTGTCCGTGGTGTCGCCATGGGCATGGCCCTCATCATGTACGGCCGTCAAGAAGGCGCCGACGTGCTGATTGAGGGACTGCTGAATGACCCCGATCCGACTCTCCGCTACGGTGGTATCATGACGGTCGCCCTCGCGTATTGCGGTACGGGCAGCAACAAGGCCATTCGCAAGCTTCTGCACGTTGCTGTGAGCGACGTCAACGACGATGTCCGCCGCGTAGCCGTCATGTCTCTCGGCTTCATCCTCTTCCGCAAGCCTGCTAGTGTCCCTCGCATGGTGGAGCTGCTGTCCGAGTCCTACAACCCTCACGTCCGCTACGGGTCCGCCATGGCCCTCGGTATCGCGTGCGCTGGCACCGGCCTCGACGAGGCCATTGACCTGCTCGAGCCCATGATGAAGGATCCTACCGATTTTGTGCGCCAGGGCGCTCTCATCTCTTTGTCCATGATCATGGTGCAGCAGAACGAGGTCATGAACCCCAAAGTGGCCACCATCCGCAAGACGCTCAAGAAGGTTGTGGGCGACCGCCATGAAGACGCCATGACCAAGTTTGGCGCGGCCCTCGCCCTTGGCATCATCGACGCCGGAGGTCGCAATTGCACGATCGGCTTGCAGACGCAGTCTGGCAACCTCAACATGGCTGGCATCGTCGGCATGGCGGTGTTCACGCAGTACTGGTACTGGTTCCCATTCACGCACTTTTTGTCTCTCAGCTTCTCCCCTACCTCTGTCATTGGCCTCGACCACGACCTTGAGATCCCCGACTTCAAGTTCCACTGCGCCACACGCCAGAGCTTGTTCGACTACCCGCCCGAGCAGGAAGTGAAGACCGAGGAGGGTCCAGCGCTGATTGCCACAGCGGTTCTGTCGACCACGGCGCAAGCGAAGCGCAGGGCGCAGAAGAAAGAGCGTGCCCAGCGACGCGAGAGCATGGACATCGACACGCCTGCCCCTAAGTCGGGTGGCGACAAGATGGAGGTGGATGACGATAAGAAGGAGGAGCCGGAGAAGAAGGATGACGCGGAGAAGAAGGAAGAGGCGAAGAAGAAGCCCGAGAAGGAGAAGGTAGGCTTTGAGATTGAGAACATGAGCCGTGTTCTCCCGGAGCAGTTCAAGTACATCTCGTTCCCCGCCGGTCGATACAGGCCTGTCAAGAAGCCCACTGGTGGACCGTTGCTGCTTGACGACACGCAGCCTGAGGAAGAGAAGACCCTGGTCGAGGAGAAGCTCAAGAAGGTCACCACGGAACGCGCACCGGTCGCTGGTCAGCAAGCACGTGGTCAAGAAGGCCGCGGTCTCGGTGGTCGCGGCCGCGGCGGATTGGAGGCGTTGGTCGACGGCCGCAGTGGCGGCAACGACATTGTCAACCAGCTGCTCCGTGGCTCTGGTTCTGGCCGATCGCCGTTTGGCAATCTGATTGACATGCCCGCTACACCGGGGATGCCCGACACCATGGGGTCTGGTGCGGCGGCCGCGGCGGGCGTGCTCACGGCTGTGGATGAGGACGGCGAGGGTGACGAGGAGGCGCCCGTCCCCGGCGAATTTGAATACTTCTCTGACGGTAGCGACGATGAGGAGGAGCTGTGATCGGGGACGCGTGTACCATATAGAGCGTGGGTGTAAGGCATTGCCTGGTTGGTGATAGCTGCAATGACACATAATCTATTGATCTCCTCGTTCATATGTCAACTCGTGATTCATCAACGCTTATAACTGGTATGTATTATTACTCAAGCCGTGGGGTTGAGGTACTCGGCAATGTTCACACGCTCAAAAAAGCTGATGTGTCCAAATTCCTTCCAGTACTGCGCCACCACGTCTTGTGAGATGATGAACAGCTCCGTGTCCAGATACTTGTCCCCCACAAAGCCCGTGCCGGCAACGTGACCCTTGCTCTCGACCACACGAGCCCCAGCAAATGGTTCCTCCACGGCCGTCCTCAGGTAGCCCCCGGGCCCGAGTTCCTCCGCGACAAAGGTGTACTCGCCCCGCGGCACGTTGGGGTCGCCTGTGAGCTTGATGGCCTCGAGGCGACCACGCAGAGACCGTGCCTCTGCGCGCCTCTGCGCCCAGTCGCTGTCGGACTCGCCTGCGCCACGCACCAGCTGCAGCTCTTGGTCCGTCGCGGGGGGTTGGTCCGGCTGGTTGAACAAGAGGAACTCGCATCCGTGGCCCGAGTAGTCGCCCACCCAGATCCCCCGAAAGGATCTTTCCGGAGTGGGCGTGTACAGCTCCGGGTCCAGCGTCGAATAAGTCAGCAGCTCTTCGCCAATCTGCCCGCCGGTCGCCATGGCGAACGAGGACCAGGGCCCATCCCGCAGCGCTGGGGGCGCATTGTGGCCCCCGAAGCCTCCCAGCATCTGGATCCACCTTCTGATCATGAAGGTGCGCTCTGAGACCTCGCCCCGGGACTGTGGTCGCGATCCAGCTCGGCTCGTAGATGTGAGGTCCCGGGAAGAGATGCTTGGCGGCGGCCAGGTGGCTATGCGAAGGAGCCGCTCTGGTTTGCCTGCCCAGCTGTCGCGGTCCAGCGACTTAGTGAGGCTGAAGTTACTGTAGACGTTGTGCTGTCGCTCGTCCATGACCATGGGCACCTCGTCGGCGTACCGGTTGGCGCCCTGTCGCCGCGAGAATCCACCAGCAACATCACTGTCGCGGTCGCCAACCTTGAACTGCAGGATCGGGCGGTCGAGGTGTAAGCTGACCATGGGCGTGAAGCGATGAACCACAACGTGGGGGTCCGCAGCGTATGGCTGGTATGTCGTGTTGTGACTGATGGCCAAGAGTTGTAGCCCCTCGATGCAGCCTCTCCTTGGGTCGTAGCGTGTGAGCATGAGTCTGCCGGTCATCTCCCGGTTGCTGAACCAGATTTTGTGTCTTGGCAGAAACCAAAACAGCTCGTGCGCCGCGTAGAGCTTGTGAAAACTGTCGCACGGATACGGTGTTGCGACCTTGACACCGGGCACATTTTCCTGCACAATGGGCTGCCAGTGCAGGTCTGAGAGCGCATAGGCGTGGAGCGTCGAGCACGCACGCGCCGCTGCCACGAGATCGAGCGGCGGCAAGAATTTGAGCACAGCATCGATGAGCTCGGGCGGGAGCTTGAAGATGTGGCATGCACGTTCTCTGGGCTCTGCAGCATCCGACGCAATCCTCGAGGCGCTGTTGGGCCGTGCATTGGGCGAAGGGTGATGCTTTTTATGGGGGCGGCCATCCCGTATAAAGGACTCGCCTGTGACACCGCGGACCATGTCAAGGTTGGCCTCGTTCTCTGGGTTCAGGCGGCCATAGTGATCTGGAGAGGTGGTTACCGTCGTGGGCACAAAGGGCCGCTCTGGAGCGTCCGAGCGCCGATGCTTGGATAACCCGGACATGATGAATGCCAGGGCCAGGGTGGTGGAGATGGCCAATATTGATGACCAAATATATGGCGAGATGGCCGCGAGGACAGTCGCGGGCAGGATGCGTCCCATCTGCACGTGTCAGGCAGAGAGGGAATGTGGTCAAGTCGATGAACAGAAGATCTCACCAACAAGGCGCATATGCACCTCTGTCCGTCCGCGGCGCGCGGTGGTCTAAGGAGTCTGTCTGTCTGGGGGCTGGGATAAAGCACATGGAAGTTACGGTAGGCACATCCATACCCTTTGATGGATCCGCTTTGGTGCTCAGTTGGGTAGGTGGTCAATTGTAGGTCCAGTCGTGATCCAGGTCTGAGGCGAGCCCGGTCAGAGACTGGTCCGGTCTTCGGTCGTCAGTGGTGAGGTCACGAGCGCCCGTCAACGTTCCCACCCGATCATGGACCTGTTCCTATGCCTACCCTAAGGTACCTAGGTACGCGGCTTTCGCTGTCAGCCATCAGCCATCCACCATCCAATCCCAGACCACGAACATATTCAATGTCGTTCTGCTGCGCAATTCATATTGTCCCGTCATGCAAATGCCCTGATATTGCAGCCAGTCACAGTTCTACATGCGAACACCAGTCCGTCAACTGTGTTGGCCCATGGTCATGTCCCTACGCACAAACAAATATCATGGTCTCTCTCGCATGTACCGTACAGAAACAGGCAGGACTTGAATTGAGCGTTGGTGGCCTCTCAGCGCTTGGCAAAATTGGTCCCTTGTTGAGTGTTCTACCCGTAATTAACTTGCTCATTGATGAAAAAAGCCACCGCAACCGGAGTGCTATCCGCATGTAGGGATCGTGGCCCATGTCCGATATCTGCAACCCAAGGTACCTTCATCAGGGCAGTGAGGGAGCATCATCTTCAAGCGCAGGACTGCAGGCTCATGTGCGCAGGTATTGTTAATTCTTCATTGCACCGGGAACGACCGCTTCGGTAATGATGCCGACCGCTGGCGTTCATGTCCGCTGCCCGGCTCCGATGTCTTCCTCTATCAGGTTTCTGCGCCTTGGGTCCTCGACATGCTGCAAGTTTAGATCGACAGTGACGCGATTGACTCTGCTGATCGCGAGTCTTGAAAGGTCGCCAGCGCGGTCTTCCCATCGATATGTGCCTCGCAACACAGTAATTACCTAGTTGACCAGCAAATCTGCCGCGACACGTTCCCTTCTTCAGTCGCCATCCCCTCTGCTGCCGCACAGAGCCTCAAAACCCGTGATTGAACCCCTGAACTGCAATCCCCAGCTACGTGCATCCAGGCGCCTGGGCATCTCGGCGCAACTGCAAAGGTCCCCCGGATCGAGTGGCCCATGGTCTGCCTGCTGCCTGCCGTAAACAGCAATCCGAGGACGCAGCGGCTCGGCGAACCAAGGGGAGGCCCGGTAGTCTCGCGATCCGGACGACAGTGGCCTTCCTCTTCAGGCAATGTTCCTCACCGTACGTACGCGCGCTCCATTTCCTCCCTCACCCACGCACTGCGGATTCCCCACCCACTGACATTACATTCAGTTCAGTCAAACAGTGAACTATCATGGCCTCCTTGCTGCCTCTCATCTCGGAGCTCCTGCCCATGGTGATGCCAGCTGCGACGCATGTGATACGCTCGTGTGATCTGGCACCTACTGGCCCAACTGTCGAGGGGCCTGTCACACAACGGCGCGCCGTCGTGGGCAAGTGTGGCATGTGCGCGACAGTATTGACCATACGTCCGAAATACAGCACGTCCATCAGACACAACAGTGAGCAGGGTGAGTCGTGCATCTCCTCCATGTTCAATTTTGATCTACTCTATCTACAAGCTCGTCTGCTTCTAGTCTAACTCTGCTGAGCAAGACACCATCATGTACAGCATCGCCGGCTCCAGCACCGTCCGCGTCAAGGAAGGGTTCGAGGACGAGCTGCACGTCCATGAGCTTTCCACTGGCGACTTTATCTGCATACCGGCATGGACCGAGCATCAAGTCTGCAACGACTCGGACCAACAAGACGCAGTGTGGCTCGTTGTGCAGCACGGCTCGCATCCGGTTGGCGCAGAACTTGCAGACTGGGGCGGCGCGGTGACGACGACGCATGACTAAAAGTCAGATCCTTTCGTTGCGTTGCGTCGTGTTGCGTTTAGATCAGATATGAATCGTCAATAGGCTGCCGTCGTCGCATGCACCAGATCGACCAGCGTCCGCAGGCCTCGCCTGTCGTCAAAGACCTGTGCGTGGTCGAGACCGGGGAAGCTGACCACCTGGATATTCTTCTCCTGCTCCAGATACTCACCCACCGCTGCCGTGTTCACAATGATATCCCGCCCGGCCAAGGACACGGCCACCTTGCGGTCGTTGTGCAAAAGGTCTTCGGCCCAGATGATGTTCTCGCGCCAGAAAAAGTGCCTCCCCAGGCAGTGGGCCACCCCGGGATCCGTGCTGGCAAAGTACCACAGTTGCCACTCGTTTGCCTGGCGAGGACGTCGCCGGGTGAAGTTGTACGCGACATGAGGCAGATGCAGCATGATGGTCACTGGGTCGGTCAGGACCACAGAGGTCACCCGCGACTGCAGCAGCGGCGAGCCGAGGGCGTGCGTCGTCAGAACCGAGCCGTACGAGTGAGAGACGAGAGCCACTCGGTCCCAACGGTGGTGGTCGAGGATCGTCACCATTTGTTGCACAAACTCGATGCGGTTCGGCGGCGGATCTGTCAGCCGGAATGAGATGGGTAGTAGCTCGATAGCTATGATGCCCGTGTTACTCCTCCTGCGGATCCCGTTCAGGAAGCCAATATACGTGAGCAGACCGATGCCGATGCCGTGGAAGAAGACGACGGGCTGCTGGGCCTTGTTCCCCTGGTGCGGATGGTACCAATAGCTCAGCCTGCGGACGGGCGACCTTTTCGGAGCCCAGAGATTCTGTGGCCGCGGTGGGAATGCCTGACGAGCAGACTCAGCCGCATGGTACTGGTAGCCATACCACATCATCAGTGCATGTGTCGCTTGATCGACCATGAAGATGACGGCGTACCAGAGCAAGCCACGGTATGCCGTCTCAATCTCGTCGAATGTCAGCCTGAGAGATTTGACGGAGCTGCGACCTGGTTCCAACTTTCGACCCAGGGCTTGTTCGATGCCAGTCACGTAGTCCTCCAACTCGTCCTCGTCGCCATCCGCGCACACCGTGCCGTCATGGTCGAAAAATGCCCACAGCAGGAACTCGCGTACATTGTCGCGTCGAACGTCGTCCAGATCCGCCCCAAGAAACCACCCCTGTATGTACGCGGCCGGATCTGGTGCAGTGGTGATGCATCTTTGGAAGAGACCGCGTCGTTCGTCGCGGGTCTGAGAGGCGGGGTGCTGGGCTTGGAGTCTGAGGCGTCGCTGCGCAGGCTTCCAGGCGAGGACGTAGAAGAAGGCTTCGGCGAGAAGCAGGGCCGTAAAGGTCCCCGTCGTGAAGAACGTCCAGGCTCTTGCGCCGTGGACACCAATCAGTAGGATAATCGGGATACTGTAAAGAATGGGCGCGTATCGGAATGCGAGTATAGACACGCGGATCAACATCCACTCAACTGTGGACGTCCCTATCATCTTCGCCTGATGTTTCTCGTGTGGCTGAAATGCGAAGTGGTCTTTCGATCAAATGGGTCAGGGTTCTTGTCTACATGATGGATAGCACAATTATTCCTCGATCCCCAATCCCCAACGCAAACCATGTTGAGGTTGGGTTGAATTGGGTGAGGAGCGGGTGATCGCCAGGGTTCCCTCCCATTTCGTCCTTCACGAACCACCATCCGTGACCGATGACGCACCAGACCAGACGCACGCTTTCTCTGCGAAAAGAACTTGGCTCAACGCCCATACTTTAACTAGTCATTCCGCTTATCTGCAGATTTCACTGAGTCAATAGGATAATATTTGGGCGTTATTGATGGATGCGGCGGGTGTTGTCTTTTGTAGAGCTAAACAGCACGCGCCTACCTAGGTAGTTTGGGCTCTTGGGCTTTACGATCGAACGACTATGCCAGACAAGCAAGACGTACAAGATCGTTGTGCAGCGGAATGGCTGGCATGACATTGGCCAGCTACACGAAGATTCTATTTCAAGGAAGTGCAAAGAGTTTGTATCGGTCGTTAATTACTGCCGAGAGCGACAAAAGATGCTGTATGCCCAACAGTGTGCCTTGGGGCAATGGCACTGCTTCTGAGGGGCTCCTATGATCCTCGCCTCGGCTCAACAAGCAAAGCTAGCGGTGAAAACTGGTGTTTTCTCGCCATTCATTTCGGTACTTCTTTGGCCGAATGTTTTGAGAGAGAGAAGTGTTATTCGAGGTGAACCACCCGAGGTAGGGTAACCATTACGTCATCTCGGAATAGCCTTCAACTACCGGGTACGCGATTCTCTCACCAACAGTTTCATTTCTCATTACATCTTGACCATGGCGGATCGCTATATTCTCCGCGTGACGGCTGGTCCAGGTTACGATGAGAAGAACCATGTCCTCGTACCCGTCAACGTGGCCAAGCCGGTCAAGATCGCCGGCCCACTGGCGACGATCGACTTGTCAGTCCGAGTAAGGGACTACAATGGACTGCCTCGTGGCTCGCCAAGCTCTTCCAAGTATTTTGAGACGGAACCGCACGCCTACAACCAAGACCAGTACAGTATCTGCTTCAGCTTCACCCCTCACGCGCCCAAAGACAGTCAGAGCGGTGGAGAGAAGGACGGCATCAAAGGCACGGATTTGCAATTTGGCAATGATTTCGATCGTCCGATTCGGGACAAGCTCCCACCAGGATTCAGCACGGCTATGAATATTGTGAAGTGGTGGATCGACCCTGGCCTGGATGGAGACGCGTACGCTGACCGGCCGCACCTCTACGGCCCAGCTCTATCTTCGTTGAATGCGTTGCACATTGGCGCACCCGAGACCGCGGAAGACAAGGGAGGCATCTTTGTCGAAGAAGGCGGCGGCGAAGACGTGAGGACCAAAATGGGCATGCCAGATGACAGTAAGGGGCGTATGAAGTGGGGCTTGAACGATGCCAACAAAGAGTCATGGCTGTGGAAGTACGAGGAGACGTACGGGATGGACTTTTACAATCCTTACATTGACTTCTCGACATTTTCCCTGCGGCTGCCGGGCTTCCATCTCCCGATACTGAAGTACTGGGACGGACAAGGACTACGGTATGTTGTCACGCCCTGAACTGATTCATTTGTGCGGGAGGAGGTTGTTTAACTGAGATGGACAGACGCTCACACACACTTAGATACGTTCTCAGAAACCGCCTAACGGGCGAGGTATACCTCGCAGTATGCTTCACGATCCACCTGAAGGAGGATGTCGACGAGGAGGGCAACATCAAAGAGGAAGCGAAAGAGCAGGATCGGAAAGACGACGAGAGCAGACAGGAGAAGGGAGCCGCGCCATCGAGCCAGGTGAAGAACACGGCGGAAGATGACCTAGACTGATTGTTAGACCGGTCCCGTTTGTGTAAGAAATGTTTGGTCACATCGCAGGCGCAACATATCACACAATGAGCCTGCAAAAGTAAGAATATAGACGGGTCTCAAGCCAAACTTTGTGTTTTTAATTGATAAGTACCCGTAGCATATCGAATTGTGTCCACAAAACCGTGTAGGGCCCTTTGGATCGAAGGATCAGCATCCCGGCTTTTTATTGACGTAGGGCGCACCGGGAGCTTTGGCGTAGAGCGCACGACCACTTACTGCCTGGTCAGTGGTGACTTGGTGCGCTCTGCCCGTACTGGGTACGATCTTCACGTCTGCTCGTCCCACACCATTGTGATTGTGCGGTCATGTTCGGAAATAATGCCGCGAATGAGAGTCAGGGACCGACCGACTGGCGCGGGCCGGCGATCGTTTCGAAGCCCATCCATCATCTCCTTCTTATTGCCGACAGGGCTTGGAACCTTGGACCGCTTGGCCTCCGCCGGTCCGTCAGATCGTCTCCTGCTCAACAACAGCCCCGACTTGTTGTTGCAGACTGGAACGCGCCCACAGGTCAAGCCGTCCGTGTCCGTTCCTCTCAACTCCATGTCGCTGATGCAAGTCCTGTCTCGAACGCTGGCCTGCAGATAAACCCTGTCCTGTTGCCGACTGAAGTCGAGAGTCGAGACTGAGCGACGGCGATTGCGTGCGGATGCCCTAGGGTGTATACGACAACTGGCTCGTGAGTCACACGGTAGACGTCTCTTCCCGTCTTCCTACAAAACCTCACCTATGCCTGAGCGGATATGGTCAAGGCATTGAGCACTCAGCATGACCGACGCCGAGAAGACGCAGCGAACTGCTCGCCAGCACGGCGCTGCACTCGATGATCAGGCACCCATCTCGCATCTCTACCTTTCATTCGACTCGGATCTGCCACTCCCACCAGGCCAGCCGCCGTCGATTTCGGCTCCCGACTTGAGGCGCTACACATCTCCATACACATGGAGCCATCCTCACAAGCTAGTCGTCCTTGCCCTGGGATGTGTTTCGACCTTTCTTACAGCCTACACGGCTGGCTCGTACTCGCCACCAGCGACCTACATCGCCGCTGACCTTGGGACGACACCTCTGATCGTGCTCCTGGGCATCACCACGTTTTGCATTGGCTTTGCGCTGGCGCCCATGGTCCTCGCACCCGTCTCCGAGATCTGGGGCCGCTACCCAGTGCTCGTGGCCGCCGGCGTCTTTTTTTCGGCTTTCCAGATTGCGTGCGCCCACGCTCCGAACCTCGCTGCCATGTTCATGTGCCGTTTTTTGGTAGGCTGTGGCGCCAGCGTCTTCAGCTCCATTGTTGGCGGGGTCATTGCCGACGTCTTCAGCAAGGAGGACAGGAATACGCCCATGGCGATCTACAGCGGGTTCGTCCTCGGAGGGACTGGTGCTGGCCCCTTGGTCTGTGCCAGCATCGTCGAGGCTTTGGGAGACACGTGGCCTTCAGGTGCTTGGAAATGGTGCTTCTGGCATCAGGGCATTGCAGACGGCCTGCTCGTCCTGGCATTGGCAACTTGTTTTCGTGAGACAAGGGGGTCCGTGCTCCTTTCTCGGAAGGCAAGGAAGCTCAACGAGTGGTATGACACACTGGAGAAGCAGGGCATCTATGGGGTCTGGGTGAAGGACTCGGAACTCACAGCTGGGGCATCAGCCTCGTCTGCCAAGTCCACCTCGGACGAGAGTAGAACCCTGTGTCGTCTACGCTGGAAAGTACAGGCTGACGAGGAGCGAGGGTCCCTTGGCAGCATGATGGCCACGTCAGTATTGCGACCTTTCTATATGCTCGGCACCGAGCCAGTCGTCTTGGCCTTCTCCGTGTGGGCTGCCTTCTCCTGGGCTGTGCTGTACTTGGGGTTCGCAGTGGTCCCATACTTGCACAGGGGTGACTTCGCAGCGAGCTATCCCACTTATGCGGCCATGATGGTCGGCGCAGCTCTAGCCACAACTGTGAGCGTCTTTCAAGAACGACTCCTCGAGAACAAGAAGTGGACGGGCGAGGAAAGGACGATGTCCCTCTTCTGGCTCATGATGCGCCGGCGGTTTCCGAGGGATGCTCCCGAGGCGAGGCTGTACTTTTGCTGCGTCACCGCCTTGCTGCTGCCTATTGGTCTCTTCGTAGCGTTCATGCCCAGCCAGACTGCTTTACCTGGTGATCAGGGCATTTTGCTCGCCGTGGGCATCGGTCTGGCCACCTGGGGCATTTACGTCATCTACCTTGCCTCGTTCAACTATACTGCCGATGCGTACCATATCTACGCCTCTTCAGCCCTTGCGGCCAACGGTTTCTGTAGGAATGTCCTTGGCGGCAGTTTCCCGGTCCTGACAGGGCTGATGTTTGATGGCATGGGCGTCAGGGGTGGAGGCGCCATGCTGGGCAGCGTGGCGATCGTGCTCGGCTTCATCCCCATTGTGCTCGTTACGTGGGGAGCCAGGATCAGGTCCCGAAGTATGATGGCGACAATGTTGCAGAAGTCGTAATTGATGATGTACTATCTAAACATATTTGTGCTCCAAATCCTCTGATACGCTGCCTGATATTGGAAACAGGCTACGATGTCGTCGCGAACTTTCGAGATAGAACCCGCGGCCTGCCACTGATCATGTTCACCAGTTTCTTAACCAGCCTGCTTCTTTCGACCCTGTTGATACTGCCGTCCGCCGAGCTTTTGGTTTGATGCACGATGCCGCGAACAGGTAGCCCAAAGGATCCGTCAGCTTGCACCGTGGGTCGGGGCGGCATACCCGTGCCCTGCCAGTCCGCGTGCACCACAGGGTCCATGTCGTGCTCATCCAGCACGAGACCGCCTTTACCATCATCAATCATTGATGTTTGACCAGGTAGCCTCCCCCATGGACTTGTCCCTCTGAGACGGTACACAATCTGTCCCTCTGTCTGGGGGAAGATGGCTTTGATGAACATGTGCGCATACATCTCGCTAAAGCCACACATCCTCAAACACTCGACGTTTCCTTTCAAACACAGAAGCGAATCAAAGATGTGTAGATGGACATCTGGACAGTAGTATTCTTTCTCCCTGGCTGATGGCGCCAACGAGAAGGACGACGTTGACGTCAATGACGTTCCATTCGTCGATTCGCTACCGAACGAAGAAATCTTTCTCAGCTCAACTCGACCAGGTCGAACTCCGTGATATCGGCGAGCGAGGAGTGTGAGGTCGGTCAAGGGGGTAGTTCTTTCGATGTTCGCTTTGCCAATGGCTTTAAGAAGGCGACCAAGCTGGCCTAGCCCTGGCCGAAGGTCTGCACCCTCTGGTCCAAACCCAAGTTTGCTCAGGTCAACTTCAATCATCAAGCTTCGCATCCGATGTACGTGGGTACTGAAGAAATACTGTGTGAGGGGGCTGATTCGCGGGCCGGTGTAAGGCGAGAGCGTGACGTGAATAGTCTTGTCCGCGAAGAGGACGTGCAAAATGTCGTCTCGAAGCAGCTCACTTGTTGATAAGAGATATTTGAGAGACCGGATAATGACCGCAAACGGCGTGAAACTGTTGCCATGCCATGCGTGTTTGGTGAAGGCCCTTGGGGACAACGTCAAGGGCTTGTCACTCTTTGGAACAACATAGCGGCAGATCTTGCGCCGCACGTTGTCTGGAAGTTGGGCATAGCTAGATGCTCTGTGCTCCGAGGAAGGGGCTGACGCTGCTGTTGATGCCGTGCTGGATTCTTGGTCGATATCTCGCGGTATAGGCTTGTGGACGACAATGTCGAGCGCCCGGTCCCAAGGAGGATAGTGGTCGTTTGCTAGATTTGGTTTCGATTTCTGGCTTCCAAGTTCCACTAGCCACGTTAGTCTGCTATCGTGGAACTGTATGCGATGGTAGTACTTCTGGCATCTGTATTGGCTGGGCTGGTACAGAGGGATCGCCTTTTTCGTAAGTGTGAAAGAGATGCAGATGAATGCGAAGGTGATGTGATGTGAGTAAGCTCATATAGAGGGTGCATTCATGTGACACGTCGTGGTTTGCGGCACTTATCTTCGTCCAATGTAGTCAGAGGCGTCTCGATCCTCAGAAATGAGCACCATGGTACCGAAGCGCCTGATCCTTCATTAGGAGTCGCGTGATTCCCTAATCTCAGCGAAAACTGACTCGAATCCACGTGGGTATTTGAATTGTTCATTCAAGAGTCTATATGCCGTTCAAATCGTCAGGGTTCGCCTGCGTCGCGGCTTTCCGCGCAACGCTCCCATACCTCATCTACCAGATGCGCTGGACATTGTCCGTCACTTTATTTCGCCTGCCTCTCCTTCTCGGCCTTCTCAAAGATCCAGTCATTCAGCCCCTTCTTGTTCCTTGCAATCTCAATGGCATAGAACTGCATGCGCGGCACGAAGATGGTCGTGTCCTGGTCGTACTCCTTCCCGGGGTGGTTCCGCACCATGGTACCAAAGTTGTAGTCGTCCACCCTCTTCTCGTACGCCATCATGAACGGGCGCCACTTTTCCTTGCCTGCTTTCGACTTCATCTCGTCCTCGTTAATCGTGGCGGCGGGGTCAAAGTCGGGGAATGTGAGCATGAGGTGGGTGTAGATCTCGTCGTCGAGCTTGGTGAGGCGCAGCGACGAGCCCCTGACGCGCTCGAGGATAGACCAGTAGGTCGACATGTGCTGGACGACCTTGACTGCAAACTGCTTCTCCATCTGATCCGAAAGTTAGCGTTACGTCCTTGTAAGGGTGCTTGTACACTGACATCCTCGCTGTTACCCGCTTCCTCGGGGTTGAAGTCCTTGGGCAACGGGCCGCTGGGGCCGTTGGCCATCTGCTCCATGGGATCCATAGTTACAGTCGTGTAGATGTTGTTTTATATGAGAGTAACTTATGGCGACAACAGTCGGAAATGGGTATGATAACTGTGTTGTTGTCTGTCGGTAGAGGAAAAAAGGTGTTTGTCGCAAAACGTGGGGTTGAAGATTTTGGAGGGGCACTGAATGACGCACGTACTGTGCGAGAGTGTGCGCGCGAGGCAAAAGTACCGTGCTACACACACTGTGCGCATCTACGGCCCCGAATCTTCTACACGTCCCCGGAAGTTACTACTAGGTACTTTAGTCGGACCAAATGAGTGCGCACCACTCATACTTCGAATGTCTAACCTCGTGTGTATACCTGTACTGATATGGATTCTTCATTATTCCGACTCTATGGACTTTGGCGACCAGGTGCACGGGCACGTGAAGGCGCAGTCGCCTTCATGTCAAAGAGTCAAGACCTGGGGCAGTGCTCAAATTGGGCTCACCGTCACTAATAAGAGATGAAAGCTGCAGTCGGAACAAGCCTAGAGCCTGCGTATTCCGAGAAAAGACCATTCTTACACAATGGCCTCCTGCTCCCGCTCACCATTGTCCGTGGCTCGAGCGCCCACCCACTCGATCAGGCTGCGGACCTCGCTCGAGGAACAATACTAACAGCCAGTCGAGGGCTATAAGATGGCCAGGTCTATGAGATTGTATCCAGATGTGGTTGAGATCATGGCTCTTTCAAAGTCTTTTCTCTCTCACGAGAAATGCCGACTCGCGCACCAAAATCATGGCGAACATGAATATCAATGAATCGACAAATGAAGCTACATTCCTCGAGACACCAAACGAGGCCATCGTTCAACCTAAAAAGTCCTCCTGGAGACACCTCTTTTCATTCACCAAATGGTCTCACGCTGGTGCGCTTTCCTCGGCTTTCCTCGCGGCGGCCATCACGGCGGGACTCAAGGCCGCTCTCCCTGTTTTGCTCGGCGAAACGTTCAATGTCATCAGCGATTATGGCATGGGATTCATCGACGGTATCGAGACCTCCAGTCGCATGTCACGGTGGTGCCTGGTGTTGATAGGGGTCGGTGCTGGTAACTGGGCGGCCAACTCAGTGTTCCTCGCGTTATGGGTAATCTTTGGCGAGTTGCAGGCGAATGCAGCTAGGCACGACATCTACCAAAGTCTCCTGAAGAAGGATATGACATGGTACGATTCGCAAAGCCAGGGCATTTCCAGCTTACTCTCACGGATGCAGACGTAAGTACTTTGCTTTCCGGGAGGGTCATCGCTGATCAAGAAGCCAAACGCGCGAGCTGCAACTTGGCACATCCCAGATCCTCGGCCTACTCTTTTGTGAATTCTTCACAGCGCTTGCGTCCATCGGTATCGCCCTTTTCTACGCCTGGAAGCTTACGCTTGTCCTTCTGGCGACTATGCCCCTGTCAGCCATCGTTCTATCGTTGGCCACACGACCCCTCGAGCCGGCTATACAAGCCCAGCGCAAAGAGCTCGCCACTGCGTCCAAGAAAGTTACTGCGTCCATCGTCGCGATAGACCTCGTCAAGATCTTCGGCGGATACGATCAAGAGACGGAGCAGTACGTTCAAACTATCCAAAGAGCAGCAAAACACTACACGATTCAAGCCCGATGCATTTCCATACAAATGGGTTATGTGGCTTTCTGGGTGATTGCCATGTTTGTGGTTGGCTTCTGGTACGGTCTGTCGCTTGTCGAAGATGGCCTGCGGCCCGGCAGTGTTCTGACAACGTTCTACGCCACGCTCGCCGCTTTTCAAGGCGCCGAGGCACTGATGCCGCATTGGCTGGTGTTGGCAAAGGCCATGTCGGCGGGATCTTTCCTCGAGGCAGTTGTGGCTCCGAAGAGCGGCGGCCGAGAGATTACGCGCGTGGGTAGGCATGTGAAGCCACGAACGTGTACCGGTGATATCGAACTGAATAATGTGAGCTTTCGCTTACCTGCCTTGGGAGTCATACTAACAAGGCCAGGTCAGCTTTTCTTATCCTAGCAACCCAGGTACCATCGTCTTACGGCCATCGACTCTTTTCTTTCCGGCGGGCGAGATGACTTTCCTTGTTGGCCGCAGCGGATCCGGGAAAAGCACAATCGGGAACCTTATCGCCAACTTCTACAAGCCACTGAAAGGCGACATCCAGATAGACAACGTGTCGATGCGGGTACTGGATGAACAGTGGTTACGCGAAAACATCAGCCTCATTCAGCAGACCAGTATTTTGTTCAACGACACCTTTTTCAAAAACGTTGCATTTGGCCACCGGGAGCCAGAATCAGCAACCCAAGCCGAAGTCTTGAGCGCCTGTCATTGCGCCTTATTACATGATACTCTGGACAGTCTACCCCTCGGACTACAGACTAATGTTGGCTCCGACGGCCATAACTTGAGCGGAGGCCAGAAACAACGCTTGGCCCTGGCCCGGGCACGTCTCCGCGATCCATCAATTCTCATCCTAGATGAGGTCACGAGCGGCTTGGATCAGCTCAGCAAGACGCTAGTCATGGACGCCATTCGACAGTGGCGACGCGGCAAGACTACAATAATCGTCACGCATGATGTCTCCCAGATTGAAGGCGAGGATTTTGTCTACGTCATGGACAGCTCGTATCTCGTACAAGAGGGGTTCAAGAAGGATCTATTGAAGCAGGAGAATGGTCACTTTGCGTCTTTGGCTGCTCCCCATGGACATCAAAACTCGCCGGAAATTCGTATCTCATCAGTCGACCCGAAAGACTCGCCCGCCACGCCTCTGATCGCGTCTCGCCGCTCGCATTTTGCTGATCGAATCTTCAACGAGCTCGAAATCAACTCGCTGCAAGTCAACAATCTTGGCAGACGCAGTTCACTGCTGCCCGGCCGTGACTATCAAATGCATCCAGGACTGGACGCAGGTCGATTACTGGGCGACAACAGAGCCTCTTTCCATGCTGAGGATGACCAGAGCTGGGATGAGGAGAGGAAGCGTTTCTCACATTTCCTGAGCCAGCGGTTCTCGTCGCCAGAACAGCACGAATTGGTCGCATTGCCACAACACACCCGTCGTGCATCTCCAGCGCCAGCAAGGCCCTTGTCAAGTCTGACCTCGGATTGGGCCGGGTCTCCAAAAGAGAGCGTCATGCCCGAGGATATGGAGAAGAGAGCATCATTCGCCTTTGGTGATTCTCAGCGGAACAGCGGAATGTCCACTTGCCGACCACACAGTATGGTCGAGCAACCGGCTGTCCCCGAGGAAAACCCACCAACAGCAATAAAGGCGCCTAAGAAAAAGATCTCCCTCTGGTCAACCCTCAGGACCATCTGGCCCACCCTCGGTGCCACCGACTGTATCATCTTCTGTTTTGGTTTTGTTGTCTGTATCATTGGCGCCACAGCAACACCCGTGTTCGCCTACGCGCTTTCACAACTCCTTGGCGTGATGACCTCGCCCGGCGAAAAGACCACCAAGGGAATGAAGTGGGCACTCATTATCTTGGGCGTGGCTGTGGTGGACGCTTTGGGCTGGGGCGGTAGCCGATACTTGTTTGAACTTGTCGGTCAAAATTGGGTGAACAAGACTCGCACAGAAGCTCTCCGAAGGATAATGTTGCAACCGAAGCCTTTCTTTGGCAAGCAAAAAAATTCTCCCGGCCGAATTGTGGAATGTATGGACCGCAATGCTGAGGAGATGCGCAACATCGTGGGCAAGTTCATCCCCATCATGGTAGCCATCACCACCATGCTCAGCGCCTCCTTCATTTGGTCTATGATCGTCTCCTGGAAGCTGACCCTTGTTGCGTTGTCACCGGTGCCAGTCGTCGCTGGGGCTATCAAGGGCTTCACCTGGATCTCTGGAAAGTGGGAAGCCAGGTGCAACACGGCAGCGGAAGACACATCTGCAACGCTGACCGAAATCTTCCTCAACATTCGTATTGTTCGAGCTCTGACTCTGGAGAATTATTTTACCAATAAATACGAGGCGCAGGTCCAGGGCGCCTTGGCCATTGGCCTCAAGCGAGGCGCCTACACGTGCATTCTCTACGGTGCCTACCAGTCCATTGGATACGTACTCACCTCGCTCGTCTTCTACTACGGCACACTTCTCATGGCCACAAAGGGCGAGATGAACGTGGCCTCACTCATGCAAGTCGTCAATCTCCTGCTTTTCAGCATTGGCAGCGCCGCAGGTATCCTCAGCGGCATACCGCAGCTGACCATGGCGCAAGCGACGGCCTCGCAGATGCTGGAGTATGCCGGCATGTCGACAGAGCCACCCGAGGGACAACGTGGCAGCTTGAGGCCGTACAACTTGCTACCCATCAAATTGGACAAACTTAGTTTTTCCTACACAAAAGGCCAGAGTGATGTCTTGCGAGGCGCATCGTTTGAGATTCACGCTGACAGGGTGACTGCCATCGTTGGACAGTCTGGCTGTGGGAAAACGACTTTAGCTTCCCTTCTCCTGGGGCTGTATCCTCCCTCGGAACCCTCCTCCCTGACTCTGAACGGCATTGCATCATCGGACATTGACATTGACCACCTTCGTTTTCACACCGCCTACGTCGCTCAGGCGCCGTACTTGTTCCCCGCTACCATTGCCGAGAACATCACATACGGGCTACCGAGCGGCTCACCCTATTATGAAACGGCGAGCATCGTGCGCGCTGCCGAGGCAGCAGGTATTCACGAATGGATCATCTCCCTTCCGGAAGGTTACTCTACGCTCATAGGCGATGGCGCACAAGCATTGTCGGGTGGCCAGTCACAGCGGCTCAACATTGCGCGCGCACTCGTCCGCCGTCCCAAGTTACTTGTCCTCGACGAACCGACATCGGCTCTGGATGCAGAAAGCGCGGGTATGATACGGCAAACGATCCGCAGTCTGAAGGGGATGGCAGTGGTTCTGGTGACCCATAGCCCGGAAATGATGCGAACCGCGGATTGGATCGTCGTGGTGGGCGAAGGAGGCGTGGTCGCCGAAGAGGGGGGCTATGAATCGTTGATGAGGAATCAGGGGGAGTTCGTCAGGTTATTGCATTGTGGTGAGTAGCCGCGGTTCTCGTTAGTCGTTTATTGCATATATTGGAGAATATTGAAGCACTTAGGTATGCGATTTGAACATTGAGACGTTGGTTGATCGGGGTACATGTACATTAGAGTAATAAAGGGGTTGATTGATACAACCATGCTGAGTCAAGGAACGAAATCACCAGATTGTCGCACACGGGAAGAGGTGGGCATGTGTCGAACTTACGGTCTATTTTTATCAATACCACCGGTCCAGGTAATTGATACAGGCGTGAGGCAGGCCTTTTCAATCGCTTGGTCTACGACAAAGCGCAAAGTGCATCTTGCGACCCGGCGATCCACAAACACATTGCGTGCAGCGCAATCATTACCAGGCTTGACAGTAGACCTCGCCATCGCGACGGTCCGAACTCAATATCTCCTTCAGAGCTTTGTCTCGCCAGTTGGTACTCACCGGACGAGGGCACCCGCATGTCTAGTGCGGCAACCAGAAGTAAAGGCACGCCCACGTCGAGGCGGACAGTATACGGCCAGCAAGGACGCAGCAATGTCAGAATCTTGACGAGGAAGAATCCGAGACGGATGCCTTGATTCAAAGTATCTCCATCAAATCCAGTGGCGACCAGGAACAGATTTGTCTGGTGCCGTAGCTCAGTCATGATGCTCCTGGGAGGTGCCATCAACAATGGAGGCGACCGTAATGCATCTGGCGACGACGTCTCATTCTCGGCATACTCTTGATTTTGCACCAAAGCCAGAGGATGCGGCCGCTCCACGGTGCTCAGAACATGCGGCGCGCGTGGCTTCTCTAGACCTGTAGACCCTGCCAAAACGTAAGATCAAGTGTTGTCGAAGCTACGCCGTAGTTAGAAACATACCTGGGACAGGGGTGCTGCCTCTGGCTGGCGAGTCCAGATTCTGCACGCGATCGTGACTGTTATTTCCAAACACACTTTCACCTCTCAACGCGCTCAACACCTCGCTCGCGCTGGGTCTTTCGAGCGGATCCAGGGATAGAAGCCTTTTCAGCCACGTGTACAGTCTTGGGGGTAGGTCATCTCTCTTGCGACGCTCGTCTTGGAATCCCTTCCACTCGCTGATCTCAGCACGCAATTCGTCATAGTCCTCGAGCTCTTCCTGTATCGCATTGGCGCTTCGGTACGGCAATGCTCCAAAGCATATGAAGTAGAGAATCATGCCTAGAGAGAATATGTCCGATTTGGTCGTGAAGTTGCCAAACTGCCCGGATTCGTCTTGCTGCAGCACCTCTGGCGCGCAATACGAGATGGTCCCCGTCGACCCTGTGGAGTTGCGGATTGCATGTTCAGGCTGCACCTCGCCAAAATCACTGATCAGACAGCGCAGCTTCCCGCCTTCCCGGTGCAGAAGACAATTGTTTGGCTTCAGGTCGCGGTGGATGTAGTTGTTGCTGTGCAGATACGCTACACCAGACGTGATATCCCTGAACAGGGAATAGATCTCCTCGAAGGAAAGTTGCCGACTGCCACCAAGAACATCCTGCGGCCTCTCTGCGTGTCCTTTGGAGCGCCTGCGCATCTGCGCCTTGAGCTCTTCCGTTGTAGCCTCCCTTGGCGCACTGCCAACGATGTACTGATGCAGGTCACCCCCGTTGCAATACTGCTGCAGAATGAACGCGCAGGCAACGCTAGGACCAAATCTCGTCAAGCGCGTGCTCTCGAGCCAAACGTGTCGGTAAGACACCAAATTCGGATGTGAAAGTTTGTTGAGAAGACCGACCTCGACAAGGACCTTTTCGAGCCACGTGTGGTCATCGCCGACAGGGACGCGCTTGCAAGCGAAGTGCCCTAGGTCGCAATTGTCAATCTCATGTCGCACGAGCAGGACGACCCCTTTGCCGCCCTTCCCTAGAACCTTCTCCTCCTTGAAGAAAGTTTTAAAGTAGCCTGGGCTGAAGGCTTGCTTCCGAATGCTCGTTCCTTCGCTCTGTGAGATACCAGGGCTGCTCGAGAGGAATTCGGTGCTTTCAGGCTCATCGACGCTTGTTGGAGGGGGCGTCCGCGACGCGTGCCCCAACGCAGGGGGTTGAAATAACCGCTTGACTGAGCTCGGTGGATCTTCTGGTGGTTGAGACTCGCGGGTTCCCGCCTGCAGCATGCGGAAGTAATCGGGGTCCACGTACGAGTCGCCGGTGGGTTGGTCATAGGACGATTCAAAGGAGCGGTCCGTATTGCTGCTGCCGCGTGGAAAGGGGCGACGACATGTCGGACATTCGGTGAGGCCCCGAATCTCGAGGCGATGGGATGTTGAATCGCGGACAACGATCGCGTTTCGATGGCGGCTGGGCAGCTTGGTTAGTCTTGGTATTTGACGCTTGGGGCTGCCCCTCACAGAACAATCTCACGACCCTCCTGAGGCTGATAGGGGATCAAGGACATGGTGGCGTATTCTTCTCTGGTGTGATGAAGCTTTTCATGCTGTTGGAAGCTGTTCAGAACGCCATGACAACTGGGACTTGTGCACGAAGGAGGAAACAATGGCCGAGCTTCGGTATGAGTCGTGCCTCGACCGGTCCAGTCGACCACATCCTGATGTCACGCCCCGCCCGTAGTGGGACTCGGGCGCTGACAGGAGCCGGCCCCCACCACAGCTCCAGCCTGAGCTCCAGCTCCACTATAGCCGGTCGCCGCCAAGCCCGCTACAAACTTACCCGGTACATTGAAAAACACTAGCATAAAGGGGCCTTTGCTATCAGACCCCTTTTCCAAACATAAACCAAAAGGCTACGCTCTTTTCGTGGGAAAAGTAGTATTTCCAGATACAATTCATATTTTCAATTTTCCTGGACTAGAGTTTTTCTGGTCACTTGGTGGCTGCACTGGGAACTGACTGACTGCAGCTGCCGGTAGTCTACGTGTGATTGCACCAGCATGTATTATTTAGGTATATTGGCAGTAAAGACTCCTTTTGCGGCATAAGGAAAAAAGAATCGATTTTAAGAATGCAGCAAAATCATATGGTTATGTGTAGACGCAGAGTTCATTGTTGAGCACTCAAGTTGTGCCCTCAATACTCTTGCTTTGCCACAACTCTGGTCCACCACGATCTTCTTACTCACACCGATCTCCCGCACTGTAACGTCTCTGCCTGAACCTCTTCTTCAGAAATATTGGTGAGGCTACTAGAGATCAAGTCAAGGTCGTGCGTGTCAAGTTCAGTTCAAACAACATGAGGACGTGAGAAGAATTCTGGCGTAGTCCTATGGAAATATGTGGAGACGCAAAGCGTTGTAGTACTTCTTGGGCATCTTCCATATGAGGGGAGAATTTTCTGTTACGGCAATGCTCGCGACATATAATCGACATCTTCCGGCAGGCTATAGGACCCAGGAAAGGTCAGTCTACTATTGCAGCCACCGACATTGGGCATGGCCAATTTGAATGGAGGCACCGGGATCAGCTTCCACGCATACACATACAATGCCCAGACCGAGCAAGTCAATCTATCTGTCAATATAACACTGTTTAAGACCCTTGTTGCTATCCGTGAACCCTTTCCAGAGGTGATACTTTAATGAAGTACACCCAATGGAGTTTATAATCTCAGATCAGGTGCAAGTGACCACCAGCGCGTGATGTCCACATGAAGACACCCCTTCTATGAGTACCGCTTTACTCAAGCCAATAGAACTATATCAAGATAACATGTGCCAGCACATGTCATATTAGGCTCATTTGGCAGCCAAGGCCGCCACGAAACTGACGCAGGGAGGAACATTCTCTTCGGCTCGGCCGCCGTACTTCGTAACGATGACTTACCTAGCCACCGAATGAAGCAACATGTATTGTCAGTGTTGGTGAAGCTTCAGCCAGCAGTCACACGGATGACAAAGGATTGACATATCAGGCCGTGCCGTTCATTTGACTCTAGGCCGTGTCGGGCCACGAGAGACATGCACACATGTACAGAGACTTGCCGATCCTACAGCAACGTATGATACCTTGATCAGGGTTTTAGCCTGATATCATCTATTTTGCGGGGTTGGCACAGCGATGATACTACTACATAGTATAGGGCAACAACTGGTGGGTAGCATTGTCTCACTCAACCCCTTTTCATCACGGTGAGCCTGGCTCCGTGGTCGCCTTGGCAGACAGTATAAACATCTCACACTTGAAATCACCAAAGTAATCAATAGGCCATCATTCCACCTTTGCCTTTCCAAGACGACTGATAATATCCACAAAGATGAAGCTTTCTTTCGCTCTGTTGGCTCTGGCCGGCGCCGTCACCAACGCCCACTGTCAGTAGTAGGCCCCTTTTACTACCTGCAATCCTCCCACTGACCCATTTCCCGAAGACACTATTCCTCGTGCCTCATCTGGTGGCGTGTCGGCCAGCGCAGACTGGCAGTTTACGCGCAGGACGGAGAACCACAACTCTAATGGGCCCATCACCGACGTCACGTCTTCGCAGATGACTTGCTACGAGCTCAACCCAGGAACAGCCGCTCCCCAGACACTCCCCGTGAGTGCCGGTGGCACCGTCAAGTTCTCCATCGCGCCCAGCATCTATCACCCCGGCCCAGTCAACGTCTACATGGCGAAGGCACCCAGCTCTGTTGCAAACTTTGATGGAAAGGGGGACGTGTGGTTCAAGATCTGGGGAGATGCGCCCAAGATCACCTCGTCCTCCATCGAGTTCCCTTCAAACGGTACGTCCCTTCACTGACAGGCAGATCGATGTCGCGCATGTTGACAGTGTAAATGTAGGTGTCTCGGAGATAGAGGTCCCCATCCCGTCTTGCATCGCCAACGGCGAGTACCTCATCCGCTTCGAGCAAACCGGCCTGCACTCGGCCTCGTCGCCCAACGGCGCACAGCTGTACCTCTCCTGTACTCAGGTCAGTGTGACAGGTGGAACGGGCACATATTCGCCCAGTCTAATGAGCTTCCCTGGGGCGTACTCGGCCAACGATCCTGGGCTGCTCATCAACATCTACTGGCCAGTTTCGACCAATTACGCCTCTCCCGGTGGACCGGCTCTACAGTGCTAGGCAGCCTTTGAGTAGTGATACACGTACATAGCACAGTGAGGATGAGTGGCAGCGCTCGAGGTCGGTCATTAACTATTGTCCCAGTCTATGAAGTTGTTCTCCAAACACGTTGCATTGCTCAAATCCACACACAAAGGAAACTCGTCATTCTTTTCAATGTCTTTGTTTAGTCCGCCTGTCCAATTCCCAGGTGCGCAGGGTCGGCGCGCACGATGCGCAGGGTGTTTGTGTTACCCATTCCACCCTTCCAGCCCTGGACCACAACAACAGTGTCGCCGGCGGTCAGGACGTTGAGCTTGAGGGCGTTCTCGACCGCCCACTTGATGCGGCGGTCGACATCCTCCTGCCAGTTGACCTTCTCAAAGTCGGGCTTGGCCTCGGGGAATAGGAAGGGATACACGCCACGGTAAAGGTGCGAGAAGCGCGAGGTTGTCGCGCTCCTTGTCACCATGAAGATGGGGCACACAGGGCGGTACTTGGAGAGCAGCCTGGCAGACTCGCCAGAGGTGGACAGGACAATGATGCCACCGGCACCGAGATCCAAGGACGCACGCACAGCCGCCATCGCGCACGACTCGACGGTGCTGACGGGGCGCTTGACGAGCTTGCACATCTCCTCAAAGTGGGAGACGTAGGGGATCGAGTTCTCGGCCTTGAGGCACGACTCGTGCATCTCGGAAACGGCCTCGTTGGGGTAGGCGCCCTTGGCGGTCTCGCCAGACAGCATGACACAGTCAGCGCCATCAGTGATAGCGTTACCAACATCGGAAATCTCCGCACGCGTGGGGCGGGGGTTCTTGATCATGGACTCGAGCATCTGAGTAGCACAAATGACGGGCTTGCCAGCCATGTTGCACATGGCGATGAGCTTCTTCTGCGCAGCGAAAACCTCAGCGGCGGGAATCTCAATGCCCAGGTCACCACGGGCCACCATGACACCGTCGGTGGCGGCGAGGATCTCAGGGAAGTTGTTGAGACCCTGACGGTTCTCAATCTTCGCAATGATCTGGATGTTCTTGCCCTCAGGACCGAGGACAGCGCGGATGTCCTTGATGTCCTGAGCGCGACGAATAAACGAAGCAAAGACCATGTCTACGTTGTTCTTGACACCAAATTGCAGATCGGCCTTGTCCTTCTCGGAAAGCGCAGGCAGATCGACGTCGGTGTTGGGCAGGTTGACACCCTTTTTGGAGGAGATGAAGCCGTTGTTGCGGGCACGGCACTCAATGGTCTTTTCGTCCTTGATGGACAGAACATCGAAAGCGAGGACACCGTCGTCGACGTAGATGACACGGCCGGGCTTGATGACCTTTGTGATGTTCTTGTAGTCAACGTACCTACAACGTTAGCCAATCTCCACTATCAGGGGAAATTCAACCTACATGTTCTCTGTGTCACACTCTGTCGCGTACTTGTCGTCGGTAGTGATGTTGATGATCTTGCCTTGCTCGATAGGAATATCCGCATCGCCCTTGGTGTTGCCCGTTCGGATCTCGGGGCCCTTGGTGTCCAATGCAATGGCGATAGGACGGCCGTCCTGGACCTCGCCAGCCTTGCGGGCATTGTCAATGACGGATTGGTGGTAGTCGTACGAACCGTGGCTGAAGTTCATGCGGACAACATTGAGACCAGCGGTGCGGAGCTCATTGATGGCCTCCACGGAGTTCGTCTTGGGACCAATGGTGCAGATGATCGAGGAGCGACGCAGGTTGCGCTCGGGCTTGTAGGTTGTGTCGAGGGAGGCGAGCCAGGCGATCTTGCCGCCCAGCTCGAGGTGCTCCTTGGCAGTGGCTGCCATGATGCTGTCGGTACGGTGACGGAGGGGCGAGATTTCTTGAGGCATGTCAGCGGTCGTCGATGGAGGAACAAGAGAATTGAGGAGTTATCAAAGTGTATGGTAGAAAGGAGGGCAGATAAGTAGCAGGGTGATGGGCGACGGAGGTGGGGTGAGATTGTAGGATGCGGTTTTGGTGGTTTGCAAGGTTGCTTCAGGTGAGGGGCAATTCTGCCGCTACTGCCACCACTGCAGCCGCGAAGTTAGGTCCAGTCCTTGCGATAGAGCAATGTGGCTGCAGAAATGACGCGGGTAATGTGTGGGAATGCGCTTCGTCTCGCTAGAGTACAATTTCTGCAACTGCTTCGACCCACGACATGGAGGCGACAGTAAAGCGCGGACAGCTTCGATGCCCGACCCTGTGCAACGACTGGAAGGGCAGCTTGAGGCAGTTCCGGGCTTGCTGCAACGTACCAATTTTGACTCGTCGACTGTCAATGCGCACAAAGGATACAATCTTGGGGGGCTTGGAATAGGCGAAACAGGATTCGAGAGGTGTTGGGAGATTTTAATTGATAGACTCCGAAAAAAGTCCAGCGACATGCACTTTCCAGGTCCACGTAAGGGCCACCTCAACAAAAGAAAAAGACCGTTTGACAAGTCCCTATTACGAATCCCCCACACCCTGTAGATATGAGGCACTAGCAACCTACCAAATCTGCACGCAGGGTCGCGCGATTTTCCTTGCTCGAGATCTAAAGCTGGACTCATAAAATTACGCCGAGCCAACTTTATCGATAACTAGGGCGGTGAAAGCTCCGTCGGGCATTTAGCTGCGAGCCCTGCCAGTCTCGTGATACGCATATTCTGGTTAAGTGCAAATATCGGCTCTTTGGCGCGTCGGCCCGATGCCAGACGATCCACCTCTGCGAACGCCGCCGCCGCCGCCATTGTCGCATGACAGCTCCACCGCTCAGGACGACAGCTCCCGACGAACAATCACCCAAAACATACAAAATGGTCGTGAGTACTCCTGACCCATGCCTGACGACGAGTCTAAGGCGTACAGCTCCTGAACCTACTGACACTGGGCCTCTGGTCAAAGCTCGGACGACTGACGCACTATGCCTTTGACGCCGTGCTTGGCGAGTCTACCCAGTCCAAACTCTTGAATATGGCCTCCTAACAGCAAGGCAGTCTCGGCTTTCCTCGCGGGAATGAAGCGCTCAACTGGCTTGACGTGAGTCTAATTTGACCGCCGCCGCATCGACAGTATTGACATGTCCAGATTCAAAACCGACCGTGTCGCGGGCGAGAGCAAAGATTTGAACAAATGGATCGACAACTACCTCGGCGTCGGCGAATGGGTGATGGACCAGTCCGTGGCCATCGCAGGGAGCTCAGGCTATTTTGAGCGCACTCGATGAGACAACGATATCAGGATGGCGTTGGGTCAAGGCGTTTGGACTGTTAATTCGAAAGACCGAGATGTACAGGTGCTCTCCCCTTGCTCTTTCCATTATACTACGGGTATCCGACCAAAACTGCGCCGCTCAGCACGCGTGACTCCCTATATCCAAAAAACACGCTGCGGATGTTACAAATCTATCGACACAGGAGACTAGTCCAACTTCTCCCTCGGCTCTTGCTGATGCTCCGCCATTAAATCCGGCGGAACATCGTTGTCGATGCTGCCTGCTGATGCCTGGCTTGGCCGACTATCAACCTTGGAAAGCATGAGATCAGCCGGTACCTCATTGTCACTGTCCTGCTGGTCTGCGTGTGCCTTTTGGTCATCGTGATCTGAGTCGTGGGAGGATGTGCGGTCTACCAGTGACACGTCCAGCAGTTCTCTGAGCATCTCCTGGCCCTGCTGCAAGGCTTCCAGCTCAGCGCCAATAGCGCAGATTAGCAATGTCCAGCTCTTGTCTTCAGCAAGCTCATGGTGTCTCTTCAACTCTTTCATCACCTTGTCCATCTCTGGGAGTTGTGCGCGCAACATCTCCTCCTGGGAGACCTGCTTTTCTTTTCCTTTGGTCGAGACTGACTGCTCACCCTTGACAACAGCTCGAAAGCGAGCTTCGTAGTCGGCCACCAGACGCATGACATCGTTCCATACGATGCCACCTTCTTGAAGCGCTCGTTGCTCATTTTCCACGAGTGTTTTCCGTTTATCGAGGGCAGCGATTTCTTGCTCCCACCAGCCCTTAGCCATATCAACCGTGCGCCTCTCTGGAATCATGCGGATGAACTCTTGCCCTCCCGTCGAGGGCGCTTTGCCAAGTGCATCGCTATCCAGCGGTTGGAAAGGGGGATGACGCATGATGCGAGCGACCTCCGAGTCGACGTCTTTCAACGCCCCGCGATACCCACTCAGGCCAGCATCTCTCCGGTTTCTAACATCTTCCATTTTCTCTCTGAGCCAGCGCCTTTGGTTTCGCATGCCGATGAGCTTTTCCTCGAGCTCTCGGATATCGCTTGTGATAGACTCGTAGCGTTCACCAAGCTCCCTTAGCTCTTTTCCCAAGGGTTCCTGCTCATCATCCTCCAGTGTCTTCAATTCGGTCTCAACACTATCCTTGCGGAGGCTCAGTCTGTGTAGTTGACTCAGAGCCTTCCTGCGCTCCGCAAGAGCATCTTCGACGTGCTGATTCTCTTCCGCTTTGAGCTTAGCAAATACCGAGATAGACCTTCTTAGTCCCGTCCTTGCTGCCCGTAGTCCGCGTGGTGTGCTTGGCTTCGGCTGGCGAACGGGGATCACGTCTCCCTCTGCCGTGGATTGAGGGGGAATGTAGAGTGTATTGGCCAGTCGAGAGTTTGAAGAGTAGAATGTGCCAGTGGGCGTACTATCTCCAGCATCACTGTACTCGTCTTCACCACTGGCCACGAGACCATTCCCCTGCGCATCAAGGAGATCCTGAATCTCTCTTTGTAAACCCCTCTCGTGTCTCCGGATTGTGCGCCAAGTCGAATCGGTCTTGTATGAGGGTGCCTCACCCTGCGGTTGATTATAGTCCCAGATCAAGCTCCCAAGGCCCGTGTTGCGAGGGCGCTCGCTTGGATCGAGGCTTCTAGATTGCGTCTTTGGCGGCAGTATTGTAGATGTGATTGGTGGTGGAGGTCCCGAGAAGAGAGTCTTGCGCTTTCCTTCCGGCGGCGACCCGAAATACTGCCCTTCGTCGCGCCATGCGTCAGATGTCGATGACTGATGGGAATTTGGGCGATCAATAAACACGTGGCGGTGGTCGTCTTCGGGCCAAGGCTCGAGCTCTTCCATACTGTAAGCGCTCGAGGAGCGCACGTTCGAAGGACTTTTTCGATGGTCATGGGCGCGGGATGTGCGCATGTTGCAGATGGTTAATTGTTTCGAGTGTCGATCGACTCGCGCCCGAAAAATACGATAGCTAAGTAGGCAGAAAACTGCTAGTAGTGAGATAGCTTGGGACAAAGGGGATGGACAGGGCTTGAATGAATGTATATTGATCGAGGAGCGACCAACTGACTTCCGGCCCCAATTGGAGCAAGCTCACGAGGGGAGTCGAAGTGATGCAAGGTAGCAGATGACGCGAGCTGCTGAGCTAGGTTGCTTACCACCTTAACCAGACTCTGGCAGAAGAGGACCAATATCATGACGGCCTAATACCTGAAAAAGACTTATCGGTGCTTCAAGTATTAGATCTGGATTGGTAAGACCTTCATTGACGTTGGATCTGGCATGGTCTGATCACATGTATGGAGGATAAGACGTGATAACTTATCGGGTCAGATATGCTGCTAACGCGTTAACGTGTATAATAACCGGTGACACGTTAGTCTCCTAATAGCACCTAACTAATTAATGACATTCTCCAAGCAACACCACGGCCACGATTCATCTCAAATTTTCCATAATTGTAAAACACGGTTGAGATCGATTTACTGCAGAGAATTCCCTTCCTGGGTTCCTCTTTCCGTGAGCGTCTACTGTCGTCGTGCTTAGTACTAGTGCCACGTACGCGCGCTGAGCGTCTCGTTGTGACGACTAGAATCACTTGATTCAGTGCTGAAGCAATCGCCCTTGCTTCCACAAAGCACTATACCGTGGCCAGACTCACCTACTAGTTAAATAGTTTTTGACATTTTGAGATCCACTGCGATATACTGAACTCCGAGTCAACAGAGACTGGACGGTAAAGTGAGCTAGTGAGCTAGGGTAGGTGGAATATCCAATTCAGCTCTGATCATCAAGTAGTATCTGTGCCTCGGGCATAACTTAATGAGCCAACAACAACCTACATCTGGTATTGACTTGACTCATTCAGATCTCGAGACACATATCCGCTACACCGAAGCTCCTGAGCTGAACTAGGCCCAATCGCTCAACTCAGCGCAGCCGGTCCTGCTCAGCTCTGCGACTCCAGCTCGGCCAATCAGGACCCCACGAGCTCTCCGGCGACTGGACGTGACCGATGGACTCAACAGCTGAAGGCGCCTACAGTGCCTCATCGGCATCTCCCGCCCAGCAACAATCCCGGCATCGTGAGGAGCTTCACATGTCGGATCGGTTGCACATGTCGCCACAAGATTACGCTCCGCGCATCAAGGTCGAGCAAGCTCACCCGTCCGCGACAGCGGCCAGCGTCGCCCGCACGCATCCACTTCCGCATACCCACGCCCACTACCAGCCAAGCAGCGCTGTACCCAACATCCTCCAGCCTGGCGGCCTGACAGCGAGACCTCCGGCCATATCTGCAAACACAGCGCCGGCTGTTCCCACCGCCCAGCCAGACGAACGAGAGCATTCGCGACCATCCTTCAGCATGTCGCATTCCTACTCTCGATCTAGCCCCTCGGGCGCCTACGACTCCGCGAGCGCTTACCAGCCGTACACTCCGACGACGCCAGGTGGCTCGGCGTCCATGGCCTCGCAATTTATGTCGCCCTCCGATGTCAGCTCCAAATATGGCTCATCGAGCGGCACGAGGCAATTTTCAAACACCCCTCTTGGCCTGGCCGACATTCGACCACGGGCTGACTCGAGCATGTCGGATGGCGCCCCGGGAACACTGGGTTACGATCTTGCGCACGCGCAGGCTGGGACGAGCAACTATATGGCTCCGTGGCCCATTTATGCATTCGACTGGTGCAAATGGCGACCACAGGGGAACAGCGCGGGCAAGCTGGCGGTGGGCAGTTACCTGGAAGATGGTCACAATTTCATTCAGATCCTCGATAGCCATGCCACGACAACCCCACAAGATGTATACGCCCCAGGAAACTCCAAGTACACTCTCGAATTCAACAAAATCGCAGAGGCGACGCACTCTTACCCGGTCACAAGGCTGTTGTGGGAGCCGCCCTCGTCGCAGAAACAGTCGACAGACCTATTAGCAACATCGGGGGACCATCTCCGGCTGTGGTCGTTGCCCTCAGAGACACCTTCTACTCCGGGGAGCAACATCGGCCGGAGAGGACAAGATGGCCCAGCTACGAAACTGACACCCCTGGCACTGCTCTCCAATTCGAAGACCCCCGATCACACTGCGCCATTGACGTCTCTCGATTGGAACACCATGAACCCAGCTCTCATCATTACGTCTAGCATTGACACTACCTGCACTATCTGGGATATTCCGTCCTTGACAGCGAAAACCCAACTCATTGCCCACGACAAGGAGGTGTACGACGTCCGTTTCTGCGCGAATACGGTGGATGTTTTCGTCAGCTGTGGTCAGGATGGCAGTGTGCGCATGTTCGACTTGCGAAGCCTTGAACACTCGACCATCATTTATGAGCCGACAGGCAAGGACGACAGAGGTGAGTATCTTGGTTCCCCAAGAAGAGTTGGTCTGACCTATTTAGTTGATTCGCCAGCTCGCGCTAGCCCAACGTCTGCTCAGCAGTCAGGCTCCAACCCGCCCCCTCTGCTACGTCTTGCAACGTCTCCCCATGATACCCACCTCCTTGCCACCTTTGCTCAAGACTCAAACACCATCCGCATACTCGACGCCCGACAACCTGGCCAGGCGCTGCTTGAGCTGCGCGGCCACGGCGGTGCGGTCAACAGTCTGGACTGGTCACCACTGCGACGAGGTCTTCTTGCGTCCGGAGGAGATGATTGCCAAGTTCTACTTTGGGATCTATTGAGTGCTAGCTCAAGTACACCTGCAGCACCGGCTGCCAACGGGGCGCAAGAAAGCAGCAGGTCCCCCATTGCCGGTTGGGAATGTGATTATGAGGTTGGAAACTTGGCCTGGGCCCCTCACCTTCAGACGGGAGAATACGGCGAATGGCTGGGTGTGAGCGGCGGCCGCGGCATCTGGGGCACTCGCGTTTCCTAGCGAGACGGAGTACCCGTTGCGACGGGTTCGCGTTGAAAATAGTTGCACACGTAGATGACGAAGATGTGGACGTGAGATGGACATATGGGGCGGCGTTGGCGAGCATCATTTCTAGGTTCAAAAATATCTCATTCATAGCCGCGATCTCGTCTCGTCCTCGCTCACCTTGATGACAGCCTTGCCGGATAGCTTGCGCGATGAAAGGTCATGCAACGCTTGGGGAACGCTCTCCAAGCCCTTGTAGATCTTGGACACCGTCGGCTGAACCCGACCGGACGCGATTAGCGGGCCAAGATCCGACCATATGCGCTCCTTCTCCTCAGGATCCCGCCGCAGGGTTTCTCCATAGCGCTGACTGTGTGTTAACGACGATGCAGCGCGATCATACACAGGCACTCACATATCCGATTAAGGAAACCTGTTTCAGCAGGACCCTGTTCATTGCGATTTTCTCCATGTTGCCTTCTCGCCCCGCGAACCCCACGACTAGCACCTTGCCTTGGAATGCGATGCATTTGAGGCTCAGATCCACGAGGCCCACTGGGTCGAAAATCACATCGACACCGACCTCATTTGTTGCCTTGAGTACATGCTGTGGCCAGGACTTGTCGTTATAATCAAAGCAATGGGTGGCCCCGTATGACTTGGCATAGTCGCATTTCGACGACGATCCCGCGGTCCCAAGAACAGTATATCCCAACGCAACACCGAGTTGGACAGCCATGACACCTAGGCCACCAGCGGCCGAGTGGACGAGCAGGTTGGCGCCCTTCTTGGGGGCACCAGCTAGTAGTAAAGCCCCGTAGGATACAGGTAGAGTGGCCCCCAAGCCAGCGGCGTCAGTGGGCTTCCATCCTTGAGGCACCCTATCCAACTGCCCGGCATCCGAGAGGCTGACAGTGATGTATTCTGCGTAAGAGCCAACCTGATTGCCGAACACCTTGTCACCTGGCTGAAGTGGAGAATCCGATGGCGCAGACACGACTTCACCTGCGAACTCAAGCCCAAGTGTGAAGGGGGGCCGGACCAAAGAGCGGTTGTTCTGGTGTTTACCGCGAGCCTGTATCATCAGACGACCAATCCTAACAAGGAGGGAACATACGTACGTAGAGAGTGTCCACAAAATTGACACCAGCAGCTATGATCTTGATGAGAAGTTCATTGCTGTTCGGCTGTGGAAATGGCACAGTGCTCACGGTTACTTCGGAGACAGAGTCGAGGAACTGGCTGATGAGGATACTTTTCATTTTGGAACCAGAACCTGCTTATGTCCAGGAGTGTGAGTCTACATGAGGATAATGTCCAATCCGGATATTGATAACGTATTGTCGGTTGCCGAGGGAAGATCTCCAAGCGGCTGTCCATAGCCAGCAAGCAAGGCAGTGCGGCGGCTGGTGGTGGGGTGACCATGCACAACTCAAATAGTGGATCCTGCACAACGCGCTGCGTAATTTATGCAAACAGCTACGGTCGCGTTGCCGAAGTTCACCCGCCCGAGCTCGAAACTTTGGCTTCTTCGTACGCCGCGCTCGAGCGCCAACCTGTCCATTTCTTTCCTCCTTCATCAATCTCAGCTGCTCGCCAGGCTTCCACAATGGCGTCTCTCGATCACAATCGTTCCGACGAATCGGATGAGGAGGACTTCAACCCGGCGCCGGCTGACGTGTCCGACGAGGAACCCGATCAGGAGAGCAAAGGCGTGAAGAGGGCGCGCAGCCCCGATGGCGAAGATGCCGATGCTCCAGACTCCCATGCACAGGCCTTAGAAGAGAACGACGAAGACGAGGAGGATGAGGAGGATGATGCGCCCGCGCGCAGAGGCGATGACGACGAGGAAGATGATGAGGAAGATGAAGACGACGAGGATGAAGACGTTCAGCAGGTAGCACACCTCGCATTGCGGCTAATGGCGCGCCTCTGACAGCATTAGGGCCATCGGCGCAAACGTCGCCGCGACAAGCGAAACGCATTCTTCGATATCGAGGCCGAAGTCGACGACGAAGACGAAGGCGAGGATGACGAGAAGGACGGCGAAGAGATTGAAGACTTTATCGACAATGCGCACCCCGATGACGTGGCCGACAGCGGCGGTATGGAGGACGACAGACGACACCGCGAGCTCGATCGTAGGAGAGAGATGGAGCAGAGTCTTGACGCGGAAAAGCAGGCCGAGATCCTCAGACAGCGCTACGGCAATCGCAGATCGGCCAAAGGGCTGGCGGATTCGGCAGTCACACCGAAGAGACTGTTGCTGCCCAGTGTTGACGATCCGAGCATTTGGGGTGTTCGCTGTAAAGAGGGAAAAGAAAGGGAAGTGGTGTACTCGATCCAGAAGCGCATCGAAGAGCGCATCGGGACCAAGGAAGAACTCGCAATCACCTCGGCCTTTGAGCGCGGCGGTGTGGATTCTATAATGAAGGGTCTCATTTACGTCGAAGCCCAAAGGTCCACGGACGTGATCAAGGCACTGGACGGCATGCTCAATGTGTATCCGCGAACCAAGATGATCTTGGTGGAGATTAAGGACATGCCCGAGCTGTTCCGAGTCAGCAAGACCCCGAATCTGGAGCCCGATGCCTGGGTTCGTCTCAAGAAGCCCGCCAAACATGCCGGTGATTTGGCGCAGGTCATCGACGTGACCGAGAATGGACTCGAGGCGCGTGTCCGATTCATCCCGCGACTGGACTATGGCGTGAGGGACGAGCTGATCAGCAACGACGGCAAGAGGAAGAGGCCTGGGATGCCAGGTCCCCGCCCGCCCCAACGACTTTTCAGTGAGGTGGAAGCGCGTCGCAGACACCCGCGCAACATTCAAGGCAACCCCACGACTAACACTTGGACTTACATGGGCGAAGAGTTCGAAAGGGGCTTCCAGGTCAAGGATATAAAAATCCAGCAGCTGGTGGTCCGGGACGTGGCCCCATCGTTGGAAGAGGTCTCGCGATTCACCTCTGGCGCCGAGGACGGCACTGAAAATCTGGATCTCAAGGCTCTGGCAGCCAGTCTGAAGGATAACAACAGTCTTGTGACCTACCTCCCCGGCGACGTCATAGAGGTGTACGCTGGAGAGCAAAAGGGCGTGGTAGGCAAAGCGACCAACGTGCAGGGTGATATTGTCACCATCTCGGTCACGGAGGGCGACCTTGCAGGTCAAACAATCGAAGTGCCCACCAAGGGCCTGCGCAAGCGGTTCAGCGTCGGCGACCACGTCAAAGTCATCGGCGGCAAATTCCGCGACGAGGTTGGCACAGTTGTGAAGATTTCAGAGGATCGTGTAACCATCCTGACAGACCACACTAACACTGAGGTCACGGTGTTCAGCAAGGATCTCAGGGAGGCGAGTGACATGGGCGGCCAAGGGTCCCTGGGCCAGTACAGCTTGCACGACCTGGTGCAGCTGGATCCCACCACCGTGGGCTGCGTTGTCAAGGTGGACAGGGAATCCCTGGTGGTGCTGGACCAGCACGGAGCTACCCGACAGGTGATGCCTTCACAGATCTCTAACAAGCTTCCGCAGCGGAAAACAGCCGTGGCAGCCGATCGCAACGGTGCTGAGATCCGCTTGGACGATGTTGTCAAGGAGGCTGTTGGCATGCAGCGCCAGGGCAAGATCATTCACATTCACCGTTCTTATGTGTTTTTGCACACAAACGAGACGACCGAGAACTCAGGTGTCTTTGTCACAAAGGCAAGTGTCGTCAACACCATTGCGGCCAAGGGTGGACGTCTGAACAACGCATCTGCTGGGCCTGACCTGACGCAAATGAACCCAGCACTGAGGCGAAACACGAATGAGCAGCCGCAGAAGCCCGTGCAAAAGAGCTTTGGCAAGGATCGTTTGATTGATCAGACGGTTGTCGTCAAGAAGGGCTCCTACAAGGGGTTGCTGGGTATTGTCAAGGATACCACGGACACACACGCGCGGGTCGAGCTCCACACCAAGAGCAAGATCATCACGGTGGACAAGAACCATTTGAATGTCAAGGACAAGAAGACAGGGCAGACGATTGACATCAACAGCAGAGGTCGTGGTGGGCCGCCTGGGGGGTACAGCGGCAGCCGTGTGCCTGGATACCAGCAGTCGGGTGGCCGGACGCCAATGGCAAACTGGGGTTCCAGAAGTAAGTCTACCAAGCTGCGCATCATCATCCATGCCTGTACTGACTAATAATTTAGCTCCTGCTCTCGGTGGTGGCAGTCGAACTCCAGCATGGAAGGCCGACTCTGGTGGTTCCCGCACTCCTGCGTGGGCCATGGGCGATGGCAGCCGCACTGTCAACCCATATGACGGCAGCCGGACAGCGTATGGCGGTTCGGGATCACGCACGCCAGCTTGGCAACCGGGTGGCCGCACGCCCGCGCCTGGAGATGCCTTCGGTGCTGGGTCGAGGACGCCTGCTTATGGTGGTGGTGGTGGTGACTCCTGGGGCTCGAAAACACCAGCTTACTCGGCACCCACGCCTGGTGTCTCGGCCACCGACCCCTGGGGCTACACGCCAGGAGCAACAGGGTCAGCCTATGACGCGCCCACGCCTGGATCAGGCCTCACGGCTCCTAGTGGCGGTGCCCTGAGTGCGCCTACGCCAGGAGGCTACGGTAGTGCCGCGACTCCTGCTGCAGGCGCGCCCACACCAGCTGGCGCTTGGCAAGGAGGATGGGGTGCTGCTGATACTGCGCCCACTCCGGCAGCGAGTGCTCCCACGCCTGGTGGCTATGGAGTTGCGCCCACTCCGGGCGCTGGTCCGACGTATGACGACGATGACTGAAGGCCGTTCTCGTGAGCATCCATGTGGTTGTGCAGGGTCTGCTTTTCTGGGCATCTATGGCGTTTAGGAAGGGTCTGTACAATAAATCAAAGGCTCGGTAATGAAGAAAGTGAAATTCGGTTCCATCTATTGGCTTAGTGGAGCTCATCTTGATCCGTAGCTGTGATGTTGGTGGGTGTACTACGTATTGGTTGCTGTTGAAGTGCGTGACACGGCATTCGCGCGCCCAAGTGCCGAACTCCGGAGCCTTCCAATCCCACACCAAAAGGACGCGCGCTGCCTTGCGTTTTCCACGTCGGCCGCAACATCGTCATCATGAATCCTGCACCAGCGCCACGAGCCCTCATATGTAGAGGCCTCGGGGCCCTGCGGAATAGTACACGATGCTACATCACCGTCGAAAACATGTCGCCGCAGGCACGGACAGCAGCGCGAGCGGCGCAAGCCTACAAGGCGCAAAAGAGCCAACCGGACGAGGAGTACGACGACATTGCAGCGCGCGCTCCCCTCAAGAAGCCATCGACATCGGGCCTGGGTATTCCTAGCGCTGTCCCCTCGTCCTCCAAGAAGCCGAATTCTTCTCCACGATTGTCCCGCGACCGACCGGACGCCGCCACGACAGATACTCAGGCCACGGTGGGAGAAGCCGCAGCACTGGCCGAGCAGCGCGAGGCCCACCTTCGACACGTCCGTCTCCGGCGAGTCGAGGCTGAGGAGCATGCAAGGAGGCAGGCGGCTGGGGAGAAGACATATGACCAGCGATACAGGGAACTGAGCAGGAGGTGGTTGGGCGGCATGGTCGGGCTGCCGTTTCTGTTGGTGACGAGCTACTATCTTTTTGACCGACGTAAGTTTTTTCTCGGCCTATGCCGTGAGCTGCGATGGTCATGAACATGGGCTGACTGGAGGACAGTGTTTCTGGGGGGCGAAGCCAAGCCTATACCTAAGTATGGCGACGATGACTAGGCCATGGACACTGTTGGAGAGGCGGCTTGTCTGGGTGGAAGTCTGGTATTACTAGCAATCATTTACTGGGGATGGGCGTCGATTTGCGAAACGCAAGATAGGTCGTCCCGGTGCGTCCATCAGCTCTGTACAGTCCACAATGTAGGAGCATGTATCATATACCCGCAGGCGCACTTGAAATTGAGCGAGTAGTCGTGCGGCACAATTCAATGCTTGGCCAACGCTGTGAATGCATCTCGGAGGACTGGAGGGTGGGCACGATGTGCAGCACCTCCTACTGATTGCGTCCAACGGCGTCCGTATGTTCTCCACGAGGGGCAGAGCACAACCTCATCTCACTCGTCGACACGAGCCTCACCACGGCGCAGCCGTTCCACAAGTTCCCCTCACGGTAGAACGCCTTGAGAAATTCCTCGTCTTGCAATTGCACCATCTGTCCTCTTCCAACATACACGACAAAGTTGATTCACAGCGAGATAAAACACAAAAACCACGATGGCACAGGAATACCCGCGACCCGACTTCCAGCGCAATCCGCTGCGCTGGCAATCGCTTAATGGGCCCTGGGACTTTATCTTTGACGACGACGACGCTGGCCTTGCGGCAAAGTGGCACCAGAGCGGCTTGCCGGCCTCTGTCAGCGTGTCCGCCAAGGAGGCCAGTGCCGACACCAGCTCTTCCTCTCAAGCCGAGAGCATCACCCAAAAGATCGCCTCGGGGACCCAGGAGCTGATCAAGGGCAACATCCTCGCCAGCACTACTACGGAGCACCAGAAGCGCAAGATCGAAGTGCCCTTTGTCTTCCAGTCTCCCGCCAGCGGCATCAACGAGCGCGGCGTGCATGAAGTCCTCTGGTACGAGCGTTCCATCGAGGACCTGCGCGAGAGCCAGAGCGACAGGCTGGTCCTGCGCTTCGGAGCGGTCGACTACGTTGCCAAGGTGTGGGTGAACGGCCAGCTCGTGGGGGGGCATCGCGGCGGCCACGTCCCCTTTGAGATTGACGTCTCGGACGCCGTCGCGCACGGACAGCCCTCGAGGCTTACCGTGCGGGTGTACGACTCTGCGTACGACTTGACGCAGCCACGAGGCAAGCAGTACTGGGGCGCCAAGCCTGAGAGTATTTTCTACACGCCCAGCGGTGGCATTTGGCAGAATGTCTGGTTGGAGGTGGTGCCACCAGCCAGGATCGCGGATTCCTCGCATGGCACCATCATTCGATCCAACGACATTGCGTCGGGCAAACTTCACAGCAACATCGCCATCACGGGGCGCCGAGCCGGGCAGAAGCTGGGCGTCGAGATGGCAGCTAGCTTCCACGGCGTCGAGGTGGGCAAGTCCGAGCTCGTGCACCTGGCCCGCGACAGCGACTCGGCTTCCGTAGATCTGAGCCTTCGCCTGTCCAAGGAGAAGATCAACCTTCTCACGGCCGAGATGCAAAAGGGACTGGACGACCCCTTTATCTGGCGCGACGGGCTGGCCCTTTGGTCCCCTGAGCATCCCCATCTCTACGACCTGACTCTCCGACTCGTGGACACCAGCAGTGGCAATGTGCTTGATGCCGTCGAGACGACGACAGGCATGCGCTCCCTCAACTGGACCACGGGAGACGGGACTTTCCGGCTCAACGACAGGCCCTACTTCCAGGCCCTGTGCTTGGACCAGGGCTACTGGAAGGACACGTTCATGACACCTCCATCGCCGGCGGCGCTGCGCACCGACGTTGAGCTCGGCAAGCGAATGGGCTTCAACGGCTGCCGCAAGCATCAAAAGGTCGAGGACCCCCTCTTCTACTACTGGGCCGACAAGCTGGGCTACCTCGTCTGGGGCGAGATGGCCAACGCCTACCAGTTCAGCAGCGAGTACGTCGAGCGCTACAACCAGGAGTGGGAGGAGGCCGTCAAGCTGGTCATCAACCGACCGTGTGTCGTCACCTGGACCCCCGTCAACGAGTCTTGGGGCTACACCGACCTCAAGAACGACGTCACGCAGCGCAATCACATCCGCCAACTGTACTACGCGACCAAGACCCTGGATCCCACCAGGAGCATCAACGACAACTGCGGCTGGGAGCACGTGCTGACGGACCTGACCACCTTCCACGACTACGCGGACGGACCGGAGCTGGAGAAGACATGCGCCTCGCTCAAGCTGATCCTCGGCGACAAGGCCGGCCGCGATCTGTTCACCGCCGCCGTGCCAGGGGACGCTGGATGCCAGCATGTCGCCGGCGCGCCGGTCATGTGCACCGAGTTTGGCGGCGTCAACATCAAGCCGCAGGACGGCGAAGAGCGGGACTGGGGGTACACCACGGCCAGTGATCCGGAGGATCTGCTGCAGCGTGTGCGGAAGCTTGTCGAGGGCGTCACAAAGGGCGGGCACTGCTGCACATTTGTCTACACACAACTGTAAGTTGAATCTTTGGGGGGGATCGGAGGCCAAGAGATTGCTAACAGTCACCACCACCAGGGCCGATATAGAGCAGGAAGCCAACGGTCTCTACTCCTTTGACCGCGAAGAGAAGCTCGACTCGAGCAAGGTTCGGGCACTCATGGAGGAGGCCATCAAGGGTTACTATGCGAAACTGAAAGTGTAAGAAACAACATGGTGTCCTATCTGTGTAGATGAACAGGAGGGTTCGGAGAGGGGAGATCTATGTATCCGGGCCTTGGTCCCCTTTTTGGGCCGTGCACCGTGCGCCGAGATTAAGCATACTCGTGGGCTGGATGGGCATCATGCTCACGAGAAAGTCCTTGAGCGACTCAAAGTAGCCGCTGTTCAATACGGAATCGAGGGTTGCCCTTTCGGCCGCATACGCGCCCTCGCCCCGGGCCTCTATGTGCAACAGTCCCGTGATCAGCGGGAACGTGGCAATGTGATGCCGGAAGAGACCAGCGTCTGGGTGTCCAAACAGCCTGCTGGCGCGCGTCAGCTCGTAGAGCTCGTGGTCGTCGTCGAGCCTCGGGTCGGCCGCCCCGCTGAGGTTCTGATGCAGCGCGTTGCAACGCAAGGTTAGGCAGTGGTACAGCGTCATAACGTGGGCGGCAGCGAGTAGATCTGCCGTCACCCGCTCGGGGAGCTCTTCCGCTAGATCTGCCGGGACGATTGGGAACGCGTATTGCTTGTGCCAGGCAAGTAGACGGGTGTTTACATCGTTCACGGCCCTTCCCAGTAGGTGTCTATACTCGGTCTTCTTTGCCTCAGACTCCCAGGCCTTCATGGCCTTGATGCCCTCCAGGACACTTGGGATATCGACAAAGAGATCCAGCAGATGATCGCGCGGCGTCTTGGGATAGTACGTCCACGGGGCTGTCTTCCATATCGGGTTCGACAGGAACGTCCGCCTCTCTTGCAGCAGGGCTGTCATGATGATCTGATGACGCCCTGCGAGGAACAGCCGATGTGCTCTGCCTGTGGCGTAGGTGGCAGGCGAGTTGCTTGTGACGATGGCTGTCTCTCCATTGCTGTGCAGAAGCCACGAACGGGCCTGTGCTTCGTGAGCCTGCTGGCCCCGTCCGAAGAAGGATTCATAGAGGCTGAAGAGTCGGCTGGCCACGAGCTGCCGCTCCATATCTGGTGTCTTGGCGAATATGTCCTTCGCCGCCATGCGCAGTGCGTCCGCGTACAGCCTGCGACTTTCGCGCATCATCCAGGGCTTGCCTGTCGGTGATCGGTTCGCGGTGGCCAGGGCTACGGCCAGCATCTGCTTGGCCAAGGCAGGGCTCTGTGCCGTATGTGTCTGGATGGCGTCCAGCGAGCCGCCAAAAGTGAAGGCGAACAAGCCTCTGGGAAAGGCGGTCGAGTTGGGGAAGTAGGAGTCCCAGAATTGGCCGATGATCCCGGCCTTTGTGCCCTCACACGCCAGAGGGGACGATGGCGGACACGCCCCCGACGAGCCGGCTTGCAGCGTCCGTTGCAAAGAAGGTGATGACAACGAGGACGAAGAGGTCCCGTCAATCTGGGGTTCATGCCTTTTTGTCGATGTGTAGCCTCCACAGGAGATACACGCTTTTCGACATTGGCCGCAGCTGGGTCGGACGAGGTCGCACTGGCTGCATTAGCATGATGCCAACAACATGAACGGGGCACGAGGGTCTGAGCGCATATGAACGCGTAATTCAGTTTATTCCATGAACAGCTGCAGGATGGATGGCCCGAAGAGGGCTGGACCGAAACATTGACAATGTGATTATAAGTGAGGGCTTCTCTTACGCCTTTCTTCCTCCTGCGACAAGTCACACAGGCCTGGGGTCGGCCCTTGACCCCTACCGCTCTGCGAGGCGCCTGGCCCTCGGGCATGTATGTGTGAGGCTGGACTCGATGCAGTACAATCAATGCGCAGGGCTGATGGATTGAGCGAACTATAGCGTGTTTGGCCGACGAGATGCGGGTGCGCGGAAGCTGAAGCGGAATGAAGATGCCTCAGAAAAACGTCTTTGGGTTGAATACGAACGCGCTAGGCCATTCGAGGACGCGAAATCACCGCGACCTACATGTGATGTGTATCATGTAGTAATTATGATGTGGATCGGGGTCCTAGACACTGTGGTATGGATGGTAGAGCTTCGAGTCTTTGGGCAGGGGACACGAGCTGCGTCGGGACGGACTGACCCGACGGAGACATTGGACGCCTGTCATGTGTAGGGTAGGCTGAAGACGACGTAAGGCAACAAATCTTTTCGTGGTCAGCTCACATTGTTTCTAATGATCAAAGAACAGTCTCCATGCTGTCTATACACGCCATTCCTCTGCTCACAATACCTCCACTCCCTCACGGGATGATCTTGGCCTGCCGGTACCGGTCAAAGGCCGTGTACCACGCGGCCTTTGTGTCCACCTCTTCCTTCAGATCACCCATCATGTCGTGCTGCTTGGTCAGGTCAAGCTGACGGTCGAAATCGAACATGCGCATGATGAAAAGAGGCTGGTATTCGCTGTCAGACTGCCTGTCAGGCTACGCGCGGAAAAGAATACACTTACGAAACCCGAGAACGAACGCTCGTTGCCGACGCGTCCCGTGACGAGGCCATGCTTCTGCTCGACCTCGCGCCACCTGTCGACATTCTCTGACAAAAACGCCGCTGGGTCGGGTCCTGTACCGCCCTGAGGAGGCCCGACGCCCTTGAGACCAAAGTACTCGCAGATGATCGGCCACTTTTTGCTCCAGCTCGATGGCTTGGCGCTGTCCGCCGCGTTGTAGCGCTGTCCCCCGCTCTTCTCCGGCCTCAGACTGGCGACGATGCTCGTCTTGGCGACAATATCCTGCGACGAGTCGTTGCAGAGAATGTGGTACGACTTTTCCGAGCCTGGGAACTGCACAGCGGAGCCTTCGCCGTGGATGTGCCTGTGGAGGGAGAGATACAGCCCGAGCCACTGCGCGAGCGAGTACACATTGTTCTGCGGCACGAACCCAACAATGACATCGGGGATGACGTCTGCATATGTCCATTTCTTCCCGCGCGACAGCTCCTCCAGCTCGTCGCACTGGGCATAGTAGAAGAGCTGGCTCTTGAACGGCTCGGGCACGGGGGGCAGGGACTCCTTCAGAGGCAGGTCGTTGCTGAAGGGGAACTGGTCTAACAGGTGGACGCCGTACGTCTTGGTGCCCGTGGGCAGCACGACGAACTGCAGGTTGGGCGCCAGCTTCTCCGCTGCTTGGACGGCGCGCGAGAGTAGCTCCTTGTTCACGCGGCTCTCCCTCTCGCCGTCCGGGTCCATGATGTATGCGAAGAAGTACACGTGCGTGACCTCCTTCATGTGCTTCACCCGCGCGAGGAGCTCCTTCTCAAATCCATCCTGGCCGGCATCGGTCATAATATCGACGCCCGACACAATGTCCAGCTTCGGTGAGGCCGGCCATTGCGCTGCTTCGCGGGTGAGCGGTCGGTTGGTGAGGGCCGTGACTGAGGCGAAGGTGTCGGGTGTCGGATAACCATTGAGGATGAGGTTTGTAATGGCCCAGCCTGTGATGCCAGAGGCGCCTTGGCTGGTTAGGGACTGGAAAAGACAACGTCTCTATCGGAAGCTACATGTACTCACCGAATACCAGGGCGTGGTTTGTCATGGTGTGCGAGGCAGGGGATGTGGTCGTTAGTCAGGGCAGAATACGCGTGGGAAGCAGCACAACATCAAGGTCGCGGCAGCAGGTGCAGTATATCAAACGCGAGCTACCTCCGAGCCCATGTGTTCTACGATATTCCACGTTCACAAGCGCAGGTCTGAGCATCCCCGTCACGAGGAGGAACTCCAAATGCGTCGCGAGCCATGAGGGGTCAACGCGGCGGACGGGTATCTTCAAGCATATGATCCGGGGCTATGAGACACTCTTTGCGTTCTTAGCGCCTTCTAGGCCAGCTTTTCCTTCCCCAGTCTGTATCATGATTCATGTCTGGCGCGAATTATGGAGAGGGCGGACTCAGCGGAGATGGACATTTAACACTGCCTGTTCCATCGCCTACCCTAAACGCAGCTCTGGAACCCCTCTCCACCTCCACTCCAAAAGACAGAACCCCTGATCTTTCTCCGCATTCTGGAAAACAATATCCAGATTCCTGACTCCAGACGCAGAGTCAGAGGACCAGGAATCCCTCTCACACCTTGACTCCAGCGATCGTCCGTCCCCCCACACAGCCACGCTGTGTAAGCGTCCCGGTCCCTAGGCCCTGACTCCCTGAGGCGGCATGGAGTGCGCTTCCCGTCCAGGAAATGTGTATCCAAATGGGCGCCCGGAAATTGAGACGCACGCGCGAGCATGACCTGATTTCTAGGCGCTTATCTGTCTGCGACCTGATGGATGTAAAAAACCGCACCCAAGCGGCAGTGCCTGTGGCCGTGCCTAATAGTACGGCCCCCCAGGCACAGGACAGAAGTCGGGAGAAGGGTAGGCGTAGCCGAGGGCAAAACATTTGACTGTATAGATACGCATTTCAACACCTTTCAGTCTTTGTCATCTCTTTCCCCTATTCGCTCGATCACTTTCGAATCCTGCTTCACCTCGCTTTCACACGCAAAGGCAGACAGACGCCATGGTACCGCACGCCGAGGAAATCACGCCCAGCGTCACCAACGCTGCGCACGCCGAGACCATCCCGGAGAATGGGGAATATCTCAAGAACCACGTCAACGGCAACAGCGTGTCCGACTTTGCTTACCCGCCGTATGTGCCCGCCAACACGCCCTACCGGCTGCTCAAGCAGTACCACTCCAAGCCATCGAAACTGCGCGTAGCCTGCATCGGCGCCGGCGCTTCAGGACTATGTCTTGCCTACAAAATGGAGAAGATGCTGGCGGGGGGCTCGTTTGACCTCACGCTGTTTGAGAAGAACCCGCACTTTGGAGGCACATGGTACGAGAACACATACCCAGGCGTGGCGTGCGACATCCCCAGCCATCTGTACACCTTCTCGTGGGATCCCAAGCCTGACTGGTCCCACTACTTTGCCTACGGGCCCGAGATCCAGGGCTACTTCGAGTCCTTTGCCGAGAGACACGGGTCGAAGAAGTACATGAAGCTCAACACAAAGGTCATTGAGGCACGATGGGACGAGGACAAGGGCCTGTGGAACATTACGCTGGAAGACCAGGTCACAAAGGCCGCCTGGCAGGACTGGGCGCACGTGCTCATCAACGGCACGGGCATCCTCAACAACTGGAAATGGCCCGACGTTGAGGGTCTCCATGACTTTGCGGGCGCCAAGATGCACTCGGCCTCGTGGGACCACAGCGTCGACTTCAAGGGCAAGACGGTGGGCGTCATCGGCACCGGGTCGACCAGCGTCCAGATCGTGCCGCAACTGCAAAAGGAAGCGGATAAGCTCAAGGTGTTTATGCGCTCGTCGACGTGGATCTCACCCCCCTTTGGCGGCGGCGTTCTCGAATCCGACCTCCGCAAGGGCGAGCCCGACGACCAGCCGGGTCAGCGACAGTACACATTCACCGAGGAGGACAAGAAGAAGTTTGCAGAGGACCCCGAGTACCACCTCAACTTCCGAAAGAGGATCGAGGCCGAAATCAACTCCTTGTTCGGCATGTACCAACAGAACTCGGACATGAGCAACGCGTTCCGAAAACTCATCACCGAGGAGATGCACCGACGCATGGGACCCGGCCACGAGGAGCTCAAGAAGTTCATCATCCCCAAGTGGTCGCCTGGCTGCCGGCGCATCTCCCCTGGAGACGGGTACCTCGAGGCCCTGGTGCAGCCCAACGTGGAGCCCGTCTTCGGCGGCATCAAGAAGATGGTGCCCGAGGGCATCGTCGGCGAGGATGGCACGCTGCACAAGATGGACATACTCGTCTGCGCCACGGGGTTCAACGTCGCCTTCAAGCCTGCCTTTAAGCTCATCAACGGCGACGGCAAGACCATCAATGAGGACTGGGGCGAGAGCATCAACCTCTACATGGGTGTGTCCGCCCCCCGGTTCCCCAACTACTACACCATCGTCGGCCCCGGCGCGACGTGGTCGTCGGGGACCCTCCTCCCGTCCATCGAGACGACAGTCGAGTACAGCGTCAAAATGATGCGCAAGATCCAGCAGGACCAGATCCGGTCGATTGCCGTCAAGCAGGAGGCTCTGAACGACCTCTACGCCCACTTTGACGAGTTCCACAAGACAACCGTCTTTCAGGAAGAGTGCCGCAGTTGGTTCAAGGATGGCAAGCAGAAGAATAGGATTTATCTATGGCCCGGGCCGGTACGTTGTGACTCCTATGAACAAGAGAACATCATGTTGACTGACAACGACAGACCATCCACTTCCTCAAGTCCATCAAGGACCCGCGCTTCGAGGATTACGAAATTCGCTGGCGATACGGTAACCGCTTCGCCTTCCTCGGGCACGGCGAGGTCAAGGCGAACCAGACCAAGGATGTGCTGGGCTTGTCGACGTACGTGCGTAATGGCGATTCAGAGTGGGGAGTCGAGTAGCGCGTGATCTATGAGTGTATATACCCACAACTTTAGATTATTGCATCTCTTACATTATTGAATGCATGTGGATTTACCAAGACACCCTCGTTGTTGTACCGTTCCATGCCCTCCAGGCGGAGCCCGTTTTAGGCGTGGCGTTTGTCTAGCGTGAACCGGTGCTTTCCTGGTGTACACGTAGTCTGGTATTGGCAAGACTCGTGCAGGGAAGGTGGAGGTTGTGTTTCCGAGTCATGGGGATGGAAATGCGGGGGAAAAAGATGGGGGAAGCGAGGCTAGTCTGGGGGTGACCCATTATCTCGTGGGTTCCCTGCAGGCCCAGCTCAGCCGTTCGCGTCGATGAGGACAATACGGGCAGGCGAGTCTGGACTCTCTGGGAACGGGGGATCCATGGCAGAGAGTGATTAATTGTCTCTTCAGAATTGAACACTCAGCGTCGCTGCCCGCGGGTGACAGTGGAGCCGGGAAGTTAATCTTGGAACCCAACCCCCATCCAAGTCCATGTTGAAGGATTGTGTCATTGTGCCGGACAAGAAACGCTATTCACGTCGGACAGCTAGCCCCTGTCCTGTCATTGGACCCCTGATGCACTACTCGCAGGGAAAGACAAATCGACCATGGCATCCTCCCCGCCCATCTCCAACACGTCTAGCCGTGGGAATCGTCGGCTGTTCGGTTTGATCACGTCGCTTCGCTTAGTGCGTCACCCATTGCACCCTCACCACCAGTGCAATGAACTCCCCGCGCATACAAGGATGTGTAGGTGGGATTCACGCCAGGCCAGTCCCACATGGGCACGAGTCAGAAAGCTCTGCTCTCCAGACTCCACGCCCGCCGGCGCTGGCCCCCGACCTGGGGCCCCAGTCTGGGCGTCTCAATAAGTGATGTTCGATTGGACACTAGCCGGACGAGAAATTGAAGCTAGGCCTCTTTTGCCTCTCGGGGTCTTGCAAGATTGCGCACAACCAGATTGTTGGAGACAATGCTTGCTGTGATCAATGAGTGATGTGTGGAGGGCTGACGACTTCGAGTGGCGCCCCTAATGATCTTGAATAACATGACCCATGACCTTTGTGGACCCCTTGTTTTTCCTCTGCGACAACCTTCGTGTGGGGATCCCTTTTACTTGCTCCCAAGCTCTCCAGACAAGCAAACTGGCTTTGTACTTCTTTGTCTGTCACTGTACTCGAAGACTGCACAAACAAGGCAACCAGGAACACATGGCTGAGGACAAGAAAGAGGGCGATCAAGTCGCCGCCCAGGAGAACGTCTCACCCAAGGACAAACCCGCCCGCTCCGCTTCCAAGAAGGAACAGGTCCGTCATCGGGCCAGCGTGGCGTGTGCCTCGTGTCGCGACCGGCGAATACGCTGCGTCGTGCCCTCAGGGCAAGCCGAGTGCAACCAGTGTCGACGAGCGGGCACCGAATGCATCATCAAGAACGACGATGAAAGGCGAAGGTGAGAGACCGTCAGGGTACGATAGAAGTCTGCTCCCCTGCTCATGCACATAGGCCCATCTCCAAAGCGTACATGTCCAGCCTGTCCGACCGCATCAACCTCCTCGAGGGCATGCTGAAGGAGAGCGGCGTGAACCCCCCTCCAGCCAGCCATCCGCCCAAGACCAAGCACGGCGACAAGGGCCAGCAATCGGACAGCGAGCATGGGAAACAACGGCAGTCCCCCTCGGTGGATGTCCCCTCGCCACCCGACTCGACAAATGATTTGATGGTCAGGGCGGACTTTGAAGGGACAGATCCCATGATGACCGAGTCACAGTCCAACCAGGTGCTGTCCAAGGAGGATTCACCATTCCGCATGCTGGACCCCAAGCAAGAGGATATCGTCCACAGACTCCTCTCCACGAATGGCAATCTTTCCTTTGATCAACTCTCCGGCCGTTTGAGGTTCTTTGGCCCTACCGCCAACAGCCACGTCTACGCCGACAGCCCTGACCACTATGACTCGAGAGAGCCCCCCGAGCAGGTTCGCCGCGCTGAGCGCATCATCCGCTCGCTCAGCGCGACCACCTACGAGTATCTCATGAGCCACTTTTGGGAGCACTACAACGGCATCATCCCCGTGATCGAGCGATCTGCCTTTGAGGCCGACCGCGACACGCAGAACCCACGCTTCTACAGCTCGTTCCTCCACATCTGCATCCTCGCCATGGGCTACCGTGGGTGCGACACGGAGCGCGACGACATGAAGCGCATCACCCTCAGCAATCGCGAGAGTACCCTCCATAGGGAGGCCAAGTTCATGCTGGACGTCGAGCTCGAGCGCCCCGGCGGCATCCCCAGCGTCCAGGCGCTTCTTCTGCTCGGCGACCTGGAGTGTGGCGTCGGACGCGACAACACGGGCTGGATGTACGCCGGCATGGCCAACCGGCTGGCGTTCGACATTGGCCTGCACCTGGATTGTCGAAACAATGGCATGCCCGAGGCCGAGGTGCACATTCGCCGCATGACGATGCGTGCCTGTGTCATCTACGACAAGTACTGGGCCCTCTTCCTGGGCCGGCCCACAAGTATCAAGAGCCAGGATCTGGGCATGGAGCTCTTGTCTGACAAGTTCTCGCAGCTCACCTCGGACACGCCCGCCACGCCCAAGACCCTCAACGGGGAGGTCTATGAGCAGTTGATCGAGCTGATGGAGCTTGCCGGCCGCATTGTCGAGTCCCGCGACTACCAGGTCGTCAAGACCCGACTGTCCATGCCCAGTGATGGCAACGTCTTTGTCAACGAGGCGGGCGACAACGAGTACCTGCACGTCATCAACCTCGACCGCCAGCTGCAGAACTGGTACCGCCGCTTGCCGGAGCATCTCGCCTGGAAGCCCGCCAACATCAAGCGCGCACCCTGGTCCTTCTTCCTCCTCCACCAGCAGTATCACGTGTCGATGATCCTGCTCCACCGTCCGTGGGCCAAGTACGACTCCATCACAGATGGCGCGAGCACAGGGTCGGCCCATCCCAGCCCGCAAGGCACGGCGGCGCATGCCATGGACACGTCTGGGCACGACATTCACGACCAGCTTGGCGATCCTCTCGCGCATGACTCCCGCACCTCGCTGTCCCGAAGCATCTGCACACAGCAGGCCATCCGTGTGGCGAGGATCTTCTGGCAGCATCGTCAGCGATTCGACGGGCGTAAGATTCACGTCACCGGTATCCAGCATGCCGGAACCGCCGTGCTGGCCCTCATCGCTGCGTTGGCATACCAGAAGAGCGACACGGACAGGAGGACGTACATGGGCTACCTCGAGATCCTCAGCGATGCTCTGGGTGATATGAACGTGACCTACCATCCGGCAGGACGCATGGACGACCTCCTCAAGGCTGTGCTGACGCAGATCCGGCTCAGCCTCGGGGAGCCGTCGACGCGGGTTCATCCTGCTGGGCATATGTCGGGCGTCAGCGACTATGCGGCATCCCTCATCCCCTCGCGCCGCGAGGCGGACGAGACGACGTACAGTCAGCCCCTGAAGAAGCGTCGGCCGGGGACCAACTCGCGTCGTGCATCCGAGTTTGCGCGCCCACCGCCCCCTTTCTTCTCCCAGATTCCTTCGACGCAGCCGACGCCACCGGCCTCGGCCCACAGGGTACCCACGTTTGCCAACGAGTTCCAGCAGCAGCAGCAGCAGCGCACACCGAACCAGGTGGACAACATGCTCTTCTCCCTAGGCGCGGGCGATGGCAGCCACATTGATCTTGACTTTTTGTCCGGATCAGCCGTCGACCTGGACGGCGACAATGACGGGAAAATGGACTGGGGTATGGGCAGCATGCACTCGGACAACCCTCCACAGACGTACGAGGCGCCGATGGGTGACTTTGGCCCCGGGCCGGCCGGACTGAGCGCGAGCTCTGTGCTGGGACAGCAGTCGTCTGCCCTGTCAAGCGAGCTCATGTCCAACGCGACATTTGGCGTCAAGGCGGGCGAGACGGAGTTGACGGAGCAGCTGCACGGGATGAGCCCAGCCAGCTTGTCAGGACTGGTGCAGAGTGTGGAGAAGAGCGACGAGGTGCACCGGAATCAGGACTTGGATTTCTTTAGCTTTGATTAGGACCTGGACACTCTCCCCTCGGGGTCTGTCTCCCTCCCCCCTAATTAGATGTGAAGCCACCATCTACCACCGTCACCGCCCCCGTCTGGTAACTGTTCATGCGTGACGCGAGGCAGACGATGCTGTCCGCAATCTCCTCCATGGATCCAATCCGCCGCATCGGCGCCCGGGCCAGGTCGTCCATCAGGGGAGTCCCGGCGGTCATGGCCATGGCCGCTTCCACGAGCGGCGTCTCAATGTACCCCGGCGCAATGGCGTTGACACGGATGTTGTAGTCGGCGTATGCGTTTGCGTCGCCCCTCGTGAGACCGACGACGCCGTGCTTGGCCGTGGTATAGGACGTGTGGGAGAGGCGCGAGTTGGGCGCGACGAGGCCGTACATGGACGCGATGTTGATGATGCGCCCACGCCCGTCGCGCGGGCCGAGATCCTCCTGTTTGACCATGGCGGCGAGCTCTGCTTTTTGGCAGCGGTAGACGCCATGCAGGTTGACGTCGAGGACACGTTCAATCTCCTCGTCTTCCGTCTCGTGCGTCAGACGACCGCTGCCGTTGATGCCGGCGTTGTTGACGGCGATGTCGAGGCGGCCAAATTCCTTGGCGACCTGGGCAATGCCCTCGTTCACCTGGATCTTGCTCCTGACATCCATGTGCAGCGGCAGGATCTGGACCTGGGGAAAGGTGGAGGCAAGGGTGGCGCGCGTTGCCTCGAGGTTGGAGGCGTTGATGTCGGCAATGGCGAGCCTGGTGACCCCGTGGCGCGCGAACGCCATGGCGGTATACTGGCCAATGCCTTGGGAGAGTGAGTACATGATTTTGATCATGGCCTCGTGAAAGATACATACCGCTTGCGGCGCCCGTGATGAACGCTGAACCTCTCAACAGGGAGGCCATGATGGATGCTCGCTAAGAGTGCTAGACAGGAGAAAACGCGGATGATGGAATGGAACGACAGGTGAGAGCTCCCGGAGACATGACTTGTTGAAACACGAGGGATTCGGAGATTCACAGACTCACGGTTACCATCAAGCGGTCCCCACCGTGGAGTTGGTGCCAGTCGGGGTTTTGGGGACCGGCGCGGGGGAGGATGGAGATGGAGGGAAGCCGGAGAATGAATCCACGTAATTGGCCTGGACTTGGTTTCCCGTCGCCGTTTGTAGTGGGCTGGTACACGGGGCTGCCTTACTAACTATCGCCTGTCGGGAAAGTCCGTCCGCCCTGATTGTGTCCGCGCGTCAACGGTCAATCCATCCATCTTCCTCTCCCTGTTAACGAAGCAAAGTCACGGACTTGGACGCTGTAGATGAGTCAGACTCAATTGGGTCACATACATCGCGCGTCTGTTTGGGACATGGAATCTTCACCACTCATGTTCTCAATAATTGAATCTGCTGCTGGCACATTGAGCGACCAATTGCATGTGTGGTTTGAGCTTGGTGAACACCCCAGGCAATTTGTCTGCAACGATTTGAATGGGTTTTTCTTCGCTAGTATCAGTGAATCAAGTTTGTGAGCAGTAAATAGATGAAAAGCCTTCTTCTCGTAATGACTCGGGCTTGACATCCTCCCGTGTCCATCACCAACATAAGATGTCCCCCTATACTTCTCATGCACCAGTATACCCTGGCATGGTCATATTCCCCAGCACTGTCGAAAGCGACTGTCAACACAGCACGTGCTGAATCCCAGGCCGTAACCGTTAGTTATTGCAGTATTATATGACGCTGTTGACATGACGCAGCCTTCTTAGACGTCCGGGCAGTGTACTACATGTATGTGGAGCCATTGCAGGTGCTTTACATCGGCAGCCAACAGGCGTGCAAGGCACGAGGATGGCCTGGCCATGGCTCCTGACCCTGGTTTTGAACCCATCAATCTAGCCAGTTCAGGAATATAAGTGAATAAAACTTTATTATAAAAAAGATTCCTGCTAGTGCGTGATCTGTGGGTGAATAAACTTGCATGGCCACTCACTGTCATAGTAGATACCGACAGAGGATGTCGTGACGGTCGCCGCTGAAGGTCACACCAAGATCAATGCCTGGAAAACAGGGGGACCCCGTAGCTCTGCATCACACCAGGTTGTCGCTGTCAGGTTGGTCGTCTTGATTGGGGAACGGGATAGAGGGCTGGCGAGAACTGTCAAACACTCAGGTCGACATCGGCAGTGTTCACGGATCGTAGGCGAACTCTCCCATGGGACAGTTCAGGTGGTAGGTGGTCAGTAGATGGCATGGAACCGTGTACCAGATGATCCATTAGAGGCCCGACACGCTCGACAAGAACAAGCCCCATGAAACAGACCCCTAAGCACCATCCTGCTGAGCTTTCAATGATACAAGGTCCCGACGCCACGAGGGATAGGTTCGTGGTGTATCAAGTGGCAGTGCAGCTGGTCATCATAGTTGCTACAGCTACGTTTTGTTGTGTTGGTGCCCTGATCAGTGAGATGGTGACGGGCGACCATGACAACGGTGGTGATATGTTGCTGGTATGGAGAATACATTGACTACGAAGGAAACCCAAACTCCACTCAATATAGGTACAAATCTCTTCAAACAGCGGGTGTCGGAGGCACCTTTGGGCCTCCAAACCTCTCGATGCCCTTCCCAATCCCCGTGTGCACGCTCTTGGCCATCCTCTCGAGAGGCAGTCGCTCATCCATGCGCTGGACAGCCCTTGAGATTGGTGGCTCGACCCTTTGCACGCCCTTCTCGACGCCGGGTGTAAAGTACGAAATGTTCTTCTCCCACCGGGGCGCCCACTTGGTGGTCTGTGTGGAGAGGCGCTCCTCGGCGCCTGGCATGATCATGTAGAGTGGTGTGAGGACGCCAACACCAGCGGCACCGATGAGCAGGACTTCGGAGCGCTTGGCGTTTGGGAGCTTGGGGACGCGGATAGGCATGTTGATGGTGGCGTGATGGTGCTTTCTGTTTCTGATGACGGATGAGTGGTTGTTACAGGTGTAAGTCGTCTAGTAGGACTTACTGTGTGTTGCAGTGCGTGTTCTGGAAGCAGATTTCGATGGAACTTTGATGGTTGGTCAACTGTTGATGGTGGTTACGATGCAAGTGAGGGAATGATGAAGGGGCAGCCTGGCTTTATAAAGGGAGAATGACACCGCAAACAGGCAAGGCAGGCTCGGGGGATGACCAGCCATCCGATCTGGATTGGCCGTGTTCTGGGGAAGCTGCGAGCTTGTGAGCGGGGTATTATGGGGAATCAAGATACATGCGAAACGGAGGCGAGGCCCTTGGAAAGGCTATTTGGACTGATGCATTACTTTGATCATGGCAGGCTGAGGGGATGCAGTTGAGTGTCAGCTCGACCACCCAGCAGCATCCTCGTAAGCGACCACGTCGTCTATCTGAAATGGGGCCGTACACAAGCTTAGATGCACATGAGCCAGCAGCAAGAAGAGCGCAGCGTTGAGTGATGCATGGCATGATTATTCAACATTGATCGCGCGTGCCATTGGCGACGCTCGTGATGGAGGGTGGTGGCACATTGATTGAGACAGCACCTGCGGCCGCCCCTCCATCAATCAGGTCACACTGTCCACTGCCACTCGCACTGCGTGCGCCTACATATAGCCTTCGACAAAGGGGCATTGTGAAATTTTGAGGAGCTTCGATATTTGCTCTGAGTTTGTCTGCTCAATTTCCTCAGACCGTGAACCCCTTTTTCGCCATCTTCATACTATCAGAGACTTGACGTTCAATCAGTGGGACCCTTGCGGATCAGGCAGTCCACTTCCCCAGACTCAGGGCGCGCTAAACGGGGCAAAATATCCACTGGGCATCCACCCGCGGATGCCCAACGGCCCCAACCGCCACTGGAGACTGGAGCCCCTGCTCCCCCAGACTTGGCGGGTGGCCCCAGCTCTGGCTGTCGTGTGCCTCCTTCAACGTTACCCGTCACGGCGCGTGAACGAAGTCGACGAGGAGGTTTGAAATACAGTAAAGTTGAAAATTGCTGGTGGTTACTGGGTCAATTCGATCAGCACCGAAGAATGGCACACCAAAATGCAGTGGCGTAAGGAATTGACTCGTGCTGGTGTGGCACAGCACAGTGCTTGGAACTCCTCCATTTGCCGTGTTTTGGGGGGATTTAGCCAGTAGAGGATGCATGAATGGACCCAGGTCTGCTGTTTGTTCCTGCGCTGCGCGCAGGGGATAACGGCTCAGCATGGAGGGTTCGGTGTCGCTCAACCCCTCTACACGTCACCGAAGGGGGGGACGGGGGTAGGGGCAGGGGGCTGTGGGAGAGGGGTTCGGGTGGTATACGGAGAGAACTACAATGGGCTATCAATGAGTTCAATAAAGAAAGATAGATTTCACTACACTCTTCATCATATCGACAAACGCGTGGGTGGCGACAGGAAGCTCCCGTGAGGAAATCGAAACACTTCATGTTGTTCCAAAGACGGACCAGAGCTACAGTTGCCACCGAGCAGAGGCCAGTACTCTGTTACATGTAACATCCAGTCCTCGGAATGACTGGACTGGGGCCGCGCCATCATCGAACAATTGCAGTGCCAGCTGAATCACAGTCTGGCGCACTGTCCTCATGGCACGATGCAACCGTCGAGACTGGCCTTCAGCGGCAGACCAGCTCAACTTTGCCTGCACTAGCATCCAATTACCATCAGGAGCTCGAAGGAGGATAGCCAATGAGCTGTGACACAACGCATCAGCTTGATCACGGGGCCCCATGCTGCGGACTCAACTGGGCTGGCTCACCGGTTACTCGTCTCCATCTAGGCGCAAGAACATGAATTAAAGTACGTACCAGAGGAGTGATGAAGATGGCATCTATACGAGGCTATTAGAAAATATTTCTCGTTCCTCTGGGCAGTGTCTCTGGCCCCAGATGACTGATGGATCGAATGGTATTTGACTGTGATCACCTAGAGGCCACTTGACTGATTGATTGACGCTCACACCGCCAGATTCCGTCACTCACTGTAAAACACTGAAGATCTGTATGCCAGTGCATAGACGATGCACCCGCGATTGGCCCATGGCATTCCCCTCAAAATAATCCACAGCACTGGAAAGCTGCCCCAGGCCGAAAAGCCCAGAGACTCCGTACAGATCATTCTCCCCATCACGGCCGTTTCCTCAAGTGACTGAGCTTTCAGCTAGTTTTTTTTAAATTTCAATCTCGCATATATCGCTTCTTGATCCCTTTTACGTCTTACAACCCCCTTTCTCAGTTCGTTCTGTTACGAGAATGTGGGTTTGGCCTGCCCTCTCGCCTGCCGAGCGCCAACGTGTGGTGCGAGGACACGATTGACTCATGCACGCTCTGACATGACAAAAGAAATTATTGATCTACGCAGGCAACGCTATCTCGTTCTACTAGTGTCACGTACACAAGTCTCCAGAGACAAAGGCGTCCGCGACCACATGCAGGCTCTCAATCCCAAGCACCGTCAACACGGTAGACACTCCCGCTCACAAAAGTGCTCTCTGGCCCCAGCAAGAACCCAATCACATTGGCCGTCTCCTCGACTGTCCCCCGCCTCCGAAACGCCGTGGGCTCGTCAAAGGGAGCGTCCGCTGGCCGGCCGGCATTGTCCCACTCCTTCTGCATCAGAGGCGTGTACACGGATCCTGGCGCCACAGCGTTGACGCGGATCTCGCGATGACCGACTTCCTGCGCCGCGGACCGCGTCAGTCCGATCAGACCATGCTTGCTGGCGTCGTACGCGGCGTGGCGGGCAAATCCTAGCGACACGTGTCAGGGGGGGGATTCTTGCGCAGTCCTCTCGCAACTGGTAATCTTACCCTTGAGCCCGTGAATCGACGAGATATTCACAATCGAACCCCCGTCCACAATCTTCCGCAGCTGCGCGCGCAGGCAGTACATTGTCCCCGTCAAGTTGACCGCGATGATCCTGCTCCACTCGCCATCGTCAAGCTCGGTCACGGCATGCGTGCCGTGGACTTTGCCAATGACACCCGCCACGTTCGCAGCGCCATCCAGACGTCCATAAGTCGTGACCACTTCGTCGATCCACGCGTCCACCTGCTCGCGCTGGGAAATGTCGACGCTCCGGATCATGAAGGGCACGTTGAGCGGGGTGAAGTAGGCCCTGGTTGCTTCCATCGCAGCAGGATCCACATCGGCAAGGGCGACGGCCGCCCCTCGCGCGGACAGGTATTTGGCGGTCGCGAGGCCGATGCCACTGGCGCCCCCTGTGATGGTGAAGACCTTGCCTGCGAGCGACATGCTGGGAGATGGGTGTGGCACGACGGACCAGGACGACGTGGAGGATGAGTTGGATCTGGAGGTGAGCATGCTGATTTGGGTGAGATCAAAGGAAAGGTTGAGTAGACTGACTGGAAGACAATATCGCTTTCTTTCGGGTGAAAACACACTCCTGATGCGTTTTCAGAGAAGTTGCGAGCATATAGGCGGTTATGAGGAGTGAGTGTCCTGGAGAATATAGCCGTCGGCAAATTCAGGAATGGGGCCGATGGGACAATGCCCCGCTGCCCTCGGCGCTCTATTCATGTTAAATTGCGGCTTTGTGGGGAATTGGAAATACCCGGAGATCTCCATGTATAATTGAGATTGAGTGGTGATTCGTAAGTCCGACTGGCTGCATTGATGGTCCAATGTCATGAGTGTCCAACAACGCCCAAAAGATGTCCGAGTCCGGATGGTTGGACTGATGCGTAAGTGAAGCGGTTCAGGCTACCCTGCGTAACTCTTTCTGTAGTTTTTCTCTCTGCCAGAACGACTCGTCAACAAGATATTAGCTTCTGGAAACCAGTCCATAGAATAGAGGTTCAATAAAATCATTTCCTATGTTGTATTCCAAGAGAAAATTCAAATGCGGCCCTATTGTCGACCCAACTTTAATTCCCCTCTTCTTGCTTGGACGTGCCACCAACGTGGAGATGTCAAAACTTGACTTTACACGTGAAAGGCTTTTGTTCGGGCACACTAAATGTCACGTCTGCCGGTTCATTCGGATATCACCTCATCCGTCAACGTGAGAAAACAAGGGCCTTCGGCACGTGAGGCTTGCGTTGAGTTGCGTGACCCTGATCCAAGCATAAATGGCCCTTCGGGACGGAGTCGACGGACACTAATTTAACACTTTCCTGTGATTCATTCCACTTTACCCCACAAAGTCGCTCGTCACAAGGCAGCCCGGCACGAAGGACACTGGGGCAGTTGAAATCAGTTCCTGAATTGCTTCATTGTCTATTTCACGTGTGGCTGCGGCCAACTACAGACAACGAACCCGGTAGGCCCCCTATGCATGTCGCCTTACTGGCGTGCACCAAAGTCATCACGTCCTCCATCGTCGATCTTGACAGTGTAGGTCACTGACTTCATGATCGCCCCTGGCTGCGGCAGAATGTCCTCCTGACTGGCGGTCATTGTCTTGGCATCGCGCGTCGCCGACGTGAACACACTTTGCGAGGTGCCGGTGCTCCTACCACTGAGCTTGTATGCCTCGCGTGTCCGGGGGCGTCGAGATCTCCGCCCATAGCCGTCCGAGGAGCCAGCAGAGGGGCGTGAGCGGTAGTCCTTGGCCTTGCGTATGAAGACGGGCGCGAGGAACGGCAGGCTGGAGACGAGATTCTACACACTGGGTCAGTCCTTGATGCAGCTTTGGAGAGAAATGGGGAGACTTACACCGACGTTGAACTCAATGACGCCCCAGAGGATCAGCATGGTAGTGTTACCGTCGCCAAACTGAATCCGGTCGATCTGGAGGTACCGAAACACAGAACACATGGTCGTGAACAGCCCCAGAATGAAGATGCCAATCAAGCCAACCTTTTTGGCCGTCTGAATATTCAAGCCCACAAGCATGGGCACGGGCAGGACGGCGACGACGACATCCGAGATGATTGTCACCACCGCGTACGCCGTGAATGAGGGCCCTGGGGGGAGGCATGTCCCATCCATGCGTGGCTGCCAGGACTTGGCGACCGGCGTGCACGCAAAGATGAGGGAGAATGCACAGGCAAGGTGCGCCAGGAAGACGAGCGCAATGGTCGTGTACACGACCAGTCGGTACGAAAACTGCGAGGTCCCCTGGAGCAGACGCAGGTAGGAGATGAGAAGCGCCATTTTGAAAAAGGAGACGCCCAGCTGGTAGATGGGGCGCCCGGCAAAGTTGACCTTGGTGTACGTGATCAGGTTCTCCCGAGGGCGCGCTGCCAGGGGAAGGCCGAGACCGTAGCGCGTTTGCGCGATGCATAGGGCGGAATATGCGAACGCAAACACCATGGAGAGTGCCGCCATGTAGTCGTCGTTGGCGAGGCCACGACTCTTGTGCCGGATGAACAGTCGCCAGATGACGCCGGTCGCCGAGATGACGCTGAGAAGGACGGTGATGGCGATGATCTTGGGATACTCGGACTGGGCGTCGACCTCGGCCGATGCGTTCAGAACCCAACCCATGGTGGCGTTGGCAGGCAAGGTTGCGAACAATGGTAAGGGAACAATGGGATGAAGACTCAAGTCCACGACGACCAAGGTGTCACGGATGCGCCTGTGGATGTGAGACTTTGTGTGTTTGTACGCTGAACTTGCGATGACTATTGTCGTCTGGAACGTGTGCGTTGACTCAGATCTCTTGGGGAGAAATCACGCGACGTATCGCATATCGCGGGCATGGACAAAGACATCCCGTCGATCTACAAGGGGGAAATTTGCTTTGGGCACAGGCATCTCGCGTGTGGTGAGAAGAAAAGATAGACAGCAGGTTGAAGGCGGCATAAGGTGAATGCTGAGGGCTCGAAGAAGCAACTCTCCACAGATAAGGCATCGCTGCTATCTCACTCCGGAGCGAGCTCAGCCTTGGTCATTCATCAGGCTGGCATGTAAGACTTGCCACTTCCGTCATCCAAAGAGATCCCGTTGTCGAATCTGGAGGGGCTTGTCGACCGCCCCGAAAGGCATGAGACATCACGAATGAAGCAGGGGCTCAGTCTTCCGTCCAGAACTCCAGATGGATGGCTCTCCTTTAAGAATGCCCCTGTTCATACGCCATGAATGGCGCCGATCTGTCAATGGCACCAGCTAGCCTCTAGCCTACGGCTTGCCGGCTGTGAACGACGCGTGGGATGTCTTGGACGGGGGCGCCTGGATGTCTCGAGATGACGAAGCAAGCTCAAGAAGCAATTCGCAGAGGAGTGTGAGCCGCAGGCCTGGACTGGCAGGACGGCAGCTTTAGGAATTCTCCATCTACCCAAAGTCGACCACGCTCAGCATAAGCATTGTCGGTGCGTACCGAGTCCGTATCTTTCACCGTGGACACCTGTCGAGCGGTGCATGACCGGCAGGCAGCATGACCAACAAATGACCGTCGGGGTTCCGTGTCACATTGGCGGTCGAGACTGCCTATTGGGGCCGAATCTCCAGAACGACGTTGTAGCGCAGAATGGAGCTGTCTTGAACAGGTAGAAGAGAATCGACAAGCAGCACGGCATGGCGGGTGTTGCATGCATGCATGCATGCATGCATGGGTGCGAGTGTGTCGTACAAGCCACGTCCACGTCGGCGATAACGTAATCCACATGCGAGCGGCGCACCCAAGCGAGCGGCGCACCTTCCCCGTCATCTGCACACGACTACATTCCTCACCAATTATCACCGCATTTAATGATGGATGAACTTCCAAAAGAATCCAGGGTGACCCTTGCCCTCGCAGCTCTCGGAGGAGACGCGTCATTAAGTATCCGACATATTGCGAAGGTCTATAATGTGCCTCCAACGACTATACGTCGCCGACTGAAGGGTTTTCAGGCTAGAGCCGAAACCAGGCCGAATTCAATGAATCTAACGGATTCAGAAGAGAGAGCGATTATTAAGTATATACTCGATCTATCTTCGCGATCTTTTCCTCCCCGACTGTCTGGTATTGAAGATATAGCTAACCAACTACTACGCGTACGCGACGCGCCACCCGTTGGCAAGTATTAGGCTTTAAACTTCGTTAAACGCTACTAAGAACTTCGCACGCGCTGGGTTCGTAGATATAACCACTAGCGGGCTAAATACGAAGATCCGAGACTTATTAAGGGCTGGTTCACGCTTATACGGAATATATAGGCGAAGTATGGGATCCTGAATAACGATATCTATAACTTCGACGAGACGGGCTTTATAATAGGTATTATCTTCGCGGGTATGGTTATTACGACCTCAGAAGGCCGAACAAAGGCTAAACTAGCCTAGCCTAGGAATAGGGAATGGGTAACTATTATTCAAGGCGTCAATGCGTGCGGCTAGGCTATTCCTCCTTTTATTATCCTCGCGGCTAAGTACTATCTCTTAGCTTAGTACGAGGGGACCGACCTTCCGGCCGATTGGGTTATCGCTATAACCGATAACGGCTAGATAACTAATAAGATTGGCCTCGAATGGATCAAGCACTTTGATCGCTATACAAGCCCTCGTACGAAAGGCGTGTATCGAATGCTTATTCTTGATAGCCACGAAAGTCACTATTTAACCGACTTTGAGCTCTTCTGTCAGGAGAAGAAGATTATCACGGTCTATATACCGGCTTATTCTTCCTATATTCTTTAACCCCTCGATATTGGTTGCTTTAGGCCTCTTAAATAAGCGTACGGGCGATAAGTGGAAGATCTAATGCGCGTATATATCACGTATATCTCAAAGGTTAACTTCCTTCGCGCCTTCCGTATAGCTTTCTTCCTTACTTTCACGGAGAAGAATATATAAGGAGGCTTTGCTAGCACTAGCCTTATACCGTACGACCTAGAAAGGGTCCTCTCGAAGCTTGATATGAAGCTTCGTACGCTAAGTCCTCCTGCAGACCCTATTAAAAATAGGCACCCTTAGGTCTTAAAGACGCCGCAGAATACGTACGAGGCTAGCGCATAGTCAGAGGATATTAAAAATCGGATCTCTATCCATCAGAACAGCTCTCCAACGCCTATACTTAATGCCTTAGATCAACTAACGAAGGGTGCTACAGCAGTAATGCATCAAGTAGCCCTCTTGCAAGCGGAGAATATATCGCTACGTACAGCAAATAAGGCATTAAGTAAGCGTCGAGGGATTAAAAGAAGCTATCTTCAGCATAGAGGCACCCTTACTATGCAAGATGGGAAAGACCTTATTAATCAGAAGAAGGTTAATGAACAGATTCAGGAAGAAAAGCGTATAAAGAGGCGCCCTCAGCCACCAGGCAGTCCGAAGCCTGCACGCTATAGCAAATGCGCCAAAACAGGTCATAACGTACGAAGCTATCCGGAAGATATTTAAAGTCTCACTCTATCGATACTTTTATTTAATTAGTAACTTAATTGATTGTGTTGTTCTTGATCGACCTTTTTGTATGTAGATGACGGGGAAGGTGCGCCGCTCGCTTGGGTGCGCCGCTCGCATGTGGATTACGTTATGCAGCGTCCGCGCCCGCTGCTTCTGCCGTGAGACAGAGTGAAGAAAGCTGTCCCGTGTCTCCCGCTATTTCACATTGACGCGTGCCCCAAATCGCAGTTGGACCACTGTTCGGGATGCGTGGCTGCGCCAATGCATCAGATTGTCTTAGATCTGACGGATGATGACAGGATTTATATACCTAGGGAGAATGAGAAATCAACTGGATGATCTGGATCAAGGGGAAGAGGGCGAGATCCTAGTCGTTTCGCGGACGGACAAATCATCGGGTTGGCGCGTTGCACAGGATTCTAATTAGTTCGTCTCTCCAGATGCTCGGCCAGTCCCAGGATACATGAGTGAGCGACAATCCGACATGGCCTACCCAAGTCCACCGAGGCGACCAAATCGCATTTCCTTCGTCTGCCGTCCGATACTTGCCTGTTCTCCAGTGGCACAAGTGTCGAAGCGGCGCACAGTCCGCTGTGCGTACATACATGACAGCGGTCGTCGTCTCGTCGAAGTTCAAAAAGCAGGGTGAAGTAACAAATTGCGAACGCGCACGGCATGGGCAGGGGTGGCCTGGATACTGGTGCAGGGTTGGGTCAGGTAGGTAGGTGCGTGGATCAGGAAAGTTACCCGACGTGAGTGGTTGGCTAAGGTATGTCTGGGGCCCCCTGGAAATTGAGAACAGGCGGGCCGTCCGTGCATCCTTCTTCCTTCGACCATGCACCCACCCTGATCACCACCATGCTGACGCCGCCCCATTCATTCCATCACGGCTTTGATAGGCGACGCGTCTCACCTGCACATGTCTCCGATGCATAAGGTGCTCGTATACTGTTCTGCTTGGCCTGGCATGGACCGATCGACAGCCCAGGCCTTATCTACCGCGACAGGCTCTCGCTTCATTTGATGAGGTGAGTGAGGCGAGGGTGCCTGGCTTTCCACCGTCCATTTGATCCTCCCAGTCCTCCTCCTCCTTATCGCTGAAGCGATCACTGTTGATTTCAATCGTCAGAGACTCCCGTTGTGTGCTCGTCACCATGTCTTTGCAGAGCGACCACTCGATCCACGAGGACAAGGCGCCTCGGATATCCTCCAGTGTCCCACATGAGCCCTCGGAAACAGCAGCTACGGCAGACAAGAACGTAGATGGCGCATGGCAGTTCCTGGACCAGCACCGCGATGCCGAGGGCGCCGGCATCGATCTCAAGGCGCTCAGACGCAAGATCGACTGGCACGTTGTTCCTCTCATGTTCTGCTGCTACACAATGCAGTTCCTCGACAAAGTCATCCTCAACGTACGTCGTTCTTCTCCCCACCCCTCTTGTCTCGGCAGCAGCTAATTGATCAGTATGCCGCCGTCATGGGCCTGACTACGGACCTGAAACTCGTCGGCAACCAGTTCAGCAACATTGCCACCTTTCTCTTCGTCGGCCTTTTGTGCTTCGAGATCCCCAACATCTGGTTCTTGCAGATGGTCCCAGCAGCCAAGTGGCTGGGCCTCAACGTGACTCTGTGGGGTGTCGCAACGGCATGCGGTGCTGCCGCCACGGGCTACAAATCCCTCCTTGTCTCGCGCATCTTCCTGGGCGTCTTTGAAGCCACCGTCGGCCCGTCGCTGATGCTGATCAGCAGCCAATGGTACACAAAATCCGAGGCCGCGCCCCGATTCTCCTTCTGGTACCTGGGTCTCGGGCTGGGCCAGATTTTTGGCGGTGCCATATCGCACGGCTTCCAACACGTCCCCGTGGGGCAAGGCCTCGCCGGCTGGAGGATCATGTTCATCACACTCGGCGTCGTCACCGTGGTGATCGGACTGAGCACGCTGGCCTTTATGCCTGACACGCCCATGAAGGCCAAGTGGCTGAGCAATGCCGAAAAGGTCGCGCTGCTCAAGCACGTGAGCATCAACCAGACGGGCATCGAGAGCCGCAAGTTCCGCCCCAAGCAGATAGTGGAGGCCCTTCTGGATCCGCAGATGTGGCTGTTGACCGTGTCCGTTGTTCTGGTATGTCCAATTGCAAGCCTCCCCATGATCGCATCTTCTGACTGACCATACAAACAGCTCTCCGTGTCGAGTGGTGTCGTGACAACCTACTCGGCCACACTCATCCGCAACCTTGGCTACGTCCCAAAGCAAGCCGCCCTCATGAACATGCCCTCGGGTGTCGTGAGCATCTTCTTCACACTCCTCGTCGGCTTCGGCATTCGCAGGGGCGGTCACCGCTGGGCGTGGATCATCGTTTGCATCATCCCTGCCATCCTGGGCGGCGCTCTCATGTCCTTCTTGCCGCCTACAAACCGCTCTGGCGTTCTCGCTGGTGTGTATCTGGTCAACGCTGTTGTGGCGCCTTTGACCGTCTTCTACAGTGTACGCTCTAACAGCAATCTTTGTCCTATCTGAAGCTAACGGGATCACAGTGGACGGCAGCCAACTTTGGCGGTGCCACGAAGCGCGCCTTTGCAACCGCCATTGTCAGCGGTTCCTTTTCGCTGGGCAACATCATCGGGCCTCAGACCTTCCAGGCCCGCGACGCCCCCGAATATCGGCCCGCCAAGCTCGCCGTCATGGGCACGCAGGCCGGCTGTGCGCTCACCACGTGTCTTCTTTTCGCGTACTACGTCTGGAGCAACAAGCGCAGGGAGGGCGAGCATGTCGCCGAGGAAGGGGAGTTTATGGACCGCGAGGTCTGGGTTACGCTGACGGACCGCGAGAACAAGGCCTTCCGGTACACGTACTGAAATAGAGCAGGCGGAGGGAGTGTACATGGATCTGATGATATTTCGACAGCGAGGCGCCAAACCCCGGAATATATATATACTTTGGTATCGACAAGAGACAAATTTGACGTTTATAGACGCGATTCCCTCGAAAGCTGCTGCTGCTGCTCCTGCTTCTTCTCCGCCTCGCTCGGCATGCCGCTGAAACTCACAGTTTGCCGGTCAACGACGCTGCCACTCTTGCTCATCAGCTTGCGCCGCCCGCCCGTCGTGAGGGGCGGGTCGTCGTCGTACTCTCGAATGTAAAAGGCCCAGTCGGCCGTCTGGTCCAGCTCGGTCTGCGAGTACCCGTTGCCGAGGAAGCAGAACCGGTTGCCGGCGTACTGGAACTCAAAGTCGTCGAAGCGCACGTCGCGCATGGCCTCAATGTAGTGCATCGCCGATCCGGGCCAAAGGGCGGTGATGGGCCCGTCCGGGCCGTTCTTATACCAGGAGCGGCAGCTGTCCGCCCAGACGGTCCCCTTCATGAACCAGTCCTTGTAGGCGACAAAGTCGCGGACGGCGTCCGCCTTGGGGGCAAAGGTGGCCACGTTGCTCGTCTGGTACCGGTCGATGAGCTTGCACATGTAGTCCGCCTGCGACTCGATGGTGCAAAGGACAGGCCCGTTGCCGATGGGGCAGTTGGGCCCGAGGAAGATGAGGTAGTTGGGCATGTCGGCGGCGGCCAGGCCCAGGTAGGACTCGGGATCGGCCGCCCACCTGTCCTGCAGGTTCTCGCCAGCAGGGTTGACCACCGGGAAGCGAGGCTTGAACGTCGTGTCGAAGCCCGTGGCGCAGATGAGCACGTCGACGGGGTACTCGTTGCCGTCGTCGCAGACGCACCCCCTCTCGGACACGGAGTTGATCTCGCCATAGACCACCTTGACGTTGGGCTTGGTGAGGGACTCGAGATAGTCGACGCCTGGGGTGAGACGCCGGCAGCCGACGCTCCAGTCGGGAATCAGCTTGTCCTCCAGGTAGGCATCGCCGAGCTTCTCCTTCATCTGGGAGAGCATGTACTTGTGTGTGTCCTCGTTGACCTTGTTGTTGCGGAGGAAGATGCCAAACTGGCCGTTGAGGCCGGACTCAATCTCCTTCCGGTACTGCAGCAAGGCACCGGGCTTGTGGGCAAAGGTTTCGACTTCGTCAGAGGAGAAGCGGTGCTGCTCGAGTCCCTGCACGGGGGACACCCACGTCGGCTCGCGGATGAATGTGGTGACCTTGGCGCACTTGTCCCTGATGGCGGGGAGGACCTGGATCCCGGAGGACCCATTGCCAATCAGACCGACGTGCTTGCCCTCGAGAGACACGGAGTCGTCCCAGTTGGCGGTGTGGAGCAGCTTGCCCTTGTAGTTCTCGAGGCCCGGGATGGCAGGCCATTTCCAGTTGTTGAGGATGCCACTGGCGTTGATGAGGATGTCGCAGTGGTCGTGGACCACGGTGCCCGTCTTGAGGTCCTTGACCTTGACGTCGTAGCCACCCCGCTGGTTGTTCCAGTACGAGCCTATCACCTGGTGCTCCGTCTTGATGTACTGCTTGAGGCCGTACTTGTCGGCGAAGCCGTCAAAGTAGGCAAAGATCTCCTTGGCGGGCGGGTAGACGGCGGACCAGTCGAGCTTGGGCTCAAAGGACCATGTGTAGTTGTGGCTGGGCACGTCACACGCACAGCCGGGGTACTTGTTCTCGTACCACGTGCCCGCGACCTCTGGGTTCTTCTCGTAGACGCGGAGGGAGTAGTTGCTGAAGTGCTTCTGGAGCTTGTACGCCATGAGCAGCCCCGAGGCGCCGGCACCGACCGTGATGATGCGGACGTGTCGTTCCGAGTGGATGGGGCCCTGCAGGCGACGGGAGGCGTCGACGCTGCCCGGGGCTGTGGTCTGGGGCGCCAGGAAGTCGGCCATTGTGGGAGGGAAGTGACTTGTGTGTGGGTATGACCAGGACGCTCTGTGATGTAGGGAGGTAGGGAGAGGTGGCGGGAAGGTTGAGAGAATGCCCACTGGGAAACACGAGGAATGAGCAAAGAGCATGCCTGCCTTTTAAGAAATGACCAGCTAGCATAGCATGCATGCGTGGTGACATGATTCTGTTCGCCCCATATTTGCTGCAGCTGGTGCTACATGTAACATGAGTCTCCCGCTGAGCCGAATCTTGTCTTTCATGACTCGACAAGGACGATTTCTTCCCTGGGGAACTGCTATGGCATCGTACTGAGCACAGTAGCGCCAAACTGCTGTGGGATTTCGATAGGCACGGACGCGGGGGCCGCAATCCAAGGGACCGAGACCGAAATACGGGGTAAGTGGGCGAGGGTCCGAGGGAGGAGTTGTCGCACGGAGAAGATGCGGGTAACGACTACCGCGGGGGTGGGCCCGTGGATCATGTCTGGTCAACGAATGGTGCCGCCGCAGACAGTGGTCAGTTGGGGGGGGGGGGGGGGCGGGCATCATGATAGGTTGTGAGGCCCAGATCTCTTGTTGGGGAACCTGGGGAGAAAGGTGCGCCGTGTCGAGTCAGACCTGAGGCTCCCCAGGTCAACGCATGACACGAGACTGGACGCCTGCTCGCTCGCTTTGCCCGTGTTGCGTCTAGCTAGGTACTTTAGATTCTACTCCAGATGTTAGGCATGCACATGGATATTCAGGCAGAGAGCTACGTGGATTGCCTCTAACATTGGATGGTTTCGATTCATAACTGATATTCTCGTCAGATGCTGTCTACATGGAACCTTGTACTAGTCTAGATGTTCCCAACTATAATCTCGCGCGAACGTCCTGCATGCTGGCGGCATCCCTCTTGGCCCATTCGCGCATCGTCTTCCTCTGAATCTTGCCACTCGCCAGCTTGGGCACTTCGTCGATAAAGACGACGCCACCCACCAGACGCTTGTGCTTGGCGACGCGCTTGGCCATCCAGTCCTGGACGTCCTTGGGCGAGACATGGCCCCTGGAAGACTCCTGGATCACGACGTAGGCTCGTGGCCATTCGTTGTTGTTTCTGCTCGATCCGTTAGATTGAAATGTGCTGGAGTCATCGACAAAAGGACAAACTCACAGCGTGATGCCGACCACGGCCGCGTCCGCAATGTGATCGTTCTCCAGCAGGGCGGCCTCCAGCTCCGCGGGCGCGACCTGCAGCGCATTGACCTTGATCAGCTCCTTCTTGCGGTCGACGATCCAGAAGAACCCCTTGTCATCGCAGACAGCAACGTCCCCCGTCTTGAGCCACCCCTCGCTGTCGAGGCTGTCTCTCGTCGCCGCCTCGTTTCGCCAGTAGCGGAGGCAGATGTTGGGACCGCGAACCCACATCTCGCCCGGCTGCCCGCCGGCCACGTCGTTGCCGTCCTCATCGACGAGGCGACACTCACAGTTGGGGTCCAGCTGCCCCACGGACCCCGAGTCGTCCTTGATACCGCCAGGCACGTGGATGGCGCCGCAAGTCACCTCTGTCATGCCCCAGCCCTGGTTGATCTGCACGTTGAAGCGGCGCTGGCACTCGTTCTGCAGCTCCCGCGACAGAGGAGCCGCGCCGCACAGAATGTCCTTGACACTTCGCAGGTCGTACCGGGCTGTCTCTGGCCTCTTGCTGAGCATGACGAGGATGGGCGGGGCAATCTGGAGGCTGGTAATCTTGTAACGCCCAATGGCTTCTAGAAACTCTTCATATCTGAACTCGGTCATGATGTAGACGGGCACCTGGAGCTTGATCGCCATGAGGATGGTGTACAGCTGACCGTACGCGTGGTAGAGCGGCAAGAAGCCAATCCAACGTTCGAGGGGCCGATCAGCAAACGAGTAGGGCTTGTGAGCGTATCGCATGAAGACGGTCTGCTCGACATTGGCAATCAGGTTGTAATGGGAGACACAGACGCCCTTGGGCAGACCGGTGGTCCCTGAGGAGTAGTTGATCGTGGCCACCGTGCTCATGGCCTCTTGCGGTGGAAGATCGGGCCAGTTCCAGGCGTCTCCCTGCTCAGGGGTGCCAATCATCTCGCGCCAGTCGAGAACCCCTTGGAAGGGCTCGTTGGCTGTCTCGGAGAATTGAAAGATGCGGTCTTTGGGGACACCTGCTTTCCGCGCGGCGGGGAGGATGAGGGGGAGCATCTTGGGGTGCACGAGCAATAGCTTGGCTGTCGTGTTTGTGATCTGGTGAACGAGCTCTGTCGCCGCGTCAGCCTACAAGCCTCAGCACACAATAGCACCTTGAAACTCACCCTGCTCAGTGTACGCGGGATTCGCGCCGCTGAAGATGCATCCGGCGCCCACAATGCCGAGATACGCCACGGGCACATGGATCTGGTTGGGCGTGCAGATCATGACCACGTCCTCCTTCCCCAACCCCAGGCGACCTAGACCGAAGCCCAGTCGACGCACCCATTGCAGCAAGTGGTAGGGAGACAGGCTTCTGCCAGGGTCGCGCGCATCGTACCACAGGGGATCGCGTGATGGGGCGGCCGAGGCTGGCGGGCCGAAGAGGTACGTGAGGATGTTGGACTTTGGGATGTCCACGTCTGGGTACGGTGATTTGAAGACCATTGTGACTGACTGACTGACTGACTGACTGACTGAATGACTGACCGACTCCTCGCTTGCCAGAAAAACTTGTTGCGATCAATGGTGCATTCAAGGTCCCTTTGACCTACGGGGAAAGGCATGAAAAGGCATTGGCGACGTGCCATGGGTGTTGGCCCATGACTGTCGGCTGTTGAGCCCGAGGCTCTGAGAGGGGTAGTAGCCTCAAGGGCGAATTGCTTCCGCGCCATCAGCCTATTGGTGTGTAGGGAATGTGCCAGGAAGAAGGATGAAGGTAGTTGGAGAAATGATGATGCCGCTGCGGGCCGTGGCTATACGAATGAGTCCACGGCGGGATCGGGATCGGGATCGGGATCTGGGTCCCCAGTTAACTTGAATCCCGGCTTGTGCTTCCCTCTTCCCCACAAGGTAAAGCCGGGGGTTCGGTATTATCGAGACGGTCTGTCCCTGCTTCCTCTTCTACCATAGTCAGCAGGAATTTGTGCTTGCTTGCTTGTTGTCTTTGCATCCGTGCTCAATTCCGTTTCGCAGAGCCGTGGGAGAACGTGAAAGCAGCGCAAAATGTCACAACTCCGGGACTTCAACACCATCTTCAGCCTCGACGGCAAAACCGCCCTCGTCACGGGTGGCTCGCGCGGCTTGGGTCTTCACATGGCGTCCGCGTTCCTCCTCGCAGGCGCCTCTCTGGTCATCGTCACAGCACGCAAGACTGCGGGCGAACAAGGCATCGACCAGGCTGTCGCCAAGCTCAATGCACTCCCCGGGATCAAGGGACGAGCCGCGGGCATTGCGGCAAACGTGGCCGATTCAAAAGACATTGTTCGCCTGGTGAGCGAGGTCGACGGCCTCGTGGGTAGCAAGGGTCTGGACATTGTGGTGTGTAACGCCGGCGCCGCCTGGGGCTCGAGATTTGAAGACGCGCCCCCCAGCAGCTCCGTCAAGATTCTGGACCTGAACGTCAGGGGAGTCTTTGAGCTCGTGCAAAAGTGAGCCTTCCCCAAGTAATAATGTCCCAAGAGGCTGACCGCGCTAGATCACTACCCCTTCTTGAGAGGGCCGCCACCAAAGACGATCCCTCCCGTGTGCTCGTCATCTCCTCCACAGCCGGCGTCAACGTGCCTCATGTGGGCGAGCACGGCACAATCATGTACAGCACTTCGAAAGCAGCTGTAAACGTGAGTTCTCCCTGTACTGTGCTGTAATGTACTGTACTGTACTGGTCTGGTTTCTGTGCGTGCTGACAAGCCAGCACCTCGCTCGGAACCTGGCTGTGGAACTAGGGCCCAAACAAATCACCAGCAACATCATTGCACCAGGCTTCTTCCCGTCAAAGTTAGCGCAGGGTCTCATCAGCAATCTGGGCGGCGAGGAGTCTCTGAGCAATGATAATCCGCTCAGGCGGCTAGGTGCGCCGGAAGACATTGCTGGCGTCGCCGTGTTTCTGTGCTCCAGAGCAGCTGCCTACGTGTATGTTCGCCAGACTCGAGCTCTTCAGAGGTTGCTAACTGATTGCGCAGTAATGGTGTCGATATCTCAGTCGACGGAGCAGCTAGACTGGCAGCAGGGAGATTGTCGAGGCTGTAGACCTTATTCTAGTGTCAGGACTAAATTCAGTGTGTCAGGGGTCTCTTATTTGTGCATATCCTTTGACAACACAATCCATAGTTTTCACATCGTAGCCAGCAAATAGTGGTTGGTGATGGTGCTGAATTTACTTCATCATTCTTCAAGATAGTAATAGCTACTCTACATTCTACACTTATAGCTTGGCCATGTTGATGAAGATGGTCTTCTTGTCCGTATACATCCTCAACGCATCAATGGCATTCTCCCGCCCAACGCCACTTGTCTTTGTGCCGCCAAAGGGGGCGGTCAAGAACGCCATGCTGATGGCGTTGATACCCACCATGCCGGCATCCACGTCGCTGGCAAACCGCAGTGCGCGGTTAATGTCCTGCGTAAAGACCCCCGCCATGAGGCCGTAGTGTGTGTCGTTGGATTTGGCGATAATCTCCTCCTCCGTCTTGAACTTGTTGAGGACCGACACGGGGCCAAAAATCTCCTCGCGCGTAATCTCGGCATCGTCCGCCGTGCCCTCAAAGACGGTGGGCTGGACATAGAACCCGTCCTCGCCGATGCGGCCACCTCCGGTGAGAAGCTTGCCCTGCTTCTTGCCGCGCTCAATGAACCCGAGGACACGGTCATACTGGGACTTGTCGACCAAAGGGCCGAGCAGAGTTTCCTTGGCGTCAGGGTCGCCAGCGGCCTTGCCCTTTTCCTCCATGGCAGCCTTGTACCCCTGGACGAACTTGTCGTAGATGCCCTCCTGGACGTAGACGCGGCTGGCGGCAAAGCACACCTGGCCGGTGTTGGTGGTGATGGCATTGGCGCACCAGGCAATCGCGTTCTCGAGATCAGCGTCGTCAAAGACGACAGCGGGGCTCTTGCCGCCCAACTCGAGAGTGACACGCTTGAGGTTGCTCTTGGCGGCCATCTCCTGGATCCGGCGGCCAGTGGCGGTCGAGCCGGTGAAGCTGACCTTCTGCACCTTCATGTGCGAAGCGAGCAAGGCGCCCGTGCTGCCCTCACCGGTGACAATCTGGAAGACACCGGGGGGGAAGCCGGCCTCCTTGATCAACGTACCCAGTGCAAGTGCGCTGAACGGTGTCTTCTCCGACGGCTTGAGGATAAAGGTGTTTCCTGTGGCCAGGGCGGGGCCAGCCTTCATTCCGACGTTGCCAAGGGGTCCGTTCCAGGGGATGATACCCGCGCAGACACCCAGCGGCTCGTTCCGGATGATCTTGAGGAAGCCATCTTCCTGGGGATACGTTTCGCCCGCAAACTTGTCGGTCCAGCCGGCAAAGTACCGGAACGCCTCAGCCGCCAGAGCAATCTCGAAGCTCCCAAAGCTCGCCCACGGCGCACCAAGGCTGAGCCTCGTCAGTTGCGCGAGGGTCTCGGCGTTGGCGTCGATGAGGTCGGCCAGCTTGTTGAGGCAGTCGCGGCGCTCCTTGGCCGTGGTCTTGCGCCAGGACTGAAAGGCCTTTTGGCCATGTGCCACGGCCGCGTCAACGTCGGCCTCGCCTCCTAGGGAGACATCGCTCGCAATGACAGAGTTGTCCTTGGGGTTGAAGCATTCGAGCTTCTTGCTGTTCTTGGAGTCGACGTACTCGTTGTTGATGAAGAGCTGCTTGGGCAGGTTCTTTGTGCTCCAAGGGAAAGACATGATGACTCTGAGTGAGGAGGGACGGGGGCGATGAGAGGAGGCAGAGCACAGGTGTATGGTTCAATGAGAGCACAGGAAGACCCTGAATGTGATGTTCACATATAGTATATAGAGTTTAGCAATGGAGCCCCCGCACAATGATGTCCCCATTCCGTGAGACCGCTGGCAACCCACCATCAAAAGACCTGTGCGCAATTGCGACATCCAATGCGGAGACGGGTATCCAAACGCGCTTCCCCTCGGGTCATAGCTTGAGTCAACTGTGCTCGTCTGCAGGGCACGCATGACTCGGTAGGCTCCCGGGAAACGACACCCCCTTTATTGGAGATTGTGGGGTAGAGTCCGACTCCGGGGCCAGTTCGCCACTCTTGACCTGGCTGCACGGGATTCAGTGTCCTCCGCGCAAGACAGCAAGGAGATCGAGAGGAGCCAAGTCTGAATGGTGGCTGTTTGAATTGTACGTTCCGTGTGTAGAAGCGTCTGCATCATGGGAGCTTGAAGAAGGTGTGCTACAGATGTCCTGCGGCTATTGCAGATTAGGGTACGTAGACCGCCATGGGAAGCTGGGAAAAAGGAAGTGTTGCAGATGCTGAACAGAAAGAGAATAGGGTAGGTGGTCCTGACGACGGCTTCTATGGTGAAAATGCATCGGCCATCTTAGACAGTTGTCTTCACGCTTGCGTTCACAGATCACATCATATACGAGGAGTCTAATGAATAGAGAGCGAGGCGGATCAAGTGGCAGACAGCGAAATTTATACATGCTATGGCAGCACAGCTCCAAGATCCAACGCGAGCCAGCCTTTATAGGGAATCCTCTGGCATCATGTGCACCTTCTCGCCATGCTTCTCCCCGTACACCTTGGCCAACCTATTGTACTCCTGGTGCCGCTTCGTAATCTCAACCGCTTTCTTCAGCTCGTCCCTACCCACCTGGTGTCTGTGTGCGCTGTCAGGCCCATCAGCCAACCTAGCCCATCGCGCGTAGGCCCAGATGCCAGGCAGTGGTGTGTGCTGCGTGACACCCTGGCCGCCAAATATCTGCATGCATTCGTCGACGATGCCCTGGATAGCCTTGGGTACGAGGACTTTGCACTGCGCAATGGCCTTCCGACCAGCCTTGGGACCAAACAGGTCAATCGTCTCGGCCGCATTGAGGACAACAAGACGCATGGCGTCGAGCTCGAGACGCATCTGCGCGACACGCTCAATGTTGGAGTCAAAATCGCCAATGAGCTTCCCTCGGGGCTTGAAGCGTGGGTCGCGGCAGCGCATGATGGCGAGTTCGACGGCACGCTCGGCCTGTCCGAGGAGTCTCATTGTGTGGTGGATGCGGCCGCCGCCCAGTCGTCCCTGCGCGATCTCAAAGGCGCGCCCCTCGCCGAGGATCAGGTTCTCCTTGGGAATCACCACGTTGTCGTAGGTGTACTCGCCGTGGCCCTCGGGTGCCCAGTCGTACCCCAGCACCGTCAGGTTGCGCACCTGCGTGAGGCCGGGACTGTCCGCCGGGACAATGAGCATCGAGTGGCGCCGCCAGGGGTTGGGATTCTCGGGATCGCTCAGGCCCATGAGAATGTAGAACTTGAGATGCTTGTTCCACAGGCAGTTGGAGTAGAGCTTCCGCCCATTGATCACATAGTCGTCGCCCTTTTTCGTGATCCGAATGCCCACGTTTGTCGCGTCCGAAGTGGCGACGGACGGCTCCGTCATGGAGTAGCCGGAGCCGCAGGTCCCTTCCAGCAAAGGCTTCAGCCACTTCTCCTTCTGCTCCTCGCTGCAGTACTTGGCCAGGAGCTCGCAGTTGCCCGTGTCCGGGGCGTGGCAGTTGAAGACCATGGCGCCCCAGTAGCACCGCCCCATTAGCTCGCACATGCATCCGTATTCGAGGTTTGTCAATCCTGGGCTTTCTTTAAAGGTGTTGGGCAGGAAGAGGTTCCAGAGACCCTCCTCCTTGGCACGAGCACGCAGTTCCCGCAGCAGAGCGGGCATGCCCCACGGTTTGGCGGCCAGCTGGGCGTCCATGACAGGTTCGCGGGGGATGATCTCCGTTTCCATCCATTGGTAGATGCGTTGGATCTTGTCAATGGCGAATGGCCTCAATTTGGCCTTGACTGGGGCGGGGATGTGCGCAAAGGCAGGGCCATCGAGCTGGGATGGCTGTGGCGAGGCCATATTGGGGGTTATTCTTCAAGACGTCCGTAAAATTCGTGTGGCCGTCAAGGATGGTCCAGAAGAAGAGTGAGAGCCGGCGGACGTCAATTATAAGGACTTGGACGGGATTTGATGAACCAGAGATTGAGCCGCGGCTAGGTGCCCTCCCTCCCCAGTCCATACCCCACGCCCAGCCTCCACTCTTTGGTCTTACCCCGGAATTCAATGTAAGCCGTGTTGAAATAGCCGTACGTGACGAAAACCCCTTGTGAACAAATCAGTGGCTCAAGCGTCTACACTTGTATTGGATCTGAAGAGTCTTGCCTTCACTGGTGCAGACAGCATTCAGCTCGGATCAATCACCCTAGAGTTCAATCTTGGGAGCAGTGAACTGCAGCTTGGTGCTCCATTCAACCACAAAAGTCAGTCTGATCCAGGCCATGATCTTGGCCGCAAGGAGAAAAGACCATGTATTATCGAACGGACACGTACTTTCTATTTCAGGCCTAGACATAAGATATTTTATTCTAGCATATAATGGCCATACTTCAACGCCGACCAAGATCCTGAATCCTATCAGGATACCCAAAATACCGCGCCGTGGGTTGCCATAAGCCCAAAGTGAAAGAGCCATATGAGAGTACAGAAAAAGGAGAGAAAAGTGCATTACGTGCGTAGAAAAGTTTTACGTCTGCGAGAAAAGCCATTGTCAGAATATTCCGGAGTCGATGGGAGCGCGCGAAAGTAGATATTGGGCCGGAATGAAGGACCTCAAGCAAAGACCTCAAGCAAAGACCTCAAGCAAAGACCTCAAGCACAGTGGTTTCAATGGTGTTGAGGTAGTCGCCGAACTGGACAATTTCTCGAGTCTTCTCTACCTCTTCGTTGTTCATTGTGATGGATTCAATGTCGAGAGCTTGTAGATTTCTCGTGGGCATCCGACAATTTGAGATGGCATACGCGAGTGTAGAGCTAGGGAGAAAGTAGATGCCCATCCTTGGGTCGACTAATACAGTACTTGGAATATTTGGTTCGATTAGCTTTGCGTCTAATCCTGTAATACCTTCAATAGATCTTGGACGTGTTGTCTTCTGCATCAAAGGCCACACAACAAATGTACTTAGGTTTGGCGACTTTCAAGCTCACCTCGGCGTCCTAACTTCGGTTCTGACGACCGTAGTTGAGAAAGATCATCATAAGCGCCGGCGTCGTTCGCGCACATGGAATCGACAGCAAAGCTCGCGGCGGCGTGTGTCAGCGTCACGCTCGGCCATCCGGCCATCTGGCCATCTTCAATCGACAGCAGGGCGACAGCATGGCTGTGGGACTTTTATGAAGAGCTTCTCGAAAATTTAAACACATCAATAAGCATTCTGCCTGCTCGCATCCTGCTCCTTCTTCATCTCGGTTGTAACACGCTTTACTTGTACCGCCAGGGCACACAGGCTTCCCAGCACTTCTCCCAGCAGCGGCGCGCCGAGATCCGCGTACAGAGTCAGGACGCTCTTGCGACCCAGGCCGCCTCCTCCGTATAAATCGGCCGCAGGGGACGAGAAGCGCAGCCCGTCCCAGCGATCCAGCACCGCCACAAGCCGATCATAATCATCAACAAGGCAGAGTTTCGTTTCGAGCCCTGTCATTTCGGTGTCCCGAAAGCGGCGAGATACCCAGAGAAGGCCGCCCTGGGATGATTGCCATCGCCAAATAGGCATTGCGGCTGAGAACTGCGAGCGTTGGCGGGCCGGGGTGGCGTTGATATAGATAGTTTCACGACGGCCGCGCATGTGGCTGGGTGCGCTGTGAGAGTTTGCTTGGGTCGGGAGGTACATGACGGATGAGTATTTGCGGTTTTGACTTGAAAAAAGGGAGATGCGGCATGCTTCAGTGAAGGTTTGAGGTGTTTGTGCGCTCATCGATGCCACGGCTGCTGGTTCTTGTTGTGTGGCAGATGTCGTCTTGTCGGCGTCTATGGGATCCTTCGTATAGGATGGCAACTCCTCCGCGATAACTTCCTGCGGTGGCGGCCGCATCATGACCTTGATGCAGGCATCTGGGGCGTTGTTTGACCTCAAGGCGTCGACGCCGCTGGCATGGATTTCATAGAGCACCTCCGCATCGCATTGCCTGCCTGAAGAAGGCTGATGACCAGCCCCACGGTCACTTTCCTCCAGCACGCAACGAATGGGGTGGCCTGACGATTCGGAGGCAAGGAGCGTCAGCCGCGTGCGCGCATGGCTATTTACGAAACGTTTATTACAGACTTTCATCTCGTGCTCGGATATCTCGGGGCGCGGTCCTAACGGCGACCTAGCGACGCGCATACCACTAGGCAGCCGGGCGAGATCAGGACGCCAATCGTCGGGCGCCGGGACGAAATTATCGTCGTCAACGTCCACTGGTATCGTGTATTGGCACTCGCCTACGCCGCCTGTAGCGATGGCGAGGCGGAGACCGCAGCGACGACAGGAGTGGTTGACAAATTGAGGTTTGAATAGCATCGGTAATAAGAATAGCGTTGTCCCTAAAGTGAGAGGCGCGGAGACGATGGCGACGCCAGTGCCTGCTGCATATCTACTTGCGGTCAGTCTGCACAGAACATGAATAGGGCGAGGCTTCATATTCAACAGCCAGTGGACTCACCGCCATCCGGCGAGGCGTTCCTTTGCTAAAACGGTGGTGCCTCCATGGTGACAGGCAGGGCAAGTGACAAACTGGGCGCGCTTATATGTAAGTTGACGAAGCGGGTTTGAGCCCGATGGGGCGTCACGGGCAGCTGTTGGCATGATGTGCGCTTGGGTGCGAGTATGAGGGTGCACCTAGTCTTGGACCTTGGGTGTTTGGACATGGCGGGCCGCGAAGATGGCAGAGCCGCGCGGCTGAGTGCAAGGTATTAAATGAGAACGGCATGAGGCTGAAGACATGCATTCACAGAGCTGTGACAGAAGTTCAAACGCAAGCAAGAATGCCTACTGCTTGTGACTACTTAGTTTATTGTGGGTTTCTCGCTTAGTGAACCAGTAGTAATACGGAGACCTAAAGGAGAGGTACAAAAAGGTTCACAAAGGGTGTGCAAAAAGTCGGGCATGGCCTTCTCCGCAGATTTATGCATTCTAGTGCAGAGGCTTAGCCGCTGTAATCCGTGCATAAGTACCTGGATTTGGTCAGCGACAACGCTCTATCGGGCGCTCCTCGAACCCTCCGCGTACCGCGCACGATTTCCGCTCATGCTGGTGCTGACTGGAGACATCACAAGACACGTCCAAGGCTCACTCGAGCTCCATGTCGGCCATTTCCGCCCACTGATCGACGCCGTGCGCTATTTGGTACCGACACCTCAGATAAGCGCGCAACGCGTTGATCGTCGAAAAGAAGCTTTTGAAGGAGGAAAGCGTCATGCGAGCCGTGGCCAGTTTTGATCGTTGTAAGTGAAAGAAGAAGCTCGTGGATTTGCTCGGGCTTGGGCTGCGAAAGTTATAATGACTCTCAGAGGAGCTCATGTCAGTCACCCTCACACATTCCAATCAGATAAAGCCGTCGTGTTACACAGCCTCATCAAAAAGCTCACGCTCGGATCAAAGCATCACTCAGATGCGGTCTGCGTGGCTCGAGAAGCTGGGCCTGGCCTATTGTGATATTCGACCTGCTAACGTCAAATCCTCCTCCATCAGTCAGGCCAGTCTTGACGTTCACGATGATCTCTTACCCGCAACAAAGCCCTGTGCAAACATAGTAGGAGACGAATGAGGATCAGACCGTGGCACCTACGGTAAGGCTGGAAGCCGTACCGAGCAGTTTGTCCTCGGATCTGTCCTACGCGCATGAACGTATATGTACATGACCCATTCCGAAGATAGATGGTGGGGTCCAGATCACGGCCCCCTTCGGATGATGAAGTTGCAGGCCATAGAGTTTCCCTTTCGGAGGGATTTTCACTGCGATCAAGTCATTCAAAACAGTTGGCATGGCCGCTACGCTACTATTTCTAGATGTTTTCGTCGCCTTATATGGAGAAGCAGGGAAGGTCAGTGATGATGGGAATCAGGAGTTTACCAAGGCAAGGCGCCGAGAATGCGTAACGATAACTCTATTCTAGTATCATCCAGCTTCAACTCAACCCTCGCAGTCGGAGACGTGTACCTTGACCTTAGTATCGCCCAGAGGCGAACGGGAGTTTCGACGTTGTGATGATTACCTTATTCTGCCAACTTCACGCGGTGGTTCTACCAGTGTGCACTAACAAGCAGGGGTCCCCCGCAGTCCGCCGCCCGAAGAGCACGCCAACAGAACCCCGCAGAAATTCGTCGGCTTTGGAATTGGCATCGATAACGGACCTCGGAAACTTGCCTCAGCCTGGCGTACCCCCGATTAAATCTGGCCCCATCCCGGGAATGCTCTGGCTAAGCAGACGAGCAGACTCTAGTCTCACAACAACACCCCCTACGACCTTTCCACGCTTAATCATTGAAGACAATTGCATAACCACACATGGCACCGACTTCCACCAAAGCCGAGGACGGCGCCGCCAACGGCATGACGATACAACCATGTGATTCGAACCCCCAGTCCCTGCGACAGACATCCTTAGAACTCCGAACACGCATCGACAGGTTTCTTGACGAAGACCATACAGAAAACAAGGCCCTACGCAGCCTGCAGGGCCATGTGCGCGTGGCAATGGAGGTGATTGGGGAGGCCCTGCAACGTTACGGGTAGGTCCCCCAGCGGGAGGTGCGAAATGGCCAGCTCGGTCTAGACACGTTTGCTGATGTTCCAGACTCGATCACCTGTCCCTTTCTTACAACGGCGGCAAGGATTGCCTCGCCCTGCTCATCCTGATACTCGCTTGTTTACCCGATCTCGAGAGCCTCCCACAAAACGACTCGTCTGGCGCGCCCTCGGTACTACCAAGCACACTACATTCCATATATATCGTGTCGAAAGACCCCTTTGCCGAAGTGGAAGATTTTGTCGTGCGGTCCACAGAGCAATACCATCTCGACTTGCGCCGATATGCGCTGCCGATGCGAGAAGCGCTCGATGCCTACCTAGAGGATCGTCCAGAAGTCAAGGCGATATTCATGGGAACCAGGAGAACAGATCCGCACAGTGATACGCTAGGTCACTTCAGTCCGACAGACAAAGGGTGGCCGCAGTTCATGCGGGTGAATCCCGTCATAGACTGGCATTATGCGGACATATGGGCGGTAGGTTTGGGTTCGGAAGAGGGCACGACATCTTGCTGAGACCTTGCAGTTTATCCGGCATCTCAAAATACCTTACTGCGTATTATATGACAGAGGCTTTACATCCCTGGGCGGCACATCAGATACACTGCCGAACCCAGCCTTGGCCATTGACGTTTCAGCTAACCTATACCGGCCAGCGTACGAGCTCGTACACGATGAAGAAGAACGTAAAGGACGGGTAAAGAAATAGGATTTCCTTTCCTATCTAGCATGCGTTCGACACCAACAGAGCATAGAATCATAGAGCAGCAATTGCTTTGGGTTTTCTACATCACGACGAGGACGGGGAGACGTCAGGTAACTTGTATCCGTCCAGGAGGAGACAAATATCAGCATTTACACATTCGAGCTGGCGCACACTTCACCAATTTCATGATCAGGCGACAAGCGACATTTGCTTCGCTTCGTTCTCGAGGGCCGGTAGTGTCTTCTGTTCATGTTCATGAAACATCCCACACAATGTTCCGGATTTTGTGTGAACGACATGAATAACTACCAGCGCCGCCCGGAGTGCCCCACTGTAATTCATCACCGAGCTCGGCCTTCATGATCGCAGAAATTTCCATGAGACAACGCGTCTCAGCACTCAACTCGAGAATATGCAGTCGATACGATGCCTCGCGCGACCCAGCGTCGCGCTGCCACCTCGCGTCTTCACGGCAACCCAACGACGCGCACACTCGTCGGTCGTTGCTCCGTTGGCGTACGATCTCCATGAGCCAGCTAAGCCCAAGACCGACAAACACAATGCGCCAATCATCTTCATGCATGGGCTGTTTGGCTCTAAGAAGAACAACAGAGCCATGAGCAAGTGAGTTCGTTGACAATCCACATAGACGGCTGTGCTAAGTGGCGTAGGGCTCTGGCTAGGGATCTGGGCCGTTATGTCTATGCGTTGGACCTCCGTAACCACGGCGAGTCGCCACATCACAAGCGTCATGACTACGACGCCATGGCGGACGACGTGCTACACTTCATCTCGGAGCATAAGCTCAAAGACAGCACGCTGATTGGCCATTCTATGGGTGCCAAGACGGCCATGGCCCTCGCTCTGCGCTCGCCAGACTCTGTCCAGGATATCGTGTCCGTGGACAATGCGCCTGCGGACAAGATCCTGAGCCGCGACTTTGCAGACTACGTCCGGGGCATGAAGCAGATTGATGCCGCAGACTGCACGCGCCAAGCTGAGGCGGACAAGATACTGCAAAAGGTTGAGGAGGCACTTCCCATCCGTCAGTTTCTGCTGGGTAACCTGCACCGTCCCGACCCCAAGTCGCCGACACAGAAGTTCAGAGTACCTTTGGGTATCCTGGGAAAGAGCCTGGACAACATGGGCGACTTTCCCTACAAGAACCCCGCGGAGAGGAGATTCAACAAGAGAGCACTCTTTGTCCGGGGCACCAAGAGCAAGTACGTACCGGATGATGTCCTGCCGTTGATTGGGGAATTCTTTCCCAAATTCACGTTGGTGGACATTGATGCTGGTCATTGGGTCACGTCTGAGAAGCCGGAAGAGTTCCGCCGCGCTGTGGTCGAGTTCCTCCAGCCGCAGGAATGATTAGTTACAGAGCCACAACGTAGTAGACAGCCATTAGACAGAAACATAGACATAAATCATGAACCGTTTTACTATTTCAAGGGAAGCAGTCCTAAATTCCCAAGCCACCTTGAAAATCTACGCCATTTGTGATGATCGTAAACAATTGCAACGGGATATGTTGTCCCGACATGGCCCGTTGCCTCCAATTGCGCCTTCCACACGTAAAGACTAGCCGCTTAGACATCCTCGAGCACACGCTCCTTAAACTCGCGCTCGACCTTCTGACCCTGGTCGTCGGTCCCCGACTCGCCGTGCAGAGCCATAAGGGCACCAAGGTCGAACTTGGGTGCCTTCAACAGCTTGACCTTGCGGATGTGAACCTGTCCTGTGTTAGATGTGATTCAAGGGACGGTTCCGCGGATGAAAACTCACGTTCTGCAGGGGGTAGATGCCCTGGGTGGACTTCTCGATTTCGCGGCCAATGACCTCGGGGATCAGCTTGGAGGTGAGCTGGGTGAGGGTGCTGGTGCTGGCCTCGCGGGTGATGATCTCGGTCATCTTCTTGCGGATGGCACGGATCTGCGAGGAAGCGGCGTAGGTGGTCTTCTTGACCTGGTTGGGGCGGCGCTTGGTAAAGGCGATGGCGAAGAGGCGGACAAGGTAGTCGTCGGTGGTCTTGACGGTGACGTTGGCCTCGATGAGGGACTGCCACTTGCGGACGAGGGAGCGGAGCTTGTCAGAGGTGAAGTCGAGACCGTGGAAGGCAGTCAAGCAGTTCTTGCCCTGAACCTCGTCGACCCTGAGGCGGACCTTGCGGAACGAGTGGTCCTCGTCCTTCTGCAGATCGGCCAGGGAGACCTCAAGGATGCGGCCCTTGAGGGCGTCGTTGGCATTCTTGAGACCTGTGGTGCGGTTCACCAGGGTCTTGCCGACACTGGGCTTGGTCAGTTTCCTGTGCTCCAACTCGCCTATCGTTCGGTAGATGGCAACTCACTCTCGGACGTTGAAAGGGTTGGGAGCCTTGATCGAGTACCAATCCTTGCGGGTGAAGGGGTCGACGGTCTTCTTCTTGAGACCCTTCTTGCCCTTTGAGAGACGCTTGTTCCTGTTCGCAAAAGTATCAGCCGCTGTCCGAATCGCATCGTCGCAATTCTCATCGCTGCAAAGAATTGATTCCGAAGGGGGCGCTGCTCACTTTCCAACCGCCATGATTGCTGGCTCTGATTTGCACAGTTGGAGAAAAACTGAGAATGGGTGGCTGTGATGGGTTTGGTTGAGGGGCGTCGCTGTCAAGAGGGCGAAATAATTTCAATTGTGTGTGCACTGGTCGGCTTAGGTCTGCGTGGTGAAAAGTGCGGCACCACGTTTGTCCGTGTGGGGCTTTCCGAGAGGAGGGCCGCGATGGCACGTGATCAAGAATTTTTGGAGATGGCCCTGCCAGCAGCCTTCAACAGAGCCTGTCAATACATGGATTGAGCCCGATATCATTGACTTGGATTTTGCACCTGAGAATAGTTCGCAGTGAATGCGTGAATCGACCGCGGCAGTCCATCAGGAGGTCTTGAAAAGTTAAATTGGCAGACCGCTTCCGACTATTGCTCCAAACACTGCCGGCTTCTTTTAAGCCACGATCAGCCCTCTAGCCTTAGACAGCATATGAGACCCGTTTCTCCCGACTCCTTGCTTCGGCCTGCTGTCTTCTGTAATCGGTACTACTAATCTTTGCTGCATAGTTACCGTCGATCGAACCCTCCTCCTGCTCAGTGGCATGCAGGACATCAATCTCAAAGACCTCGAGCTCATGCCATCCAGTCTCCCTCCGTTTGTCATTCACGGCCTTGCCTCCACTTCTCGTCTCCCCGGAGACCACCAGCGCGCCCAGGTCTCGCTCTCGCGTTGTAGGCCCATATGCATCAAGAATCTCGGTGCACCGCACTTGTAACCTCCCGCCGACTAGAGAAGTGATGAGCTCGGTTGTTGACGAGGAGATGATTGACGGCGTCTCTAGAAGTAAAGACCCCACAAAGTCAGTTACTGCTTGGGCGCGTACAGACCAGGGCTCAATCTCCGAGGCGTAGCGCTTATTATTCAGCAGAGCGTCGCCTGTGATACCGATGGTGAACATGGCGGGTGACTGGGCAGAGAAGGGGATAGACAGTAGAAACGTGGAAGCCTGAAGAAGCAACTTGTGTCCCAGGTGGAAATGATCGAAGGTACCGCCGATAATAACTCTGGCGAATCTTCTTGATCCAGATGCTGGCTTCTGCCCCTGTATCATGCTGACACCGCCAGGTACTGCTATGATCTGATCTCGAAGGATCGCCGTAGACCGCTCATGAACACTCAGAAACGTTTGAAGCGCCGCGATGCTCGCTTCTGTGCTGGCGTGGAATATTCTGGACCATTTCACTGGCAAGGATGCCAACGCGCCAAGATTGACAATGCAGCTGTCATTGTCCGAGTTGGACCGATCACAGGTGTATTCACGACCAGGTGCGTGATCCACAAGGAGTACGTTGACGTCTGCGGGATTGTCATGGTCGGCTTGTATCAAAGCGACCAAGGAGTACAGCTTTGCCAGCAGGGACTGCAGTCTCGACCAGTCCGGTGGTAGGAACGGTGCGGCCACGGCCACAAGGAGGCTGCTCCCCGGGGTCAGCTGTGTGAGAGTCGCCGAAATGGAGTCGTGGAAGGCGCCGCGAATGGCTGAGCGTTCTGCTGGTGAAGGCGGCGAGGCGAGAACAAGTATGGACCGATTCTTGATACAAGTCGCCATGGTAACGCCCTTGACTGGATGGATGGACATATGCTGTCAGTGCCTCACCAGAGTCACCACCACACTGTGACAACTGTGACAAAGGTACTAGGTAGATTACGTAAGGAGAGAAGACAGGGGTGGTATGAGTAGTTATAAGACCGAAAGTTTGAAACAAATTTTTCTTCTTCTTTTTCTTTAATTAAATAAAAAAGAGTTTAGTATTTCAAGATTCTCTTAAAAGAAATCAGCTTCCCCGGAAACTAATAAGTGGACTAGAGATACCTTGCGAAGCCGAGAGCGTGTCACGTTTGCTATGATAGAGTGGCGTAGCGGATCGCCCTCCTGTGATCACCCTCACTAACACAAAGCCCCGTCACTTCATACAACGCACCGAGTTGAGCATATCTGCTCTCCTTCTGCCGACTGAATCTCTACCGCGATTACAGGAAGTACGTAGTCCAGTCGAATGAGATATGGTCGTTTGGATCATAGGTGACCTGTAATCTGTTCTGCTCGTGCTGGACTAGGCGCTTGACAGTGGTCCCCCGCCGCCGATGCGTATCCCACTTGAAGAATCGCGATAAGCAGACACGTGCAGTTTCCTGTCTCTTGGGACTCTGGATCTGTTCTTGTCCCGTCGATCAGAGGTCGCATAGGCTCCGTTTGTTCATGTTCATGAAATTCGAGCTCCTTGGATCCTAAAATGAATACATACTACAGTCGTATACATACATACTTTCCATCAATGCGCCCAACGCCTAGCTCGAAAAAAAAAAAACGACCTGAGTCATGCTTCCTGCGATCATCCTATCGCGATAGTAATCCGGGTTCAGTTCAAGAATTCCCCGGCCCCCTGCTTCCAGTCGTCATGCACATGCAGGTCGGTGTGCTGCCAGGTTTCAAGCACTCTGCTCAACTGATGACGGCCGATCCTGGAGATGCGCTGCACGCACGTCTGCTCCTCTGCTGTTGCTATACGGCCTGCAGATGCTGTCGTTCCAACTTTGCCATGGCGCGTGTTAAACCACACCGCGATTGATTGTCCAAACTGGAATCTCTCGATATATCGATTTGAGATTCACCTGTCCTTGCAAACCAAATCCCTTCACTTCAGGGATTTCCATCTGTTTTCTCGCTCTCTTCCTGTGCACTCTCCCAATTTTCAAAACTTGGGAAGCTGAAATAGCATTCATCTTTTGGGCGGTCAGCCTACCTCTGGGCGATGTCATGGGAGAGGTCACTTACTACTGAATGATCCCTCGGGTGTCGTACTTTCCACACATGCCACACGGCTCTCAATAGTCATGGGCTCCGATTTGACAGCTTCAGCGTCGTCCGATCCTTGCTGATAGTAGGCCATTTTGTGCAGCAAGTCTGCTGCGGTGTGCGGCGACCGATGCGACAGTCTAGACGCTTGAACATCGTTGCTGGATAGAGGCGTGATCGATGGCTCCGTGACGCTGCTTCGTAGCAGGCGGGGCCTTTGTGAATTTGAAGTAGGCGATGATGACGGTGAGGCCGATGAAGTGGAATGGGCGGATGAGCGCCGACTGGGGGCAGTTCGTTGAGTATACATAGTGAATTAGGCCGATTGGCAATGCGAATGGAAGATGGACGCTCGATATTGTAGCAAATGGTTGGCGGCAAAAAGAGGTGCAAACGAGCGTGCGAGAGTCCCGGTCAAGTTACATGAGAAGATGAAGTTGGTCAGAGAACGTACAAAGGGTTAATTATTTACTTACGTACGGAGTACTTCACTCCCACATCATGGCCAGACCGACCCGCGGGCGCAGGGCCTGATCCGGTTCGTGATGGATTTGATCCATCAATAGTGCGTGAAGCCGGGATCCCCGCAGGACTCCAGGACCCGCCCCCTTGACTGAGTGGTGCCACCTGGCAAACTCTTCCGCCATGTGCCTCTCGAGCCACGTCGTGGCCCCTGGTGTATGGCCGTATGCAGCACTGCAGTGTGCACCACTGGGCAGCACCGCTCTTCTTCATCACCGCCAGGTAGCTAGCTGCCCACAGATGCACGTCGCTGGAGCGCGTTGGTACCCAACCTGCTGGGGTGCCTTATAATTTATTACCGCAGTCACCAGTGCCCCATACATATTTGTATGCAGACAGCATCTTGTGACACTTGACTTTGGGCGGCACGGGTCGCAACGGGAGTGGCCGTTCTCGCCAGACTGCGGGCAAGGTGTGTTATGTTCTTTGGCAGGCACCAGGCTTGCTTCACACCATTAGATGCATTCATCAGACTCACTAGCCAACAGATGTTGCCAGCTTATGGAGACGGCATGACGATTGGTTCACACGGTTGATGATTTCTCGTCTGCTGCTCTAGGGGGTGAGGGAGTGAATACCGCCATTCCCGACCGTCAAGTCAAGTCTCAATGATCGACGCTGCTTCTATGTTAGACGAGTACCGGACGCAAAGGCTGTTGACTTACTCTTCCCACATGCGTCCCTGAACTGCCTGCAACTCGTCTTCCGTGAGTCGCTTACCCACAGTGAAGTAGCCTGCGGTAATCTTCGCATCGATCTCGACGCGGGAGTCGGCTGGTATCAACTCGTCGGGCAACTCCACTCTCTCGTGGATCGGGATTCCCTGTCCCACAATCGCATCGTGCTTCATGCTACGCCGCGTGTTAGTGAAGGGCACATGTCCATGGCCACGCAAGGTTTCTTACTTGCTCATGCTCAGCATGCGGTCAATCTTCTTAATGCCGAGCCAGTGAAGAATGTCCGGCATAAGGGCTTGGAACCGCATGTCTTTGACGCCGGCAATGTTCTCGGTCCGTTTGAAGTAATCCGAAGCACGGTCAGCACCGCGTTTGCGCGCATTGTACACGAGATACTTGGTCACCTCGCCCAAGGCGCGGCCTTCCTTGCGGAAGTAGATGACCACACCACTACCGCCATTCTGCGCCTCCTTGACAGCTTCTTCGATGCCAAAGATAAGATACGGGCGGCACGTGCAAATATCAGAGCCAAAGACATCGCTTCCGTTGCATTCGTCGTGGATCCTGAGTGACAGCCTCACAGACTCGTCAGACATCTTTGCCGGATCGCCAAAGCAGTACACCGTCAGACCACCAATAGGAGGCAGGAACAACTTGATGTCGCCTCGTGTGATGAGTTCAGGGTAGCTTCCGCCAGTGTGCTCGAAGAGCGATCTGCGGAGGGTGCCCTCGTCTAGGATACTTAGCCACTGAAAGCACGCCCCGTGGTGGTCACTTCAAGTTGGGATGCTCACCAATGCCAAATCGCTCTGCAACGCCTGGCAGATACCATACTGGTTCGACAGCAAACTTTGTGACAGCCAACTCCCCCAAATTATTGAGACAAACCTTGCCGTCGGGAATACTGAAACGTCAGAGACTGGCTGTAGAGGGTGCCTGATACTTACAGTCGACCTTTACGTACACTGTCCTCCAATTCGGGAAGCTAGAAATGTCAGACAATCGGCGGAAAGGGAGAACGTTTGCTTCACCCTCATATGTGCTTTTGTGATGGCAATGGTGGGACGGATGTCCACGCCGTCATTGTCAATCACATCCTTGAAGATCCAAGGGGCAAGATGCCCATACGGATCCATGGCTACAATCTTCTTGGGGTCGCCCCATTGTGGAAAGGGCCCAATCGAGGTAGAGGGCTCTGTATTGGTGAAATCAGGCCTGTGATCTGTGTCGAGCTCTTTGCTGGCAACCGCCAATGCATAGTATATCGAATAGGAACCGCCACTGCTACCGCGTCAGCATTGTGAAGAATTATTCTCCGGGGTATTCCTGACTGTGCTGCTATTGTCAGCTCTATGGTGACATTGATAATACCAAACAAAAAAAACATACCTCCAATGGCTGGATCAATGAACGCACGGTCAGCGATGTACACTCGAGTCTATCAGGTACACATACCATTGCGCTGCCTGATTGTTGATGGCAACCGAGACACAACTACCGGCCCCCTTTTCATTGGATCGAAGCTGCCCCAGTTCATGGGAAGGGGCTTGATACCAATCTGCTTCGGATATGTCCTACCACACTCAGATTGATGATCACATGCGATGAAAGGAGAGGTAAACCAACGTAAGAACAATCCGCGAAGTCAACGCAGGACGCGATGCTGGAGAAACTGCGGTCGAGGCTTCCATAGTACTTCCATCCTCGTTCTGACCTGGACGGGTCACTGCCTCACTAGATGTCATGGGCGCGACCGTATCCTTGGAGATTTCTGTATTCTTGGATGCAGAACGCAAAGGAGTCGATGATCCATTGCTTAGGGATGGAAAACCAACACGCTCATTCAGGGCCTCTACAGCTGCTACCAGCCGCGACTGGGTCTCGGCAACCTGTCTGAGAGTATTGAGGACCTCATCCCGGCTTCCCTCATCGGCCATGGCGTTGAGTTTGTCGGTTGATGGTCAAGGATATTGAATATAGACGAACACGGGAACGAATAATAATGAGGATAGAAAAGATGCAACCCTTAAGGATGGAACGAAAGAGAATGGAGGTGTGACAGACGAACAGATCGATACAGACGCGGGTTGGGCGGCAGCCACAGTGCAGGACGGCAGCAGACCTGCTCAATTAAGGCACACACTACCAGGCAGGTACCTGTCGTAAGGTCTTGAGTCTGCATACCATGGCTTCCCGACCACACTGAGATAAGGTTGGAGATATGGAAGCCGTTACCGGGAGGTCTTCCTGTGAGTAGCAGGAGTATATTCGTTTCCATATCAGATATCGAGATGGTATTTGATCGTCAACGTCAAGGAGCCTCCGGTCTGATGTTTGTCTAATAGACACGTTTCACCAGATATCACATCATGTCAGAGAAACCTCCACCCCTTCCATGAGAGCCTGTGGTTCTCCGCCCCAAGTCCTATCACTCCAAGGTCACAAGACTGCCAACCACGAGGCCAGTCCACTCCATCTCCACTAACTCGGACTAGTTGAGGGGAACTTCCCATCGGACGTCACCGAAAGCGGCGGGGCTTTTGAGTTCACCGCACCCTCCCCCACTACGTCTCTTAAATACATACTATCGCTCTAGCTGCAAATCGTGTACGCTGTCCCACTTTGTAATCGCACCAGGCGCAATCGTGCGGTGTCTTATCGATAAAGAAACGCAGCGCGATTGAGTGGTCGTTGTTTGCGACTTGCGTGATAGTGTCTGTAATCATTCTCCCCTACACCATCAAAGTTAATAATCGAATGATCAGCACCCGGCGACCATGGGCAAACGCAAGAAGTCGTCGCGAGGGCCTCAGGCCAAAAAGGTACGTTCTTCCCATCTCGTGTGGCCGCGTCAGGTTCGTTAACCTTGTTGCAGAAAGAGGTGCTGCCAACAACCTTCACGTGCCTTTTCTGCAATCACGAGAACGCAGTGAGCGTAAAGCTTGACAAGAAAGCCGGCGTGGGACAGCTAGACTGTCGCATCTGTGGCCAGAAATTCCAATGCGCTGTGAATTGTAAGCGACCTTCGCAAGACCTCCCAAGAGTGTGTTCTGATTTGCGCAGACCTGTCAGCGGCTGTGGACGTCTACGGCGAATGGGTTGACGCTGCGGACGCTGTGGCCAAGGAAGACGCCGCAGCGAACGATGGGTACACTGGAACAGCGAGACAACGACGACCGAGATTAGCAGGGGGCGACGACGAAGACGCTGATGGTTATGACGGGGATGGAATCGTTGGAGACGACGACGAGATTTGAGGAGCCGGGCATAAAGGTGGGATGACGAAGGACAATACAAAATAATGATCCCAAACTAGCCTCACGCTCCTGTGCGCGTGTCTGTCATTTCACACGGTATAGAATCTATCGCCAAAATCACCAAGCCCTGGTACGATGTAACTGGAGACTGGTTAGCGACACTCACGACAGGACAGAGTTACATACTTCTTGACATCCAACCCTTCGTCAATAAAGGCTGTGACAACCTTCAACTTGGGGAATTTGGTCGCGAAGTTCTTGACGCCCTCCGGGCTGGCGATCAGATTGAGGAACAGGATATGATCCTCCGGGACGCCCCTGGATTTGAGTACCTCTACGGCCATGATTGCGGAACCGCCAGTTGCGAACATGGGGTCTAGCAGCAGGACCCAACGCTCAGCAATGTCCTCGGGCAATTTGTCATAGAACAACTTGGGCTGGGCCGTCTCCTCGTCCCGCTGGATCAGGATCTTGCCTATCCGCACAGATCGACAGCAGTCGCGGAGGCCCTGCTCCATGGCCTCTCCTGCCCGCATAATGCTGACGCCGCAAATCTTGCCCTGGAACATGAGGCCATTGTACGTGGAGCCAATTGGTGTAGTGACAGTATGTTCCATCACAGGAAGGTGGTTCAAGCCCTCTTCAACTAGGAGCCGAATGATGCGATTAGAGTAGAATATAAAGTCTGCTCTTTCAGTGTCCTTAGAACGGATCATGGATAGCAGGGCAATGAGCTGCGGCGACTGGGGAAGGATGCGGACATTGTCAAAAGGGACCTGAACCGAGACAGTGGCCTGTGGCTTCTCAGCTTGCGACTTGAAGCCCGGTCCGACAGTTTGTGTGGGCGCATTGCCTGGAGCCATCCTTGCCTGACTTTCTCTGTAGAAGCTGAGGATCTAGATTAGCGTTAACCGCAACCCGTCACGTTATGTGTTCCCGGAAACACTCACTGATCTGTGGTCAGCAGTTGAATGTTACGATTCCTGGGCTTGTGCGATTGATCTTTGAGGGAGAATGGGATACGAGAAGCTCAGAAGTCGCACCTTACTCATTGAGGCATGTGCTCTCGTGGAGAGGGTGGACAGCACCTTTTGGTGGTGGGGTGTTCGGTTCGTACTGCTGTACATATTCGACTCGAAGGGCATATGCATTAATGAGAGGATCTTAATCTGGCCTATGGACAGAAACACTCGTCAAGCAATGCGGTCGATGCAAATGATACCAGTGAAATGCACGTGTGAGGTGCTGGAGATCATGCTCATATAGTGGAACTTAATGTTAGGTGTCGAATTCTCAAATGCTTGATCGTGGCAGGAAACACCCAAAGCCAAAATGCGCAGCCTGTGAGGTGCCGGCGCAAAGCCACTTTGCGCAGTTGCGCTTCTTGTTCTGTTTCGAGCTTGCACCAACACCCTCCAGTTCCTACCTTACATGTAATCACCTCGACTTCAGTCCAATCCTGCACTTTACGTGTCATTCCTCTCCCTTCCTTCATCTGGACGTCCGATTCGATGCCCTGATCTGGACGATCTTGCATGCAGCACATCGCAGACTCGCTTCCGCGGTTCACAACTCGTTCGAGCTACCTCCCACCATGATGGCATCGCAGGCCGCATCGCGGAGGCCCATGTCCTACAGTAAACGCGATCGCCAGAATCACACTACCGAGTCCAGGATAGACGTGACACCGATAGATCCCTACGATATTCCTGACGACGATGAAACAACCCCACGGCCCAAGGCCACCTACAGTCGCCTGAATCGCAACAAGCCGACCAAGAGAACCTCATCAGATTCAATGGCCGATCCGTATGACGTTCCTAGCTCCGAAGAAACTGTCGAACTACCGCGAGCACAACCCGCAACAAAGGCTGGCAATAGACTCAAGCCAGTGCCCCGGCCGAAGCGGACACCCTCGAAAGCCGCGCTTGTCGAACGCGCCTCGATCGTGTCCAAGAGTCCCGAGGCCGGAGCCAAAAGGAAAATGAGCCACTTGGAGGAGAAAACGGTCAACATCTCATGCAAGCGTTATGCGACAGAACTAACTGGAGCTGTCGCCTCCAAGGCCAGTGCGAAAGCGAAAGCGCATGATCTGGCTTCAGCAAAGTCCGATGCGCCAATGCCGCCATCGAGCCCGAAAGAAAGACACGCGAACAGGATGAAGACGCCTAAGTCAGCCGATGGACCCGATGAGAAGCCAGTCCGTGGAGCCGAACCACGCAAACTCCAACAATCAGTATCTCTCCCTTCGAGGGCAGCTGCCAACACGGGCGCGCGAGTGCCGCCTCATGCTCAGAGAAAGTCACGCCTCATTGATACTTTGGCGGCCCAGGCGAACGAGGATTCAGAACCCGACTCCGATCTTGACGAAGAACCGACACCCCGGAACCAGAGATTCGCCACGCCAGTTAATACAGAGGCGGAAGACATTGGTTCCGTCTCGCAAACCCCAAGTTCGCAACGCGTCAATAGGGCCGGGCCAGATACGTGGGCTAGATCCGCACAGCCTCTTATTTCCAGCAAGAAGGTCAAGCGGACATACGGCCATGTGCGGCGTATTCGTGAAGACGCAAACCACGGCGGTCCATTTGCCTTGGGCGGTGACCTGCTGAGCGATCCTTTGGTGCCGAGCCCACCTGGCTTCTCCAGTCCCGGACCTCCCCTTGACGATTATGACGTGGATGATGATGACGGGCTCGCCGTCAATTTCAAGAGCGTACACGAACTCAAGCGTGAAGGTGCAAATCACAGATTCACCGATGTCATGGACGAGATGCACCTGCGGATAGGGATTCCTACTGAGAAGCCATCTTCTCTACGACGCAACGCATTGCTTGAGCTGGCACAAAAACTCAAGGAACCTAGCTTCGCGGTTCAATTTCGAGATTCATCGATACGCGACGATTTGGCCCGCAGCATTGGAAAGGAGAACGACATTATAAGCGGATTCGCCATGGTGGCTGCGTTGGTTGTGTTTCTCTCGTCACATAGTGCACCTAACCTGCTGCAAAGGCTAGTAGAAGAGGGATTAGGAAAGCTCCTAGCAAGATTGCTTCAGGAAAAAGAGGACATCACGGATGTGGCGTCACGGAGAAGCACCAATCTTTCCAAGTCGACCAAGAGCACCGTGAGCAAGCTAGTCACCGAGATAAAGCGCATGAAGATTTGGCACGGTCTTGCTGTCAGCGCTATTACACCACGAACCTTGACCTTGCGGCTTCTGCAGGACCTGCAACATCGTGTCGATGTCAGACTCATGGCTCAAATATTCGAAGAAATTGAAGACAGACTGATTCTGGCAATGGAGGACGAAATGACAGGAGGATACGGGAAGCGCATCGACGGCATCCTAATCCTCCACATCTTACAGCATAGTACTAGCTACGACAACTCGCAGCTCACGTCACAACAGTTTGACCGCCGTGCGGCATGCTGCCTTCGCTTCTTCGAAGTGGCTTTGAAAAAGTGGCCGGACACGACAGCCGAGGCAGATACTGCCGTCTTGAAGTGGACTATTAATACGACAAACTCCGAGGCAGGCGCTGCTGTATTCGGTACATCTAAACTCTTGGACAACCTTGCCAGTTCGATACATGCAACACTGCGCCAGTCCTATGAGGCTAGTTACGAAGACATTGCCAGGGACGACAGGTTGCTAGATGTGCTGCCTTTGGCCATGTGTGTCATGATCAACATTATGGAGCACCACCCGCTCTCAAGGCGAAGTCTACAACGTGGGGCGTTGAAGAGCCTCGGAGGTCTATACTTCGAACTACGACCATCGATTGTAGATGCTGACACGGAGGCGAAATCCAAAGTCAGCGTTGCTGTTGGGTACCTTGCCATCATTCTCGGTTACTGTGCTCTAGAGGAAGGTGGGCGGAATATCATAACCGGCCAGGGCACAGACGACGGTGTTCAAGACATCACTGAAGCGATAGGTCACTTCGTAGCCTTGCAGCGCACTGTCGACGCCAGGGTACACGAACTTGAACACCTCGTCAGCGAGCTGCAGCAAGTGACTCGGAGAAGGAAGGCAATGTGAGCTTCTTTGCCTTTGTACGTTACGATACCATAGCCGATGACATGTTGGTTTACGCGGTCCCGGTATGAACAAGTTTATCTACTTGGCTAGGTTGGGATTCATAACAGCGTTGCTTTCGATGTACTACTTGATCTCGGGGATTGAGGGGAGGGGGATGGTGGGCCGAAGACGCTTCATCAATCTCAAGAAATCGTACTGGCCCCAAACGGCTCTCAATTACACTGATTCATTGCCACTTCGATTCTCGTGTATATATAACAGCTTTAGTTGGCTGCTGACCTGACATTGGCCTTCAACGTGGTCTTCTAGAGGTCCAGTCGAGTCCCATGTCTGACACGTGCAGGCTTGTGGTCGACGTCACGGCCTTCCAGGGTCCCTCACCCGTGATCGGATCTCGTCGCTTTGCACGGCCCCTCTTAATGCAAAGCTCCGACCTCCGTCCCACTGCCATCGATACTTTCCTCGCACCCTGTTAATTCCATTCATTTGTTACAATTAAATCCATTATCGTGACTTGAACATGCCTTCCGGCCCGAAACAGCGCAAGGTCGCCGTCGTTGGCAGTCGAGCCGTCGGTAAGGGCACAGCCCGTCCAATCCGACGACAGCACTCAATGTTAATGCTCACCAGGAAAGTCTTCACTCACAGTACGCTTTGTCGACGGCGTGTTTGTCGATAGCTACTATCCCACCATTGAGAATACCTTCTCCAAATTGATAAAATTCAAACAACAAGAGTATATGACCGAAATCGTCGATACCGCCGGGCAAGACGAATACTCCATCCTCAATTCGAAACACTTTATCGGTATACATGGCTACATGCTCGTTTACAGCGTGGCATCTCTTGCGAGTTTCGAGATGGTGCAGGTGATCCGGGATAAGATCCTGAATCACCTCGGGACGGAGAGTGTGCCAATCGTCATTGTAGGCAACAAGAGCGATCTGCGTCCGGAGCAGCGCCAGGTCAGTGCCGAAGAAGGAAGGAAGCTGGGGGAGAAGCTGGGCTGTGGCTGGACGGAGGCGAGTGCGGCGTACGATACCAATGTGAGCAAAGCGTTCGAGTTGATCATCGGACAGATTGAGGGTAGCCAGGCGCCAGGGGAGCAGCCGGCGAAGAGCAATTGCGTACTGATGTAATATGAGGTTGCACAAGGTGGAGTATATATGTAGGTTTACGCAGCAGAGGTTGCGCGAGAGGCAGGCCTCGGCATATGCGAGTGAGCGCTTGTGGTACTCATGGTGGTCGCGTTTTGGATACATTCCAAGGGTCACTTGGCTCAAAGTCTTGGGTCTTTCGGCGTCAGTCTACAGTGAAGGGACCAGGTTTCGTAATGGCATGCTTTATAGAAGATATGGAAGACGGTCGCCGTGCGTCGACGTGGCGCACCAACAATACGAAACCTGCATGAGTTGGCAATTAGAGCTTATGATATCGCAATCAACCAATGTCTAGTCCTAAGAGAGATTCAGGGTCGTTGTAGCTACCGCTGTAAGTCGTGATAAAGTAATCTCAAAACTTGGCGGGTCATGAACCTGATCATTGCACGGGGAGTCGAGGTCGAGGACCCCGCGCTAGAAGATAAAAGCCCCGCGTTGGTGGAGGGGGATTTATCAACGCCGGGACTTTGCGCGCGCAAAAAATTGAAGACACTGCCTATAACCCCACCGTTGTTTGCATCGACGACATTTGAGGTAAGAGGTTGAGGCACAGCTGAGATTTGTCTGAAGGTGCTAACAGATTCAGATACATCGTGTGAGTCAGACCCGTAGACGACCATTTCTCCAGTTCTTGCGTGAGCCGGAGCAAGCCTGCTCCTCCCAACCTCATCACATCCACTGCCGATTAAAATCAAGCCGACATGCTCGACGTGATCGATTTTATCAAGGAGCGCGGTGGCGACCCCGAGAAGATTCGCGAATCCCAGCGTCGTCGACACGCCCCCGTTGAGATTGTCGACGATATCATTGCCCTCTGGGAAGACCACCGCAAGACACTGTACGCCGCCACACAGTTCAACGGCAAGATCAACGACGTCCAGAAGCAGATTGGCGCCAAGAAGAAGGCCAAGGAAAACGCCGACGACTTGCTCCAGCAGAAGATTGCTCTCGAGAAGGAGAAGAAGGCCATCAACGACGAGGCCACCGAGAAGGATGCCCTACTGAAGAAAAAGGTCAAGAGTGTAGGCAACATTGTTGAGGACTCTGTGCCGGTCAGCAACAACGAGGATGACAATGTGGTCCAGAGAACCTGGGCACCAGAGGGTGTGACTGTCGAGAAAAAGCAGTGCCTCTCCCACCACGAAGTCCTTCTTCGCCTCGATGGCTACGACCCGGAGCGCGGTGCCAAGATTGTCGGCCACAGAGGTTACTTCTTGCGCCGATGGGGCGTCTTCCTCAACCAGGCCCTCATCAATTACGGTCTTGAATTCCTCGAGAAAAGGGGCTATACACCTCTCCAGACACCGCAGTTCATGCTCAAGGACTACATGGCCAAGACGGCGCAGCTGGAGCAATTTGACGAGGAGCTGTACAAGGTGTCAGACGGTGACCCGAAGATGGACAAGTACCTCATCGCCACCTCTGAGCAGCCCATCTCCGCCTTCCATGCCGATGAGTGGCTGGTCAACAAGGACCTTCCTATCAAGTACGCTGGCTACAGCACATGCTACCGCCGTGAGGCGGGTAACCACGGCCGTGATGCATGGGGCATCTACCGTGTCCATCAGTTCGAGAAGATTGAGCAATTTCTCTTGACGGATCCGGAGAAGTCGTGGGAAGCTTTTGAAGACATGATCAAGATCTCAGAAGAGTTCTATCAAACACTGGGTCTCCCGTACCAGGTCATCGCCATTGTCTCGGGCGCGCTCAACAACGCCGCTGCCAAGAAGCTCGATCTTGAGGCCTGGTTCCCCTTCCAGGGCGAGTACAAGGAGCTGGTCTCTTGCTCGAACTGCACTGATTACCAGTCGCGGGCTTTGGAGATCCGCTACGGCGCCAAGACACAGACCGACGTCAAGAAGAAGTATGTGCACTGCTTGAACTCGACGCTCTGTGCCACTACTAGGGCCATGTGCTGCATCCTGGAGAACTACCAGACTGAGGAGGTAAGTCCTTTTTGTCCTTTCATATCCTTCCCTAGTGTGTGCATTTGCTGACGTTGTAGGGTCTTAACGTCCCTGAGCCGCTGCGCAAGTATCTGCCCGGTGCGCCCGAGTTTATCCCGTACGCGAAGGAATTGCCCAAGGACTCCACGTCCACTAAATTGGCGAAGCGAGAGAAGAATGCAAAATAGACCAGGTAGAACCGTGACACAATGTCGCCACAGCCGACGTTGCTCTCATGAAAGAAGACGACACAGAATTGGTGAATGGTCACAAAAGCCTCAATATATACGTGAATGTGGTATTGGTGCATATCGGGGCGGCGTCCAACGGCATCACCACGGAGTCCATGTAGGCCAGAACAAATGTACGCGTAGGTATCTTGCCAAAATCTGATAACGTGATTGATAAGCGAATGTCCCAGACAAGCGAATGTCCCACAAATCGCAACACCACGAACAAGATCGTCAATTAACACACAAAAGATCATTCAATTAGTTCAAACTAATCGCTATGCGCATCTCTAGATGCCTCTATCTTAGCCTAACATGTTCGTGAATTATGGCCGGCCTTCCCGCACGCACTACAATGCCTTATACCTAGCTGCACCGACCTTGCCCGACCACCTCTCCTTGACTATTTAGCTGCTACCTGCGAATCTATATCCTTCTGATCAATCAATGCTTGACCTTCCTCTACTGTCATAGTCCCTCCATTCCGTAGGCGGGTCTTTTTCTCCCTCCGGCGCCGGCTAAGGATATGGTTAGTATCTCGAAGATCCCGGACCTCCATCCTTAGTAACGCTATCTCGTGCTGATGTGCCTTTAAACCCTTAGTTATTAATATTATAGTATTAATTATTAATACTGGGGAGCTACTCTTGTGTCTCCTGATTCGCTATTTAAGGTAGGCAGACTGAGATTCAGTCTCCTTGATCGTCTTAGGGGTCTTTGAGACCTAAGGGTCAGGAAGCTCTAGAGTCCCCTCGGGAGGCGTTAGAGTGTGTAGCTTCATATCTAGCTTTAAGATCACATATTCTGTATCTAGAGGGGCAATTCCAGCTCCTCTAAAGCCTCCCTTGATATTGCTTTCGGTTATCGTGGCTCGGAATACCGCGTGGAAGGCATAAAGGAACTCAGTCTTTGAAACGTGTGTTATAGAGCATTTAATTAGATACTCGATTTCTCGACCGTATGCCTTTTTAAGCGGCCTAAAGTAGCCTATATTAAGAGGCTGGAGTAGGTGAGACGAATGAGGAGGTATATAGAGCGAGATAATCTTATTCTCCTTGTAATATGCCTCGAACTCGGTAGAGTGGTGGCTTTTATGCCCGTCGAGGATCAGAAGACGATAGGCACTATTCGATCGCTTCTCTATATATTAATTAAAGTACTTTAGCTATAGGAGACCCGTAGCATTATCGGTCTAGCCGTTTTTCGTAGTTGCGATAGCCTAATTGCCAGGGAGAGTGCTTTCTTAATACCAGCTTAAGAGGTAATATTGGCCTGTAATAACGATAAACGGCGGCGCTGCCCAGCCCTGCGTAGAGATCGATTAAATAACTATAACCTATTCCCGGTTTCTAGGCTAGACTCTTTTCGGGTTCCTACGCCTTTCTGCGCCTATAATAACTATACCGCTTGTAATAACGCCTATTATAAAGCCTGTCTCGTCGAAGTTATGGATATCACCTGATCGGATGCCATACTTCGCGATTATATTCGCTATAAGTCAAAACCACGCGTTTATAGCGACTAGATCTTCGTATTTGGCCCTCTGGTAGTTATATCTACGAAAGAAACGCGTCTTAAGCTCTAGTTACTGCTTAATAAAATTCCCTGCCTAGCGCTTGCCGACGGGTGACGCGTCGCGGTCGACGCGCAATAGATTGGCCATTTCTTTAACACCACTGATCCGAGGTGAAAACCCTCGCGAATCTAGATTAATTATATACTTAACTAGCTTCTATTCTTCAAGATCGGATAGTTTCCGCGAATTGGCCATAATATCGCTTCGAGACTGTATGCCCTGTCGACGGCGGCCTAGCTTCTTCCTACATACCTGGTAGATCTGGGCTGCGCGTCGCACGCTTAGCTCTGGGTCTTTTTGAAGGGCTTGAAGGGCTAGATTGATACTAGCCTCATTATTTAGGACTGGCATGCTTGGTTGTTGGGGATCAATTGATCAAATGATGATAGTGTGGGAGGATCGATTTGTGGGACATTCGCTTGTCTGGGACATTCGCTTATCAATCACGTTATGCAAAATGTCAAACCCGAGAGCCTATTTGTCTCACTCGGTTGATCCACTGCGTCAAGTTCACTGGGAGTGTGGCGGTGTGCCATAGTGCACAAAGGCGGTGCAAATACCGTACGTAAATAACCCGGTTGCGCAAACGGATTCAGAGTCCAGACCTGAACTCGACACTTCCCAATTGACAGTCTCGCATATAGCGACAACTCCCCCCCAGTCATGATAGCACTAAACACCGAATGCGCAATATGAGCGGCACGCGTGTTTGCCCTTGGTGCGGCTTCATCCCCCAAACCGACAAGGAGTATGAGTTCTTAATGGTACTGAATCTTTGCCGCTTTGCTCGAGACATTGTGGACTGAAGAAAACCAAGCATATAGAGACCGAGCATCCAGATTCACAGCCTGGGAATGGGTCGCTGAGCAGAGGCCCTGAACCTTCACCACCGCGTCAAAGCGCTTCACGGAAGAGCTCGCCAACTCAACTCCTTAAAAAGGGTTCCCCGGAGAAATCCCATTCTAATCTCAATGAGCATTGGAAGGCTTTCTTCTGTGGCCACCAGACAGCTTCGCAGAAACCATCCCCTCGCGTACGTCATACATTGAAAGCGTCGCATAAGGATGGCAAGGCTGAAGAAAATACCGAAGGCTCTTCTTCGGACACGAAACGTCCAAAGCTAGGGGTATGGGAGTATTTCAAGCGTTTCCTTTAGAATTCTTGCTGAAGGGATTGCAGAGATCAGATCTTGGTCGGCATCACCGCGAAGACCAAATGCCATCCTCCCTACGAACCCTTCTCGAAGAGAGGCGAGGTTACTTCTCGAACGGTATCATTTCCGTGCTGCAGAAGCTCCTGCAAGCATCAAACACGACGAGCGCAGCATGGCTTTGCAGCCCTCATGTGACGCACGTATCGAAACTCTCGCAGGAAGGCTCGTTCTGCGGCTACAGGAATATTCAGATGCTTTGCTCGCATATCATCAACTCGGGCAGTTTTGGCGCGGTCAAATTTGGAGACCAGGTACCGAGTATCTTCGACATCCAGGAACTCATTGAGAACGCATGGGATGAAGGCATTAATGCACGAGGGAGGGACGAGACGGGTGGGATCCGCGGGACAAGGAAATACATTGGAACTCCAGAGGCACAAGCCATGTTCACAAGCTTGCAAATACCGTTTGTTCTTGCCCCAAAGAAGTTCCTCTCTCGTTACTAATTTGCTTAGCTGTTCGGTCAATGCCTTTAGGACAAAGGATTGCGCTGAAGCAAGGGCATTGCTTCTCGATTATGTCCAACAGTACCTCGTACAGGGTGCCGGCGAGGATACATCAAAAGTACGAGCGACAACCTTACCCCCGATATATTTCCAGCACAGAGGACATTCTATGACGATTGTTGGTCTAGAGAGACTGAAGAACGGATCACGCAACCTCATTGTCTTTGATCCTTCGTACAAAGACTCGACAGTCGTGGCTGGCTTACGTGGTAAAACGTACACTAGCGGTGGAAGAAGGGCAGATTTCCATTTGCAATCGTATCGAAAGGGTACCAGCTACTTGCGACGGCACAACGAGTTCGAAATCCTAGTGTGAGTCTATCTCATTGCATGTATCTGCCGCACAGGTTTGCTGACACTGTGTAAGTACGACGATGGAAACACCCGGAGCTTGATTAGTTCAGCGTTGTGTTCTCCTCGTTGAACCATTCCTGCAGCTTCTTCAGAGCTATACCACGGTGGGAGATGGCGCTCTTCTCGGCCTTTTCCATCTCAGCGAAGCTATTCGCCCTGGTGAGCATATGATATGGCGTTCAGTCCCCGAATTAGACTTACGTTTTGCCATTGTATTCGAACACTGCATCCCAGCCTGTAAAGGGTCAGCCATATGGATCGGTCCGGGGCAGGTCAAGTCACCAAAATCGGCAGGGCCTCGAGCTGGCACAATCGTGCCCTAACAGGTTTCAGTGGAAAACTCTTGACACAGTTCATTGCAGAGGAGAATACCTGGCAGCGTCCTTGGAAGAGGATAGGCTCCTGTGCTGGACCTTCACAGTAGCCGAAAGTGCATACGGCCTCGGCAGACTTGTCTTCGTACGCAGCAAGCAGATTGTTCAATCCGTCGTGGCCAACAGCCGCCATGAACCATTTTCTGTCCCAGTCAGTGATTTTTTCTCTTTTTATCCACCGGGAAGCCTACATGTAGGGGCCGGGAAGGTCACCAAGCGCCTTATAGCAGAGCGCGGTGTCTTCTACTAGCACAGGTCCGTTCACCTAGGCGCATCAGCCCAAGCCATCCTCGCGTGTACATACGCAGATAGGGAGTCAACACACAGTCTCAGCGGCTTTCTTGCACTTCGACTTGGTCACCTCCTCAATGGTCCCCTGGACCTCTTCAATGTCAATGCTCTGGCTGCGGACTTCGATGCCCGCCGGATCGAGAACGAACTTCACCTCGCGGAGTTTGTTGGCGTTGCCGGTGATAAAATTTAAGTGAGATGGCATCTTGCTTGGGTATTTCCAGAACGTTATGCAAAATCGTCTTATCTCGGTTGTTTCTTGGACGACCTACGTATTGGGTATGCGCCGTGTGAGTCAGGTGAAAGATGCTCAACCCAAACCCCGCTTGATGCATACTCAGAAGCTACGTCTAGGTTGAGCTCCACCCAGTGTACGATGTCGATTCCCTTACAAATGTTCTCACTGATTAATTACGTAGGAAAGACTGGAGAGATGTGGTTTTGCATGGGATGACCCTACCTACTTGCGTCCGGTTGGTGTCCAGCCAAACGACAGCCAAAACGCATGGCTGACTGTAGTCGCTTGCCTGCCCAGTGCCTTAGTCCTCATACCAGGTCCCCCACAAGCTGTCCTCTCAGATTTTGTGCATGCCGAAAATTTCAAAGGTTGCCATCTCTCTTGATTGGAAGTCTACCTACCTTAAGTCTGGGCCGGCGCATTGCCTTTATGGTCCTCTTTCCATTGCTTCACCCACGCCTCAATCCGCTCCACGTTCGCATCCATCTCCTCCGTTTCATCGCTCCTCAATTCTACCACAATCTCCTCGTCGTAGCTGTCTTTGGCCTCCTGCAATAGGACCTCCATAATCTCCGTGTCCATGTTCTCTTGGAGCTTGGCGTCTGGGTAGTTGCGTGCAGTGAGACGGTCGTAGAGTGTGGTGCTGTCTGTGCGAAGGACGACAACTAGGTCGATCCAGCGCTGTGGGAAAAGGTCACAGGCATGCCAGTCGAGAATACAGCCCCCGTCTGCCACCTCCTTCTCGAGCTCATCCAATAACTGTTGTTCGTCAGCGTCGTGCTGGCGGATGACCGGGACATGGTTGAATGCGCAGAGTCCCACTCACCTTGTCCTCGTCGACAATCCAGCTTTGGAACTCATCGTCCCAACCTTCGTGGCATTCTTTGTCCTTCACTATTTGGTTTACTGAGATATGGCGGAAGGAAGGTATGCGTTCCGCCAAAAGCTCACAATGTGTGGTCTTGCCTGTACCCGGGGTACCCGTGACCACGATGTTGGGGTTGGTGCGTGTACTCATGTCTCCGGTGATATTCGACGGTGCAACGCTCGTTCAATGTTAGAGAGCCGTTTGGGGTGAGAAGCGTTCGAATTGTCAAGCTCAAGTACGTACTTCAAGGCAAAAAATGATGCCCCACTTATTAATAGGACACTGAAATCATTCGGTGTGTCGACGAAAGACCAGCTCCCCACAGGAAGGCTACAGTAACACAGATATATCGCTATGCTCATTGACTGTCCAAGTTGGTAGGTCTTCTGGTCTAATTGTATTCTTACTCTCGAACGCATCCAATTCTACGGGGACATGCCAAAATCCTCATCCTCAACCCCTATGTTCCGCTACATCCCGCATCCGACCAAGTAAAAGAACATGGCATACTCTAACAGCAGAGGACCCCAGCCTCACATCTCTATGCCATACAAACGTGTAGATGACTTGTCTTCCGGAAGCATTAATCTTCCGGCTCACCCTCGTCCACCTCTTCTAATACACTGTGCCCCTCGAGACTGTCTCCATTACTGCCGCGTTCCTGCTGCGCCATGGCCTGGGCTGAGACGATCTCCGCCAGGCGCTTGAGACGCGGCGTCTGTAGCCATGAAGGGGTGTATGTCTCCAAAGCTGTGATTGAGCGAGGCTCCGCGATCTCATATGGGCCGCTGTCTTCCATATCGACCGCCTGGAGGAGCAGTACATCGCTCTTCTCGGTCACGCGCGAAGCAACGGCCTTCATGATCTCGCCATTGATGGGCTGCTCGTAATCGGCCACGAGGTACTGGTTCAGCAACTTCTGGATCTGTGAGGGTGAAAGCCTGCGTTGTTAGCATAGGTCCAAGTGCGAATTGCGTGGTTGAAAACTTACATCCAGCAAATGTCCTGGATAATCTCAATGTCATTCAGTGTTGCCTTCTTCAGCTGCAGCAGCTTCGTAGCCTGCATAAGATGCTCCAACTGAAGCGTGCCCTCAGGCATGTCGTGACTTTTGCACCACTCCTCGATACGAGTGATGTTATAATTGATTTGCAGGCCTCGCTTCCAGGACAGGAAGTTGCGGCGCATCAAGAGGTCGTTGAATGCTGTGACACCGACGAGGCGCAGAAGCTCGGTCACTGTTTGGGTGATGATGGCGTCCTCCAAGTAGTACGCCTTCATAGCCCTGAAGACGTTATTCAGCAAACTCAGCAAGTTGTCCATGCTGTACGCCGGGGCCGAGTTAGACTGCAGCAGTTTCCCAAGAAAGCGACTGCTCTCATTGGTGATGAAACCTGGCAGAGATTGCGACTCGATGATCGCCGGAATAACCATCTTGTGCAGCTTCTTCTTGAGCACCTTCATCCATGTATGATAGATGTTGAACTCGAGACTCTCCAGGTCGTGCTTGACAATCTCCAGGAGGCGATCGTACTCATAATTGTCCGTCTTCTGGGTCTCGTACCAGTCTTCGGCCAAGAATACAAACGACAGCATCTCGTGCACATTAGACAACCAGAAAGCGCCTGGGTTGACAGCGTCGTCGCCATCGTGCTGCATGACCTCTTGCTGGATCGACTGCATCACATTGGCGAGGAAGCGTTCTGATTCCTTCACGAAGCCGTTGTTCCACATCTCGGACGTGACCAAGTTGATAAGGTAAGAGGGGAATAACACTTCCTTGTCAGAAGGAGGAGGCGTCGTGTTGGGCGAGGGTATCCTCAAGTTGCGAATCAGACCCATGGTGACTTCCTCGTTCAGACCGTCTTCATCTGCCAGTAGACCCTCAAGCTCCATCTCGACGTTATCGAGGCCGGGCGTGAATGTTGTGCCAGACAAGTTCTGGCGATGCGCAGTGCCAGTCACAGCCATAGATACCGGTCGAGGATTGTACGCTCCACTCATGCGATCGGCCTGGATGGGCTCGGCGCCAGCGCTGCGACGCTTGGGCTTCTTGGAGGCTACCAGGTTGATAAGGCCGGCGCCAACCGGCGCAGCTGGCGCAGCGCCATTTGTAAGCTCCCCATTGACAGGAGCATTCCTTTTGGCGAGCTCCAGTGCGTCGCGAAGTGCTTCCAGCTCCTGTCGCAGACTACTATTGTCTTTCTCGTGTTGCCCACTGATGCGTTTAGCATCCTCCAGTTCAGTGCTGGACAGACGTAGTGACTCCCTGAGCTCGCGCTCTTCTTCTTGCATCCGCTTGATATTGACAGTCGATTCGTCAAATGCAGACTGGAGCTTCTTCATTTCGTCCTCCATTGCCTGTAAACGAGCAACGGCGATACCGGCCTGGTTGGCCTCCGTCTGCAGCTCCTTCGTCCTGGCCTCGAGTGCGTTGTGCCGGCTCTTCCACGATTTGATTTGGCTTTCATAGTTGTCCACCTGTGACGCCAGATTCTTATTCTTCTCCTTCATCGAGCCCAGGGCTTGAGTCAGCTCCACCACCTTGTTCTCCAGCTTGTACGAGATCTGCTTTAGATCACGAGCTTCTTCTCGCATGCCCTTGTACTCCTTGCGAGCCTGTCGACCACGCCACAGACTCTGGACCAGACAAACTTTCCTGCGATATTGTCTCCATGTCTGCAGCGCACTTCTCGATCTCCAAGCCCTCTGGATAATGAGGGCAGCATTGCCAACCCTCGCTTCCATGATTTGCTTCCTGCGCAGGTAGCCCTTTGCAACGGACTCGAAAACGATGAGATCCTTGCGAATGACGTGGTACGCCTTGCGCTGCTTCTGACCGCGCCAGACACGCTGTATGGTCGTGGCAGCCCGGATGGTGCGCAGTTCTCGAGCATGTCTCCGGGCGATAAATGCCCTCACAGCAGATTGAGTCTGAACAATGGCCTCACGGGCCTCCAAGTAACGACGCCTGTAGTACTTGGCCTTCAGATTCTTCTGTATCATGATGGCGCATTCGTTCAGACGGTTTGTGCGCAAGTTCTCAAGGAAGGCCAGCATACCGGCACGGAAGAAGATCTTCGTCAGACCGAGCTGATACTTGTCCATGCCCTTCTCGGAACTGGTGCCAAGCGCCTTGGAGAGGATAGCATCGGCCATTTGACGAATTTCAGACGTCCATCCACTGGATTGAACGAGCATGTAATAACGAAGAGCAAACTCTTCATATGTCCATCTCGTCGGGTAACCCGCACAACTGATGCGCACAGTTTCCAGTACACCGCAGGCACGCAACTGACTCAGCACCATGGGGCCTTCAAACTTCCACGCCTCCTTGGCCTCATTTGGCTTGATGCAACGGATGTAATGGACGTCCGTGTTGTTGATGGTGTGCATGAGCTCGATAAGTGACGACCTGAAAATGCCTCCCAGTGTTGGCTTCCGGTTGACAGCCACGCCGATCTTCCTACCAGCAGCGGGCTTAACAGCACTGGACGACGACGACGAAGCGACATCCTTTTCGCGCACTGCTGCGGCGGCGTCGAGGACTGTCTTCAGGAACTCGTTTGAGGTAGCACGCAGCACTGAAAGCTGCTCATCAGGCACAGTGTCGCGGTTCTTGTCAATAAACCCGTCTGATTCATAGGTGACATCCACAGCATAATGGCACACGGTGAAAGCAGACTTCCCGAAGCGAGGCTTCTTGAAGAACTTGTGCTTATTATCACCAAAGTTGTTGTGGAGCTTCATGGCGAACTGCTCATCGGAACCCATGGGTAGGCGCGATTCTTCGTCGAGAAGGGACAGAATACCCATCTTGCCTTCAATCAAGTCGATGCACGGCTGGTTATCCGAAAAATCGATAAACGTCCAGTCAATCTGCTCCCGGAGATACTCCTCCTGCTCAAGTTTGAACACGTGCTGGTTGAATTCCTGCTGGAGCTTCTCGTTGGCGTAGTTGATGCAGAACTGTTCAAACGAATTCTTGGCAAAGTGCTCAAAACCGTAGATATCCAGCACGCCAATGAACGAAACAACGCGACTCAGAACTTCCTCGGTGGCAAGACTTTGGTTGATCACGTCCACGAGCCAGTCAAACAGGCTGGAGTAGATGAACTTTGCTACCGAGTCTCGCACGACGATGGCTTGAGCCTGGTTCAGGTTGGACGTGATCTTCTCACCACGTGTGATGAGTTGCTTCTTCACGATCCATTTCGCGAAGTCAGCGGCATTGACGCCTAAGATGTCGCAAGCCTTCTCCAACGAGGGTTCGTTTGGTGCAAGGACACTGTCGTTTCGCGATGCTGTGATCTTGACATTGCCTAAATGCAAAAGAGCAGCTAGAATCCTGAAGATCGAGTGCTGCTGATCCTCTGGCACACCAACTGTAGTTAATGACTTTTTCGTTGCCTCAAATTCCGCCTTGTCATCAACGCCATCGATCGTTGGTGACTGCCCCTGGTTGAGGTATTCGAATTGGTCCACCGGTAGAATGTTTAGTTCCTCGCGCTGTTCATCCGAAGCACCAGCGACGAGTTGGTAGAAAATGTGGTAGTTGCGCTCCTTCAGCGGCTGGAAAACGAGACGCGAACGCTCCAGCAAGTAGGTACGGATCTTGGCACCGATAATGTTGGTTGCCTCATCGAACATGATCTCGATGTACTTTCCAAATCGCGAGGAGTTGTCGTTTCTTGTTGTCTTTGCGTTACCGAAGGCCTCCATGATGGGGTTAGTCGCAAGAATCTGCTCCTCTGTCTCGCTCATAGATTCGTTACCGCGTTTAGTCCGGCCGCTCGGGTTGTCGGGGGACTCTCGTGTTGCAAAGTATCGCATAATATACTTGGCGCTGACAGTCTTTCCGGCACCCGACTCGCCAGACACAACGATCGTCTGGTTCTTCTTGTCGCGGATCATGTCGATAAAAGCCTCTTCTGCAATGGCAAACAGATGAGGGGCTTGTGTCGCACGCTGCCTTCCGGCGTACACCTGAACCATGCCCGGGACATATAGAGATTCGACGCGAGCAAACGGGTTGGTGGCGATGAGAACGATACCAGAGTACGTATAGATCTCTTTCTGCATATATCGGAGCCGGATCGCTTGGAGCACTGGGAGCGGTTAGCAACGTCTGAGGTCCAGAGATCCTACACATACCGGCCGGCTCGTTGAGATGTGAAAGGTTCGTCAAATCATCGCTCGCTTCAAGCATGGCGGGATTCATCAACGGTGGCAGGGCCGGATCGTTGCCTTTGGTGAGAGCCTCCTCTGAGACCTCGATCGTTTTCTCCTCGTCATTCTCGAGCTTGAAGACCAGCGTCGCCTTTCCGCCATCAACAGACCTGCTGATAAGCTCAGACGCTACCCAGCCTTCGGCAGCATCAGGCTGCCAAGCTCTCGTGCCGACATCATATGTCGATGCCATCTGGGGCGACGCCCAGTTATCTCTAAGACGCTAGAGTGTGTGTGTGCGGTTGGTGCAACGGTTGGTTGTCGGTCTGCTGGAGGCGGAATGGGTAACGGAGGTCATGAGCGAGGGAAGCTCGTGTTCTCGTGGGAATTCGTAACGGCGTCAGGGAAAAAAGAACGAAGCGGTGTCCAACACTGTCAAATCAGCTCTCCGTTGTCGCAACAAGATGGAGGCGGCAACGACCGTGTCAGAGACGATGGACTCGGAGTGTCAACAACGTTGCTGATGGGGAGACAAGGAAACTTTTGGGAAGCTTGCTCTCCTTTGCTTCTGCCAGGAACAGCACAACGGGATACGGTCTCTGTCGGGACGGACAAGGGGTTGAAGCCTTTGGGGTGCTTGCCTCAGGAAGTTAGGAGGATCCACGCCACATGCAAGCTGCCGGGCTAGAGGCGGTGGAGACGCCAAAATAAATAGGTAGGGGACCACACTGCCGGGACGTGTGCAGTGAGTATTCAATTCTGTCCATACGGAACCAGCTTTCCCCTGGCGCGCCCCCTGAGTCCGGGCGGGCTTCTACCGCCTAAGCCTCTGGAGTATAAGGTAAGTAAAGCTCAGGCCCCAACCCCCTGAGCGCGAACCTTCGCGTCACGTCGGGACCAAGCCAGCCTCTCTCAGAATTGCCGCATCAACGCACGTAACTCACAACCCGGACTTCCTATTAGTCGAACGGTGTGTCCGGGTTCTCAAGGGCACTAGATTTGTTTGCCACTTTTTCTCACGAGGCTGACAGGTCCTTCTGGCAGGAATGTACCATTGGTTGAACAAGTTAAAATGCAACCCCGAGGAACGCCTCCGATATATGCAACCCAGGCTTTCCGAAATTCGACTTGTTGAGGCCGCAGCACCCAGATACTTTTTTTTCCCGTCCTTAACGTTGTTGAGTCGCCAAGGTGATGACATGTACTCCCCTGTCGCAAAGAATCTAGTAAAGAACACGTGTAAGAATGCGAGCTGCGTAGTATGGTTAGTAAGTAATGTCTTGTGATGATAAGATGCAAACACTTACAGCTGAGGCCCTCCAAGCTCTCGTACAAATCTTTGATCTCCCCAACTTGGACTTTGCTGATGTCTGCCATCAGATAGGCCACATCGCCGCGGTTGTCGCTGATCTGTTTGTCGACGTTGTGGTCGCCCAGAATCTCGTTGACGCGGCGCAATACACCAGGCACGTTCTTGTGAATGTAGATGACGCGTGCAGTATTTTCCTCTTCCAGTGTCAAAGAGCGCAGCTGTACCTCGGGGAGATTGACGCTGCCGAGAGTAATGCCCTGGTTGATGTAGCGTACGAGGGCTTCGCTAACCTCAATACCAATCGCACGCTGTGCCTCTTCCGTGCTGCCGCCAATGTGAGGTGTCAGGATGATGTTGTTCAGGTTGCGCAACTCGTCGCCCCAAGAATTGAGCGTGGCGTTGAAATAATCGCCATTGGCCGCAGGCTCATGGGGGTACACGTCAAGCGCAGCACCAGCCACCTGGCCGCCGTTCATTGCCTTGATCAAGGCGGCAATGTCCACAACGCTGCCTCGGCTGGCATTGATGAGGTAGGCACCAGTCTTCATCTGCTCAAACTGCTTTGTGGAAATCATATTGCGTGTCTCGGGCAAGTCTGGCACATGGAGTGTGACGAAGTCGGCCTCGTTCAGAAGGTCGTCGAGAGTAGGCACTTGTCGTGCCGTACCTAGCGCCATCAACGTAACGACATCGTAGTAGATGACATTCATACCCATCGCCTCTGCCAAGACCGACAGTTGCGAGCCAATGTGTCCGTAGCCAACAATGCCGAGCGTCTTGCCGCGGATTTCCCAGCACTTGGCACTGACCTTGTTCCAAGTGCCACGGTGCATCTCGTTGGAGCGGTCACCTAGTTGACGGGCAAGGACGATGATCTCGGCAATCACTAGCTCGGCAACAGAGCGCGAGTTGGCGAATGGGGAGTTGAAGACAGCGATGCCATGGCGAGCAGCATAGTCAAGGTCGACCTGATTTGTGCCGATGCAGAAGCAGCCTACCACAAGAAGGTTGTTGGCCTTGCTGAGGACCTTCTCAGTAAGCTTGGTTTTGGAGCGGATGCCAATGACATGTACGTCCTTGATTTTTTCGATGAGCTCGTCTTCGGGTAGTGAGGTCTTGAGAGCCTCGACCTGGTAGCCTTGTTTTTTGAGAATCTCCTGTCCAGATTTGTTGACGTTTTCGAGGAGGAGGATCTTCACGTCTTGGGTGTTGAAGGGCTTGAGCTGTTTCTCGGAGGCAACCCGTTGTACCAGAGGACCAGGCCAGCTACCTTGGGAGGCTGATGGTGTATGGAATGTGGCCGAGGGCGAGGTGGAGAGCTGATGGCCGAAGCTCGTGGAAACAGCTCTTTCGCTGTTTGAAGGCGTGGCCCTGATGTCTTGAGGGGGGCTCATCGTGGTGTAAGGCGATGATCAACTGTTGGAAGAAGGGAATGGTATAATTGGAGTCGATCGACCTGAACTTCGACGTTGGCTTGATATAACAGAGAACGAGGACGAGTTTGCGAATGAGAGAATTACTTAAGTACGTTGCCAGCAGTAAAACGTATGACAGCTGCGCTCGTGGTGGGTGCTGGATTTCGGGCGACCCTGTGCTAATTCGAGGACTATCCAGTCACACTTCACCGTCAATACAGCGACAAGAGGAGCGTTTGAGTCACGGGCCTAGCCCGGAATCGAGTAAAATTCTTTCTGTGGCCGTCGCGACCCTTTTTGCGAATAACGGCGACAGATCAGTCTTTCGCCCCGCGTCATAGTAGGCTCGGTCGGGTATCGGATGGAGGGGCATTGTTCTACATCAGTAATTACTGCGATGATTGGATATTGGTGGGGCAAGTTGAAGGGTCCATTACGCGACCGGTCGTTGATTTCTGCCATCTAACTTAAGTAATTACCATTTCCCGACGCTGTCAAGTCTGACTGTAAGTAATGATGTTGACAGACATGAGGATGTACCGCACTTCAGAAGAAGCAAGACGGGTGCAACAAGAAGAAGAACAACAACAGTATCTCGAAATCGATGATGGCTTTGGATAACACTACGTACCAGATGCTGGCAAACAAAGTGCTAGTGGATGGTGCCAGCTAGCGCCTGCCAAGACACTGGCACCACCCTGATTTCCTCATGTAGCAATACCGCATGTTGCTGCAGCTGCATGCAGTCACAGTTTCGCCAGCCGGACATGGAGCAACTGGAGCGACACGAACATGGCATCACTCCGCTGATTGATCATCGAATTGTCTGTTGTGCACGTGTATGCACGCATTGAGGTCGATTTAGTGGAGTATTCCGGAGATTGCTCACGGGGCGGTAGCGATTACTTCTATTACTGAATTGCCGTCATCACAGACTTATACTACATCCTATTACATGCTCAGAAAGGAAGACCATACCACGTTTGTAAAACGCATCGCAAATAAATCCACGAGACAAAATCAAGCAGCGAGAGTACCGTCTAATAAACTCGCATCGTATCAAATAGTGACCTCGAAAACGCACGTCATGCCTTTCTGTTTTTTTGTGCTCCTCTGACCTTCCTTCGGGGTCATTTCCTGAAGCGACCCCTGGATAGTCCTGCTTGGGAGCTCTTCCTTAGGCATATCCCCGAGTGTTCCTAACATCACAGCTCGAAAAGTTCTTCACTTCTGTGTGCCGCTTGTCGTTTAGCTCTGTTTGCACTCGGCGGCTTCTTGCCTAGGCTTGCCTGAGCCGTCCTGCCTCATGTTAGCTGGTCTCTTACGGTGCGTCACAAGGGAACTGACCTCTTCGTCAGTCTCCTCATCTTCGTCCGCGTCCTCGCTGAGGTCATCGTCGTCGTCATCATCAACGTCGTCAAAACCATCGTCGGAGCCAAGATCCTCATCGTCGATTTCCTCGTAGGCAAGAGCTGCGCCAGTGAACCAGTCGATGGCACGAGGAATCAGCTTCTCCTTGATATCCTCGCCCAATTGATAGTCAAACTCAAGACGCTCCTCAATGTCCGATGCGACGTCCGCGTCGTCATCCTCTTCATCCTCCTTAGGAGGCTTGGGAGGCGAGAAGAACAAGAAGAATGATTCGCATGGCACCGTCCTCTTCACGATACGGGTCTGTTTTGTAGCTACATGGTTGTCAGTGACTGTCAGGCTGCGATTCTCGGTGCCCTTACTCTTGTTTCGCTGCTTCTTGGCCTCAACGCGGACGGTGAGGTCCTGAGATGGCTTCCAGTCGATGGCGTCTCCCTCGGCATGGTCATAGATGAAGTCGCCGCCGTAGCCCATCTCGCTCTGGTAGTAGTATGTCTTGGTGAGAGTCTTATTCGAGAAGAAGTCGTTGGGAGAGAATTCGAAGATGATGCGGAAGCCGGGCACGTCCAAGTACTCCATTCGGATATCGGTCAAATGTTTGAGAGCAGCCTCGTCACGGTCGGTGATCATCTCAGCAAACGAGACCTGGTTCTTCATGGCTGACAGCCAGAACTCTGGAATACCGGAGACATCCTCTGGCATCTCGCTCTTCTGCTCGGTCTTGGCGGCATCGGCTTCTGGCTTGTCCTCGTCTTCCGCGTCGTTGTTTTCGTCGTCCTCGGCAGCCGCCTTGACTTCCTCCTCCGTAGGCTCAGTAGAACCGTTGACAATCTCGGCACGACGGTTATACAAGGGCGTGAACTTGCCGAAGTACTTCTTCTCGAGCTCGAGGACCTCCTGCTGGAATTCGGCCTCGAGCTTGGAGTGTTCCTTCTGCAAACCCTTGAGACCATCGACTCGGCGGCGGACAGTAGCGGGAAGGGACTCGACATAGCCCGAGGAGCGGCCAACAAGGGAACCCAGACGACCCTGGATCATCTGGACGAGCTGGGGGTTCTGGGCAAAGATGGAGGCCGCAGCGGCGCGCTCCATATCATCTATGAACGTTAGCTGAACCATGCAAATATTCTGATGCATTCATAGCTGCGCACCTTCTCGGATGCTCGACACACCAGGCTGCTGAGCGTGCGATGAAATGGGCGCGTTGGTGGCAGGCGTGTTCTGGGGGGTCCTAAGGTGGGGTAAGATCAGTATCGTTCGTCAGTAATGGGCGTCTCGAAGCTTACGGAGCAGTCGCCTCAGGGCGCTTTCCACGGATGGGTTCGGCCATGTTGATAGATTTGATACTGAATATGTAGTTGTAGGTGGAACAACAGCGGTCGGGAAGGGGGCGGTGGTGAGGTGTGGGAGAGTGAAGGAGAAAAAGTGAGGTATGGAGAGAGAGGCGGTAGGGCCCTTGACGCTGGTCCCGCCGCCTGAGCTAGAACAGAGCAGAGCCACTGGCACCCAGCCGGCCAGCAGAAACCGCTTTTGCCGTTTTTGGTGGGGGAACACCCCTCAGGTACTACTAACCCAGACGAAAAAATTCAAACGGCCTGTCGGGGCAGCACGCAGCAGCCTGGATCTGCTGTTTTGGTGCGCCAGGCTTCGGAGCTAACGCTTTGCAGGTTGTGTTTCTTGTTGAGAATCTAGAACGCCGTAAGTGGTGTGTGTACACGTCTTCGATCCGGCGCTCATTTCTTGCTGAAATCAATATACACCAGACGTAACGAAGGTGCATTTTTCCTCCTCACGTGTTTTGATGCACGTCTCACAGTAACAGATCAATTGAGCCACGATACATATATACATCTAACTTGGCCACATGCCTTCCAAATTCACGTACAATGCTTCTTTGTTGGGCGGTCAAGGGACCAAATGCATGCATGCGGAATTGAGCAAAATCCCAAAAGAAAATGCAGATCTGACTGGTACACTATTAACTGGTTGATCACTGTCTCCTCCAGATAGTCGACAAAAGATATCGAACCTGCCATCTGGCACCGGAGCATATGTGAATAACTTACTTTCACATGTCACTTTGTTTTCTGCTGCTTCATCTCTACGCGAGTGTCAAGTGTCCATTGTGATAGCCTGAGCGCAGCAGAATCTTGTTTGTAGGGTAGCCAAGTCCGTACCCACGCGCGCTCATGTACGTAAGTCGCGAGAAAAAAAAGACCATTGACGTGCATAGTCAGATCACAGTTCGTGCATTAACGTTAAGTGTGCCGACTATTTCTACTCCTTAAACCCAAACCCCCATTACTGTCACAACACCTTGTCATACAAGCTGTCATATCCTGGAACATTCCACTTCACTTTACCACTGGCAGCTTCTCTCTCCCATGTCAGCGACAGTGCATCGCCGGTGACATTCCCACCATGGAGGACGAGAACGCCTCGAGACGACGCCGGAGTTCGTCTCGAGCCACGGCCAATGGAGGACCACCGCGCCTTTACCGCCTGAATTCCAACCAGAGCCAGTCCAGTATCTTCGAAGATGTCGAAATGGCCCAAGAGGAGCTCTTCTCAGGGCCCGTGGCTGAAAGTCTCCCCACAAGTGTTTCTCACTTCTCGCATCGTCGGCATCGCGCCGACTCCACGACGAGCTTTGTATACTACGATGAAGAGGACGACGAAGAGCAGCAGCAGCAATACTCTCCAGTATTCGAAGCCGACTCGGAATACATGCGACGAAGTGTAAGCGACATCGGCGATATAGAGTTTGGCATAGAGGATGGAGGGGAGGATGAGGTCGACATGGCCGAGGACGATTCTGCAGATCACGACTACGACGATAGCAGGCCTGACGCGTACATTATGCGACGGCACTCATCTACCGCGTCACGGACTTCGATACATGCGCCATTTCTGCGGAGGGACAGCGCATACACAGAGCGCAGCGGGCGGTTGACGGGCCGGACGAGTCAAAAGCTGTACATGAAGAACGAAGACTTGACGATTGCCATCGCCGGGTTCAGTAACAGCGTGGTTGGATATGTTTTATATCTGGCCATTTGCATTCTGACAGGGGGGCTTGGTTTCCTGGCTCTGCGCTGGATGCCACGATGGTATGTGGCTGTCGTGGGAAGGCCTTGTGCGTTGGCTACTTGCGACTGGGTTGTCATTGAGAATGAATGGCAGGAAATGTCCATTCTCGACGTCAAGATGCGGTCTTACGGTCGTCCTTTGTCGTCAGTTTTCGGACTTTCCGAGAAAATGTTTGCGGAGGATCTGGACGACGACAATGATCCCTTGATCGAAGACCTACGTATACTCGACTACCGCTATGTCCGCCTATGCTATCATCCGCTGAAGGACAAGTTTGTCCTGTCTTATGGCTGGAAGGATCCTGACTGGACTGACGTGCGAGTCGTTCGGGCGGGATTGGATACCGATGAGAAGAGCATTCGCGAAATTCTGTTTGGCAGCAACCTCATTGACATTGAGCAGAAGTCCACGAGTAAGCTACTCGTTGACGAGGTCCTCCATCCTTTCTACATCTTCCAGACAGCGTCACTCACGTTATGGTCGTTGGACTCGTACTATTACTACGCAGCCTGCATTTTCGTCATCTCCGTCGGCAGCATCGCTTCGACCTTGATCGAAACTCGTGCGACTATGAAACGCCTCCGCGAAATCTCGCGGTTTGAATGCGATGTTCGGGTACTCCGAAATGGGTTCTGGCGTTACATTTCCTCAGGCGACCTGGTACCTGGCGACATCTACGAAGTCAGCGACCCAAGCCTTACACAGTTCCCGACCGATGGGCTACTTCTGAGCGGCGACTGTATCGTCAATGAAAGTATGCTCACGGGCGAATCTGTTCCCGTCTCCAAGATACCTGCCAACGACGAGACGCTACGAGGCATGGACTTGGGGGCATCGTCTGTCTCTCCTGAGACGGCGCGTCACTTCCTTTTCTGTGGCACCAAAATTGTGCGAACCCGCCGGCCGCAGGAGGATCAAGACGGCGATGCTGTCGCCTTGGCGCTTGTGGTTCGAACAGGCTTCAACACGACCAAAGGCGCTCTTGTACGATCAATGCTCTTTCCTAAGCCCTCCGGGTTCAGTTTCTATCGGGACTCTTTCCGTTACATTAGCGTCATGGCCCTTATTGCGATACTCGGCTTCGTTGCCTCCTTCGTCAACTTTGTTCGGCTTGGCGTCGAATGGCACGTTATCATTGTACGAGCCCTGGACCTCATCACCATCGTCGTGCCCCCTGCACTGCCTGCTACCCTGACTATTGGTACCAACTTCGCTCTGGCCCGCCTGAAGGGTAGGAGCATTTTCTGTATCAGCCCTCAGCGGGTGAATGTGGGCGGGAAACTTGACATTATGTGCTTCGACAAGACAGGTACATTGACAGAGGAAGGCCTGGACGTACTTGGGGTGAGAGTGGTTTCCAAGACGACAAATCGCTTCAGCGAAGTTATTTCAGAGTCGCAGGCGCTGGTCCAGACTGAGGCTGACTCCGATCCCGACCATGCGCTGACGGCAGTATTGCACACTATGGCTACCTGCCATTCGTTGCGCTCAGTCGACGGCGAACTTGTAGGCGACCCTCTAGACCAGAAGATGTTCGAATTCACCAATTGGAATTTTGAAGAGGGCAAGCAGAGTGCTGGGGATGTCGACGACGAGGAGCAAGGAGGGCTTGCGCCATCAATTGCCCGCCCACCGGATGGATCATTGCAGCTTGGCGTCGTCAAGTCTTTCGAATTCGTTTCTCAGCTGCGACGGGCCAGTGTGATCGTTCGTCACTTTGGCGCAAAGAGTGCTGATATCTACGTGAAAGGCGCCCCCGAGGCCATGCGTGAGATCTGTCGCTCAGATACATTTCCCGCTGACTACGAAGAGCGACTCTCGTATTACACTCACAAGGGCTACCGTGTGATCGGCTGTGCCACACGCCACCTCCCGAAGCTGACCTGGGTCAAAGCACAGAAGATGACACGCCACGATGTCGAAAGCGGGCTAGACTTTGTTGGGTTCATCATCTTCGAGAACAAACTCAAGCCGACAACAAAAGAAGTGATTGATGAACTATCAGAGTCTAACATTGGGACAGTCATGATCACAGGTGACAATATCCTCACGGCAATCAGCGTTGCGCGTGAGTGCGCGCTCATGGACCGACGTGCGCATTGCTTCGTCCCTCGCTTTCTTGAGGGTGATTGTCGGGACCCGCAAGCTGAGCTTCAATGGGAGAGTATCGACAACAGCGCCTACACGTTGGATAGGAACACGTTGCTGGTAAGCTTTTCTGACTGAATGTCACTGCGAGATTACACTAACGTTATTAGCCTCTCCCTCCGTCACCATCTGCCGACTCGACCTTGCCCTTTGAAATCACTAATCTTCGCGACTTCTCACTTGCTGTTACCGGCGACGTGTTTCGATGGATCGTCGACTATGCCGCCCCCGAAACCCTACAGCGTATGCTCATTCGCGGTAAAGTCTTTGCCCGCATGTCACCAGATGAGAAGCACGAGCTAGTGGAGAAGTTGCAAAGCATCGACTATACCGTGGGCTTCTGCGGTGATGGTGCCAACGACTGCGGTGCTCTGAAAGCTGCAGATGTTGGGATCTCACTTTCTGAAGCAGAAGCGTCTGTGGCGGCGCCTTTTACCTCGAGGGTCTTCGATATTCGTTGTGTGCTGGAGGTCATCCGTGAAGGCCGTGCAGCGCTGGTCACGAGTTTCAGCTGCTTCGAGTACATGAGTCTCTACTCTGCGATTCAGTTCACCTCCGTCAGCTTTCTCTATGCCAAGGCATCCAATCTCGGCGATTTCCAATTCTTATTCATCGACCTCGTCCTGATCCTTCCGCTGGCCATCTTCATGGGCTGGTCTGGGCCTGCGCAGAAGCTTCACCGCAAGCGACCGACCGCGGACTTGGTGTCGCGTAAAGTCCTAATACCATTGCTTGGGTTGATGGCTATTTGCGTTGCCATCCAAGCCGTGGCCTACGTTGCCGTGCGAGAGCAGCCTTGGTACAAGCCCCCAAAGCTGGAGCATGAGGGCAGCAACATCAAAAACTCAGAGAACACCGCACTGTTCCTTATGTCGTGCTTCGAGTACACTTTTGCGGCGGTGATACTCAATGCTGGCCCGCCTTTCCGCGATCGCGCCGCCAAAAATTGGCCATTCACTCTGACGGTGCTGCTCGCCTTGGCAGTGGTATTGTACATGGTGCTGGGACCGGCGCATTGGTTGAAGAAGCTCATGCAGCTAAGCTACATGAGCTTCAGTTTTGAATTGCTCCTCATCGGGTTGGGGGTCCTGTTCTTGGGACTAGGGTGGACGTTTGAAACAATGGTCGCCGGAAATCTGGCTCGTGCCATTGGCAGATGGAATCTGAAGTTGTCTGGGGCTGTGAAGCAAAGGAAGAAGTACAAGACCATTGAGAACAGTATGCGGATTTAGAGGCATCTTTCGGCGTCAAGGCAAATGTCGACAATCTTGAAGCGAGTTGAGTGTAAGCATGGTGCGAACAATTTCCATATATTGCTCTTCAGTGACTGCCTCCACGTATCTGCGTAGAATTATCGTATCGCCTTACCAGCGCCTCGCCTCCTGCGCGCATATACCAATGCCCAGATCTGCACCCATTCAGTGATCCCAAGGGTGCTTCCAGCCCATCAACACGGGACCTGCATGTGTTAGCATCATATTCTGTCGTGTATTCGTTCGGTCGCGGTTTGAGAGAGCCTACCGTCCTTCTTTGCCCGGTACATCAACTGTGCCAAGTTAGCGTCGAGTCGCAAGATGATCCAGAGAGCCAGCTCCAAACGCTGTAGAAGGAATGCTTACCCAGAACCACATTCCCGCGCCGAGCGCAGTGGCAGTATACCGGTAAATGCCAGGAACATGAGGAACAGGAGGTTTGGGAGGACCAGTCGGTCGGGGGTGGTGCGTCGGGCCAGCCATGTCTTCGCTTAGTCGATATTCTGCTGTACAGTCTGCGTCAGTATGCTTCGAATCCGTCTGGATAGTTCTCTTGAGCTTACGCGACGTCGTGGATGTTCAATTGCTCAATGTTGGGGATGGAGATTCGTCGCCGTCGTTATAGAAAACCGTCGACTGATGTGATTATGTAACGCAAGTGAGTGGGTCGGTTCAAGTTGTTGCGTCCCGTCATCGGTCATCCTGACGCCCGCCGCTTGAACCGCGACTCCTTGACACGGACTCGGCGTGGGGGGTGGGGCTATTGTGCTTGTGTAAGGTGTCTTCATCTAAGGTACTCTTTATCTAAGGTGCCTTAGCATTGAACATACATCAGCTCTTCTGTAGAATTACATGCCCGTCTTTCCTCACTGATCCAAAGGTCGTCGACTGCATTATTCATTGGAATTTGATTAGTTTGCTGGTTTTCTTCTGCCGCCATGGCTGCAAACACGACGCTCAAGCGTATAAGTACGCCCTCCACCACGTCCGCCGACGACCATAACTAGTAGACAGACAGTCACTAATAGTTCCACAGCCAAAGAAGCAGCCGAGCTGCAAAAATCACCATCACCCGACTTTGCCGCTTCTCCCATCGCATCCGACCTGTTCGAATGGCACTTCACACTTCGCGGCCCACCTTCGAGTCCCTACGCCTCGGGACAGTATCACGGTCGCATCTCACTCCCGCCCACATATCCGTACCGCCCACCTTCTTTTCGCTTCTTGACCCCGAGCGGACGCTTTGAGACTAACAGAGAGATATGCTTGAGTATATCAGGTCATCATGAGGAGACATGGCAGCCGGCATGGGGAATCCGTACCGCTCTCGTCGCCTTGAGGAGCTTCATGGAGACGGACGTCAAGGGCCAACTCGGTGGCATGGAGTGCTCCGAGGAAAGGCGGAAGACCATGGCCGAAGAGAGCTGTCGTTGGAGGTGCGGCGTCTGTGGCATGTCCAACGCAGAGATCATGGCCGACGCCGCGGATCGTTGCAAAGACGCGCCGCAGGCTAAGCAGGATGTTGTGCCAAACGAGCTGAAGATGGGCTTCAGAGATGAATTGGAGAAGCCGAAACAACAACAGAAGCAGCAGCAGCAAGAGGAAGAGGAGAGGGAGATGGCTGAAATGGCGGAAGGGTTCGTCCAGACGGCACCACCTGTGGACCGCTCGCAAGCAGAGGCGCAGGCGCAACCATTAACCAGGAACTATGAGAGCAGACCAATTCAAGCAGCATCGCAACCAATACCCGCACAGCCTACAGCAACACAAGCGGTGCCTGTGCCAGAGCAGCCGACGGGCCAGGTTGCAGGCTGGAGGAATGACAATGGCGTACCCGTTTGGCTGGATCGCCTCATTGTTGCACTCGTGGTCTTTCTGGTCGCGTTGCTCATGAGGATCATGTACGTGGGCGTGTAGGATACGCTCTCAAGGCGTTGGTTGGAGTAAATGAAGCCTGTGGGTTTGCTTGCGAACTCATGCCTTGTTACGCAAGCATCTACGCGTGGCACTTGCATATCCCGTCATAGTGTTTCTGTTGTTCACATTTAAGGGGATTCTTGCGCATCGATCGACGGTGTGTCGTCTCTAAGTGGGGCGCTATGGAGGGAAGCCGTTCTTAAGCTTGACGATGGTTGATTAGAATGGGCTACGGGAACAGCGTTGGTCTTGGAACTTTGGCATTGTCTTTTAGCGGAATGTTACTATTTTGGATCACTACTGGCACAATCATCTCTGCGACATTGGTACTGCCAGCCACCACCACTCCGCCAACCTCAGCTCTCCTTCCTCATTTTCTAGGAGACCTTTCTCTACACACCAATCCAAGATCACCTCTGCCTCAAAGGGTTCCAGAACAGGTTTCATAGCCTTGACCAGCAGGTCTCCCGACATTTCGCCTCGCGTAGAGAATAGGAAGAGCACAGAGGCAAGTACCTCCCACCATCTGTGGAGCTGGGGCCGATTCCAAAAGTCAATCCACTGAGGTATTGCTTTCGCTGGTCCAACCCGCGGCGGCTCCTCGCTCCTAACGTGGTGCAGAAGAGAGATATCCTGGTTGTAGAGATAATCGTCCGTAGCCTCAACCGCGATCCCAAAGTGGAGATTGGTCTTGGGCATCTTGCGCGATTCGTAGTTTCCAGGAATGAAGCCAAAGGGTATATAAGGCACATCCGTGGACCGGACGCGTACTCTTCCGTTGGCTGACAGGTTCATGACCGCCATCATCGCACCGTCTGAAAGCGTATAAGAGATTGGAAAGCTCTCTCCTTTCCGAGCCGCCGCGTCCAACGATTCTTTGAATTGTTGCGCTTCCTTGTACTTTTGCATTTGTGATAGGCGGGCGAGGCTGGTGGTGTAGGGCTCTGACAATCTGTACTCGACACCACCAGGAATGGTACTTTTTTTGGTCTTTTTGAGGACTTTCGTTTCAGAGAGTTGATCGATCGCCGTGTTCAGCAGATGAGAAACTTCAGACTGGTTGCCCCCTCCCAGCTCGAGAAGTTTCTTGCGCATGGCCGCAGCAGCTTGAGTTCCGGAAGCAGGTGTGATACACAGGGAACGCATCCACGATCGCGCTGGCTGATATCTGTCTACGCAACGAGACCTTGAGTGGCCACTGATAGCGGCTGGTTCAGAAGAGAGAAACTCCAGTCGGGCGAGGGTGGATGTCGCGACATGATAGTACTTTTCCTTCCAGTCATCATTGTCCCTCTCGACATCTTTCAGGACGAAACTGTCATCGAGGTTCTCCATGGTCGGGGGTAAATGCTGATCCTTTTCTGCTGGAATCTCCATCGTCCATCTCACCAAGCCTTGCCAGTCGTAATCTGCAGCGTGTTCGTAGTCGATGAGAGGCAGCTCATCACGCCCACAAGCTGCGATGTATCGGTCTTGGAAGTCATGCATGAACTCGGCGACGAAGGGCCCCCGCGCTTTCTGCGTAGCTAACCAGAACCTCCTGAGGCGAGCAAGTTCAATGTCGGGGAACAGGTCGACCAAGATGCCCCAGTCAATGAATCTGTCGACGCCACCCAGCAGGGCGCGCACGGCGACAAAGGCCGCGAGCACTTCCTTTGGATTGGGTATCGGCTCATCATATTGAACCGTTTCTCCGCCTTCCACAGCCTGGGACTTGACGCGACTGGGCAGCGCGGTGAGCTGGCGCATTTTGAGGGGAACAAACTTGGCGCGCTCTGGCCGGGGACTTGGGACTTGGTGAGGAACCCCTTTTCCACGGTCACCCCGAACAGCGCGGAGCGCTCCTTTCTTCCGACGCGTTTCTTCGGCACTGACAAAGGGAGATGCCAAGCCTTTGATGAAGACGATAGCATCATCGTTGCTATCCCACGAGTCGCTGTCTGGAGCGTCATCTTGTATCTTCCGACCATCGGCCAACGTCAATTGCTCAACATATTCCAGCCGCGAGGGATCAATGTCGGAGTCAAAGGGTCCGCTGTCTCCAATTACATCGACAAAGATGTTGTGCGGCCCAGCTTCACCAGGCGCAGCCTTGATAGCCCGGTGATAGTCACTCTGCTCTGCCTCATAGATGGCATGAATACGATCCATGGCTCTCGACCACTTCCTATCTCGCTCTTCATATCGATGGAATCCTTTTGGAGCTTTGGCGCCGGTCCGCATATCAATACTGCAGGCAAGTTCCTCCCATTTGAACCACGTTGAGGAAGGCATCCAGCCGTCGAGGGTGAAACTAGCGTGGCTTGTTTCGAAGAATTTCAGACCGAGGAATTCCCAAGCACCTTCCCCGTTGCCCTCTAAGATCAGCGATGGCACAATCGGGTTGGTGATGCAGGTGTCACTAGCCAACAACCTTTTTCGATGCGACTCAATCCGTTTGGTTGCATTTGCGTCCACGAGTCGACTCTCTTTGGGGCGGTGATCAGGAGTGTCATCTTCAAGATACGTGTTGGGGTCGAGGAATGTCACAACGCTGGATGGCCCAGCTTCAGGATCCTCGGTCGGCCAAGGCTTGCTGTTGGAGTGGCCTACCCATCCCAGTTTACCTGCAGGGCCCTTGCGTTGAGCGCCTACCGACCATCGCGGGCGATTTGTTTTCTTTGCGTCGGCCTGCTCGTGTTCTTTCAGGCGCTTGGCTGCTAGTTGCTTTGTATATACGGGCGCCTCCAATCTCGAAACCAAAGTAGGCAGTGGCCTCCTCGAAGGAATCGCATGGCCATTGATCTTCAGAACTGTGACTTCGGCGTTTCGGATGCTGTCAGGCACATAGGGATCCGGGTATCGGTTCTTCATCAGTTCCACAAGCCTCACAACTTTAGGGGATGAGGGGTCCTCGCCAGTTGAAGTTAGTGTCTGAACCTTTGCGATTTTGCCGTCATCTCTGCGAAACACATGCCAGTGTTCCGCAACCTCCTTATTCCGTATCATGGCTATCACCGAGCCCCAGAAAGATCGGTTGGTGAGGCACTGGACGCGAGGAACCTCGTGCCGGTACTCTCGATCCCACAAAACTCGCAAAGCTCGCCACAAAGCTTCTCCCCCCGGGAAGACGCCATCATGGTCGCGTAAGAGAATCTTGAGCAAGTGAGACGTCCGCTCATTGCGCTCCTTCTGATTGAGGAGCCTCCCCTCTAACCGATTAAGCTTGCTATGATGGCCGGAGAAATATCGCTTCTGCACCTCCTGACCTGCCAGTGTGTCCTCTTCGCTCGGATACCCGACGGTAGACGGCTGACCGGGGAAATTGTCACACGTAGAGCCAGAGCGCTCGCGGCCCGTTTCCGTGACGTCCATTGTCGAAAGGCCGGGGCCAAGCGCAAGGTCAGCGACGGTCCGCAAACGTAGTCGGTCAGTGGGGAGCAAGAGGCCCTGTGTAGGCAGCATGGGATTCCTTGCCGCGTCATCTGGCACCGTCCGTTCTAGTTTGACGACCTGAAACCTCTTTGTTATGGGAACCTTCCGTGAGGAGTCGTCCCGAACGGACGCGGCGCTGGGTGACCGACTACGAGGAGAGCTGACGTAGCGAGGTACTCTTTTTCTTCGCTTGGCAATGCCGTCCAATGTGTCAGAGGTGGCAGCTGCATCGCTATGCGCCTCCTCTGGCTGTGTGGATGCTGTTGCGAGCTGCCTCTGGTCTTTTGCCGCCTTCGTCTTCTGTGTCTCCATCTTCCGCTCGATCAACCGAGCTGCCTCAGCAGCCGGATCCCAATTGACATTGCAAGGCACTCTGGCCTTTTCGAGATGGTACTTGAGACCGATATCATTCTTCCACGCCCCCCCACACTTTTCACATTTCCAAGGCTTTATGTCGCTCGAGCCTGTGGTGCGGCCGCCACCGCCTCGTCCGCGACCCCGGGCACCACGACCGCGGCCGCGGCCGCGGCCGCCTGTCACTCGCGGTGCTTCCTCGCTGGCAGGGTGCCCTAGAGGAGATATTGTCGCCGCTAGCTCTTGGTCGACAGCGCCCAGATTGTTTGGTACACTTGTCGCTATACCAGACTGGCTCCCCGCTGGTGGTTCAAGCGTCTCACTAGCGCTGTGTGGGCTCAATTCCTGTTGCCGTATACTGGTCGCTTTTCCAGGGAGAAGGCTAACTGGGCCGGCATCATCTTCTGCCTGTGAACAAACCGTTGAGCGTGAGGCTGTAGCGAGGGCGATGCGTTCAAGGACTTGCGGTCGGACTTTCAGCGTCACAATCAGTGTAGATGCCTTGTCAGCCTGCGAGCCTACTTCGCTGATTGCAATTGACGATTGTCTGAAATCTTTCTGGTGGGCTTTTTTGACCGGACTCGGCCTTTTAACTTCGATACAGTCTCTGTCTTCGTCATCTCCCCTAGCCATGGTACCAGTTGCAAGCATCCTCTCGAGCTTAGGCTTGCCGCGATTCTTTCCTCGGACGATAGTGCTCCGACATAATCTGCTCAGTGATGCAACCTGGTCGACCTCGTGCTTCTTGGGCGCAAAAGGAGTGAATCCAAAGGTTTCGTCTGCCTGAGAGGTCACGATTGCCACGCGCTCGGGCACGACATATCGGAAGGATGCAATCTTGCCGGTCCTGACCAGCTCCTCTGTCACCTGGAAATGCTGCAAATATGGGGGCTGGGCCATAGCTCCGGCTGTGAGATGTGTAGTCGAAGAAATGTACCGATTGAAGCCAGGTCCCATACTGAACGTGCCAATATCTGGATTGGCCACGCCTGGCCCAAGACAGGCCTGGGCCATTCTGACCCAAAAGTTTCCGAATGGCTCGTCTACCGACCATGGCGGGAAGGAGTTTTGCAGAGTTGATCTGAGCTGGGGCCCTTCCGCTTCATCATTCTCCGCAGTGTTCACTACACCGCTGGGTTCAGGCCTACGGCTGCCCGTTGCGAGATATACTTTGTAATCCGAGGACTCCACGTCCCTCACAAATTGTATGCAGTCTTTGTAAACTTGCTCGCCAACATCGTGCTGCGCGGCCACGTAGAGCAGGCAACCTCGCCCGTGGAGAAAGCGGCAGCATTGAGATACCATTTTCATATGCCAGGGCTTGCCGATGACATCGAGTTTCCTTCGCAGGTCCAGGCCGCGAATGACACCCCAAGACTTGGTAATGGCCATGATTGTTCTGATCAGCGAGATGTAGTCGGGGTTGTCGTTCTTGTTCCAGCGGTCCGACCATGGCACCGGCTCAAGGTCTTCGGCCAGGAGTTCCTGTGACAAGTCCAGACCTACTTCAGCACGTTCGACTTCTTCGCTAATCGCCTTCTCGATGTTGCCTGGTGCGAAACGATGGAGCCACAAGCGGCTGGTTTTTGTGCCCCGCAGCAAGGCAGATCTCTTCGTGATATATCCCTTCTGGTCCAGCACATCAGTTCGCTTGGGTACAGAGCGCTTGTCTTGATCCACGAGGCGCCCCAAATCGCCTTGCAGAATACCGTCGGTCATTGTGGAGGCAATACCCATGAGACAGGTCCACTCCAGCCGCGGAAGGCGTTTGTGATCTACCGCGTGCCCAGCAATACACTCCCACATCCTGTCTTCCGAGGCGAACACTCTGACATCGTTCGCATGCTGATCTCGCGAGGAAGCATCGACCTGCTGCGTAGGCGAGGGGAAATGGCTGTGACTATCCCTGTAAACAGCCTCGAAAGCAGCAGCGGACGTATCGGCGATGACATGGCTGCTTGTGTTCTGCGAAAGCAGTCCTTTCGCTGTCTGGGGACTGTCTTTCTCGCTCTTCGTCGCCGGTGCCTCAAAGCGGTGACTAACAGGCGTTTGCAAGCACAGTGCCTGAACTTCGGGCAGCGCAAGGTGGTTATAGCTCCTGTCGGGACCCACGGAGATATCTGGCCTCGCAACTAGCCAGCTCCAAATAGTTGTCACCGAGTGGTTATCTGCCTCTTTACGGAATGCGCTGTCATGGTTTTTAGCGATGTCCGAGGGCGCCGCGAGTTTTGCCTCGATGGTCTCAATCACTTTCCCCACCGGGCAACCTTGGTAGAAAGTCAGATATCTTGTATCCAAAATATGATATCAAAAATCATTGACGTTGAAAAATGTTTATCAAAGCGCATCGCGCGCAGAATCTTCGCAGATAATAGATGTTGTTCAAGCAGCTCTCCAAGGAGCATCAAAACTTACCCTTTTCACCACTACAACTGATCAACAGTATGAGGCCGCCGATAAGACCCTCGAGATCCAAGGTCATGTTATTTCATGGTTTGGCGGGCCCATAGCCGGCCACCGGGGACTTTCAAAAAAAAAATGACGACTAGATTTGCCAGCGGTAGGACTCGAACGCGTGTTGTCGCAAATTGAAGGGATGTAATATGTATGAGCAAAGAAACATCAGACGCGGTGCGGGAATCCTGAATGTGTGGTGGGGGCAGCTGCAGCATTGGCAGCAACACTGGAATAGTGCGACTTCCCTCGAAATTAGGTAATCCTCTCGGCCAGACTGTTCGATCGTTCTCATTGATTAACGCTTCGCGATGCTCAATTCCATATACCAATGCTATAGGAGTGACTTGCTGCTGCCCTTCGACGCGGCCTGTTTCGTGTCCCTCATTTGTCTGTACGCTTCGAGCACCGCGTCTCTCTCCGCTTGGAGCTCCTCGCGACGTCGCAGACTGCCAGCAGCCTTTGGAATGCCCTCAACATCAGCCATTGCCCCTTCTTTGACCTGCAACTGCCGCTCCTTTTTCTTGTTCAGTTCGGGCGGCGCCAGTGCCACATCGTGTAGCCCAATCTTGGCTTCTGCTCGATTTTTCTTCAGTGCTGCCCATGGATCTTCCTCCTTCTCTTTCGCGCGACCTTTCTTGCCCTTTCTTCTCGAGCCCTTGTGATCCTCTGCCTCATCTAGGGTTTTCATGAAGGATGACGAAGTGATACCCTCGCCGTCATTCTCCAATTCCTTCTCTGCCTCCAATTCTAGTTCTTCCTCGTGCCGTTCCTTTGCCTTTCGTTCTTCAACGCGCCATTGGTCGTAGAGCCTGTGCATCTTCAACTCTTTCCTCGTCCGCCAGACCTTGTTTCCCTGCTCATCTTTGCCGTCCTTGACCACGGTCTTCGTCTTCAGGCCAGAAACCGGAAGCGCAGCGTCTACTCGAGCAGAAAAGGACCGCAGATCTTCGCCTGGTCGAATGGCCAGCTTCTCGGATTCTGTTTCGGACTTCGCTACCGGTGCCTTCTTTCCCTTTGGCTGGCCGTCGTCAAGACCACCAGGAAACTTCTTGCCTTGGGCTGCGGCCATGATTCGTCGAAAAGCTCTGGGCGCGTCATTGTCCTTGAACCGTGCTTGCTTTTTCGGTTTGGTCTGTGGCGGCGCTTTGCCCTTGACACCGACGGGGAGGGGACGAGCACGGTGGCTAGGTGGGAGATCGAAGCTGATAGACTTGATAAGCGTGGGATGAGCCTCAGCACATGATATTACTTACTCTGGGTCTTCTCCACGCTTCCTCTTGTGTTTATGCGGCATATTGGCTGGTTTGTCGGTGATTTGATGTGGTTTGATACGGTTGAGCTTGACTTAGGTCGTGCAGGCTAGAAAAATTGGGGATACAGCAATTGGTACCGACCTCCAAACGGGGGCATGCGCCGCAACTTTTCTTTTTTATGGGCCTTCGCACATCACAACTCAGGCCCGTCGTGGTGATCGTGACCGGACTCGAGCCCAACCGGAAACAATCACCCACTAGCAAGCACATGAGAACAATCACTGTGATTGGCATTGGTCAAGTACGGTCAGGTATCAACTACCATACTGCCCTGCGAACTGCTTAGAGCATCAGTATTTCTGTACTTTACTACTCTGGCTGAGAACCGCAAAAGTACGTACCATAATCGCAAGAGCGCAGGTCCTTCCACGATTGTACTTTCGGCCAAAACATGATGCAGCCAGCAACCAAACAAAACACGGCTCCATTCATGCTCACCAGAGCTTCCAGACACTGCGCCGGTTGTAGCAATTTTCACATTCCCACCCAGAACTTTTGCTCAGCCAAGCCATTCACGCCAAACGGTCACAATTGTCGAGGCAACAGCGCATTCTGATTAGTCAGCTGATGTCTCGTCGAAAAGCTCGGAGCCAGGAGGAGACAGCTCCCGTTGGCAACAAATCTCCAGAGGTTTCTAGGGTTATCCCAGGCTTCCCGCGACGTCGAATGTTCCTGAAACCTATAGTCCAGGTCTTATCTGCACTTTGGTAAGCAGCACTCTTATTCACCATGTATCCCAATGTTAATCACTAATGCAGGCTTATTGGGCTATTGCTCTTCTCCATTTGTCAAATTGCTCACCATAATAGCTCGCCAGGCAACCACCAGCACTTACAGCAGACGCGCCTAGCTCCGACACCAACAATTCCATGCCACTCACACAACGGCTTTTGGCAGAGGATTCCTCTGACCTCTGCCTTAGAAGTAGGCTGCATGAGTGTCGAGGCTGATATATGGGCTTTCGGAGGACAGCTGCTTGTCGCGCACAAGCGGGACTCGCTGTCGCCTAGCCATACACTACAGTCCTTGTACCCGGCTCCGTTATATTGTATGCTCGCGGACAGAAACAACGACACAGAGGACTCAGGGCCCCCTCGAGGCGTATACGATGTTGACCCACTGCAGGAGCTTGTGCTCTTGATTGATGTTGAGGCTTGTCCGCAACGCGCTTGGCCGTTGCTCAGCGCTGCCCTTCAGCCGTTACGCGAGCGAAAATGGCTGACAACCAGCGAGAATGGGACATTGAGGCAAGGGCCGATTACGGTTCTCGTGACTGGAAGCCTGCCAGCATATCTCGTGGAATCGGACATAGAAACCGCTTCGCAATTCGTCTTTCTTGATGCGCCTTTGCTAGAAATCAATTCCGGTAAATATGATTCCCCAAACGCGTATTGGGCAAGTACATCTCACCGCAGACTTCTCGACAGTGCGTATCGTGACCGCAGGCATAGAGTCTCGCGTGAGGAAGTCGAGACCTACATTAAATATGCGATTGATCTTGCGCATGCGCGCAGTCTCAAGGCTCGCTGCTGGGGTCTCTCTAGGGCAGGGTTCGATCGGCCGGATGGCAATTGGCCTAATTTAATGGCTCTTGGAATGGATGTCGTCAACGTCGACAATTTGGCAGCATTTCGGGAGGCTTGGGAACACGTAGGTCCCACGACAATGAAGAATCGAGCGGAAGCTGAAGCATCATAAATAACTGATATCGCATTCAACGTTTCGAGCAACTCGTTCACGGCTCCGACGTGTCGAGCTTTCCGATACTCCGGTTTATCGCCGAATTACCCGTCCATGCAGGTTCTCGCCCTCTAGGTATCTAAGCTACTGCACGACGTCAGGGTTATGGGATGACCCCGCAAGATAAAAGCCTACATCCCAGTATTAAGTTCCTCGACAGCTTTGTGCGGATTGTGTGGTGATTATATCTCCAGATCATTGCATCTTCTAGCTCGCAGGCGATCGTCGACCTTGACCTTCCTCCCTGCAGTTTCTCGGCTTTCCGTTGGACACCTACAATGGCCACCGTCGGACAAATGGCAGCCCTAGATGTACGTTCAGATGTGTCACGGAACCAACGACATTCGAATTGACATTGTATACATAGCCTACGATAGCACGGAACCTACCGCCTCAATGCGGCAAGCTCTTTGAGGCAAAGTCCGCCAAAGGGCTTAGTTTCGAGCAGATAGCCAAACACCTCGAGCGAAGCGAGGTGGCGTGTGCTGCATTGTTCTATGGCCAAGCCCAAGCCTCGCCGGAGGATGTCAGCCGCCTTTCTAAGCTTCTCGAAGTGCCTGAAAGTGCGTTGGGCTCGATGAAGGCGATTCCTGACCGGGGTCGAGCTGGCCCGATGCCACCGGTGGAGCCCCTGATATACAGACTTTACGAGATTGTCCAGAATTATGGGTATGCCTATAAAGCCATTCTGAACGAGAAGTTTGGTGATGGAATCATGAGTGCCATCTGCTTCTCCACGAAAGTGGACAAGGAAGTGGATGAGACAGGTGCCTCGTGGGTCGTGATCACTCTCAGGGGAAAATGGTATGTGTGTACGTCTTCGCCTTGGCCGCTTCTAAAAAAACAACCAGGCTCCCTTTCGCCCGTTTCTAGAATGATTTTCTGTGTGGGCGGGAAAAGATACTCATTCGTGTGGCGTGTAATGGGGGGGGAACTACAACGAATTGTCACAGGCAACAATATTAAGGGGCGCATTGCACAATACTAAGCAATCCGCCACCCAGCTTAGTGAACCTCATCAGTGTCTGTGCGCCACCGTGCGAGTTCCTTCCTCGCCTACTTCTCGCTATCTCTTCCAACCCATTTCTGGCTGTTCTCGAGAGAAGGTGTCCTGTGGGATGTCGAGACTCGGTCAGAATGCCTTCACCTCCCTCATTGTGGCTTGCAGCTCGAGGAAGCACCTTCATCCCAACAATATTGTCGAACAGCTATGGTCAAGGGTTCTGCTAGCATTCTTGCTTTTGTTCGACACGTCCCTAATAGCAACTTCAAGTCCTCCTGAGACTATAAAAGTCTCTGCATTCCCCTTCCAGACAATCTAGAAGACTCCAACACCAGTCACAACATCAAGAACAGCAACACCAACTACTACCCTACCGTTTCAATCACGCAAAAATTACCTCAACTTTCAAAATGCCTGCTCACCAGTCCACCAAGAACGGCGCCGCCAAGTCGCCTGGCTACCCTCTCGGCTGCAATGTGATGGCCAAGCCTACCGCCGACGCGAAGTCCCCCGGCTACCCTCTCGGCTGCAATGTGATGGCCAAGCCCACCGCCGAGGCGAAGTCCCCCGGTTACCCCCTTGGCTGCACTGTCATGTAAATGATCTGACGCTGCGGCTCTGATCGTCGAGGGCCTCATACACACGATTCTCTCTGGCTTGCAAGAGCAGGAGGCCCTCGGCACCAACAGTTTCGAGCTAAGAACCAGCTTGCTTCACGACCTCTGACGACACATAACACAACGGCTTTCATTCTTCACGATCATGTGGAGGAATTGGAAGTTTTTCACGCATTACGGTCTAAGGACCTCGACACAGCAACCCCCAGCACCGTGGGCCAAACATTCTTCGACTCTTGAGACACAAGTCAACCCGTGTCTGCGCACATTTTTGTATACCAGACAACAGTATCGAGAGCGAGAGATGAGTGGAAAATTGCGATGGCAATCCCAGGTATATATTATCTTCGTATTACTTAGAGCAACTCAATCGCTGGATACAACAATGCCTCACACTGTGATTACGCCTGTCCACTGTCCAATGGGCATTTTTTATGATAGAAGGTATCAAGCATTGCTTGCCTTCTAGTGAACTTGTTGAAATGAGCAACAGTATCGACCAACTCGACATTGCCAACTTGGGGATGGCAAGTATTTGGCGTTTGCTGGTCCACAATTCCATGTATTGTCCCATCTCGTCGATTTGGCAAGGCGCTTGAGGATCCTTTGCACAGTCCACCAAACTTTAAAGTTGGTTAGAGATTAGCGAAAGTACCAAAAAAACCCACCAGGGGTTTAATCGATTGGATGTTTGGATTGGTCACCCATGTACATCAATTGACAACCTAGTCCAGGGTAATTGAGGAACAGCTTCTGACCTGCTGTCCGATTGCGATAGCCTGAGCGAGCTACATATAAAGTGGAATTTTGGCTCCCTGCAATGGGGTCGGGTCGCCTGTGCCTGAAAGCGGTGTGCCAACTTTTCGGCGGCAGAATTTCCCAAGATTTTCTGATATTTACTAGTCTCGGCCGCAGCGATACTTTGCCTACAGTAACACCCGTCCACCCCAATTATCAATCCAGTAATGGCGAAAAGCAAACTCAAGATGGCGCTCGCCGCCGACAAGGGCACCGACTTCAAGAAGTTGAAGGAGAAGCGCCAGAAGAAGGCAGCCCTCAAACGCAAGCAGGCTGAAGAAGGACCCCAGGACAGCGACGACCACAGTGGGGCAGAGGACGCCGAAGTGGCGCAAATAAGCGACGAGTCTGATGACGACGAGGAATACGAGGATGCAGAGGAGCAGGTGGGTGATCCAATTTTCATCAAAAGCAACGGACTGACTTGTAGATTAACCTCCACGGCATCGACGAGAGCGACAGCTCCGGCTCCGAGGTCGAAATGGAAGAGCGCTTGCCACGCAAACCAAAGACAATCCTGAAACCTCTCAATGCTGCGAAACCGATCGCCAGACCTGGAAAGGCCGAGGACGCCTATAGTGACGAGGACGAGGAAGAGGAGGAGGACATTCCCATTTCCGACCTCGAAGACCTCGACGAAGACGAGAAGGAAGATCTCATTCCGCACACCCGCCTCACAATCAACAACACGTCTGCCCTCATCACCTCACTAAATCGCATCGCACTGCCGACCGACAAGTCCGTACCGTTTGCCACACACCAAGTGGTTGTCTCGGCCGAGGCCACGGCCGACTCCATCCCTGACATCCAGGATGACCTCCAGCGTGAACTGGCATTCTACTCGCAATCGCTCGCCGCGGTGCGCGAGGCGAGGACGAAGCTACGCGCAGAAAAGGTGCCCTTCAGTCGGCCCAAGGACTACTTTGCCGAGATGATCAAGGAGGACGCGCACATGGAGAAGATCAAGGCCAAACTGGTTGAGGAGGCCACCAACAAGAAAGCGGCCGCTGAGGCTAGGAAGATGAGGGACCTCAAGAAGTTTGGCAAACAAGTCCAAGTGGCCAAGCTGCAAGAGAGACAAAAGGCCAAGAGGGAGACGTTGGATAAGATCAAGAACCTGAAGAGGAGTATGTCTTTCCCCTTTGCGCAAACCGAGTCAGAACAAGCTAACCGCGACAGAACGCTCGGAATCAGGCAACGACATGGGCACCAAGGAGGCTGACATTTTTGACGTCGGTGTCGACAAGGAGCTCAGCAAGAACAGCACCGGCAGGTCTGATCGCGCTGGTGCTGGTCGTGGCAGCAAGCCGAACAGCAAGCGCCAGAAGAAGGACGAGAAATACGGCTTTGGTGGAAAGAAGCGCCATGCCAAGTCGGGCGATTTCGCTAGCTCATCAGATTTGAGCGGCTTCAGTGCCAAAGCGATGAAGGCTAAGGGTGGGGTCAGTAAATCCAGACCAGGGAAGAGTAAGAGGAAGGCCATGTCAACTCGATAGATATCCTATCAGCACCGTAAGTTGAATACTCAAGTGCTGGAGTCACGGGTCGGAATGCCTATTTATGCATGTCATTCATTCGTCTATGACTTGAAAAGAATATGTAGAGAGATTCGATACCGGAACAGGCTTTGTGAGCTTTGTTCCGCGTGCCACCGTCCTCCTTGTTCGGTCTAAGACTCTCCAACTGGTGGCCAATGCACTTTCCAGACTTCTCTGCGTCAGGACAATATATACTCAATACAATAATAAGACGCGCCATGCAACCGAACCCAATGCGCCAAGGAGTCCTGTGGTATCAAGAAAATGCGGGAGTGCTGATGTCAACGCTTTGCTGTGCAAATGCAACTCGAGGATGTGTATCAAAAAGGGGTTAAAAGGGTCCCTCATTGCGATGCTTGGACGCACCAGTGGCGATGGAATGCCCATGCGCTCTTCTGGCACTCTTTGCTGCAGTATTTCGTGCGGCGACATCGTCGGCACTTGGCGAATTGGCGAGTGTATTCTTCCCACTTGCCACACTTGTAATATGCGCATTGTCTGATGCCTCCTCGCGTATCGTCTTTGCGGCAGAGATTTCGCATCACAACGCCGGCCCAATATTGCATATCGGTCGTGTGATATCGCACAGTAAACTTTTCCACTAGGGGGAAAAGGTTGAAATCGTTCGGCAAGAGGTACTCTTCGTCTTCGCTGTCGCTGGCATGCTCGGGACACGGTTCGTCGTTAGCAGCTGCAAGCTCCTTATCGATGTTGAGCTTCGGCACGAGGTGGCTCTGTTGGAAGTACGAGCGGAGACCACAGTACTTGGAAACGTAAGCAAGAAGTTGTAGCGACATGAGGACGTCTTCCTCTCGTGGCATAGCCACCATGAGGTCGTTGCTGGGCATGAAGTGCCGATCCAGGATGTAACGCGAAGTGATCGAGCTGGGTAGCGCCGGGGCAGGAGGAGAGACCATTGTTGGTCGGTTCGGGGACAGGCCCATCTGGGGCACAGGTGTGGGCGTATTGTTTGTGACCACGCTACCATCGATAGGGCTTCGATGTGTTATGTTGAAGGTGCCCGCTTCTTGATGCGTTTCTGACACGGTGGGTGTCGCCAATTCCAGCGAAGCGTCGGCCAACATGCTTTCATCGCCTTCCATGGTGATATCTTGAATTCCTACAGGTGGCTGGATATCCCCGGTCCCAGTCATTTCAGTATCGGGCGACTCGTCGGAGGTGACACCGTCGCCATTGATATCTTCCGAGGCTGATGTGGAGTTTTGATGACGGATCGAAGGGCGGCGACGGTTACGACCGGGGGTGGTTGTGTTGGACGCGGGGCGAACAGCAGGAGAGCGGAGTTGCGGCGGTGGCAGAGGTGTAGTTGGTGATGTCGGTTGCGAAGTCAAGTCGCTGGGACCAAAAGGAGCCATGGACGCCAAGCGATCGATGTCGCGGACGGGCCGCAAAAAACCTTCAGCGCCTTCCAAGTTGGACATTGTAGTCCCTTCGGCATCAGACGAAGCCAAAGGCCGCAAACTCTGCCTCGAGCCCGACGGCGAGCCATTCCGGACGGCTGAGGAGCGTAGACTTTGGCGGCGATGGGCTAAGACAGAACTTGCTTCCCTCGAAGCGACCGAGACGTTGTGCGTAGGAGCGGCATTGGCATCCCCACTAGACGTGGCAGCAGCTGTCGAAGGGCCTGCGAGACTAGCAGAAACATCAATAGATAGAGGTGATTGACGGTGTGGAGGTCGCTCATCCTCAGTGGCTGTTGCGCGTGGCGTGGAGGGAATCACCTTGGCCTGCTTCTGCTGGCGTTGGTGATGCTCCTTGATGTGCTTTTGCTTTGCCTCGTCTGCCTTTTCTCTGCATTTCTCCACAACCTTGATATAATTGTCGAGGATAGTCGCGATGACAGGAACCATATCCGCCTCAACAACTCTGGTGCGAACCTTTTCAGTGCCTCGAACGCCAATGTTGACGACACACTGGAATGCAAGGTTCCATTTCCAGAGGTCCATGACTTCCTTACTGCGGCCCTCCTTCAGGATGCAGACCAGACGTTCAATTCCTCCATCGACAGTAAGAATTTCACGGATCCGGGCGGACGAGGTTGTGAGGTACGCGAGGTGGTTGAGCGAGTTGATGAGTGGCAGAGTCGAAGTGCAGTCAAGTGCTCGCCGGTCGTATAGAGCCGTGGTGATGCCCACAGACGCCTTGTTGACGTTGGGGATACTGAAGTTGACCTCCCTCATGTTGGTTCGATATATTCTGTAGCCTGTGTTTGTGGATCGAGCTGATACCCAGGGCCTAGGAGACACGGGACGCTCCGACAGGCCCCTTGCTGCGGGTGGTCGAAAGAAGAGATGTCACAATTGAACGAGTTCTGACGCTGACTGCTTGTCAGGGCTGAGTTCCGAAAGCACCAGTCGACACTCGTTTCGAAGCGTGTTGAGAAGTTTTCGGTGCGAATGGACTGGTAGGCTGAGCGCAGCCAAAGGGGGCGAATGACGGACGCAGGCGGCAGCAAAATGCTGAGGTGAGCGATAACGCGACGGCGGTGAGAAGAGCGATGCGAGAGTCGGATAGGGGAAAAGCCGTGAGAGTCCAAAACGGCTCCCGATAATACTCGATGGATAGTCAAGAAGACGGTCGTCGAACGACTCTGTGTGTAAATGGTGAAGTACTCGAAAGGCTTGAAGATGAGGAGAAGAGAGACGAAGTTGGCTGGGCGAAATCGGCTGGCACCTTACAGCATTGGGCGGCTTGGCTACAGCCGGAGGTTCGCTGATGGACGCACACTGTTTCAGGGCTTCAACAAGGCGGTCGGGCGCGACAGAATTGAAGATGCGAAATAAAACAAATAGAATAAAATAAGCTTTGAAAATTACTGATACGAAAATCAGGCGTAAGACAGTTGCTTAGACTGGGAAGACTACTCAAATTACTCTCTTTTTGGTCAAATTATGCCTTTCGTTCGGTCCAGTCTGCTAAGGCCGACGCTGGCTGGAGTCACTGGACCCTGAGGAGACCTACGGCAGTGGCAGTTAGTTGACTCAGGCGACAAACTTGGTTGCTTGGCAGTAAATATTACATGGCCGATGGGTGCACGTCGACGTCCAGTCTCCATGCATGAGTTGCCTCCCAACATCAGATTGCTTCGAAATGCGTCCACGCCAAGATTGAATGACAGTAGGTACGGACGAGATCTAAGATGTACTGCAGGGAGTAGAGAGAACGAGTTACGCAGGACTGCCTGTCAAACTGAACCCGCTCCACAGGCGAATCTAGGGGATATTTGTTGTTGCTTTGATTCCATGGACGTCAAACCCCCGTGCTTTGTCATGTGCAGGATTCCGGTCGTGATTGGCGTACTCTATGTAAGGTCCATGTCCTTGGTAACTGATCGAATACATACTTCCTACATAGACCGCCAGCATGCTCACAGTCTTTTTCGCGGATTGTTTGAAGCCTGCTCAGTGTTAAGGTAGACTCACTGCCAAATGACGCAACGTCCCTTGGATTTTCACCCCACACCCGTCACACCAGGCTTGTCTTGTACCGTCCCGGGTACGAACAAGTTTTGGGATTGTTTGTAACTACAGAGAATGTACCCTCTAGTGTACACTTTTCTGAGCTTCGGGCAATCCTGCCATCTCTAGACACGCATGGCGTAAGGCAAAGGACAAACGCAATGCTCCCTATCCCAAATGACCCTCGGATCTTAACTATGGCGGACATCATCACTCTTGAAATGAGCATCACCGGGTTGAAGACTTGCTAACAGGTCTGATTAGTCGCCTTCTTTCAACAAAAAAAAAGAAAAAAGGGAAATAAAAACCCAGCTTTACTTCCGCGTGATGAGACCAAGCCAATCAAAGAGCTGAAAGGCGCAACGGTTTAGAAGCGAAAATCACAAGGTTTGAAAAGTATATATAAATAAAATAGTCGGTTCTGGTCATCAAGTGCCCCATTGGTGCTCGCTCGTCCCCTGTGGCCCAGCTGGCTAAGGCGTCCGACTGTTAAGCTTCGTGCAACACAAAATCGGGAGATCCACAGTTCGATCCTGTGCGGGGGAGAATCTCTTTTGCTGTTGACAGCCAACACATTCAAACCGCAATCTTAATTTTTGGCGGTCATGTTTGCATAGGTGCTGGATATGCTCGATTTTTGTTCCAGAGATTTCATCTTCCTACAATGGATATTTATGGGCGCCAATTCTTCCACGGTCGCCCTGATCCTCACTAATACCGTTGTTCACTTCTCGAAGTACTTAAAGCCATGCTCTTATAGTTTACACGTCGCTGTCCTTTCCAGGGCAGCAGAATCAATCTTCGGTACAAAAGGGTCTGCTTCCAATGTATTCAAATATCCAGGGTGGAGCTGGTGTAGCGAAGTCACACCGCACATTTTCATCGTCGTCTCCAACTCATCTCTGAGAACTAAAGCACAGTCAGCATATTCGATCAAGCCAGGGGGATCGCATCGCACTTACTCTCGATATACCTTGAAACTCCATGGTGTCCATAGTTCAAAGAGTACAGTGTACCTCGGCCCAGGCCGACCGCCTTGGCGCCCAAACATAACGCCTTGAAGATATCGGTCCCTCGCGTGATGCCACCATCCACAAATACTTCCATATTTTGGAAGACCTCGGGGCAATTTTTATGCAACTCCAAGAGTGCCATGATCGTGGCGGGTGAAGTATCCAGACTTCGGCCACCATGATTTGAGACCACGATAGCTTCAACACCAGCACCCATGGCCATTATCGCGTCCTCGCACGTCTGTATTCCTTTGAGAACAATGGGCATCCCAGGAACACACTCTTTCACCCACGGGATGTCCTTCCAAGACATAGAGGCATCGATGTACCCGCCCATGATACGCCCGAGAGCTCCTCCTTTGGCGTCATTTTTTCCTGACGCACCAGACATGCCCGAGCGAAGGCTTTCGTCCGACTGTATGCGCTCATCAGCCTCTCGTTTCCCTGGAACTGGTGCATCGATGGTGAGAAATATGGCCGAAGCCCCCGCGCTTCTAGCTCTCTGCAGCAATTTTCTCGAGTTTTCGCGGTCCTTGTCCATGTATAGCTGGAAGAAGAATGGCACAGTATGCGGCTTGTCTGTAGGGTGGGCACGTGTCGCGGCGACAACGGCGTCTAGAGGGAATGAAGCACTGGTTGACACACATTGCGCGAGTCCAGCCTCTTTGATGGCCCGGCCAATTTCTTTCTCACCCTGCTCATGGACTAGACCTGCCATAGCCACAGGACTGCCAAAAATGGGTGCTCGTATGGCGTGCCCGAGCACGGTGGTGCTTAGATCGACATTTGCAACATCCCTCAAGGTACGTGGGCGAAGGCCAATCATTGCGTAGGCTTGCGCATTTCGCCTTTTGGTGTGCAGATCCGTTGCCGCTGAGGACACAAACGCCCAAGCCTTGGGAGTAAAGGTCAGTGAAGCAACCGCCTCAAAATCATGTGTAGAAATCAGGGACTCCAGGAGAGGCTTGGCTTGGCTGGAACTTGGAGAGGCTACGCCGACGTCGAGAGCCTCATGGCGATTGCCTTTAGAACGGGTGCTCATCGCGCGATCACTATCTTGAGTCGGCCACCGTTGCTGGCCGGCGTCAAGATCGTTCCGGACTTGGGAGCTTGTTATAACCGAACAACGTGACTTGAGCTCGGTTTAGTTGTCGCCGAGTTATGGGGCCCCGTGCGGGGGAATCGCAAGCTAATACTCCCAGGGTTTACAGTTCGCAGGAACGGGTGGTCTCTTGAGAGTGAGCCCGAGATACATTGAGGAGTGTGACGCCATGGATGGCGCAGTCTTGTCTGCCGGTGCTTTCAAGACTGTAGAGCTTTCCCTATCAATGTTTTGGCCTTTTCACTCAGCTCCATGCCAAGCGCCAGCTGTCGACCGCTCTCGCTCATTTTACCCCAAGTCTTCCTCAGAATGTTGATCATCTTCTCTTCGTCCAGATCCGCCTTCCTTTCGAAGTCGTCAAATTGATCATCGAGAAAAACCAGGCATGCGACGTCTTCTAGGATTTGCGTTTCATCATCTGTCGTCAAATTGCCCTTTCGGACAAGCAATGCAACGCGTTCTTTGTCTGCTTCTGAGATGGCTGGCGTGATAGAAGGTGTGCCCAAAAGGTCAAATACTTGCGCTGAAGCTTGCGATTTTTGTTTCGAGCGCCAGGTCAGATAGCCTGAGCGACCCATCGGGAAGCTGCTCCTCGGAAGCTCCCACCTGGTCTTCGTAAGCTATAGCTGTGAGAAATGAGCTGCGGTTTTCACCTTCGGAAGTGCTGGGCCCTGCAGGCCACCTGAAGCGTGGGTGACGCCTGGGGCGCCCTTTTCGCCAACCAGCTAGTCATCTTCGACGCATAGTGTAGCTCATACGGGAGGGGTTTTGCGGCCCCGGTCGCCAGAATGACGTTAGGGTCCTGGGCGTGAGCAGCGTCTATGAGCTCAACAGCCTGAGTCCATTGAGGCTCGAGTGGCGGCAGCGTGCTCATAGCCATGTTGCGACCGGCTTTCGGATTGACGTCGTCGAAGCTGATATGCGCAGAGGAGTGAGAAGAGGGCTAGGCATGCCCAGACACTTGCCGAAGACGGGAGTGTTGAAATGTGCTCTGTAATTGGCCAATGATGGATGCGATACAGATCCGTCTAGCCTCCCGACCGAGGCGTGATCCACAACCCACCCTCTGAGGTCCCGTTGCACATGCGAGCACTGCAGTCTGATGTTCAACCTGTCGCTCCGTGCGAGCTGGGGACCCAGAGCTATGGGTGAGTGCCATCTCAATCGCCGCTTATCTTGGCATGCCGGAAGTATTTCATACCCACCCAAGCCACGACAACCCATACCCAGGCCATGACACAGGTCAAAATCATAAGTGCCGGATAGTAACCTACAATAGGCAACGTTGGGTCATCCTCGAGTTCTGGCGGCGCGTATGGTGTCTTGCCAATGTCCCACGCCCAGCTCCAGACACCTAGACAGGAACCCATCCCAATCACGAATACAATCCACGTCACCGTCAAAATGATCCATCCCCACCATTCTGTAGCAGCGTAGTCCACCTCGACCTTCACCGGCGGTAATGGCGCAGCTGAGAGTCCACTGTATCCCAAAGGCGACTTGGCTTGCTGGAATGCCCGGCGATGTGACTGTGAAGATGTTACGCCGGAAAAGTATGTTTCCGACCTCGAGACTACTGGTGTACTGTCTGTTCTCGAAGGCAAATGAGGCCCCTCATCTTCGTCTGTTGTGGAATGGTAGGCTGCTGCTGCACTCGGTTCCTGAGCGTCTGTGCAGCTTGTGAACGACGCTGAGCTCCCAAGATTGGCGCCATTCGAAAGCCCATCGGTCTGCAGTACTATATCAGAAGGACTCAGGCCTAGGGCGTTGTAATGGTGTGTTTGATGCGCCTTTGAATCGCTAGGTCTTTTCTTGGTTGAAGACGGGGTGTTTGTTTGAGTCGTCAAGGGACTGCTGGCTTGATGTCCCTTGTCACTTGCAACGCCACGCCCCAACAGTGCCACCTTTCTGAGAGAGCCGCGTCGACGCCGTGTAGTCTTCTGCTGTTGCAGAGCGCTTGCCAGGGCGCGGGCGCCTGGAGCCGGGTCACTGGGATCAACATTGTGGTCGTCCTTGGTCGTCGAGCTCGTAGAGGTTCGCATAAAGGGGAATTTGGATGAAAAAAGCTTGCGCTGAGCTGCCTGTGGGACGGTCTCTAGCTGCGGCGGCAATGAGGACGAGGTGTCGGCGGAAGAAGTCCGTTCTAGGTTTGACCTATTATTGTCCGACTGCTGCTGTGCATCTTGGGCCCCCATGGTGGACCGACAGGAAGGGCACTAGGCCCCTTACCCAGTGTTTCCGACAAGGACCTAATGACTGATCACTGACCAGCTAGATCAACCGGGGAATACCGAGGCTCCATCAATGGTTGGCTGGCACATCTGGGCGAGGCGTGGAAGCTCAAGTTGGAATCACGCCAGGCCAAGGGAACACGCGTTGAACGGTTGAGGATCTACCTACCTGGTAAGCTGCGCCGCGTGTTTTGAAATTGGCGTTAGTACCGAAGGTAGCTCATTAGGTAGCGTGCACCTACCCTATACGATTTTAGGTACCTTACCTTATGGTTGCAAACATCCCGCCACCTTGTAATCAATTGATGGCCTATCAACGGCGCCTAGTTTTAAAAGCGTGAGGCTCGATCTTAGAGTAGGCGGGTCGGAAATGACAGTGTCAATAGGGCGTTGGTTTTCAAATGCGACTGGGACTGATATTCGCAGTACTTTGGACAAAAAGAAACAAAGGGGGTTATCACTTTGCGAGAAGCCCGTCGTCTTTTAAACAATACCGTATGGGATACCGCGTAACCACTCTATCTAGTCTCGCTTTCGTGGAATCGTCAAGAAATTGAACCTACAGAAACATATGTTTACCAATTGATGTTTGCAGTGGTTCTCAGCTAGACGCATATAGCTTCTCGCGGCAGCGATTGCGACGCCCCACCCACAATCCACGGTATCCCCGACAGCAAGGCAAGGCACTCCTCGGAGCCGTCAACACCATCCTCATCTCGAATCAACTTCGTCGTACCGCTCTCCACGATGTCTCTGGATGGGAGCGCTGTGGAGGACGTGTCGATACCAGCGCCTACGTCAACGCTGCCTGTCCCAAACAATCCCTTCAACTTCCAGACACAAGCTATCACTGCCGGGCCTGCCAAGTCTGTAAGTAGCGGCGTCAACTCTTCTTCACTTAGCTGCTGCAATACTGACGCGATCAGAATATTGGCCAACGGCGCGGCCACCGATACAAGCACAGTAGCATATCGACGCAGCACCAAATCTTCCAAGAACCGCCACCCCGACCGCCCCCCGTCCTACCTGCGTCTCTGCCGATACCAACCATTAAAGAAGCATGGAAGAGCATGCACAAAGATCAGCGAACGAGACTGTCATGGTGCCTCTGTCACTTGGTAGTTGCTACGTACATATTCTTCAAATCAGAGGGATCACTCGCGGCCACAGCCTTGTCCCATCTGGTCTTCTTTGATGCTGGCAGCGCAATGGTCTGTGTTGTGGTCGAGGTTCTGGGGAACTTCGAGGTCTGGAGACGCAGCAGTGTTCGCCATCCCTTTGGCCTGGCGCGAGCCGAGGTTCTGACGGGATTTGCCATGTCTGTTTTCCTGCTCTTTGGCGGGTTCGACTTGATATCGCACAACTTGAAGCACTTTCTGGAGGAGCTTGGGGACCACGAGTCGCACCATTCCCATCCCCACGAGCGCGTCTCGGCTGGAACCGTCGACTTTGTGGCCGTTGCCGCCATTGCCACGAGCATTGTGTCGGCCTACGGTCTGAAGAACCACGCTCGGATCTCAAAGGTCATGCGCGTCTCCTACCTGGCGTCGCTGCCTAGTGTCCTTTCGAACCCCTTCCACTTCCTGACCATCTGTGTGTCGCTCCTGATTGCAGTGCTGCCGCTTCTTTCCATCACGCTTTACACGTGGCTCGACCGACTGATTTGTGCTACCATTTCTGTGGCAATGTTCGGGCTTGGCGCGCGATTAGCCGTCGCGCAGGGACTCATGCTGTTGATGTCGTATGGGGGCCATGGCGGTAACGCAGGAGTGTCGTCAGTCCTACGAGAAATCGAGTCTGACTCGAGTGTTACCCGGATTGACGATGCCCAGTTCTGGCAAGTTCACTACAATCTATGCATGGCCAATTTGAAGCTTAGCGTGGTCAAGGGCTATGATGAGGCGTCGCTGGGGAAGCTTCGCAGTCGTATTTCTTCACTCATTCAGAACCGCCTCGGCGAAGGCTATGGTACTGGAGGTAATATGCGATGGGAAGTGACCCTCGAGGTGACCACAGATGCGACATCTTGAAAACCTCAGTATTATATTCTTAGTGAAGCATGGTCTTGAGAGTAATTTCTTATTTTGATGAACCTGAGTAGGGTATCGAAGCAGTTACAAATAAGCAATGTCTAGGTAAAGATGGAACATTCTCACTTAACCCCCTAAATCAGTACCCAGGAAAACTCCAGAGCCTTTCATGTCTCATACATGTGCTGGCTATGCATGATCAATTCAAAACAAGCCCCAGCGTCCCCTTTCTTTTTGGCCTCTAGTCTTGGAAACCGAACCTCTGCGTTCCCGCTCCCTGCTTTCAAGTTGCTTCAAGCTTTCCATCTTGTCCAGGACAAGCTCAAGCAACTCCTTTCGACGGATGACATCGAGGTGCTGCCTGATCTTGGGGTCTTCCTTTGCGAATCTCTCGATCTCATGATCAGATAGGTGTCGCCCCAGGCGCAAGTCGAGCTCACGAGGGAAGTTGTAGTAGAATTCGGACAGAAGCTCGACGTTGAGGAACAGAACCGCTGTCGCCGCGAGCTTGGAGGCCGCGGCATCCAGAAACACTTCTGGGCAGTAGTATTTGTTTTTCAAGCTAGCACACTGCTTGGATTTGACAGCCAAGAGTCGCATCTTGAGGATGTCTGCTCTGTCCCTGTGGAAAACTGCCTCACGTCCTATTCTTGTCAGCCAGTCTGGATTCTTGGATAATGTGCTTCTTACCTCTTGTGAGGAGCGCAGCACTGAAACCTCCAGCTCCGCTACGACCGTCGCCTTCGACAACGATGTCCCCTTTGCGGGCCTTGTCAACAAAGGCCATGACCTCCTTGAGCTTCTTCCGTCCACCCGCGGATGCTTCGAGGTTACTCATAGCACTTTCACAGTCCTTCAGCTCTTTTTTCAGCACCGTCTGGACATGCTCACGGCCATGGGCCCACTCCCGGTCGTCCATGTCGATATCAAATTTGTAGGGCTTGATGCAATTTTCGACCTGGTCGCTTGTACTGTAATACCTCTCATTCAGAATTGTCGATGTAGCATCCAATATCGCCTCGCGTGCGAAAGGATGGGAAGAGAAACTTGACTTTGCAACCAGCCGCTCAATCTGAGCCTGGATCGCGGATGCAACAACGCTCGTGGCCAATCGCCCCACGCCTAATTTAGTCAAAGCCGAAGTTGATGCGTCTAATTGTCGACGCCAGTACAACGAGTCTGGGCTAGCCCTGGGCAGGTCGGCAATGCTGTCTAGGTCAGGTCGCCCAGGAGCGAGTCCGTCGATAGGCTTATTCCAATATCGAAGTGCTAGCAAATCGAGCACTTTCTGGTCCAGTTCCTCCTTAAGCAATTCTTGCATTTGCGGACGACCAAAAGCTTCCGAAAACTGCTTGAAATTGTGCTTGAAGGCGTCTAAACTTTCGGCCAGGTAAGATTCCGCAGAAAGCGGCCTGTCGTTGTACTGAACCTTGAACTCGTACGTAGCCTCCTCTAATTCTTGCTTAATAGCGTCGCTGGTGGATGCAAGACTGGCAGACATTGTTTGCTCCAACGTGTGCATGAGCTTTTTGCGTAGTGTCATAGTGCCGACGTCAACACCAGCATCTGCTCCGAATTCGAAAGGGTGGGAGGAAAAAAAAGCATTTTCCTGCTTGACAATGGTCGACAGCAAGTCCATCGAGCCCATTTTGAAGAGACCTTGCGACTGGGGCGCCTTTGACACGACACCCACATATCCTAACCTCAATGGGTATTGCTTATCGTTCAGGATCGAGGCTCCTCTGCGTGGATCGACGAGATCCATTTTCGTGATGACTCCAATTGTGCGTTCGCCTCTTGGGTCAACCCGACGCGAAGCACGCAGCGCGGTCGAGTTCGCTAGATCGACATCGGCAGCCGAGATAGCCAGAATGACGTTGGGTGGCTGGATGTACTTATCACACAAGTCGGTGATCTTCTGCTTTAGCTCCAACGGCTGATTGTGGCCCACAACCTGTATATATCCAGGAAGATCGATCAAGGAGAGATCCGGTACATTTGGCGAGTATACCGTCAAGTGGATGGGGTCGTCCGAAATGGCTTCAGTGTCTGGCACAGCCATGTTGAGCTCGGTGAGCGTCCTTTGTATGGATGTGAAGTCAGTTATTCGCCTGAGTCCCAAGTCGGGGAATTCCCCGTATTCGTCCTTCGATTCTGGGGTATTGACGAGCGTCAGTTCGATGGGTCTTCGCGTGACCATGTTCGAGCCCTTTGGTAAGAATTCATGTCCAACAATCGCCTCGAGCACCGAACTCTTTCCCGAGGATTGAGAGCCTATCACAACGATGGCAGGCAATGTCAACGATTCTGACTGCCCAACCTGTTGCAGAATGCTCCGGATTTCGATCATCTTCTTCGTTAAAACCATCATCTGATCATCGCGCGCCACCTCTTGTACTTCTCGTGGGTCGTTCTCGCCCGACTTCTCGTATCCATAGGCTGCTGCGGTGGCGCCTGCTGCGGTGGCGCCTGCTGCAACACCGGCACCGACTTTGCTCTGCTTTGGATCCTTGTCGCCATTTGGACCACCGTTGTCGCCACCAGTGCCAATATCCTCATGGATCCGAAGTATCTTCTTCAGCCATTCTGGCGGTTCCACTGCCTCTTTCGTGGCCTCCCAGCCTTGATAAGTTTGCTCGGCTACGTCGCGAGCACCGCCAAAAAGGGAACCCAGAGTATCGGTGACAGTGTCTTTGGTGGTGTTGAATACGTTGATGGCATATGTTCCGGCCTCTGGTTCCCGTTAGCGATGGTAGCGTGGCAAAGCATTTCACATACGATTTGCTTGATATTGCACCCAAGTGAATGCAGCTATCGTGCTGGCAGCAAAAAGCGCTGGCAACCGCACGAGTTTGACAACAAGCTTCGGCAAGATCCGGCTGAAGGAGGCATTGCGCACAGTGACTGCATGATGGAACGCATTTCCTTGAAACCATATCCGTCTTTGAGTCGCTCTCACAGCAGCGTCAGCTCTCAGCAGCCCGCCTGTTGGGAATCGATGCAAGTATCGGGCGATGTTAGCTGGCGCGCGTCGCGTCACCGGCCGCATCCCCGTGGTAAGCATGCGTCCGCTCATGGTGAAGATTTTGGTGAATCTGCCTGGCCGTCACCAGGCCGGAAGCTCAAGGACTTCAGATCAGTGATATTGGTGCATTCGTCGGACGGTAGTGGTCGGGGTTGTCGAGTCGCAGGCTACGTACTACGTAAGTAGTACTTGGTTTATGCTGAAATGATGGGGACTTCGGGCCGTTTGACAGGCGCTCAGGATGCATGGCGCTTCGAGGCAGCGCCGTAATGCGGCGCCTGGGGTCTTTATCGGCACGTGATGGTGCCTTATCTCCGCCGGAGGAAAAAAAAAAAAAAAACCTTGGGACGCTGCATCAGTTATTGTAAGCGTCTGGTCGCGGGGTGCCTACCCAACCCATACATCGTATTCTCAGGTCCGAATCGCCGCCATGGCTATACAAAAAAAGCATGGCAAAGGTCGCCTGGACAAATGGTACAGGCTCGCGAAGGAGAAAGGCTACCGAGCACGTGCTGCTTTTAAGCTGATCCAATTGAACAAGAAATATGGCTTCTTGGAGAAGAGCAAAGTGCTACTGGATCTCTGCGCTGCACCAGGAGTAAGAGTGAACCTATCTTTGAGCCAACTCCGCTAACGCAGATCAGTCATGGTCGCAAGTTGCAGCAGAGGTAATGCCTATGGGCAGTCTCATTGTTGGTGTCGACTTGTCTCCCATCAAACCTATCCCTCGCGTTATTACATTTCAAAGCGACATCACGACCGACAAGTGCAGAGCCACAATCCGACAACACTTCAAGACGTGGAAAGCCGACACCGTTCTTCACGATGGCGCGCCAAATGTCGGTACCGCATGGGCTCAAGATTCGTTTAACCAGGCCGAGCTGGCCTTACAGTCTTTGAAGCTGGCGACCGAATTTTTGGCAGAAGGTGGAACATTTGTCACCAAAGTCTTCCGATCCAAGGACTACAACTCCCTGCTCTGGGTATTTAATCAGCTCTTCAACAAAGTCGAGGCTACTAAGCCTCCTTCGTCTCGAAATGTCTCTGCGGAAATTTTCGTTGTATGCAGGGGCTTCAAGGCACCCAAGAAGATTGATCCCCGTTTCCTTGATCCGAAGAACGTATTCGCCGAGCTGCAAGGAGCGACGCCAAACAACGAAGCCAAAGTATTCAACCCCGAGGTGAAGAAACGCAAGCGAGATGGTTACGAGGAGGGTGATTATACTCTATACAAGGAAATCACTGCGAGCGAGTTCATCCAAACTACTGACCCGATCTCCATTCTCGGCTCGTACAACAAGCTCACCTTCAAGCAACCACCCAATGGCGACGTGGCTTTGGCGGCACTTGACCAACTTCCTGAGACCACGGACGAGATTCGGCGTTGCTGTGATGACCTGAAGGTGCTCGGAAGAAGAGATTTCAAGCTGCTGCTCAAGTGGCGTTTGAAAGTCAGAGACATCTTTGGCTTCCGTGAGAAGAAAGAGGACATCAAGGAGGGCGCGGATGCCAAAGATGAAGCCGCGGAGGAGGTTGCTGAAGTCGAATCCATGGATGAGGAGCTGCAAACGCAGGCGGAGTTGCAGGCTATGAAGGATCGAGAGAACGCAAGGAAGAAGCGCGAAAAAAGACGCGAGAACGAAAAGAAACAGCGGGAAATTGTCCGTATGCAACTGAACATGGTTGCTCCTATGGATATCGGCATGGAAGAAGCTGGTCCCCAAGGCGAGGGCTCCATGTTCTCCCTCAAGAAAATCGACAAGACTGAAAACGGCATCAAACGCCTCGCACGCGGTCGCATGTCCGTGCTGCCGAACAACGAGCAGCCAAAAGACAGCGGCGTCGGCACGTCGCAAGAATCCGATGATAGCGACGACGACTCTGTAGCAGACCGATTGGAAGGCGAGCTGGACAGCATGTACAGCCGATATCAAGAACGAAAGGCGGAGTTGGATGCCAAATACCGGGCCAAGAAAGCCAGGAAGGAGCATGAAGACGACGAGTGGGAAGGTGTATCCGGCGGCGAGGATGCTGAACAGAGCGTTTCCAGCGATTTGGAGGAGGAAGACGATTCGGATGATGAATCAAAGGATGATGTTGCTGGCAAGGGCTTGGTGAGGGACCTCGACGACGCACCGGCAACGGACGGTGGCCTGTCGAGGAAAGCCGCTGCTTTCTTTGATCAAGACATTTTCAAGGGAATTGCATTGCCAACGAGCACTGCCAAGACCACCGTCGAGAGCAAGCCCGCCCCATCGACTAATCGCGAAGCCGGACCAGACGTCGACATGGGCTCAGACGACGGCAAGGATGTGAATGAGATCTCGCGCTCATTCGAGGTTGTCAAGCGGGAGCGGAATGCCGACGACGAAGAGTGGGAGAACCGCGAAGACAAACGATCAGACGGCCGACCTGGTATGCAATACTCCTTTTCTTTTGGCGCTACTTGTTCGCTAACAACCTAGACATTGATATCATCACGGCTGAAGCCATGACACTCGCACACCAGCTTGCAACTGGTCAGAAAACATCGTACGACCTGGTCGACGATGGGTTCAACAAGCATGCCTTCAGAGATCGCGATGGTCTACCAGACTGGTTTTTGGACGACGAAGGCAAACATGACAAGCTTCAAAAGCCAATCACCAAGGCCGCTGCCAAGGCCATACAAGAGAAAATGCGAGCCTACAACGCACGTCCGATCAAGAAGGTTCGCGAAGCTAAGGCGCGCAAGAAGATCAAGGCCGCCCAGAAGTTCGAGAAACTAAAAAAGAAGTCTGATATGCTTGCGGCGGATGAGGGGATGACAGAAAAGGAAAAGGCAGACACTATCTCCAGGATGTTGAGCAAGGCATCGAAGAAGAAGGCCCCGACCCCGGCAAAACTCGTCGTGGCCAGGGGCGTGCATCGTGGTGTCAAGGGCCGACCGCAAGGTGTCAAGGGGCGTTACCGCATTGTTGACCCGAGGATGAAGAAGGAGTTGAGGGCACAAAAGAGGATTGCTTCGAAGAAGAAGCGTTGAAAGTTGATGTATGACTATTTCTGGTTGATATGACTACTTCTGGTTGGACACACCCAAGTTTCTAATAAACGTTGTGGATGGGTAGAACGGTCCTGAGTAATCCATGTCGTACCAGAAATTCATAGCCACTACGCAGCCCTCCTCATTACTTGATTGCTTGACCTTGTGGTACCACATCGCAGGGAGATAGAGCATGTCGCCCGGATCTAGGGTGACACGCACCGCCTTGGCTAGATGTGAAAACTCAGTAGCTTCCCTCTCAGCCTTGTCAGGGTCCCAAGTCGCCAAAGGCACCCTCTCTTCGTCCTCATCCACCTCCAGCGTGAGCACGCCTCCAGTGCGCGTGTAGGTGGCCGGCTGCATCATCTTCTCATTGACACAGGGATGGAAGAGGGGCGGCAACAAGATGAAATGTTTTCTACCCAAAACCTGCACATAAATATTCTCCATAGGATCGCGGTGCAAGCAGGTGACTGAGCAGGAGTTACCTATCCACAGGTTGATAGCCTCTGCTTCCTTCTGCAATGCGATGCGGGCGAAAGGAATGTCACTCTGAGCGTCCGCGAAGAGACTAATGTACTCATTGCGGAAATTGTCGTTTTCTGTATCGAAATCAGTCCATCTCAATGCGTAAATCACGACCATCGCGAGCTTACGTGTCTGGGCGTACCTCACTTCGGCCGACTGCGATCCTTGTTTAAGCTCTTGCGTCGTGACATAGTCAAGGAACTCGTCAAAGGCCTGCTCCTCCTCGTGGGGCTTGGCAATGACGGTCGAACCATGGCACGGCGAAAACGTTGGAGCATCGGCATTACTACACATTGACTCGTCAGAACCCAAGTCGAATGCCCATCCAGCATGATACGGTTACCTACCCGTGTGGGGTTATGGCGACATTGACCCTTTGCCCTGCTAACTTATCTTTCAAGTAGTCCGGCGTCCACTTCTGATGCGATTTCCACGATGCCGCACCTTGTCGTACAACGAAGGGTGTGTTGCGGGCGACGGAACGCATGAATTCGAGTGGACTTGGCTCATGATCAAGCTCCTCTACCGTGGCGCCGTTGAGATCGTTGTAAGTGGTGAGAAGCTCGCGCACAGCTGCGCGTGTACCATCTGCATCTCCATAGGCGGCCATTCCCGCTCCTGTTAAAGGCGACTTCCGGACGCCACCATTGAATGAATTATGTTATGGTCAATTTGGGGTCCAATTAATGGCTTGTGCTTCGGGAAAGAGCATGCGACAGAGCCAGGATGGAGAGTACCGGGAAAGTACCGTGACACGTTCACATGGCGCCATCGTGAATAATTTTGCGTTGGTTGTTGGTTGAACTGAGTCAGGCTGGCAGCGGCCCGCCCAAGTGGAACCGGCTGTGCAAATCTCACCACTTGGAAGGAGCCCGGCCCGGAGAGCTCGGCGGGGCCATCCAGCCGCAAGCTGCAACTGCAGGGCGCGAACGAACAGTCTTTCCTGCCACTGCGTGGCCTGGCCGTCCAATGGGTTTTCCACCATGACGACGACAGTCATAAGCCTTGGCTCGGGACACCACTCGAACCCTGATCCTCGAGCGATCTGTCACTTGCAGACCTAGCCCTGCCGCCCTGACGATCTCCCTTGCGCACCTAGAGGTGTGGAAGTACCAATACTCGAAATCGAATGCTTGCGCAGAAACACCACGCACCATCTTGAATGTTCCTCCACGACGCCGGCCGAGACCTACTCGTATGCAACCGATTCCAGAATAGCAGAATGCGCTTACGCTCCTGCAAAAGTCACGCGTCCTTTTCAGTGAACGTCTTCTTCGAGTCCAGCCCCAGCTTGCTTCCCACGGCACCCATGCGAATCGATCCAGATCAACAGCATTGAACTGTTGGCCCAAGACATACCGCCATCAATTTTGCCAGACTACTAGGCACGGATCGAACAAAGATCATACAATCTGTGCTGCACCACGCGGCCTCATGATTTGGTACTTGCTGTATCCGCTTAGAGGGTCAGTATCCCCGGAAGTAGGGTGAGGCTCAGATGCTCGCAAGCCCTTCTCCAGGATTGGACGCTCACAACTATTGAACAGAACCACTGAAGCTCCGGCCCTCTCCCTGGCTCACCCTTTGCGCAAGGCTTTCGCGCGCTACGGCCGATATGCGGCCCGGCATGTGGTCACAACACTGCTCGTGTCTGCTGCTGTAGCCACCATCTTGCTATATCCGATCCCGTTTCTGTTCACAACCGACTTCATCAATGGCGCGTCGAATTTTCCACATCATGCCTGGACCGTGGCGCAGCCTCTCCCATACCACGTGGTTACAGAGCCCGACATCATCATGCGCTCAGCATGGGTTCATGGCAGCTACATGCAAGCGCTCGACCCAAAGCTACTGGTGTCAGCATTGGGCCTTCAGGATGAGCTGCTTGGGAGCACCGAGGAAAACGATTCCAGAGACGACGCTGAAGACCTGAAAAGCCACCTTTACAATTCTTCCGATGGGGAGTCCACGCTCACAGAGCGTGACGATGCACACGCGATAAATGGCTTCACCAATCAGTCGTGGTTCTTCCACTCGCCATTGCAATACTGGGGATGTTCGAAGACACGGATACTGGCTGACGACGATGTCATTTCAACGGTGAACTATATGAAGACTATGTCGACCGCGGTTAATGTCACTCTGCGGCACTCGGTCGTCTTCAGCGGCAAACGTTTCGAATATCGGCGATTGGTAGCTGCTGATGCTCTCGTCATAACTCTTTTACATCGGCGAGACTCGCCCATTGCGCGGCAGTGGGAAAAGAAGGCAGCTCTTCTCGCTGCCCAGGTCACGGAGGACTGGGATGTCTATCCCCCAAATGGAATCATATCGTCGAGTCGATTATATGAGTTCCAATTTCGGCCGATTTCTACACAGGACACTCTTACTTTGACGCTGGCATATGGGCTTGCCATTGGCTACTTTGTAATGAGCTTGTTCAAGATTCGTGCCGTGAAGTCCAAGGTTGGCCTTATGATTACAGTCGTCACACAGATTGTGTTCGCTATAATGTCAAGCTTCACCGTGTGCGCTGTGTTCAACATCGATCTCTCGAGGATCCCAAGAGCAGCCTATCCTCTGGTCATCCTTGCAATGAGCCTTGAGAACATCTTCCGATTCATCAACGCCGTCATACTGACGCCCTCGGAAGACAGCACTACGAGCAGAATCGGTCACGCCTTTGGCGAAACCGCGCCAGTAGCCCTGGCAAGCACAGCGCAGAACGTCCTCATCTTGACAGTCCTTGCAAGCGTAGTTTCGCCAGGCGTTTCCGCTTTCTGCATATTCTTGGCAGTAGCCATCGTTTTCGACGTGTTCTACCTTTCCACGTTCTTCCTAGCTGTGCTGAGCGTCGATGTACGGAGAACGGAGTTGAGCGATGCGCTCGCCAAAGTGGCCATGCGGCAAACCCGTCGCGCAGTCGAGCCTCGTCGACGGACATGGATCGAGCAGGTCGTTCATGGACAGACAGCCTTGTCGACCCGTATCGCAGGTACCTTCGTCATGATAGGCTTTGTCGTCATCGCGCAATGGCACTTTTTCCAAGGGCAAACGATGCTAAACACCACCATCGGCCTGTTTTGGGACTCGGCAGTTCATCTATTCGGGTCGTCAAAGACATCTGAGCTTGAGGGCATTAACCAAGCGAGAAGCCCGACGTCCTGGCTCCGGCTGCAAGACCACGAGACCGCGCAAGAGCTGATCAACATCATCAAGCCTTCAGCACACAGTTACACTGCACAAGTGCATGATCCCTTGGTCTTTGTCAAAAAGGGGGCCGATCGAAGCAGTCGTGGAGACGAGCCTACTCTGCTGCCGGCCTACTACGACTTTATTAATCACCATCTGACGCAATTCGTCGTCATTGTGGTCGTTGTCATCGCCGCCTTGCGCTTGCTCATCAGCTATCTTCTGTACGAGGATAAAGCGCACATCGAGGAAGAAGGCGATTGGGAAGACACGCCGCTGATATCCATACAGCACCTGCCCAAAGGTCATGATCTCGATGTTGTGATGCTGACAGCTTCGCTCGATGGACACATTGTGTCCGTCGGCCTCGACCGGATGATCCGGGTGTGGAATGCGCGAAGCGACCGAGACAACTACACCCTACCAGAGCATCCCTCAGACGGCGGGAATGTATTCCCGGTCTTGGCGTTGACAGTCGAAGATGCCTCGCGATGGCTTGCCCTTGTCTCTCCTCAGCGTGCGTTGTTCTGGAGCTTGACCGACAAGTGCTGGGGCCCGTCAGTCAAGATAGCATCTCTGGCGCAACGCCCAACTTGCATCTTCTTTGCCCAAAGTAACAATAATTGTAGCTCTGCGCTGATTGTCGTGCGTCGCGATGGCGCGGTCACTGAGCTCACCACTGACGAACGCCACCAAACCTCAGACTTTGTCCTATGCGAGGATGGGCTGGCGTACACGGAGCCCCTCGTCTTTCGAGGCCATGGCACGATGAAGCGCAAGACCCGCTTCACTCTTTTGGCAATATCCAAAAAAGGTTCTGTCTACCTGGCTTCACGGACTGAGTCGGAGTGGACGTCCCGTCAAGTCCCGGCGGCATGGTTCGGTTCTCAGAAGCCGCACCAAATATCAGGGGTGGCTTCACTGGGATTATTCGCAGTTGCGACGGCAGCGCGCGTTCACTTGTTTGACGTCGAGCACTGCGAGCTCCTCCACACTGTTGAGACGGAGACCATGAAGCCTAGGTCCTTGCATTTTGCGTGCACGACTCAAAGAACTGCGCACATAGATTCGCCAGGCATCACATCGCTGACCATGGCTTTCATTGAGGCAGAGACAGGCGACTGTTCACTGTATACATTTCTCCCTTCAGAAGATTTCGACTCCATTGGCTTGCACGCGCCCTCGGGCGCTACAGACGGTGAGGGATGTGCCTGGGGTGATGCGGTCTTGACGAGGCGAAGAGTCAAGAACCCGGGCAGTCACAATGTTTTATCCGACGGCAGTGTGGTCGGCATTCGCCGAAAGAATCCCCGAGAACCCGAGAACGGAGGCCAATGCCGCGGTTCGCAGGAAGGACTACGGAATCGGTTTACTTCCCGCAGCCAGCCCAGGCCTGAAAATATCGAATGGGAAGCTTGGACGGTGTCACCAAGCGTGCGCGCTGGAGCTGATGAGGAGAGACCGCTGTTCAGCGCCAACGAAAAGCCTATTCATCTGTTGGTCTCTAGCTTGGGGCCCCAAATCAAGATGGGTATGATGTCAATCGCATTCTCGCTGGGCAATATGGTCAAGCTGGTGACTGTGGGCGGAATCGAGAGGTATGGGACCAACGCAGACGACGCCGCGCAAGAAAACTTGCTCAACATGGCGAGCCGGCGTCGCAAAGGCGGAGGTACCTGGAGACCGCGAGGATGGACTTGATATGATGCTCATGAGACTTGGTATGCAGGGTTTAGTGTTTTGGATGGACCTTTCTTTGTCGTGGAGTACGGCGGTAACATGGTGCCAAATGGCACCCTTTTGTAATCTTACTATTCATGTATACCATTTCCTTTCAGGTGGCACCGGCGTAGCTCTCTCTTGTGGTTGGGGGCAGCACTATCTGCACTGGGTACTAAGGAACAGCGAAAGGCGTTCACTGGGGATCATCAGCTTGATACAAGAGGCGGGCTTTGTGTTTTCTGCTCCTTCACTTGAAAGTACAAGTACTGATATTAATGGTAGCCATCGAGCTTGCTCATTCTACAAGTTGTTGCTTGAAGGAGGTATCACCTGTAACTACTTGCCAAGGCAGACGACGGGAATGAATCACGGGCACGTTCTGTGTGTGGCTGTCTTGTCTCGGTTATCATATACAGGTAGACGTTGCCGTAATGGTGCTGCATGAGTCATCAGCAACAACGACTTGGGGACTCATAGGTGCGCACCTAGGTGCGAGACTAAGATTCTTAGTCAGCCGGAACCCCATAAGTCAGCATAAAAGCCAATCAAATACCTTACGTACCTAGCCTCATACCAGCCTCAAGGGCCAAGGCCGCACGCAAAGGCACACATAGGTAGCCTCGTCACCGCACACGTAGGCAGCTTCAAGGCCGCATACATAGGCACACACAAGCAGCCTCATCGCCGCTTACACAGGCAGCCTTTGCGGCATGCGCGTATCTAATTGGCACACGAACCTATTCTATGGGGCTTAGCTGACTAGAAATCTTAGATACGCACCTATGAGTCCCCCAACGACTTCGCATCTCGTGCGAGAGCAGGCCCCGATGGATTCTTGTCGTCACCTCAGGCAGGGCCAGGGCTTGTGCGGTAGGTGTGAGCGACTCTGAAAATCGCCGCTCACAGCAGCTCAGGTTTATGCTGCTCTGGGTTGCGGTTGACGACCGAGCCTGGCGGTGTGAGATATGCCCAGGGGTTAACGGCACTTACGGGGCGAGCATCTGCTTTGCGTACCACGCCCTGCCTGCCGGTACTTGAATACTCCGTTGCGTCGCAAGCAAGACAGTGTAGTAATAGCATGTAAGCTCAACAGATGAGCCGTTCTTCCGCGAGCCTGCAGCCATCAACTAATTGCTAGTACCAAGCACGCACTTCAAGAAGTTCTGACAGCATATGAAGCACTCGCGAATTCCTACCTTGCTATTCCTAGATATTAGTGGCCTTCCAAAACAAGGCGGTGACGAACTGGGGCTAGATCACAGAAGGTCTCGTTTGCAAGTCAAGGACGAGCGCGTGCGCTCGGTCGCGTCCGCAGTGCCTTGTCTGCTCACATGAGTCTCGTCCGGCATCGCTACAACGACGCCGAACCTTAATCAACAGGTACGCCATCCAGGTATAAAGCCTTGGCTCTAGCCACTTCCAATCCCATTTCGAGCTTACCAACCTACCTAACTTACCTTACCTTAGTATCGACAAATTATCACGATCCATTCCACACAGCAATAGTCTATCATCATCATCACCACCATGCCTACTCGTCAGTTACCTCCAATGATTGGAGAATTCACGCCGCAAGATGGAAGCTCTCCTGCTCAACGTTGCTGTTAAAGCATACGACCAAGTCACCGATTGGCGGCCCTATACAGATGAACTATGGATTCTACAGAGGTTGTCCCCGTCAACATGTGCTTCCATTGCAGAAGCAGGCCACCGCATGATACACTTTCTCCAGTAGACCTTGAGAAAAAGCTGCGTACTGGGATATATTTATAACACTGTTAATTATAAGAGCTTTACTTACGTTTAATACGAGATTTACCTCCGCACTGCCGGCGCGATCGAAGAATGAAGGGCACTAGTACACCGAATACTGTGGATTATGGCTGGAATCGGTTCATTGATGATTGTGTTGGCAGTATTAGTGATGGGGATTTTCTACTCATAATAGCGACAGCGAGGAATACAGCGACAATCCGCCCTGGATGGCGTATCCTTCCTTCGTATAGTCCAGTATCTACTGGCTGTTCTCCACTCAAGTGCCCGCCAGGTCATCGTGCATCAACTTCCAGGCGCACAACACCGTCCAGGACTTGAGATATTACTTCAATTCGTCAACAACGCATTGAGTATTATTAGATCCCGGACCAAAGTCACTGTAAAGAGAATTAGGCTTGACTTGCGCAAGCGCCGAACAGTGGCCTTGACGCGAACGGGACGCGCATCGCCAGTCGCTACCCGGTGCCCAGGCTACCTTTCATTGGCATTGGCAAGTGTTTGCATCTCGAGGAGAGCAGCTTCCATTTAATACTGAGCGGACGGGTGCGGGACTGGCGCTACATACTCATTCTCATTCAACCCCAGCCGCGCGGTTGGCGCCCCAATCGATTCTTCACCGCTTTACTGGCCGAGTGGACTTCTTCCAAGCCTGCTGCAACCCGCGGACGGAACGTATCCCAGCCTCCTACGTTGTTATCCCAGTTTAGCTGCGTCGGCACTTCAACAGCTGGTGGCGATACACTACCTCACCAAACAACTGCTGTCACCACGACTCGACTGCCACCTCAAGGCATGATGCATCCTTCCAGATGACGTTGTGATACTGGCCCTCCTTCCGAGCACAACTGCAGTCCCATGCGGCTGTCTCTTGCTCCTTCTTGTCCATCTCCGCATGTCGGTACGCACCTCTTCAAGAACTTGCGCTCCGCTGGGTTACCTCTGACTGACAATACTGCAGATATTGAGCTTTCAAGTCGCCAGCACACTGTTCCGGCACCCATATAGCTACACAAAGAGCCAATCAACCGCGAATGTTGCATGACACTGCAATTGCAACGACGAACTTGATCGAACTTGACGTGACCTCACCACGCCCCGACAGCTACCCACCGAATCGAACCGAATTCAGAGACTTCCCGCCGACTTGACCCGCGCGCATTCCGCGTCCAGACCCTATCTGGCCGCATGGCGTCCTCAGAAGTGGACCAAAAATTCCTGGGCAAGCTCGCCAAAGACGTCGAGAATGACAACCCATATCTGTCCAAGTTCCTCTTCAAGATTCTCGGTCTGTCATTGAGCCTAGCGGAGCAACTTGTGGCGGCGAGGAAAGAAAGGCGACAAGCCGAGGTCACACCTGTCGCGCGTCGACGCATCTTACACATACTATGGCTGTCCAGGGAGGGTCTGATTCTTCTTCTGCAGTGGGTGATACCGATGGTAGGGAGCTACGTCGAGTTGAAGGTGCTTGCCTACAAGTTAAGGGCCAGCTTCCATCACATCTTCGTGCTCTTTCACAACAGTCCGGCTGTATCAAACGTGGCGAATCTCACGCCTGAGATTGTCGCTGCGTCGACGCCACCACCAACGGGACCAGGTGTCGAAGAAGACACAAATCTACCCTCGAGATCGTCGTCTATACAGCCTACCCATGCTTTGGAGGGGGGTCTCGTGGGACCGCCGCCGGGCTTCGAAGTGGACGTTGCCTCCTTGCCGCCATCCAAGCTGTTTATGCCGAGGGACTTCCTTCCCGAGACCCACCAGTACTTTCGTGAGGCGATGGACATGGCCGACTCGCTACTGTGGGGTTCCCATTCTCTTCGGCTGTCCGTGAGGACCGAATATGCTGCTTTCTTGTATGAATGCGTGCATGACGTTGATGGCAGCCGCAAGCTCGCTAAAGCGAGTATCGCCGAAGCCTATGAGGCCGAGGAAGGCATGACTGACGACATGTTTCGAGATACGTGTGAGCTGGTGACGGTGTTGGGGAAAATGATGAAGCGCGGGTTGGGTTCTCAGGGACAACTCGGAAAAGCACTTGCCACGACAAGCCCGTCTATGCTATTGTCTACGGGGGTCGGTATCGCGCCGTAGTATCCCGCGGACGCGGGGTCTAGCACTGTTTGCTTCACGCCAGACAGTATGTCGGTGGTGAGCACATTGTAAGCATTGTCATGACGTTGTATATTCTGTGTATTGGCATAGCCTTCATTGTGCTAGGTTTCTATATCAATACTGTCCACTTCTTCTGTCGCTCGGTCCCAGTGTCCTCCAACATGATCTGATCTTCTCCCCAAACCCTCGGGTTCACCCTGTTGGTAAATTGCTATAGCCGCCTTAGGTTCCAAGCTCCTCGGAGCGTTCATCGCACACTGATGATACCCATTGGGCAACCCGTGTCCTGGCTCCATTGTGTTTTGGCGCAGCCCCTGCCCCTGCCTCCGCCTCCGCGCTCTCACATTTGTCTCGAATGATGCTCAATGGCACCATACGACCTGTGCAATTGTAGAAATTGGCCTGCATCTCGAGCCACTTGCTATGCTTGTGCTTGCTGTGGGCTGAAGCTAGAATGTCGCAGTCCTCCTGACTTAGATACTCGTCGGCGGCTGGCGCAATCAGCCGTGGGTAGAGTGAGGGATGGATGTGGTCCTGGAGGTACTCTGCGTCAGATGATCTGATCGCATCGTGCCTGTATGTCAGGTTTCCCCGTGCCAGGTCGCCATGGCACTTGGAGGAGATGCGACAATCAGCAGCCTTTGATTCCTGGGCCGTGTCTTCGGCGTTATCCTTAGCCTTTGCGTGCTTTGTGACAATCTTCGTTTGTTTCTTCGACAGCGCTCGTGTGCTTGCATCTTCGGGTAGTTCCGTTTTTGTGTCTCTTCTGCTACCCTCAGGGTTGCGGCCTTTGATCAGGTTCCATCGTTTCTGGCATTCTCCTTTTTTTTTTGGAAAAACACGGGAGATCTCCACCCAGGTTGGGCCTCGATCATCAGTCTTCATTCCCCTGAGCTGAGCATCTTCAGAGAACGTCCAGCCCAAGCCATCGCTCTTATCCGAGGTTTCTTCCCCTGCGTCTCTGCTCTTGGGTGTCATGTTATCAGCTGTCTGTCGGTCAGTCAGCCAATGTACGAAGGTCAGAAGAGGAGAGTACTCGCGGTTTTTATACTTCTGGTAGTCCACATCCACGGATCCGGCCTTGAAATCACATGAACCTGAGTGTGCCACACCGATAGATGCTGGAGTACGCTTCTTTTCACAGATAGAACCACTTGTGTCCACTCTGTTGATGTGTCCCAGGGTGAATGGTTCTGCATGAGAACTTGTAGGAGTCGGTCGGATCTCGTAGTTAATGTCACAAAACCTCGATAGTGTAGATAGTGTAGAGAACAGGTTACGTCGGCTTGCCTTGCTGTAAGGGTTACGATGATGAGAGCCGGAGGTGATTTCAACATGGCATTTGCGAGCATCCGAGCGAATGTATTGTCGGATCAATCATCAAGCTGAGCTACAGCTGAGACTTTCCCAGTATGCCCTGGCGAAGCAGGCTAGATATTTACGCACGAGCCACAAAGTATAATGGAGGCGTCTGAACTTTTTGAGATGACTTGGTTCGGCCACGCAAATATTTGTGCATCCTAGCAGTGAACAAAGTCGGCCTTGTAGGTCAGAACATAATGCAATTTGCGCAGCAGAATAGAACAATGACAAGCAACCAATTAGTAGCAGATGACTCCCAAGGGTTCATGTCAAACAACATAGCCGCCAAGGAGAACGATCTTGAAGCCGAGTAGACTCTAAAGTCAATCTACAAGATTCTCCAAGAAGTAAGCAGGCGTCTATTCAAATCTGGCTTGCTCAATCCACTTCACGAGTACTCCCAAACAGCGCTCGCAGGCTAGACTTCCTGGACTCAGGGTGGACGTCAGTTCGGGAGGGCACACGCAGGCGGCTCGTGGTTGATGTGCAGAGTGAGGATTCGGGTTGACTCTGGGTAGTGTAGTCGGGATACTGGCCGCATCTCCGCCGATGAGCGTTTTCGACTGCCAAGACTAACCAAGCAGACCCTTGTCAGCCATTCCAGCTGAATCAAGGTGGGCTCACCACAGAAATGCGAGCTGGTGCTCCCGCTAGCTGCCGATCGCTCTCGTCCCACGCAACGAGCACCTACATACTAAGATTTTCTTCGGTGCAGTGTTCTTGAAACGGAGCGGTGCTGTAATCATGGGTTTTCGGAAAGATTCTCATGTGCCAACTCGGTAATTTGGATCACGCACATGAACTTCGATGTATTATGTACGTGAGTACGGATGCCTACTACCTTAAAGCTTAGGTACGGTAGTGAATGCCCTTTCCCTTACTAACGGTTCGGCAAGGAAAACGTGGCCACGCAAGTGGTGTGTGGGTCTGCCAATGTGATGGTTCTGTCGTCTGTGCATGGTTCCTAGTACGTATGAACACAGGAACCACACATATACGTACTGTGGTAAGTAGTCTTGTTTGCTGACTTGGTCCCGAGCTCCAGTCGCCTTTTTGTGGCTAGAGCAGAAACTTGTGCATGGGCCCAAGGCCCTCCAGTCGCTGTGATGCGCTGAGGATGACAATCGAGCAGCGGCTGGACCCCTCCATGTCTATCATGATGATCAGGCTTCAGTCGGGCTAAGGTACCTTACGCAGCCGCCCGGCCTGTCTCGACTCTCTAGTCCTGTTCGTCCGTCAGTACCGGTGAAACTTTGAGGTCCAACCCATGCCCCGCCACAGCAAGTTGACCGGTCCAGTGGCCTTCTCACTGCTAGCACCGTCGGACAGCATACGCCCTACCTGTTAGAACGCACTACTAAGGCTAGTATTTTGTACATGTACGTTGCGAGGCTCCACACAGGAACGCCCGGCCGAGCAAATACGTACAAGGCAGCAGGGAATTGTGCCCCGACAGGCATCAACCAATGCGCCAATTGACACAGCCAGGCTGGCAGTCTGCAACGGCAGTCCCCACCTATCAATAGGTACTACACGTACGTACTGTACTGTGCGGCGTGCCCTCCGGCGCCAAGTCGAGTACGTACCACATTAGTCCACCGGCATGGACGGGGTAGGGCGGATCAAACATTCATGGCTATCTGACCGAACGAGTCCCTTAAAGGTCAATTAAAATACCCCTACCCGACATGCTGGAGTATTAGCTACGGTCCGCGTCTCCATCCACCTTCTTGCTCCCCCTGCTACTCTCGACTCCTGGCGGGATTCCTGGAGGAACTTGGACTGCCACGGCCATCTTTCTTAATCAAGCCGTGTAATACATATCGACATCCATCGGATTCGGTCTGATTGACATGTCACTGCCCTGCTCCCAGATCTCCATCAAAGGCCGGAGTATCACTGGGATAGCCACCCGCAACCTCGAACTTCTGCTATCAACCCCTCTCGGAGACGCTCAGTGTGGGTTCTAGGTCTACATCATCGAAAGATCTAGCCCAAATCATCGTGACAGCAGGGCGGAACGAAGAATCTGGACTGGTCACCAGGCCCGAGAACGGATCCCAAAAATTGCCACCATCTCAAAATGGATGGCAGGTTTATACATGTAAGCCAAGTTGGAACGTCCACAACTCCCACTGACCAGAGTCGACAGCCAATACAGGCGAGCCAATTCGACATCCTTGAATGGTATCCCAGGTTCATGTCATGTCACCAGTACTTCATGGAGGTGGCCCAGCACAAGGAGCACGTTCAGATGGTAGCAGCCTTCAACAACATCAGGCTGCCTTTTGAGAAACGCCAACTTGGCCAAGACACAACCCCACACGCCGCATCTTCCTCGACGCGACCACAAACCCACAACCAAGCGGGGGAAGCCAAAACACTCCTACTGCCTTATATCCGCCGCCTCGTGGCCACAGGCTTTGACGCACCCGATATTCTGGAGTTGTTCTTCGGGCCGCATTGGGTGCAGGGAATCGGGAGCTTCCATGAGGTCGAACGGCGCAATTTCTTGTTTGCTTGCAAATCGACCAACTGGTTGACGGTCAAGAGTGCGTACGATATGGAGGACGGGCAAGTGCTGCCCTTTCTGAGAACATTGAAGGATCCCACTGTCAGAGAAATCGACAATGCTAACAAGAGCTGGTCTGAGTGGTTGGCTTTGCAGGACTGGCTCGTCGGTCCATTGTCGCCATCCGAGGGTGAAGCTGGAATCAAGGAGGAAGAGATATAAGATTCGGCTGGAAAACAACAATTCGTGATGTGCACACAGGCTTCACAATGAAACACGCTCTCTGAAGAAGGTCCCGGCACAAATCGCCGGGCCCTGTCCATTAATTTTGAAGGCCGAGTGACTATTCAGAGACGCCTGACCCATGCGGCCTGTATAGTATAGGGAAAACCAATAACGCTATGACAGGATCCCCAAACGTCAAGCATGTCAAGCTCCCTCCCCTAGCCTTTGCAACACTTGAATGAACCAGACGCCGGCATGATTGTGAAGACCCATTCCACCCTCCTCCCTGCACTGCAGTGACACCACCAACGGTCCCGAGCCTGCCAAAATAGCTGCACCGCAACACACATGGTTGTATAGATATTTATATTCTGCATGCAGTTTAGATACCATTGCGCGCTATACAGCGAGCACGGTAAAATAGGTTGTGCAGCTGCAGCTGGGCGCTGTCGCGCACAAGGGCTAGTTGAGAAAGCCTTTACAGGCTGGTGTGCCACAGAGACAGGGTATGCGGTCGAGACTGCCAATTTCTCTCTCAAACTTGTAGTCGTACGTGAGCTCCTCATCTGACCTAATTAGCGATAAGAAGCCTACTCGGGCGGGTCAACCTACTAAGTGCAATGTCGCGTAAAGCATAGATGACAATGCGTTTGCTGCCCTCGACTTTGATAATTTTGGCCGTGCAGTTGGGCATGCAGCTGTGATTGATGAACCTGGCAATACCACCTTTCTTCGTCGCATCCACAACAGTGCTCTCATCTATCCGGAACAGATAGCTACTGCCGATTCCGCTCTTGAGGTATCGATTTTCACGCAAGTCGGCAACTTGTTGACGCACGACCTCCCCAACATATTCAATGATCATGTCGTCCTTGCTTATGTTCTCCATGGCATACAAGCCCCAGTTGTGGATTGCTGAGCGAGCAAATTTGACGGGCTTTTTCCGCTTTTTGAGCTGATTGAATTTGAAGACGTCTGATGTGTCCGATCCAAGATTTTTCTTTTGGTCATTGAGCTCGGCAACAAAGCGACGGTTCGACGCACGATTGGCGCGGGAGTTGCCCTTTGTTGCTTTCTTGTCGGCAGCCAACCTAGCTGTATCGATGGCGCTCGAGCTTTTCCCCGTCTTCTGCCGCTCTTCTCTCGCCTTTTGGACCTTGATGTGATGAGGAAGATATTTTGACTTTTCTGAGTTGAGGATTTTCTTGACCCCTTCCGTCCGCGCGCATCCGGTTGGATTGGGTATGTAATAACCATCAATGACAACGGGGCGATGGCAGTCGCCCTCATCAGAGGAGTTGAGCTCGTGGACGCGTTGGTGCCTCCACAGCCAAAGTTCTGGATTGCAAATGTTCTTGGTGTTATATTTGCGTTGCAGTCGGCTCAAGTCAGGTGCATCAACCGGGCCCATGGCCAGGCTCTCGAGCGCCCATACGTCAGGCTTGAAGCCATCGGGAATATCGAGGGCTGGTATCAAAGGTTCTCGAGCAAATAGCTTCTCGTCAAATATATCCGACAAAACGTGGGCGGAAGATTCGTATGCTGCTTTCTCAGCCACGTCCAACGTCAGATTGCGATCATTGTCCGGCTGAATATGCACCTCAACCTCGTCGTACTTCGGTGTCTCGGGTTCCTCGACCAATTGCTTTGCAGCCTTTTTCTTGTTCTTCACGGCCTTTTTCCTCACAGGTGCAGGAAGAACTGAGAGGGGTGTCTGCGAACGCGACACATCGAAGCCCTCTTCAGAGGTGGGCTCAACTTCCGGCGTATAATCGTTGACGCGATACCTCGAATCATCGTCGATGGGGTCCAGGTTGACGCCGGAAAGCCCCTCGTCTGCCTTCTTCTGCCTTTTGAGGGCTATCTCGACAGATCCTTTCTGTTTGCGCTTCCTTTGGATAGCCGCAGTGGCAGGCGCCAGGCTAACTTCCGTCATAGAGTCTTCCTCACCAGGACCCCAGGATCCGTAGTCGTCTCTGGACACATCGTCGTCAGTGCTCATACGGCTGCGAGGCCGAGATTCGGGTTCTTCACTACCAGCGCCAGCCAAATGGCCAATGCCAAGCTCTTCCTCCGAATCTGAATCGGACCCAGCACTGCGCAACCAATCGTGGAGTCCACGAATAGCCCTGGGGCGCCGCGGAATGGCGCGGCGGGCAAATGGGTCAACGAATTTACCACGATTCGTTTGGCCGCTTTTGCGAATTCGGGGCAGAGAGCTTATTGCCTGAGGCCGCTTTGTGCGCCGGTCAATGGGATCCGCGCGTGGTCCGGGTGTTCCAATGCGGGAGCTGTCGTTGCCATCGTCCCGCATTATGGCATCTTCTCGATCATCAAAGTGATCTATGTTAAGCTTCCGCCTCTTGGCCACGTGGTTGGCTGGCTCCAGGAACTCCTCAAGAAAAGGCGCTGCCACATGCGTGCGGATATGTCTGATTAAGTGCTGGACCAACTCGCTTCTCACGACTTGAACAGCTTCATGAACCGGATCAAAGTTCTTGGCCCTTTGTTTTTTTTCTTCGTCCAAGTCGTTTTCTTCCTCTCGCCTGCGGCGCACCTTTTCTTCATCCCTGGTACGAGTCTGCGGCTGGTCGACGGGGCGGCGATGCTCGTAGCTAGAGACAGGAGATATCTTCTGTGGCGTTGGCCGAGACTGCCGCGGCAGACGAAGCTGCATGGCCATGTCATAGTTGAAAAACTCTGTATGGTTGGTTCTGACAAAACATCTGTCGGCCTCGTTCCGGCCATCCTCGGTAGTGGGAAATGATATGTAGAATCCCACACCGTCGATGCGGATGATTTCGTCTATCGAGTAACCTCTCAGTCGCTTCCACAAATGGGGAACGATGCTGGCCAGTGTAGGCACACTGGTGTTAGATATGAAAATGTGCGGGACGTTGGCAAGCTTAGCATCTATACTCTCGGTTTGTGGTCGCGAAATAATGGGGGGCTTGCATGCTTGTCGGTGCGCAGCTGGCCCTGTAGGTGCTGCCGGGGGGACATTGGCTTTTGGTCCGGTCGGCGGGTGCTTAGCAGTGGCCGCAGCCTGTTCATGCTTTTTTACTTGTTCCTGCTTCTCCCTGTCTCGCCGTAAATGCTCTTCGAGCATCCGCCGACTTCGCCGACCCTCAGGATCGTAATCCACCCGAACAAATTGAGCATCTATCTTGATGCCTCGCGCTTTGACAGCTCTTCGTGCCGCCTCGATTGCGCTTGTTGCGGAGGTACCAGGTCTCGTGGCATCGCGATACCTGATGGTGGCGAACCCGAGGTAGCTACCAGTCTCTGGATGCATTTTATTGCAGCTTTCGGCGATTTCTCCAAAGATGGCAAAAGCTTGTGTGACTTTGTTGAAAGGCAGGAACGGGTTGAACCTTGTCACAACAACCTGGGTTGGTGGGCCAGGCCCGACTGATGTCTTTGGATCAAACGGGTACGGTCTTAGGTTGTCTGGTGCGCTTCGCAATCGGGATTTGGGCAGGTAATAGTCGGTATTAATATAACTCAACTGCCCGTCTGGGTGTGCCAGTCGAGGATCTGGTGGGGGCGCGTTATCATCCTGCCAAAAGTCAGCTGTGTGCTTCAAGAAATATGGCAACCTTTAACGACAGACGGAGGCTTGTTGTGATGTATTGAGACGTACCGTGGTGAAATTCTTGTAAACGGGCTTCATGGATCTGCTCACCACTTTGTTACGAAGTCGCTCGAGGAGCGGATCAAATGTGCATTTGACACCCAGTACTGGATTAGCTAGGTCACACCATGGTTCTCGATGTATCGCTGAATTTTGACATCCAACAGTGTCGGCATGGAGGGTGACAGCGGTAGCATTGTGTGCTGGGTCTGTAGCGTCCTCGCCAGGTGCTGATGGGAGCATTTGTGCGTCGAGGGCTCCAATGGGAGCTGTAGAAAGAGGCGAGTCTTTCACGGTGAGTGGCGTGGTATTCGCGGTTGAGCAGCGATTTACCGAGGTGGTCGCTGCAGCCTTGGCACTGAGAGACGAAGACGCGATGCTTGCGTACGAACTTGCAGAGTCGACAGTGTCAGGGATATCTCCAGGTGATGATTCTTTTCGCCGTTCGACTTGTAGGGAGGCTGTCCCAGCGCTGAACCGTTCTCGTGCCCCCCGAGCCTCGGCGTCTGCCCTCGGCTTGGGAGCAGCAGGGAAGAATTCCGCGAAGCCCGGGGCATGAGATGGTCGAGTCATCATAGAGCGATGAACTCAAGACACTATATGTCTCGCGTCGTTGCAATCATGATATCTCTGAAAGGTTGTGCGAAGTTGCGCCTTCACGATATCGCTTGGGAATGTTTGGCGAGATTCGACGACGTGATCCCACCGCGATGTAGCACCTCCACGCGACCCGCAACTTGGCGATGAGGATGCGCGAGCGCTACAGTTGGCGAGGAGAGGGTATCGGGAAATTCGAGGCCGGAACGAAGAGAAAGACGTGGATCGATACTAGCGACGCAATGCGACCGTGCTGCAACAATCAGGGACGCGTGGGAAGGTGGTCCGAATGTCTAGGCTGATCAGGTCGAAGGAGGTCTCATCAGAGTGAATCGCGAGGGTACACGCAAATCCCGTAGACGAGACGAGTAAGGCACAAGCCAGCTTACTCCAAGAAGTGAGGCATTAGCCACACCCCTCAGCCACACTATGGCGTGGAGTTAGAGCTGATCTGGACTAGTACGGATACCTTACGTTAATTAGCAGTTTTGACAAACAGGTAGCCCTGCAGTCAGTAAACACGCGAAAGCTATAATTAAATCATTCATTTCGTAATAATTAGAAGTATCGAACAACTTGAGAATCTCTTGGGAGACGCAAATTTAGTACTTCGTTGTCGCGTGAGCTAGCTTCACGATTTTTTCTGGGTGACGCTACTAATACTTGCCGCTTGAAACGGCTTCTAGACGATCGACCGAAATGTGATGAATCTCATTATGCCGAGCTGTGTTTGGACAATCGCGAGACAACTGTTCAAGCCTTCGACCTAGGCGATAGACTGCAGTTGAAAGTCCTCTTCCTCATCTAGGACAAGAAGCCCGTTACCAGATAGCACCCCACCATCATCACTCTCCGAGTCGGCAACATTCGGGAAAGCAAAATCAAGTACTGAGATCGCAGCGTTTTTGCGCGGAGCAGTGGAAGAAGACGTTGTGGAAGCTGAAGATCTATTTTTCTTCGATTTGTCGGCAGTGATGGATGTGCCGGAGCGGAGAGCCGTACGCTGGATACGCTCATGCGGAGGAATCGATGAGGCTTCATCTCTTGTAGAGTTTATGTGCTCCAACGTTGTCGCCATCGATGACTTGGAAGACACGCCAATTTGGCTTCGGTCTTTGTGAACAGGCAATTTCGGGCCACCGCGGCCGTTGTTTCCCAACGGTCTCCAGACTTTCCTGGGTAAGTTCCGGAGCGGGGCTGCAGTGCTCATGTGCTGCTTGCGTAGAATAGATGGCTGAGCGTTTCTCCTATCAGATGTTGTCGACCTCGTCGACAACGGCCCACGACGTGCTATGTCTCGAGGCTTGACCTGTCCTGTTGCTCGAGAAGTTTTGGGCGTCCCGCTGGCCTTTATTGGGGTTCCGCCGACGCCCTCCAAATCGAGCATGCCCCAGTCCAAGTCCTGCAATTGTGCCTCATTGTATACCTCTGCGTTACGCAGAGCAATTGCTTTCTCTGCTCGGAGGTCTTTGTCTTGGAGAGATATGCCATCTTCATCGACGGGGTCAATGAAATTCTCGTAGTAGCCGTATAGGAGCTTGTCGTTTCGAAATGTTTCGAACGTCAGACCACCGGACGGCAAAAGATCAGACCGATAAGGTGCTTCCAAAGGTCGAGGCGGCGCGTACTCGGGCTCTTCGTCGTCCGATTGTATAACACGGATGCTCTTTTGTTCCACTGCCAGCGTTGGGTTAGACTGTTTCTTTGTTGTCGTCGGGTTCTGGGTAACGGCGGTTTTGCTGTCGGCTAAGAACGTCTTCTGATCAACAGGCTGGCCTGTCTTGACATTCGCATTCGTTGTTTTGGCTCCTAAGGGCGCTCTTGCTGGCCCTTCTGTTTGGACAGGTGAGCGCGAGCTAGCTGGGAGAACTGAGGATGCACTTACGCATGGGCGTCTTAGGAAGTTGTCGGCCTATGCCACCTAATTATTCGTCACAAGGTGTTCAAAAGATCGTTTGCGTAGCTTACTACGTAGAATTGGTTTGGCATTTTCGTTGCCATCATTGCAGGGAGTTCCGGCGAATCGGGCACTCCTGCTGCTTGGTGCTTGCTTCGTAGGGACCTGGCGAGAATGTGCAAGATTCTCTTGATTATGCCGCGCAGCAAACATGCTGGGTGTGAATTACAGGCTCGCTTTCGGTATCGTGGGTGATACTCTTCATAAGTACTAGGTAAAGTAATGAATCAAGTTTCTGGTGGAGTCTGTTTTTTACCATGCCAAGCCGCAGCAAAATGTTGGCCGAGCAACGCAGATATTGGAGTGCAGCTTCCACGGCAGCGACGGTCACCGACTCACCGTTATTGCAGTAGCAGTGGAGAGGGACCTTACCTTCCTACCTGACCTACCTTACCTTAAGGTAAGGTACCTTACCGAGGGGCACTTGCACCACTTTCTACTTCCCCACCCCTATTCCCTACACCACATCAACCTCCCATTCTCCTCCATTCCAAACTGCCACATCGCGCTTTGGACGTCGATTCGTAAACTGTGAAGGCGTCAATACACCTTACCTCTTAGAGCTGTTGACTCACCCAATTTCACCATGGATCGCATCAAGGAGGTATAGTCGCCCGCTCGGTCCTGCAGTTGGCCGTAAAACAGCGTGAAGCATCTATCTTGGCTGACACTTTCAACGTAGAAAATGAACTCTCTACGCCTGGAGGCGGACGAGGCCGTAGCCAAGGTTGAGGAGCTTCAGGCTCGTGTCAAGACCCTGGAGCAAGAGAACCTCGCCAAAGAGCAGGAGATCACATCTCTGCAGCACAAGAACGGAGTTTTGGAAACAGATGTCGACAAGCTAGAAACTTCGATCAAGGACTTCAAGAAATCGGCCGAAGAAGGCCAGCAGCACGGTACTCAGAACGAGACACTCCAACGCCGTCTTCAACTTTTGGAAGAGGAGGCCGAGGAGGCAGACAAGACTCTACGCGAGGCAAACGAGAAGTACGTGAAGAGCTCAGACGATGCATGTACAGACCAAATTACACGACAGCTAACGCTCAACTCTCAGGCTCCGGCAAACCGACGTCAAAGCTGGCCACTTCGAGCGCAAGGTCCAAGCTCTCGAGCAAGAACGCGATCAGTGGGAGCAGAAGTACGAGGAAATGGCAAAGAAGCACTCGACCCTCCAGAAGGAATTGGACGATCTCCAGGCTGAGATTGGCACCATCTGAGCGGGTGTGCCGATAATGTGGAAGAACGATGTTGCCAGATAGCGTGCATGATGGATATTGCTTACGGGCATCTTTGATCTGATCAGAGTTGGCGTATGTACCATCTGTTGGAGGTATAGCTCTGCTCGACTTTGAGGGGCAGGCAATTTACGGCTTTCCTAACAGAGAGATGTCATGTCTATCTTCTTTTATTCTTAAGTCGTTGTTTCGTGTCCGTGAGCTTCCTCTCGAGTTTAGTCTCATAACGAAACTTTGGGGCCTTTTTCTTCTTAGGCTTCAGTGTTGGTGGCGCTTGCTCAATCTTGTTCTCAGGAGGCGCTTGTTGTGATTCTTGGTCGAGTTTGGGATCCTCGCTAGGCTTTTCGAACCCATCTCGCGACACATTGACTGACTCGACCGTGACTGTGGTGAAACGGTCTTCGTCAACATATTCCTCTTCTTGATCCACCAAGTCCTGCTCGGGCGGATCAGGAATACCGTCCCATTGCTCTTCACTCCCGTCGTCAGAAGTTGACCCATCCGCCAAAGAAGTAGCAGCATTCGATTCCTTCAAAAGCTTGTTCACCATCTCAACATGTTCTTCTACTTCGCGTTTGCGATCTTCGCGGGCCTGCCAAAATCAACATCTGGCGTTTCACAACGTCTGAACTAGGGGCAGTACCTGTTTCCTCAGTTCAACTTTCTCCTGCCGAGCCTTTTTCGCGGCTTCATCTTGTGCATGTTTAATTCGCTGTTGTTTGCGTTTGTGGAAGCCTGTTAAGTATTCGTGGCGGGCATCGTTGTCGAAGGAAATTTCTTCAATTGCAGGAGCTGCCTTTCGTTTCTTGGAAGGGGCTGGCAGAATACTTTTCTTCGGTCTCGGTTTCGCGAACATATCGAGTGGACGAATGTCACTGCTAGATGTAACCTTCGAGTTGGATAGCTTGGTGACATCAAATTTCTTGAGTTCCATGGCCGGATGCTGCGAAGCTTCACCACGGTGTGCACATATCGGGGTTCGCTTCATAATGATGGCTTTACGTAAGCAGAGTCCAACTGAACCGACAGTGCACCGCATCATTTGCTACGGAGTACGGATACGTAGCGTAAGTCGTGATCACCAACTTCAGGAGCTCAACTTTACTAAACATCTAATTACGATGCGCTGCCACATCCTATCCTGCGCTCTGTCACTTGCCGGGCTATCGGCAGCATTTTCTGATTCATCATCCTTTGTTTTGCTGTCATCTCACCCGTGAGATAACGTACCAATCTGGTTTACTGAGCTAACTCGTGTAGGATTCCGAGGTCACAAGTCAGTGATTCGATCCAAGTCAATAATTCCGTCCTCGACAACGCGCAGCAATTTCTGGGACAATGTCCGACTACCAGCTATCTCCTTGTCAACCAGCCAGGATTGACAGCTGCGAGCCTCCGAGGTCCGAAGGGATGCTCCCTCCCATGTCTATGCAAGGCTGCCGAAGCTTCGTCAGTCCGAGGAAAGTATATCGTGCCGGAAGTGATTGGGAACATGGGCTTGGATACAGTGGAGCGTCTTTCCAGGGACGTGACCCAGGCTTGTGGCAATCTCGACAAGGAAGCCACCATTACTGTTGTCGACTTCGCGACCAGATCTGATGATATTTGGTCAGCCATAGGTAACCCTTCCCTGAACGTCTGGCTTGCATCACAAGCTCACCATCCGCACAGACGATCGCCTAGCCAGAGCCATTGAGCACGCCGCCGCAGGGAGCGACTACACTATAGTACTGCTGTCGAGCCCTGTCGAACCTGTGTACGAAGCATCATTTGACATTCCTGCACAAATGGAGCTGAAGAGAGGTGCGCAGCACTTGCAGCGACGCAAAGACAATGGAACAAACTGGGACGAGCTGCCTCTCTTCGAGAAATACCAGTTCTTCACGCCAGGTACGTCTCACTGGCTGAACCTCTCAACGATGGCATAGACTAATCACAACAGGCATTTTTATGGGTGCCATCGTTGCAATCATCCTGCTTGCGATCCTTGGTGTTGGTTTGCGCGCTTTGTCGAGTCTGGAGGTTCCATACGGTGCATTTGAAAAGGACATGGGCCCGGCAGCGCAGAAGAAGCAGCAATAGTGCCTTGGACAAGTTGTAAGAAGACTTTGCAAGCTCCGTTTGCATTTTCAAAGGTCGGGGGGCTCGTAATGCTGTTGCAATTGTACTCAAGGTGGTCAAGCCGAATAAATCTTTGCTATGCTTCGCGTCCCTGGCTTGATACGGCCCTGAAGGTTTGCATCTGGTAATGGACGATTCTGCGATATCATAGCCATGCATGTTCACCGGATGTAACTCGAGTGTGAATCTCCTGGCCAGGTTACACCAAAAACTGAAGGCGTAGATTGTGAGTCTGCGATTGGCCTCCAGCGCTTTGCCAGTGCGTCTCCAACATGATGCTTGAATCCCTGAAAGCCTTCTTTAGACTGCCATCCCCGTTCATACCAAGTGTCCCGGGAGTAGAAAGTTGGCAATACCCTCTTTGATCGCGTATTCATGGCCACAATTGCCGCAAACAAGCTTTCCCTCCGATATAGACGTTTCCAACAGCAAATGATGCAAGTCTTTCAAAACTTTCTCGTCGTTCTCAAGTTCTTCTTTCGTCGGTGCCGCTTCTGGTAGTGCTGGGAAGCCCAACTAAAAAGAAGCGCGTGTGGTCAGAGCGATGATAGGAATGATAGTGTCGGGGGGCGACCAGTCATACCTCTGAACAGGTGCTCTTCAACGCTTCCCAATCAATGCGTGGCAGCACACTTATAATCATTTCGGGCTTGAGCTCGAGCTCATCCTGCACGAGTTCAGCGTCCTTGGGATGTAGAGGGTATGAGTTGGGCGACGTTTTGCAGGCCTTGACTGCGCACGTCAAAAAATTAAGACTGAGTATCTTCATGATCGCGAGGTGCCTCGGGGTTGTGCAACAGTCACTGATATGTGGGATGGTTTTAGTGAATGAATGTCGTCGCGCGTGCACTATGACTCGTGTGAATGTCCTTGAATTCTGCTTGAACCTAGAGCTACATACTAGACTAGCTACTAGTGGTGAATGGGCTACCCGAGAACTTCCTTTGATTGGTTGTAAGCACACAGTGGGTCGTCACCTGTACAACAATCAAGTATGAACGTACCATAACTAAATTGAACCGCAGAAATGTAGTTGCCCTCGAATTGCTAACCTTTAGTAAGGCTTCGTAAAGCTTGCGCTTGTCGCTGAGGTTGGCTAAAGCACGTTCAGTACCAAGGCACTGGCAATGTGAGGTCATCAGCAACTTCTGGCTCACCATATGGCAAGTTGGTTGCAGGCGGTAATAGGATTTCGAATGACCGTCGAACCTGGCGTGCAGAGCCTAAACACCACAGCTAATCAAGTAACAACGCATCTGCAATTGCATTCCACCTAGAGGATAGCACCTACTAATCTTACAAAACTGTCGAACTATCGATGCACTCCTCTCTAGCTAGTCCCTTTTCATGCAGCGGTCTTTCCGTGCAGATCACGATGGGTGTTATGCCGCTGGGCTTTTTTCACAAATCCGATGCAAACGGCTAACACGATGCAGATACCAAATAGCTTTTGCCACGCAGAAAGGCCACTAAGCTGATCAATCGTATTCGACGGGGGTATCGCAGTCGGCGCTTGTACCTTCAAGTCTGGACAGATACAGGAACAATCAGCACACCGCGAGTACTGAGCCCTTCGTCATGAATGAGGAGGAGAGGTAGTGGGTACTGAGAGGCCCAAGAGGTTTTGCAAGTGCTTCTAAAGCTCAACGTGGGTACCTTCGGGTGGAACTTCAAGTTCGCCGCTTTTCACAATCTTGACCGTGTCGACAGGCTTATCTCCGCGAGCTGTCTTTGAATTCTGGATCTTATCGACAATGTCGTAACCCTCAAGGACCTCGCCGAAAACTACATGACGACCATCCAGCCATCTGTGATTGGTCAGTTTCCTTCCTGGTACCTTTGGCAAGACGGTGGGAAACTCACGATGTGATGACAGTGGTTATGAAGAACTGTGATCCATTGGTATCGGGACCAGCATTTGCCATGGATAGCATGCCCTTCTTGGTATGCTTCAGCTTAAAGTTCTCGTCCTTGAACTTATTGCCGTAGACTTGGATGGTTGTCAACATGAGAACCAACATGAGATTCAAGTACTTACTTGATTTGCCACCTGTGCCATCGCCTTTGGTGAAGTCGCCGCCTTGAATCATGAAGTCTTTGATCACACGATGAAACGTCGATCCCTCGTATCCAAATCCCTTCTCGCCGGTAGCAAGAGCACGGAAATTCTCCGTTGTCTCAGGGACTGTCTTGCCGTAGAGACCCATGACAATACGACCAAGGCTCTCATCGCCTTGTTGGACGTCGAAGTACACTTTGTGAGTGATCTTAGGTCCTTTTGAGGCGTCAACAGTTTGGGAAAATAGGACCGCCAGCACCCCGAAGAGCACGACGAAGGTGACAAGGGATCTCTGAATGCCAAACATTGCGACAGCGATTTCAATGAACAATGGGTAACAAAAGAAGAGAGAGAGAAAGGTAAGTAGAATGGAGAGGCCACGTTTTAAGGGACTTTGGTCGAGGGGCTAAAGCTGTGATCCTTCCCCGCTGACTATCATGCAAGAAGACTGGACCCATGCGCTCAGCCACTGGCACCTAACGGCTGGCCAGCGGCCAGCCTGCAGCTCAGGTTGATGTCGGTTAAAGGACTGGAGCGTGATTGGCTCAGTGCTCAGAACCTCAGACAGCTTACGTTAACCGGCGTCACGGTAAGTCGATAGTGGATCATCATCCACTAGTTTCCTCACCGTGGTTTTGCCGAGACAGGGACTTGGATGGATGGCTCGTTCGTCGATCTATCATCACGAAATCAAAGCCAATGTTTGCCGAAGCTGAAGAACGTGAACACGCGCTCTTGCCAAGATGGTAAGGCCAGCGAGAGATTGCGTATACTTGAAGATTCACTAACATGTCCGAGGTCTTCATAATGGGCGTCAATTTCGGCGAGGGCCGTCTTGTGAAGGTATGATTCCAGTTCATCCCGTGGAAGAACTGAACATCTGATCATCTGTTAGAAAGCCCTAGAGTCCTTCTACAACCTCGGGCCTACTTCCTCCTCCCGCATAATGGCTAAATTTTCGATACACAAGCTTGCCAAATGTGGATCACTGAATCCGCGGACGGTCACATCTCTCACGGCTGAACTATCGCAAATGACCATCGACAACGACGCACGAAAGCTCATGAACGACAACATTCAAAGGTTACGTGATATAGGTTCCTACAGAGGCAGGCGACACGCCATGGGATACCCGGTTCGTGGTCAGAAAACTCAGACTCAAACGTCGACCTCATCGAAACTCAACAGACTTCCACGGAGGGTTTAACAGGACGCTTGTGGCTGCCGAACGAAGATGTACTAGTACGAGCGGTGTTCTCGCATCACACACTATATATAATTTTAAACATACAGCCTTTGAGGCAACCCCAAATCAAAAGATTGATGGCCTTCTATCAGTAAGGGCCGTCGTAGGAAACGTCATCCTCAAGAACAGGCTCGCCTCTCGCCTGCAACCCTGCAGCGACTTCCTCTACTTCGGCCCAGACACGCAGCACATTCTTACCCACAATCTTGGCCGCATCCTCGTCACTCACGCCTCGCCTCAGAAGCTCTGCGACAAGGGCCGGATAACCCGTAACGTCTTTGAATCCTTCGGGGGCGTCGAGGATCCCGTCCAAGTCTGTACCGATGCCGACATGATCGTAGCCGATGAGCTCGCCAATGTACATGATGTGCTCGACGACTCGGCCCAATGTGGCCTCCTCCGGAATAGGCTCAGGCATTCCATCATCGGCCCCTACATCTCTGCAGGCTATGAATTGACCAGCGATGTTGACCAAGACTACCGAATTGCGCTGCTTGACCATGTTCAAGACATAGTCTTTGACATTGCGAGGATGAGGGCAGATGGCGTACGCCGAACTATGTGAGTAGATAACGGGTGCTCTGGAACCAGACCACTCATCATTGCCACCAAGTACATCAACCATCGTATCTTCGCTAGGCCCTGTTAGTGAGTTTGCCGACGTTACCTAATGGAATGCTCACCTAACATGTGCAATATCAACAATCATACCGATACGGTTCATTTCATTGATCAACCTTTTTCCATCCTCACTGACTCCGTTGAAGACAGGGGTTGCTTTGCGCATTGGGTACTCCTCTTGCGCAGCATCGGCGAACTTATTGTGGCAGTTGTGGGTTAGCGTCGCATAACGTACGCCGAGATCGTAAAATCGGCGCAGATTAGAGGCTTTGTTGGCAATTTGGTGCAGTCCCTCGATGCCCAAGGGCGAGATCAGCTTGCCCTCAGCCCACACACGCAGAGTATCGGTAGCATGTAGTCCCTGAGCATGGGAGAAGTCATCCGGATACATGGTGTGTATGCGGTGCATGAGGTCAATCTGGTCCAGTGTAAATTGAAGGCTCTTTTGAAGGTTCCCGTCAGAGAAGTCGGAGCCATTCCGTGGGCAAGGGGCCCAAACGCTCCAGAACGCGCCCCCCGACATGCCGTCTCTCAAGCGCTTGATGTCGGCATGGCCCGCCAGTGTGCCATTCTCGAAGGCCTTTCTCCATTCCTCGTTGTCGATTCTGTTCTCATAGACGCCTCTGATGAGCATAGGCATATCAACATGTCCGTCTAAAGTGGAGTGTGAGACTCCGTTGCCCAGCGGACCATTGAAACGAACTCACCGATTAGAGGCGTCCGAGCCAGCACGCGGCGGGCTCTTTGTTCGAAAGACGACAGACCACGATATTGCTCGAGAGTTCGGTAGACGCGCCCTCTGCCTGGGATGTGGAAGAAGCTCGCTGTGAAAATGATGAAGATCATGCTCATGATGACTATCCGCCAGGAGGGGGCTCTTCGCGGCCGGGTAGATGGCCGGGGAGCTTCGCCATCGCCCTTCTCAGGGCAAGGCCTTGCACGTATGCGATAGGGAGCAATTGGGTCCATCGCGAGTATGTGCGAGTTGGGATGATCGGTATGATCCGCCACTGTGGTGAACTTCCGACGTTGTTTGAGCGAAATGTACAGTATGAGGATGCTCAGGGCGGATAAGCTGTGACGGAACAAGTTTGGTACATGTGTTAAGCAACGGTCCACAATATATTATTCCCCCGGGCCATTCCACTGTATTTCGGAGCGGGAAAGTCTGTCAGGTAAGGTACTATTAGTAAGGGCCGTGTTCCCCTTCAGGAGGGAGGGTGGTAAGTATCAAGATTGGCGTCTGTTGACATCACCAGGCGTCCAAATCACATTGGGATTCGGGAATACATGTACACATAAATCACAGTCATTGACCCGCGCGTATCCGTATAGTAGTCTGAGGATAGGGCGGCGTGACGAGAACGATTTGAATGTTAATTGATCGTCATGGCCCATGGGCCACACCTGCGGACTTGGGCGTTTTCTGCTGACGAAACGTGGAGATCGTAAGCGGCAATAACATTGGCTTATGCTGACGGCCTGACGCTCGTGTTAACGACGCCTTCCCCCTTTCATCGTAGCGTCAGGTCCAGGGTCTGCCGCTCAGCTCTATACCTTAGAACCTAGGTACCTTACCATTAGCCAACGGGTCCCGTCCTCAGTTCAGAGGTCCCTGCTTTGTGTCACACGCTGCGATTCTTCTTCCTCGTATTCTATTAATTCTGCAAATTTGCGTCGCGCAATCATATACTTCTCTCTCCCTCTGCTTACGAAGCTGCTTGATTGTTAGCCTACTGCGGAGCTTCTCGCTCAGCATTCGGGTCCGACTTTGTTCGTCGCGCGAGTCTGTTCTTCCTCGACAGCTGTGCGAAAGGGCTGCTCAGACTCGGGCATCGCTCTCGCCCTTTGTCGCCACAACCAGGTCACCCGAAGTTGTCGACTGGTCAAGTGACAGCTTTCAGAACATAAACCACACATCTACCTAACCGCGTGGACGCATATGTGCTGCACACCATGCCTGGCTTTGCGGATTCGTTTTGGTCCAGCGACTACGCTGCAGGTAAGTTTTCATTGCGAGGTAGAGATCGCCCACTAACTACATTTAGGACTCGGTGTTCTTTTTGAGAAGCTTCAGCAGGGAGTCAAAGAGAATAGACAAATCCTGACTATTGCCCGCATGCGAGCCGAAGCCGAGGAAACTTACAGTAGCCATCTGGCCAACGTTGTGCCGGCGGCTGAAAAGGTATCGGGAGGCTTTTCGCGAGATGAGGGCGCTACTGTTCGGAAAGCCTACGATGGCATAAAAAGCGAGATGCAAGACGCCTCCGCAAACCACCACCGTATAGCTTCAAGCATCCGCGATCTTGTCGTCAACCCCTTTTCCAGATGGTGCGATGCCCACGAGAGCCGGTTACAAGACTCCCAGGACGATCTACAGTCACGTATCAAAGCTCACGATCGACAAGCGGAGTCGGTCAAGAAACTACGATCGGTCTACTTCAACAAGTGCCGCCTGATGGAGGATCTGGAGGAAGAAAACAAGCTAGGTTTTCAAGAACCCGAGGCGAGTCCGAAAAACAATACAACCCCGAACATTCCAGAGATCAAGGTGCAGGAGGACGAGTATGAGCCCGAGGAAGATGTCTTTGAGATCGGCGACGAGATCTACCAGACAGATCAAATCAAAAAGATCCTTCTTCAAATGCTGTCAACGATCAAAATGGGCGAACATAAGGTTGCAATCCTAGGCACGTATCAAAATGTGTCAACGGGTTCTGACATTGTGGAGTATGTCCAGCGCCATATGGGTGGGACAAGCATTAGCTATGCCGAGCGCATCGGCCAAGACCTCATTACGAACGGGTTTCTGCGCTTGATTGGCAATGTTGGCAGCGTGTTCGCCAATAGTTCGAAGATGAACTACCAATGGAAGACGAAGGCATTCCAACTGGCAGGCATTCCTGAGAAGAAGGCCCCTCTTAACCGAACCTTTTCCATGCCGTCGAACAACTCTGAAGTCGGAGGGGACTCTCCTGTCTTTGGCAATGTCAGTGAATACCTCGCCAATTGGAACGTTATGCCGAGTAGAGCGCACCCCGACGAGACCCCGCGTCAAAGATTACAGCGAGAGGCCAAAGAAGCGGACGACAAGTACAAGTTGGGTGTGAAGCGTCTCGATGAACTTCGTTGCGATCTAGAGGAAGCGATCTTCTTGCATCTCAAATTCCTTGAGCGTTGCGAATTTGACCGCCTCAAGGCCATCAAGACGGTCATATTAGACTTTTCTGGGGCTATTGGCAACGTCATACCGAGTCTACAGTCCACAGTGGACAAAATGATGCTCTTTCAAGAAACTATACAGCCTCAGGGTGACTTGAGATATCTTCTTGAGAACTATCGGACTGGCTGCTTTGTGCCGAAAACTGTCGTTTACGAGAACTACTACAACAAGGCGGATGAGCAGACTTTTGGGGTGGATCTCGAAGCCCGCGCACGGGCTGATAAGAAGCGCGTACCAATCATTGTTACAACCATCCTCACGTACCTGGACCATCACTACCCCGATCTTGAGGGTGACGAAGCCAGGCGCGGTGTATGGCTTGTCGATGTTCCACTTGCTCAAACACACAAGTTACGGGCCCGGGTCAACGACGGCAAGCAATTTTCGGCGGATATCCTCGCCGAATACGATGTTCCAACGGTCGCCAGTCTCCTGAAGTTGTATCTCTTGGAGCTTCCTGGTAAGTTTTCGTGTGAACCATTGTTGGTGTTCCTCCACAGGCTAACCCCTTGGAAGACTCTCTAGTTTCCTCTCATGTATATGAGATCATCCGTACCATTTACAACAACCCCGCGGCTAATGGCACGGAGAATTCCCGTGTCGCTGTCCTCCAGCAAACGCTTTCTCAGCTGCGCCTCACAAACATCGCCACGTTGGACGCCTGCATGAATCACTTCACTCGTCTCATCGACCTGACGTCAGCTGATGAGGTCTACGTTACAGCCCTTGCGGCTGTCCTTGCGCCGTGCATTCTACGTCCACGCACTCAGACGTCCCTGACTCTGGAGGAAAAGCATGCGTACAAACTTGTTCGTGACTTGCTTGCGCATAAAGATCACATTTTCGCTGAACTGAAGCGAATGTCGACACTCAGTCATTCAACGTCTGTGACAACCCAACGATCTCGGGCCATCAGCACAGACGAGAGCAATCGCAAAGCTTTAATGGAAGAGCGCAACCGTGCTCTACTGGAGAAGGCCAATGCGAATCGCAGCCGAGCTACCAGCCCAGCGCCAAGCCCGCGTGGCCATCGCCGTGACCGCTCTAGCGGTGGTCCAGAGACGCGTTTTCCTATACAGACAAGTCCTACTACAAGTGGTGATCGCCAACGTAGTAGTCTTGCGAACATTGGCAGCATCGCCGGGCCCAATCTGACCAAAAGGTCTAGCCTTGATGTGCCTGATGGCGGCGACTTGCCGAGCAGCAGTGATGGGCCAACCCAACAGCATAAGCAGACAGATAGCATTGGCGGGAGCAAGGAAAATGAGAAGCGGGACAGCACTTCATCGTCGAATCGCACATCTGCCAAATTTGTCGGCGGGCGTCGCGTGCCTACGGCACCAGGTAGTGAAACCTCTCGAGGGGTGACTTTGGAAGATAAGCCGATGGAGGATTGAGAAAGTTTGTCATACTTGTTGCATTGCCAGCGAGCCAGCCGGTGGAACTTACCTGGAAGTTCTTCAGTCAGTTGATTTGCTGTTTACTAGTCCTGCATATTCATGTATTTAACTGGGGAACAATAGCGTTCTGTGACGGATTGTTGCTGCGAATTTTGGTGCTGCTACAGGTTCAGGCTTGCTTCTCATTGTCGTCCCCTAAACTTGCACGAGTCTAAAGTATCAAAGCTGACCAACCATTTACCACTATTATTCAGTGGCTGCCTCGCCTAGTGTTACTTTTTTGGGTTTCCTGCTACTCGACTCTGAATCGCCATGACTTGTAGTCTCCATGGTGATTCCATGCTCTTCCAGTGGAGGCACCCTATGCCTCTTCTTTTTTTTAGGCTTCGCCTGCTCTCCAGATTGCCCTTGCACTACACTGGTCAAGTTCTTCTTCTTTTGCTTTTTTCGCTTGACTACTGTGCCTTCCGCGTCAATACCCTGTGGAAGGCTGACACGCTCGTTGGCTCGCTGCATCTCCAACCTCAATCGCTCAACTTCCTTCATTGCCAGTTGCATCTCTGCTTCTTCGCGCAGTCGCTGGTCATGATTCTCTACCTCACTGCGAGCACCACCTACTTCGAGAGCCAGAGAGCCAATATGACTGGAATCTACTTGCAAAAGGCCTTGACGCAGTTTCCTGGATTTGGTCTTCGGCTTGTTAAAGTTGTCAGAGTGGTTCTCAGAGTCGTATTCGCGGCCGGAGCTATTAGCACCACCCAGCGTCTCATCGTCTGCAACGATGATCTTCTGTTTCGGCCGGGTCTCAGGTCTCTGCTGGAACGCTCCAGCTGCTGGTTCAGGTGAGCCAAGATCCAATTGCATAATAGGGATCGAGTCGACGTCAAGTTCTGTTCCATTGTTGTCTTTGAGTATATTGTGTATTGGCGTCGAGGCTTTGGCGACGGCCTCGGCAGCAGGGATATAGAAAGGGTCGTCTTTGTTACGAGCATGTCGTTCTGCTCGCCGTCGGGCAATGATGTCAGAATCCAGATAGGCATCCTCCGAAGCAGACTGATATCCGCTGGGGACTTCTTTCGCGGCATCGACGACTCGGTTGATAGCAGGCAATGAGACGGAAGAAATACTTGTAGGAGCCGGCCTATGATGGTAGTATGAATCGAAGTCATTATCCGTGTCCGTGTCCGTGTCCGATTCCGGGACAAGTGTGCTTACACCAGATAGCAACGCGTCCAAGTCATTATGGATAGGCTCATTCAAGTCGATGGTATCTGGGAGAGGCACGTGGCACTGTGCGGTAACTGCCACAGAGTTGAGCTCCCAGCCATTAAACAGAGAAGGCACAGCTTGAGTGAGGAGCAGAGGGGGGTGCGTTGCCGACTCCTGTGTTGTTGCGATCTGTCCCTGAGCAGCGGCTTCCGCCGTGAGCCTTAGGAGTTCCGTGAATTCGATGGCACGGCCCTGCACGTCAAGGTTCGGATGTAAGGTCAACGTATCCAACGCATTAACAATACGGGTGATGAGCAGGGAAACTTGTGACATTCGGGTGGCATTCCAAGGGACCGACTGGTCACCAGCAATCGAGGAGAACACCTTGCCGATGGCTTGCAGTGCACTAGCTATAAGCCCAGGCACATGTGTTCTCGTGATAAGCTGGAGCAAGGAATCGAGACTGTCAGACGGGGAGGTGAGTAGCTCAGCAAACTCCCCAATAATCCAGCAAATGGATTTTAATGACGGTGACGAGACAGTGTGTCCAATAGGTGCATCGGCATTCACCCAAACCAGAACCACTTGCGAAGCTGCTACAACCGCAGCTCGCATAGCCCGTACCTTCACTGCTACATTGCGCAGCTCATCGCCGATTTGTTCCGAGACATCTCCAGCTGAGGATGGAGACTGGGAGTCCGATTTCAGTGTTGGTGCCACTCTCACCATCTGCGTCAAAACGTCGATGTACCACTCGAAGTCGTTGACATGGGCGTAGTTCTCTCTGGAACACATGTGTAAGACGCGGCTGATAACGTTGGCTCGATAGTCGTCGGGTAAAGCTAACGCTTGCTGATTGCCATTCTTTTGGAGTATAGCTTGAGACGCGGCCTCTTCGTCGGATTCGACAAGTTCCGCTGGTCCCCCCCCAAATGGGACATCTCTTGAAGGGCTTGAAGACTTGAGTTGTTTCATCAAGCGGCTCACCACCGCGATCAGACTGTCGCCATCTACCATGCCCTGCACAAGGTCAAGTGCCTGTATGCGAATAGTGATGTCTGGGCTGTCAATACAGTCGAGGATAACGTCTTCTTGCTGCGAGACTAAAAACGGGTGTGTCATCACAATCTTGTTGAAGGCGAGGAGGGCAACGTATTTTACTGCAAGCAATTAGCACTGGTTTTGCTCAAAAAGCAGCAGCAACCAACAGTTAGCGTCACCTCCATCCATTACCATCATGCCGCGAAGCTTGCTGACGCACAGCGTTGCGATTTCCTCAGCGCCAGCATCTTCAGCGCCAAGAATTCCGCCTTGAATAATCCCATTGATGCACTCGTACAGTAAGGACATGGCCGGCGTAGTCTTGATCAGTGTTGTGAGGGGCGGTAAGAGCTTCCTGACCAGGCGCGGCTCAAGGGGCGTCAGGGTTGCAAACTAGATTCGGTTAAGTATTGTCGATATTCTTGTTCGTGCATGGGACCAACCAGTTTAATTAGTTTAATCGCCATCCAGTTGTTTCCTCCATCTACAAGTAGCTCAAATAACCGTGGGGCGAGTGGCAAGAAATCGTGCGGTCGCCGCCATCCAAGCTCGCACACCACATTCACGATTGCTGCTGTGACACTAGGGTCCTCATCAGGATCCATCAATCGTTCCTTAATTTTGGGCCATGCTGCTCGAAGAGCTTCTGGGTACACGAGCGCCAAACGATAAAGAGTGACTAGGGTCTTCTTGCGGATGTTCGAGTGGCTGTGGCTTAAACGGGGCAACAAGTCGGATAGTGTGGAAAGCGCAAGTGAAGGTGTGATGACGTGTGGAAGTGTTGCTATCGGTAACGAAATGACCGTTGGCGTCGTTGCAGCGAGATCCTGAGGAAGACGTTAGCGGCTTCAATGTATCAGAACAATATCGCCCTACCTTTTTCAGCAAGTTGGTAGCAAGCATCAGGACCTCGGTGTCGGGGCGGAAGCTCTGTACAGCACCCAGGTACCCTACCCGCTTTTGATGGTACTTCGGCGACGACATAACTTCGAGCACGTGGAAAGATGCCCAGGACATATCGTGACCAAGCATTTCTAAGTAGATCAGCTTCAGGAGCGCCGTTGCCTTGAGATCTATATCCTGACTGCGGATCTCCGAGCGGCACTCCTTCAAGCTTTTCTGGACATAATCTTTCCCATTGCCTTTATGGTTCCGCAGCCCTCGAATGAGATCGTACAGTGATTTTTCGAACCTTGACTCCATTAGCCAACGAGTTGTTTGCGAGCTTTCGGGCGGGAGACGGATGCGGACATGATGTCAAGGCGCGCAACGGCAAACGCGATAATCTGGAGGAGGATCGTTAATTAGGATTTCGAGACGCGCAGTGAACGTTTAGTCGCATTCTGTATGTCGCGTGTGCAGTTTCGACGGTGTTGGCGAGCGCAGAGTGCTTGAATAGCACGGAGGAACTGCAGTTTGTTACTTGTTGATTGAGCTGGCAAGGTGCATGCAGATGATGGACAGGACGGCGCTAACCAACCCCACGCTTGGCATCTAACCCAGAAGCCGGCAAACACGTACAAGTACCTAAGCTACTATGAATCGTACCAATTAATCTTCACCTCTTAATACTGCTGTGCCACTTCCTACATAGTACTGCAGTAAACTTTGGTGACAAGGCGCTTGAGGGCTTCACTTAGGCTTTAAATTCGGGTATCCCTATCAAAGCCCCTGGAGAAAACGCAGCCGCATCTTGTGCTCGAATACTTAATAGAAATTTTGAACCTATGCCCTCCAGACAAATAGATCTAAATTTAATATAACAATTCATGTCACTATTTAGTAATTGTAGCACAACTGGTGAGCTCTTTAGTCTAATAGAACCACAGTGGTAGGTGCGCGCGTCTGCTGCAGCTAGTCGCCTCACTAAGCAAATCACCAGCAGGGCTCAGGATGCCCCTCATTGCCCCTCCTCATGTGCCAGTCTGATGATTGATCATTCCGACAGCATGTTTACCTAACGTCGCCAGTGTTTATCATTCGCACCACACGACGAATACCTTGGTTTGCTACTCAAAGGAAGCAATCAGACAATCGCCGCGAACTCTCTCGCCCGGTCTGTCCCAATCTACTAGACCTCATTTACCATGGTCATCTTTGCCCGAATCTTGTACTATTGTTGCATGCACTGACGTCCTTAGGCCGACGAGCTTACTGAGCAGCAAATTGCTGAATTCAAGGAAGCCTTCGCCCTTTTTGTAAGTGCCCCTTATCAGCTCTGTTCAGTCTCTGACCTGAGTAGGATAAGGATGGTGATGGTGAGTTCGAATTTTAGGCTTACGCGTGCGACTACTAATATGGTCACCAGGCCAAATCACCGTCAGTGAGCTCGGTACGGTGATGAAGTCCCTAGGATTGAACCCTTCCGAATCTGAACTCCAGGACATGCTCAACGAGGTTGACGCAGATGGAAGCGGAGCCATTGAGTTCAATGGTGAGTGTCACGTCCTCAAGAGCGGAGCCATATCGCGCTGAAACGCAATTAGAATTCCTCAACATGATGGCTCGAAAGGGCGCGGGGAGCGATCCAGAGAAGGAACTTCGCGAGGCCTTCAAGGTCTTTGATCGCGACGGTACTGGTACTATCTCTCGCGATGAACTTCGTCATGTCATGAAGTCTCTCGGTGAGAACTTGACGGAGGACGAGATTGACGAGATGTTGAAAATGGCAGATAAGGACGGCGATGGAACTATCGATTGTATGGCCGCTCTTCATAGTCTTGTTCCCTCCGCTTGGCTAACAATACTTCAGATAGTGAGTTCGCCGAGATCATGGCGCACAAATGAGCACGTCGGGCGGGAGGATGGACAACGGGAGGACGGGCACTTATGAATTTTTTCGGGTCGCAGCAAGATCGAAGCAATCGTGCAGCATACTGCAACACTATGGACTCGTCCGTTGTAGCTTTTCCTAGGTCCGTGCTGCCGTGCATGCCCATTCTATATCGCTGTGCTCCGGCCCCCAGGATCCGGATTTCAATCTTCAGGAGTTCTACGTAGTATGTACTGTTGTACAGTTGCGGTATTGTCGATCTGCTGACATGGCCTGAGGCTGATCACAAACTATTTCTTCTTTATATGGAAAGTAGAGACTACGCGTAAATGAGTAAATACCGCGCAACAGCCCAACAACATGGATCGGAAGTATGCCGGGAACATGAGCCCTCTCTGCCATTCCTCTCCTGTGATTGCAATCGAAAAGCGTAAAAATAGTAGGAGGCTCCGACTCAAGCAGGAATGTCGGCGGCAGACAGCCACCGATCATGGTGTTGAAACTTGAGCCCGCGTTGCAACTGGCGGGACAACGATTCGTTTCAAGTCATGATACATTGACGCCAAGAGTAATACTAGGCGCTGCCGCCGTTAAGGCGAAAGCGCCACTTAGAGAACCTTGCAACTGTTGCTTACTTACTTCATGAGGGCGAGAGTGATCGTAAGGTTACTAATTAGGTTCGGATTGATATTCTGTCAAGCAGCTGTCCTACCGAACGTCAAGGGAATGCCCAGACAAATGCGGGAGCGGTGGACCAGAACTACTCAGCTTGTTTCTGTAGAGGGCCAACACCATGATAAGACAGGGGCGGCCAGTGAGGGCTCTTTTGGTAAGATGTGGAATTGATGCGGCAAGCTTGATCGACGAAACTGCTATAATGATTAACTTAGCATTCCAGGCAAGCAAGGTCACAAAATCTTGGCTCAAGTGTTCGACTCCAATTGAGAACATCTTATCGATAAGATAAGTAACTGAAGACCTCGGGAGCGCGAGCTCTTCAATGCCGGGATCACTCAAACAAACGCAAGACGCTGGAACAGAGGCCATCAATTCATATGCGCACAACATCGGTCAAATCGCCTTACTCGATCACGTACGCGTCAGGTCTTTTGGGCCCTATACGAGCCGAGAAAAGTCCATCGGTACCGGATCCTTTCCCTAAAAGGGTGCTCTGTGACGACGAGGCCCCTGATCTTAAAACATGCGCTCGCCCAACTGCACAGCCGCCTTTCGGCGCAACATATCAGGCCCTACAACAGCTCGAGCTCGCCGCGGCTTCTTTTCCCTGAATGGATCGTCTCCTGATGCTTCAGTGCAATCCCTCACGGCATTACGGGTCGTACCTTATCCTTCGGCCCTTCTGTACGCAATCATCGTCGATGTTGACTCGTACAAAAATTTTGTACCGTATTGTTCGCACTCTCAAATCACGCGCTGGTCCAAAGCCGATCCAACAACGGGTCAGCGATGGCCTACCCAGGCAGATCTTCATGTGGGCTGGGGGGGCTTCAATGAGTGCTTCACGTCGCAGCTGCGTTGCGTACCCGGGGTGTCAGTCGAAGCTATGAGCGGCGGCGACGGTCAAAGCAATGCTAGCGCAGTGTTTCAAAGTCTCCTGACCAGATGGAGCGTTAAACCTCTAGGAGAACAGAAGACTCAGGTAGACCTTATGATCAAGTATCACTTCACAAGCCCTCTGTACGCTGCAGTCAGTGCAGCAATGTCGGACAAGGTAGCTGGCATGATGATCGAGGCTTTCGAAAAGGAAGCCCACAGCAAGCTTGGGAGACCAACATGATGACGAGATTGTTTTACCATTCTCTATACTTGGTACGCCAACTATCATGGCTTCAAAGGCCGCGCAAAGCAAATTATAGATACGATCAAAACCCAGCTCGATCCTAGCTAAGATCAGATTTCATTGTTCAGCTGACGACCACGTTGTGACAGCGAATGAGCCAGAACATGTGACGAGTGACTTGGAGGCTTGGAAACACCATACCCATGCATGCGGCGCACGTCCTTGAAGGCAGTATTTTCGAGCCTCATCAATGCAAAACAAAGTCGGATGGTCATATTGCAGTCGATGGTGAGAGACCAGAGAAAAAGGGGGTATCATTAATGTGCCAGTTGGTTGTCTTGCAACGGGTCGCTGCTTATTTCTTGCTGCTCCTAGCCTAAGGCATCAGTAACATGACAGTCAAACAAGCGTCGAGGAGGCTCACTTTTTTTTGGGCTTACTCCCCGTGAAGAACTTGAGTATGGGGTCGTCTTTCTTGTGTTTTCGGGACTTCGGGGCAGCGTTCACAACATCAACGCCGCGTGGAGGGCCGGGACGAGGGCGTGCCCAGTCCGGATGTCGAGGAACATCAGCCACAGGAACTTCCCCCCGGGCTCGGCGAGGAGGTCCTGGTACCCCCCTGGGCGGGGGGGGCATAGGGCCGCCATGCCCCCCCATGGCTCCTGGTATTCGTGGTCCTGGTCCAACAGGTGGTGACTTGTCCAAGGGCCACATGGTCATGCTGATACTCCAATCCGGCTCCACTACCTTCTCCCAGACTGAAGGCAGAATGATTTCACCATTGGGGCCGGTCAAATCATAATGCCCTTCTTGGACGTGGGGGCCCAGCAGATCAACCTGTAAGAAAGCTTGCTTGATGAGCTCTTCCATGCCCTGTGCTAGGTTAGCATACACTGAAGTACCGTTGACCTGATTGTACATACCGCCCAAGTCTGGCAAAGATGAAACGGAAAACTGAATTTGCGGCCGACAGCGTCCTTGAAGCGAATGGGCGCTTTGTCCGCCTTTTGTTTAGCGGAATTTTCCGCCTTTTGTCTCGCCTCCTCTTGCCATTTCATCTTGAGCTCCTCTTGCTCCTTTTTGGCAGCTGCTTCGGCCTCGGCCTTGGCGATCGCATCCGCCTTTTCTTGCTCTACCTTGGCCGCAGCATCAGCTTCAGCTTTACGCTTGGCATCTTCCTCAATCTTCTTAATACGCTCTGCCTCTTCAGCCATCTTCTTCTCAGCAGCCGCCCTCGCTTCGGCCTCGGCCTTGATGGCCGCTTCAACCCGAATGCGGGCAGCCTCTTCAGCTCTCTTGCGGTCCTCATCCTCTTTCCGCCTTCGTTCTTCAGCCGCTTTCTGGTCTGCCTCAAATTTCATTCGGGCATTCTCTTCCGCGCGCTTCATATCGTCCGCGCGCTGTTTGGCAGCCTCTTCTTGAGCTTTCCTCTCCGCTTCAATCCTCTCCCGGGCCGCTCGCTCAGCCTCAGCTCGAGCCTTGGCTACTTCCGCCGCCGCCCGTTCGTTGTATAATCTGGCCTCTTCCATTCGTTGCTTGAATGCTTCCTCAGCTTCTTTCTTGATGCGAGCTTCGTCTTCCTTCCTTTTTTCAGCTGCCTTGGCCTCTTCTTGCATGGCCTTGATGGCTGCAAGCTCGTCTGCCATGCGCTTTTTCTCGATGTCCTCCTTTGGGACAGGCGTTACCTCTCTACCCGGGTGCTCTGTAGCCGCAGGCACGGGAGCCATCTGATACTGCTGCATATGCTGTGGCATTGAATATTGGCGGGGGTCTCCATAGAAGCCAGGGGCACCGTATTGCATCATCGCATACGGGGCTTGGCTGTCGTAGAAACTGGCACCGTTGGGACCATGCGCAGCAAAGGGGTTATTGCCATACTGCTGGCCGAAAGGTACCATGCCACCCATACCCTGATACGGAGCGACTGGCCCTCCATGGCCCCTCTGTCCTGAAGCATACTCTGCATGGCTATGCGGGTCGCCGTTTCCATTGCCATAGTACGCGTTCTGCCGCCTTGCCCGCGGCCCCTGGTGGTACGGCCTTTGAGGGTAGTGCTCGCCCATGCCGAAATCAGCCGATCCCTGGTCGCCCTGTGGCGGTGCGTATGGAGCGTGTGTCGCTCCCGGGGAGCCGCCGCCTCGCCACAGAGGGACGACGTGTTGATTTTGGCGTTGATGTTGACTGTGAGATCGGTAGGGACCTCGAGGTTGGTATAGATGAGAAGTCGGGCCGTTACTCGCAGACGCGGAGTCCGAGGGGTCAACCTCGTCGTCGTCGTCGTCGTAATAGTCCTCCTCGTCCTGCGAATCAAATGTATCTTCGCGACCGTCTGAGTAGGTTGATTGAGAGCCGCCAGGTTGTGCGTGCGCACTTTGGATGGTCCTTTCCGGCCTCTGTGTCAGTCTGTATGCTAGGTTAGTCTCCGAACTCGCGAAAGGCAGTATCAGGAATCGTGAATCTTACGGCATAGCAGACAAATATTTCGCCAGTAGTTCGGCGGCGACGAAAAGGGTGGTGAGGTAAGGTGCGTGGCTTGGTACTTATGCGCCGTCACGGTCAAGGACTCACGGTGTGGCCAGGGCGGGGTCAGGATGTCTGTCAGGTAACTCAGGTTACCCGAGGGCGCCACTTGACAAGCTTCAACCAGCCCGCCTGCTGCTGGCTCCTACTATGTGGCGTCGTAAACAGCCCCTCAGCGACCTGTCCCACCATGTGATTCGTGGGCTGTGAACGTACAGCAGCCTGGTGAGGCGAATCTGCAGGAAGGCTTCGGTACTAGCCGTCCGTGGAACCCTGCGACAAGAGGTGTGAAAGTGCGATACGCAGAATCTCAAAGCCAGAATCGCCACGAGGATGCTGGCGATCCGATTCGCGGAGAAAGCGTTGACGCTGTTGCTGGTCTGGTGAAGCAAGGAGTAGCACCTAGTACGTGTGATACCGTTAGTGTTTTCAGTGGTACGGCGTTACGATGCCTGGGGAGGACGAGCAACTGGAAGCTGCGGTTGGTTCAGAGTGGTAAGTAAGTACCTGAGTAAGGTAAGGTAGGTAAGTTAAGTAAGTCTGAGATTGGGCATGGGTTGGAAACTTCCGTGTCGTGGTTGCAAGGCGATTCCCGCAGGCGGAGGATCTGTAGATGTCAGCAAACTCTCAAAGCCCTCTTTCAAGCCTGATAATTGTACGTAGTAAGGCACCAGTGCCTGTACAGCAAATTACCTGGTATCCATAAGGTACACAAGAGACTGGAATCAGCGGCTGACCCCGGTCGCATGCAGTATGGCTAGGTACCTGCAATGGCGGATCTGTCCAAGAATTCCTAGCAACATGAAAGTAAAGTATCAACGTTACGATGCGAGGCTGGGAATAGCGGCATTGGCAGTGCAAGTCGACACAAATTCGCCGGCGCCAGGCGTCGAAATTTCTTGGGCTAAATCAAAGTACAGCAAACAGTGTTGTTTTAATAGGACCCTTGTCACAAACAATCGGTAATGTTCTACAAGTACATGGACTCATTGTATCGGCTCTGGCGATCGATGCCTGGCTATGATTAGGCTGTAAGTACTTCGTATGGGTCGGAGGTTTCCCTTAGTTGAGGGAGCTGGGCTTTCTCTCTACAACAACAAATGTCAACCGGGTTGAGCTGTCTCACGTTAGGTATCGATGTCGAGCTGCCCTCCGCAAGAAATGGGCCCTACATGATACATCCATGAATAGTTTAAACCCACAGCCCAACAAGTGCCCAACGTCTACTCCGTAGAGCGGCTCATATCACCAATGAAAGACCGTAGACGTGCCTGTGGCTGTGGGGCTTGCGTGACTCTATCACGACACACAATCGACAGCTGGACACTTTTATCAAGTTATTAGAATTTAGCAGGAAGACTGGGCATCTGAATGGTGGTTGGGTGCTAATTTCATCGCGGTGCATGCACAACTTTCCATCGACTGGAGAAGCTACACATGCCTGCCATACCAGCCATGCGGTAACGCAATTCGATTTACTTTCGCCGGTCCCTGCGCTACTAATACGCAGGTATGGCTCGATGCTTTTCTCATGCGCTCAGCAGCCAAGAGCCGTTCTGCCATGTGGCAAATCGATTGATCAGCTTTGGAACTTGACGGTTCTCGCTACGATCAAAACAAGAATGTTGGCCAGATTCAACGCTGGGCACCCCTGTCTCTGCATTCGTGAAGCCGAAGGTTCCGCAGTCGCTGTGCTTCACTTGCAGTGGCTGCTGCCTACAGGCTCAGAACGGGAAGCGCAGTTGATAAGTTCAGCCGGCCGGCAATAATAATAGGCACCATGTCTGACAACGCGCAGTCTCCATGTCACTCAAGCAAAAAACTTTGCCATGTCTCACTTGGTTGTATTTCCCACGATCACACATGGCTCCTGAAAATGGTGACAAACTTGAATGACATCCTTCTCATAACCCATAGAGGTGACCCGAATTTTGTCTAAGTTACATCATGGAAACATCAAGCGGCTTGTGAAGAAATTGCACCTCTGCATGATGAGTGGTGAGCACTGTGCCGCCGGCGTCTTTATCTTCGGTCCTTTGGAAGACGTAGGCTCTCATGGTTAATGAATGTTCACTCATGTAGCTGCCAGGCTTGTACCTATTGCGGCTCGACGATCGAGTTGATTGTTTGAGCCGGGAGTAAACTAGTACAAGATCAAGGAATTTAGGTAAAGCGAAGATACTACCATCAAGCCTCAGGCTTAGAACATGCAATGGGGTGCCTCCCCCCTTTTCTGGTCTCCTCAGTCCATTTGATGATATCCTCATCACATTCACTGTCTACAACGTACCAGTTGTTAGGCTTGAGCTTCCACAATTTACTTATCGGCGATTGCGGCTAACTGTACTTCCAGCCCTTCTGAAAATCACCGCAAGTGATGATAAGTCCAAAAGCAGCCTTGACTTTCGCGCTGGCTATACTACTGATGAACTGATTTGAAATGCTTCATAAGTGCCATAGGTTTTGCCCAGTTGCCACTTGTCCACCGCATTGAACGTGTGATTCTTTGTGCTTCCGTAACGTCGTGGATCGCCTCCGGAGAGCTCAGTCCACGATACGCAGTAGGCCATGACGAGGGTAGCGGCGCACTTCTTCAGATCAATGTGAGCCAAGCAAAAAGCAAATGCGCGACTTGCATTGGCAGCCATTGTTCGCAAACCACAACGACGGGCTTTGTTGTAAGCTCCCAACGGTTTATGCTTGTTGCATAGGCGCGTTACCGTTGATGGGGTTGCGTCGTGAGTGCTTCAGAAGCCGTCGCCCAGTGACTCATACAAGGATATGCAAGAAAAGAAGACCTTGATAAACTGAGTGATCGATTGAAAACAGCTGCTGCACTATAAGAAGTATCGTCTTGCAAGGCCCGGCGAGCATTGATTTTCCACTTGTCCGCGCTGAGATACGCTGAGGGCAATGTGAAAGCTGCAGGTCGCAGCTTCGCTCTCACATTGGGACGGCAGCGCACGAGTCCAATTGTAGATGGGGCCCTCCAGGGGAGGGACGTATATATTCCTGGCTGGGCTGAAATTGGCCATATGGGACAGAGCTTCGTTGGTACGTCTGAAAACCTATCTTTCAAGCGTCTGCTCTGTCTTATTCAAAAGGTCTGCTGCGGCAGCAATTGAAGAACTGTCGTATCCTTGCCAAAGGGACTCCCCCGCCTTGCATCTCCTTACTATGTCAGCAAGCCTTTCCGTCGCCACTTCACTAAGCCTAGCAAGTGTCTCTTGATCAGGTGTAGTGAAGCTGTCTGGGTCGTTCTTCAATTTGCTCCGGATTTTATCCTCTTGGAGTTGGTCGGCGACAATTTTCAGGCCATAATACCCTCGGAGATAATGGTCACATAGCTCCACGCTGCGAGCGAAGCGTTTCAGCGCCTCTGCCCTGTATTTCAGTGGCGCATCGCTGTTCGAGGCGGCTGCCATCATGAAAACCTCGCCCAACCGGGCGTGCATCTTTGGGTTTGTACGTCAGCAGCGTCGTGGATTGGTAGACTACACTCACATTCCAGGCATTGGGTACCAAAACCAGCACTTCTTCGAGCGCGAAGATGGCTTGTGGGTAGTGACCTTGCGACAAATGAAGATCCGCGAGCTCCGACCACCCTTCTGCATCCGTAGGAGAGAAATCAAGAAGAGTGCCAAGAGCGGTGATGGCTTCTGAGTCCTTCCCCATGGATCTGAGCAATGCAACTCTGCGCTTCGCGATTGGCTAACTAAGTCAGCATATCGAACGTCGAAGCAAAGCTCTCTGTGAACCCACAATGTTAGCTGCATTCTCTCCCAAGATCTCCCGGTATTCTGTCAAGATGTGTTGCAACTGTTCGTCCCCCTTCGCCGTCGCCTCCTTGCCTAAGCCTGTCAGAGCCATGACACGCTCATTCTGCGAGCCGAATCGTGCTGTAATGCGATCTAAGCATTCGATCGCTGATTTGTCGTCGCCGCAACGCAGACATGACAAGAGCAAGTTCTCGTATGTGATCCACAAGTCAGCTGTGTCGGGTGCAGAGAGTAGTGATGCCCATGGCGAAGCAGATATCATTTTTGGTCCGTCCTTGAGAACTAGAGGCGCTTGTTGAGCAACGTGAAGAGCGTCCGGATGGCTCAAAAGCCCGCGATCTTGGGAGAGTGAGATCATGGTGATTTGCGACTGTAGATGTCTCCGTCCTCACACCTGAACGTAAACCAAGCTGCGAAGCCCCGCAAGGCTGCCCGGCCTGGCTCAGGGATACCTCAGGGTGGGTCGGATCTATGGAGCCGGCGGTCGAGATTATCCATCCCGTCCGCTAAACGCACAAACCAGATTAACTTTCCTTTCGCCAATTCCTCACACTCTCCCTTTCTCTCTCATTATTCGAAACCGAGACAACAACCGACTTCTCAATTACGACAGTCGATATTAAAACCCAAGTTCATGAGAACACTGAAATCAACTTGAGAATGGATCAACATCCCCAGGCTGGGAAAGTACATGCGTCAAATGACCAACGATGTCCACGGCAGCCAGAAGTCGACTTGTCACACCGTTCACACAACAGCTCTGATAACCTAAAGCGTTCGGATCCTTTCCAGTTTGGTAGTCGGTTCCTAGAGGCAGGAGATGATGTGTTCGAGTACAACGCCTGGGATCATGTCGAAACTGACGATGCATATAAGGCATACGCAGAGCAGCAATTAGCGTTGCAAAGACAATCTCCTGTCTCTGAATTTGACAAAAGTGAGTTTACCTTTTTCCCCCATACCACTGCATTCTTGCACAACCCAAACCCACTAAATACCTATGATGATGAAACACCTAATGCATAGTTCATCTGAAACCTGATGATAAACTATACCTTCAATTCTTTCGCTCCCATCTGAATGCAAATGTATTCTCTACTTGCGTATCTTCGTCATGTTCCTTGGTTAGTTGCTGACTTGGTCGCAGAAAGATTCAATGGAGATCCCGCAAAATGGTGGAATCTGTTCTACAAAAACAACACCGCCAACTTCTTCAAAGATCGAAAGTGGCTGAAGCAGGAGTTTCCCGTTTTAGATAAGTTGACCCAACGTGACGCGGGCCCATCACTTTTGCTCGAAATTGGGGCAGGAGCTGGTAATACTGCTTTCCCAGTGCTTGCCACCAACCAGAACCCGGGGCTCAAAATTCATGCTTGCGACTTCTCAAAGACAGCAGTCGATGTAATGCGCACTAGTGCGCAATACGATCCTGAGCACATGCAAGCTGATGTATGGGATGTTGCGAGCGATGATTTGCCGCCCAATCTCACAGAAGGGTCAGTAGATGTTGCGATTCTTATCTTCATATTCTCGGCTCTGTCGCCCGCTCAATGGACTGCTGCAGTGCACAATGTGCATCGTCTCCTAAAGCCCGGCGGCATAGTTTGTTTCCGCGACTATGGGCGTGGCGATCTTGCACAAGTCAGATTTCGCAAAGGCCGGTACATGGAGGAAAACTTCTACGTGCGTGGGGATGGGACACGGGTGTACTTCTTCGATCAGATGGAGTTAGCAACGATCTGGAAGGGTGACTGCGCCGAGACCTTGTTTAAAATCGAGGAGCTCGGTGAGGACCGGCGCTTAATTGTCAACCGTAGTGAAAAGAAAAAGATGTACCGATGTTGGTTACAGGGGCTTTTCAAGAAGGTATAAAAAGCAAGGCCCGCAAATGACAATTGCTATTCATCAATACGAAACAGTCACAGTCAAGTCCTCGCGAAATTCGTGGCTTTTTACGGTTTTTGATTAATATAGTATTAATCTGTCCACGAAGACAATTTGTCGACAACACAACCTTCTGACCCTTCGCGACGAATCAGCCGCCCAAGATGGAACACTTTCTCTCCTGACTTGCTCAACGATGCCGCAACGGCGTCAACTTCCGCAGCATCGAGGGCAACTACCATGCCAATGCCAGAGTTGAATGTGCGGACCATCTCCGACGGGGTCACGTTGCCAGCCTGCTTCAACCACTTGAACACGGGAGGCATGTCCCAACCAAAGTCGATCGAAGCCGCCAGATGAGAGGGCAGCATCCTTGGCACATTCTCAACTAAACCTCCCCCAGTTATATGTGCTAGGCCTTTGATGTGCTGCAGAATAGGAAGAAGAGCTTTGACATAGATGCGTGTGGGCGTAAGTAGTGATTCCCCAACAGTGGTTGCACTGTCCCAAGGCGCTGTAGACAAATAGTCCAGACCGGCAGCAGAGACAATCCGGCGCACAAGGGAATACCCATTCGAGTGAACGCCAGAAGATGCGAGTCCTATCAAAACATCCCCCTCTCTCATCTGATCCAATAGCGGAAGTTTGATATCGTGTGGCACCGTGCCTATGGCGCATCCGGCGGCATCGTACTCTCCGCCGGTGTACATGCCGGGCATTTCGGCCGTTTCGCCACCAACAAGAGCGCAGCCAGCTTGACGGCATCCTTCTGCTACGCCTTCGACAAAGGCAGAGGCAATGGCGAGGTCCAGTTTACTGCAGCCGTAGTAGTCGAGAAACATGAGAGGGGTGGCGCCTTGAACAACCAAATCGTTGACGTTCATTGCTACCAAATCGATGCCAACGGTGTCGTGCTTTCCCATTGCCAATGCAACTTTGAGCTTTGTACCAACACCATCGATAGCACCGACGATGATGGGAGCACCGGGGAATCCCGCTTTGGAAAGATCCACCTCGCCTCCAAAGCCGCCGATTTCAGCATCCGCGCCAGGGCGTGCCGTACTAGCAACAGCTTTCTTGATCTTATCAACAAAGTCATTGCCAGCCTGGATGTCAACACCAGCTTGCGCGTACGTCATCGAAGATCCTTGAGAGACGCGAAACGCGCGGTGGGCGATGTCTCTTCGATAAAACTTGCCTTCGAAGTCAATGACATTAGAGGACAGAGCGGTGTATGAGGCATCAACAGCCGCTCGCAGAGAGCTGCCCACAGTGTTCAATGCAATGACGCGACCACCAGCAGTTTTGAGCTGGCCATCTTCCAGATCCAGCTTCGTCCCAGCGTGGAAGATGGTGCTACCGTTGGGCGGTTCTCGCACAGTCATTAAACTACCCTGGGCGTAGGGCCCCGGGTAGCCGCCTGCAGCCAGCACAACGGTTGCGCTGAACTTGTCCACAACGTTGATCGCAATCGCCTCCAGTGAAGAATTCGTACATGCCAACATGATCTCTGCAAGGTCCGTGTCCACTGACAAAAGTGGAAGAACGGTCTGCGTTTCAGGATCACCGAAGCGCACGTTGTATTCGAGCACCTTGGGTCCGTCTGCGGTGATCATCAACCCAGTGAACAAGACACCCTTGAAAGCCTGCTTCTCCAGTCGCATGCCTCGAAACGTGGGAAGTAGAATTTCTCGATCGACGCGCTCAATCAAATCCTGAGATGAAATGTTCGTGGGCGCATAGCAGCCCATTCCGCCCGTGTTGGGACCCTCATCACCGTCGTAGATACGCTTGTGATCTTGTGCCATGGGTAAAGAGCGGAAAGTGTAGCCATCGCAAAATGTCAAAACACTAAGCTCGTCGCCGTGGAGAAGTTCTTCCACAACAACCTCGGACCCAGCGGCTCCAAAAGCCTTGTCAACCATGATCTCTTTAAGCGCAGCCTTCGCTTCAGCCTTGGTCGATGGTAATATTACGCCCTTGCCGGCGGCCAGCCCCGTCGCTTTGATAACCACATCATGGTCCACCTCGTCAATGTACCGAGCTGCTGCGTTGTAGTCGGAGAAGTTCTGATATGCGGCCGTGGGTATGTTGTATTTCCTCATGAAATCTTTCGAGTATGTTTTGCTTCCCTCTAGTCGAGCAGCCTCTTTCGTAGGTCCAAAGCAAGGGATGCCAGCGAGGCGAAAATATTGCTCAACCCCATCCACAAGGGGAGCCTCGGGTCCTGGTACAGCGAGATTGATGTCGTTGTCTCTCGCAAACTTGACAAGACCCTCAAAGTCGCTCGCAGAAACCGACGTAACATTGGTCGTCTTGGGGCACGTGGCTGTTCCCCCGTTTCCGGGGACAGCTAGGATCGAGGCGACACGTGAGGACTGGCTGAGCTTCCAAGCCAGGGCGTGTTCACGACCGCCATTGCCAATGAGCAGAATTCGGAGATCGGCCATCTTGTAGTCAACGCAATAGTAACACCATGCGGACTGTTACTTGTCGAGCCAGTGTAGGACGTAAAAAAAAAATTACCCCTCTTACTCCGAGATCGGCGAGAGAGGGGAAAGCCTTAAGGTAAGGTAAGTAAGTACGGAGGTCGGTACCAAAAGTTCTTGCTGGCCAAGACACTAGAAGCGGGAGCAGCTAACAGTTCTACATGAGGCTGACTGATCCCTCTATAACCAACATGCTACGACCCTAAGCTTTGCTCGAATGACGGCCTATGGTCACGCCACGATAGCGACATCCATGTTGAGTAGCAAGGGTCTGAACAACTAAGTGGTGGTCATAGCTGCTATCGAGTGCACTGTAGTAATGATATCCCTGCAAGCCATTGTAGTACCTCTCGTTGGTGGCCCCAATAGCGCTTCTCAAGCATCAGCAATAATTTTTGGTACCGACCTCCGTAGCCCCTTACAGTTAACTAAGATCTAATAATAAAGGCCTTAATAATTAAAGTAAAAGCTACTAACAAAATTATACCTAAAGTCTCTAGCTACAATAATCTATTTATATTATTATTATTATTATTATTATTATTATTATTATTATAATCTAAATTAAATTATAAATATATTTAAAACTGTAATTCACTATTTTTATAAGCACTATTAATTCGGATATATTATAGCGTTATATAGGTGAGATATAATCTATATTTAGTATAGAATTATCCCTTATATTATAAATAGTTAAAAATATAAAGAAACCCCGCGTTATATTACATATAAAAAGAAATACGAGACTTAGTTATAAGCATATTATATAATCGCTAAATAATATACCCGAGCCTTAGCTATATATAAAACAAGACTACTTAGTTCTAGAATCTTACTTAAATTATTTTTAATTTTAAAAAAAAAACTTAAAAGCTTAAAAAGACCGAAACTAAGGACTTAATTAACCTTATTATACCCCCGAAGAAATAGAAAATAGATCAACGTCCGCTAACTAAGACTATCTTAATTTATTCTAAGAGCTAACTTATATAACTTTACCTTAAAAGCTACTTTTATATGAAAGCTAATATAGAATTAGGTAAGAATTAAGCTAGAACTACCTTAGATAATAATATAATTATAAAAAAATTGTTATAATAAAACATAATATTCTTTATTAAAATATGAATAAATAAGGACCGAACTTAGGTACAATACTTAATAGCTAGGCTAGATATAACTTAATTATACTCTAAGAACTAAATATTAAAAAGAGTATAAAAGAGCTAAAGTAGCAGCCCTTAGTAAACTATTATAGGGTATAGGGAAGAGATATAAGACTTTAATGCTTGTTATCCGCTCTAGGATTAGTATAGAAAAGAGTTATATAAGGTATAGTACCTCCTTAAATAAGCTAGGAACTAAGGCCTCTAATTTATTATACTAAAGGGGGAACTAACCTAGGTTTTTAGAGGCTAGAGAGATAGGATAATTAATTATTATTAAGTTTCCACTTTTATATATATATATATATATTACGTTAGCTTTATATTATTCTTAGGATGAAATTGTATCCTATAATTAATTTAGGCCGGAGATAAATAATATACTAATTGATATACTAAGGTTAATAACTTAATAAAAGGTAAATTAAGAAAATTTTAATATTAAGAGGGCTAAAGCCGAGGTATAGGTTAGATTCCGGCCCGAGTATTAGCCGGAACTAATTAATATAATACTCCTTAATTATAATATATATAAGCTTATGACCGCGCTCTAAGAGATTACTAATTATAATATTAAAAAGAAATAAAAGTATCTTTAGATCAGTCCCGTAATATAACCGGGCTATAAATATAGCTATTAAGAATACTAAAAAGAAATCTTAATATTGTTATTAAACCCGGACTTAATATAAATAAAAAGAGCTCCAAGAAATATATAAAAACTAAGACTAAATTATAATAAAAATATAAAAAAAGTCCTAAAGAATAATATTATAGAACACCTTAAATAAATAAAATTCCCTCTAAAGATTTAAGAAATAAGCTAGGTTAAGGCCCCTAAGAGCGATAGTTTAGTAAGTAATTAAGTAATTAATAAAGGCTAAGCTCGAGGGGGTATAATATAAGCTAACTATACTCGCTTTAAATATAACTAGCTTTTTTAATAGAATTAAATTAATAATTAAAAAATCTATAATAAAATTAATTAAAAAAGTAGTTATTAAAATTAATAATAAGCTATAGAATCTAAAGATTTATATAAGTATCTTTTAAAATATATCTAACCCTTAAATTAATCGAAATATAATTCTTTTTTTACCTAAATAAAGTAAGATAAATTAGTTTATTAATAATTCGACCGTGAATTTATAATCTATACCTAAACTATAATTAATTTAATAAAGAATCGAAGCCTAAAGGATATATATAATATAATAAATGTAAAGGTAGGTAGCGGTAGCCTTAGGTACTAAGGGGCTAGATAACTCTAAAGTAATAATATAATATTCTCTTTCGAAATAAATATCGATAATATAGCGAAGAACTCGGGCTAAGATACTAAGAAATTATAACTTAATTTATTCCGCTATAACGAAGCTAGGCTAGCTTATAAGCGAAAATAAACTTCTATATTAAACTACCTTACGATCCGGGCCGGATCTATACTAAAATAACTTAAATAATAGTAATACTATAACTATATCTACGGCCACGGCCGCGACTAGGACTAGGACCGCGACCACGATTATTATTACGCTTACGCGGGCTTAGCTTATATCCGCCCTAGAAAAAGGCTAGAGCTTTCTTAATAAGCTTAGGCTTAGGCTTAGCTATAGAACGAATCTCTTTTACCTCATCCCCCTCCTCCTTAGTCTAGGGCGGAGTAAAACTAGACTTAGTTTTATAATACTTTATAAGAGTTTTAGGCTTAGGTTGGTTAGTTATAGTAAGGGTAGAGTACTTCCGGGCCGAACTAGCGCTATTATTAAAACTACGGGCGATAGCGCGGACCTTGATATAATTTTAGATAATATTAATAACTTTAGTAAGCTAAAAAAATCAAAATATAGCTAGGTTCTAGGCCGGATATAAAAGTTATAATAATACTAGGATTATAGTTATTAATTTTATTTATATTAGGATTATTATTAAACTAATAAATTATATAATAGCTAAGAGTTATATTAATAATAGCTAAGGTATTAATATACTATATATAGGGTAAATAAAGATATAATAAAGAACTAGGCTAGATAAATATAAGAAAATACCCGCTAATACGCTAAAATAATAATTAGAATATAACTTAGAGCTAACTAAAGATATATAAATATTAAAATAAAATTATTATAAAACTAGCTAAGATATATATAATATATAAAGTATAATAATAATAGTAATAATAAATTATACGCCCTTACGGGTGCCTCTTGCTAGCTAGCCAGGCTATCTAGGCTAAATAATCCTAAGGAAAAATTAAGTAAAAACCTTAGTATAGTCCTCCTCTATCTACTATAGTAAAATACGAAATAAAATACTAGCTTCTATAGTGCTAGTCCTATGCTAGGGCCGATTCTACCCGCGTATCTATCGTAATCCTAGGTATATACTATATTTTACCGGAATTTAACCGTTATAGTAGGGTTCCGGGAGGATCCGGCCCGGATTCTAGCTAAGTTAGCCCCTACTACGCGTAGACTTTATTTACCTACCCCCTACCCCTTTATTTCCCTATATCTCTTTTTCTTTCTTCTTTACGCTTATAATTAAACGTTTCCGCCCCGGATCCGTATCGCTATCGCCCTAGATCCTCTCGCCTTTCCTTATCTACCTAAAGAATCTATTAATTCTGCTTTATTCCTTCTCGATTCCGGCCCGGATCTTACTATATCTCGCCGCTACCCCCCTCGTAAGGACTAGGAGTCCTATAAGGTTAGTAACTATCGCCCTGGTAAGCGCTAGTATAGGACCTATATTAACGCTATTATCGTAGGTAGATACTTACGTAAGCTCGATACCACTACTCTCCGCCTCTACCTCTCGTATTATATATTTCCTAGCCGGTTCCGAGCTTTTCTCGCGCGGTGCTAATATATTATTAAAGTTAGCTCTAGTTTATGCTCTAACTATCGTTACTAACGCGTTATTAATTACGCTCCCGTATGTTTCCGGCCCGGACTCGTCCTTAAATATATTCTAATTCTATTATAGCCCTTTAAGGGCCCTTTGGCCGAAGCTACTCTCGGTATCGCCCGCGCTATAATCGCCTAGTATAAGTCTCTTACTACCTCTAGCGAGCCTCCCGACCCCGCGCGCCCTATAAGTCCTTTATCTTACCCGGTTCCTAGCCGGATCCTAACTATTCCTAGCCCGCTATTATCCGCGCTATTATATAGATATACCTTAAGGAGCGCTCTATTAGCCGCGTCGCGAGCTAAGGGGATTCGTCCCGGAAGCGCGCCCGCCTTAGTATTCCTATAGACGAGCGTCTTAACCCTAAAACGCTTTTAAAAAAGATATAGTTCGCTACGGCTCCGGCCCAGAACTAGGATAAGGAGGAGGAGGACGATAATATTTTCGATTTTTCTTTTAGCTCGTTATTTAGGGCTAAATCTAGCGCTAAACCTACGCTTAAGCCCGCCTAAGGTAAAGGGAAGGGTAAGGTTACTAAGAAAAAGAGGGAGACTCTGGCCCCTTACTAAGGCGGATATAGGCCGGTAACGCCGCGATATAGACCTAGTCGTCCTTCTAGTAGTAATAAGAAGAGGCGTATTATTATTACTTAAGTTATTATTCTTATATAGATCCGGCCCGGATCTTAGGGTAGGTTAGTAAGGTAGTTTATTTTTACCTACGGCCTAGCCTAGATTCGCTATAGCGGGGTGAATTAAGTTATGATTTCTTAGTACTTTATATATATCCGTGTTATATCCGGCCCAGTACCTTACGTTCTTCTTATATAGTCTTATATTTTTACCCTTACTTTATTATAGTCTATCCTCGATCCGTATC